CTACTCGGACACTTTGAAACTGGCCTTGTTTAATTGCTTGCATAGCTAATAGTATTCTATCCTCTTGATTAGAGGATTTGGCTTGTGTTGGTCGTGGCATTGTTGACTATAGTCACATTGACGCGTTTTGGTGTTTTGGTGGGCCACTCGTTCGGGTGGGCCACTCGTACGGGAAATACGTTATCATTTCTCCAGCGTGAATGCTTTCATATATCGTTTTAGATTCGATTTGGGTTGCTCAGCACATCCGCACACGCACATCCGAACGCACATCCGAACAGCCATCACACAATATATCCTACCCTCCGGGGCTGCATCAAAAGTTGGAGAAAATACATGATATTCCCCCCTCCGCGCGCACAGCAGAGCTAGATAAGATAATGGCCACTTCCCCAACCCATTCCCCCTTCCATTCCCCCACACCCTCCTTCTCTCTCCCGTCTCTCCATCCCATCCCATTCACCATTCACCTATATACAACCCTCCCACCCCTTGCCCTATCTATCCAGCCAGTCCATTATATCTCTCCCATAAACACATCCATCTCCCCACAAATCCAAAAACCCACCCCCGCCTCCCCTCCCCCCTGCCCCAAGCTTTTTTGCCCCTCCTCCCCCCCGCATTAAATAGGCTGGTATATATATCCCGTCCGTGAAAAATCTGTATAAAAAAATGTCCCCCCGCCCCATTCGTTTGGTGTGTTGTCGAATTGATTAGATCGTTGAGAGTAGTTAGTTGGTTGAACCCAAAATCCAAGTTCGTTCGTTCCGTCTCTGGTATCCCTCGTGCATCTCTCATCCCTCGTGTTGTTTGTTGCCCCGTCGTAAAGGTGATCCCGCTTCCATCCCAGCTCATCACGGTCGTATCCTCTCAACTTCATCTCTAAACCCATTGCATACCACCCAGCCCCCAACCCGATTCCAAGCCAGTGTTGTATCCTTCTTAGCCCTCTGTAACCGTCGCCATACCCCGTCCAGAATATATACAAATCCCCTTTCCCCCTCCCCCCCCCAACTAAAAACTAGATAATCGTCGTCTACCCACCCACAAGCGGTAAAAGCATCAACAACTACCTTCTCTTTCCCCCCTCCATTCCCCCATCATACCCCCACCCCCTCTTCAGACCCCCCTCATACACACTCGCCACGCTCTCCTGCCACATACTCGGGCTGACAAACGTCGTCGTCGGTGGCGCCACAAACTGCTGTTGCGCGAGGAGATGCTGCTGCGCCGCGGCCGCTGATCCCATCGGCGGCAGCGGAATCAACGACGACGTACCCAACATATCTGGCATGGCGCTCAGTTCCCCGCCAGCGTTAGACATATGGCGTATCGTATTCTGTTGCGGTGGACCGACGGACATGGATGCCGCGGAGGGAGTTTCGAAGGTGGTGTTCCATTGGCTGTAGTTGCATTAGCAAGTTATTTTCACAGCCGACAAAAAGTGAAAAAGAGGAAAAAGAAAGGGGAAAGGGGGTACGCACTCAAAAATCCTCGCCGGATTCCACGCCGACGGATCCGGCATCGACATCGCCGTCTGCATCCCCTGCTGCTGCTCCGCCATCCTCCCGCCCGCCATCATAACTAACCCCACCGCCCCCGCGCTCTCCACCTTCGTCATGCCCCCCGCCGACACTGGGCTCTGCTCCGGCGGACTGGTGTACGTGACATGGTGCTGGCTCGCATGCTGGTTCAGGCTCTGATGCGGGTGGTCGACCGAGGATGTCGGTGATAGGGTGGATTGCTGGTATTGTAAGGTAGGGGGCGAGCTTTGGTTGCTCGAGGTAGGGCTGCCGTAGGGGAAGCTGGGCTTGAGATCGAATGGCTTGCGTGTGTCTGCTGAGAAGGCCTCGCGGAGGGCGTCGATTTGCTGCTGCATATCTGGCATGGGGCAAGCGGTTGTGCAGCGCTCGAGGAGTTGCATGTGGCGGGTGAAGTACTCGCGGGCGTCCATATTAAGGTCCGGGTCCGGGGATGTGAGCGCGACGAGGTGGAGAACGGTGCAGGTGAGGATACTATAGACGACGTAGTTGACGCCGCGCACCATGCAGAGGAGTCCATTCATGCCGAAGGTATCCAGGACTGCTTCCTGGAGACGACAGAGCAGTTTGGCGTTCGTGTAGGCGATCAGCATGTGGCGCTTCCATTTTCCGTCAGGGTTGCTGGGGTCGAGACTCGCTAGTTGCGGGCGATGCAACATGACTACGCCGAGGCAGAATTGTATGTGTATGTTCCCTAGAGCATGGGTTGGGAGCCATGGCGGGGATCCGTCGGGGGGGAAGGTGACCTGGAGATCTTGCGGGAGTTCGGCCATCCATTTGTCGAATGAGGGGTTGAGCTGCAGGAACTTCGGGTCCATGCCCACCTCCACCTTTTTCTTCTTCAGCTTGCTGTACACGACGGCCACGTTCCTTATATGCCCGACGCATCGCGCAAAGTACGTGAACTGCCGTTGGATGTGGTAGTCTGAGTCGTCCACCCCTGGCATCGGTTTGGGGATGCTAAAGTCGACGGTATCCGCATCCACGGAAAGCAGGTGCGTCCTGCCCTGAGGCGAGCCAACCATCAGCTCGACAACGAAGATGACAAGCCATATTCGTGTCTTAATAGCACAGTCAATGTTAGTATTCCCACACGGCCTCCCTGCCTTGTGATCCTCGTAATGTTCATCAAGTCCCATATCCCGCGCCATAGTGACGCATTGCACAACTGTCATCCACGACCGGTAGTAGTAGCCTCGTTTGGGTACGGCTTCTCTTGCCTTTAATATGATAAGCATGGCCTGTAGCGTACTTAATCGGGGGTCATCCATAAATGAAGTAGCATGCCCTGTGATCGTTAGCATAATTTTTGAACTCTTCACGGGACGGCAAAACTCACGGGTAGCTAAGGCGAGCCATTGTTGCCCCTGCGATGGCTCATCCTCAAGTTTCCCCGCATGCGCAAACATAGCCTCTAGAATTAGCGGCGAGATAGCTTCCCTATCACCATGCCACTGCTGGTAAAACAATGTCTTGTTCAGCACCGGAACGTAAGGGTGTATGTTGTTGAAGTAAACATCGAAGTAGCGCAACGCCGTTTCCTCGTCCGGCATTAGCTCAGGGGGTATCCGTATCTTCGAACCTGGCCCTGCGATTATTTGTGTAATAGCGAAATTATCAGAATCCTCAAACACAGCCTCCTCAACCGCCGCGGACTCCTTTTTCCTGTTACTCAGGTACGGTGCTGTCATCATGGTTAGCGCCCTTCCTATCCCAAAAGAACTAACCAAACTAACCAGTCCCCGATTCATCCATCTTTAGAGCTCCTAGATACTCCGCAAGGTCTTGCGTGCCGTACGGATCAGTCTGGTACATTTCCGGTGAGTGGGTTTGCGACAGCTGCGATTGTGACATCTGCCGTTGAGGTTGGTGTTGCAGAGGTTGGTGTATATTCTGCTGCATAGGTTGCTGCATAGGTTGTTGCAGCGGCTGCTGCAACTGCTGCTGCAAAGGCTGCTGTAACGGCTGCTGCTGGATTGCCGCCGGCATAGACGTAAAAGAAGGCTGCGGGGGGTAATTGTTGTCCATAAGGGCCGGCGGGTTCATCACAGCGGCATATTGCATCTGCTGCTGCTGACTCGAGGTTTGCTGGGGATAAGCCATTGGCTGCTGATAACCATTATTCTGAGTCGAATATGAGATCTGCTGCACATATCCCTGCGGCTGTCCATTCTTATCTATCGCCTGCATATGCTGCTCCAACGAGGTGTAATCCTCGTCGCCGCTGCCGCTCTCATACTCTCCCTTCTCGGGCTCGAAGCCGTGGCTCTGGCCGCCGTCATAGTTGGCCGTCGGCGGGATGCAGTGCAGCTTGAGGCGTATACAGGCCGAGCAGGGCCAGGTGTTCGTCGTAGCGGCATCGCACTTGATCTTGCGTCGTCGGCATCCTTCGCAGGCTCGCATCACTGGCACGACATACATCAGTAACAAGTTCCCGGTCCAAAAACAGCCACCAATGATTCAGAACTAACCCTTCAGCCGCTTATGGCGATTGTGTTCGTCCACGAACACATAATCTACTTGATACCGTTAGCAATTCGCTCGTCGTCGGCCAAGTGCCCATCTTCTCGGCGGCTTACTCTTCTGCGCCTCGCGCGGAGCAAAGTTGTTCGGCGCAAAGGTAAAGGTCTGCGGCTGCGAGCTCTGAGGAAGCAGGCGTCGCACGCCCGCTGGGTCGCCCGACATCGAGCGGGGTTGGAGCACCGGCGGCGAGGACGAGTAGGCAGTATGGTAGGGATCCAGCGGCGTCTGGAAGGTGTCGCTGCCGTCGAGGAAGAGAGCGCCGTCGTCAACAAGCGAGTCTATCATGAACAAGACGGTGGCACCGAGGCTCGCCCACAGCACAGGAACGCGTGCGGTGGTGGTGGTGGTGGTGGGTGTGTGGGATGTGTTTCGAGGAGTGTCGCTCCGAGGCAGGACAGCGCAAGGAGGTGGCCGTTCCACGCAGGTCGCCGCCTAGGATCGTGCCGGGTATGTCAGACGTCGAGTTGTTTGTCGGTGGGCCGCAGGAAGGAGTCGATTCGGTGGGCGCGAGGCAGGTGGTGGATTTTCCTTGTTCGCGAAGTTGTAGCAGGGGGCCTGGAGAGTGATTGACGGGGCTAGCTTGCGCGGAACCCGCTCTTAACAGCTCTGACTTGGTGGGACTCGTGGGACACGATGCTCATACATGCCCTCTGTGGTCGAATTAAAAGCTGGCGATTGATTGTGGTTGAGTGAAGGGTAGTTATTGAGTAAGAGTAATCAAGAGGTTCGGATTTTGGGCTTTGCGAGATACTCGGGGTTTCGATGGCGGGTGGACGGAAAGTTGCGGTAGGCAGATTTGCGGCCGATGTATATTTCACATGTACTTATACTGGTACTCTTCGTACAGTAGTACTATTGTTTTTTTCAATGGCTATGTATGAGCTGATTCCCTTTACCAGCGAATGGAAGAATATGGTTTTCCTCTCGTCGTTCTCTCTCTCGTCTTGGAGTTGGCTTGTTCTGCCTGGCAGCTTCGTCTGTGCGAGTCTGTATCCCGTCTCTTGTGTCTCCAAGGAGATCCCGTCCTAAGCAAGGAGGGCGTCCTCAGGGTCCTCACGCGCAGAATGAGACGGGTCGACCTTAATCTCGGGGCCTCAGGGAGGCAAGGAGAGAGGATCAGGGCGTGAGTGCGGGCTGGTAGTGGTAATATTGGGCGAGTGTGGCACTCTTCTCTCCCTTCTTTCTGGATCAAAGACGGTTGGAGGGGAGGATCGATATCACCGTGGGGGAGTATTGTCAAGGGGGAGTGAGGGGCGGCCGGGATGGTGGGTGGAGAGTGTGGTGGGTGGTGGGTGGTTGTTGTGGGTGGTTATGGGTGGTGGTAGGTGAGGGATTGAGGGATTGAGGGATTCTGAGATGAGTACCGTTGAGTACAAAGGATCAATTGATTGGGAAAGAGAGGATGTGGGGGAGGAGTGAGGTAGAGGGAGGAGGAGGAGGGAGGGGGGTAGAGGAGGGTAGAGTTAGAGTAGAGTAGTGGTGTAGTAGTGGGATAGTAGTGGTGTAGTAGTAGGTGTAGTAGTGGTCATAGTAGTGGTTATAGTAGTGGTAAAACAGTAGTAGTAAGGCAGCAAAAGTAGGGTATAATAGGGTCGTAGGGTAGTAAAGTAGTAGGGTAGTAAAGTAGTAGGGTAGTAAGAGTAAGGGTAGAAGACTGTAAATCCAGGATAGAGATGGGGGTTATGGTCGTGTAGGAGTGTGGGAGAGGCAGACACGAGGCTAGAAGCGGGAAGAGCAGCAACGCCTCCTCTAGTCAGACCGGTCTAGGATTGATTTGCCAGCCTGGTCTACTCTAGTAATAGGTGTGGTCTAGTATAGCTTGCATATAGCACTATACGGACGGTAGTATGGTAGTGTAGGTAGTATTGTAGCAGTAGTAAGTAAGTAGTAGTAGCACTATCTATCCTTATGGCTGGTCTCTGGCTCTGGTTCATCGGCGCCGCTGGTTCATTCTTCGCCTCTAGACAGGAGAGGGAAAGGTGCCAGCCGGTGTTCTTAGTTCCATCTGGCTCTACTCTAGTCATTCTGTTGAAGAATGATGAGCGATGAGGGATGATGGAAAGAGCGATTTAAGGCCCCACTTCGGCACTGCGGCGGTATTCAGTACGAAAGGTTAGAACGTTGTAGCCTATGTACAGTAATTAGAGTAGTAGAGTAGTAGAGGAGCAGAGAGCAGTCAAGTCATGGGCATGGTAGTCGTGATCCTGGATAAAAGCCGCAGTTATGCATCTAAGAGCAAGTTATACCTAAGTACCCCTCCTAACCTATCCAGCCATCAGTACACGAAGATGACGTCCAGTTGCAGCACATTGCAGCAGCCTCGATGCATCAATCAAAGTACCGAATAGTGGACATACGCAGTGAGGGTACATACACACCAGGATAGATGGCGGATAGAGTAAGTGGCAGGTTTATGTCGACTCTCTCTCTCCCTTAGCATGTACACTATAGCATGTTATGCATATAGCCACCCCATGCCCCTCCCTACCTTACTCGTGCCACAGTGACTATTCAAGACATTGTGTGTGGCATTAGCACGGAGGAGCCACGATTTTAACAGTACGACAGGGACAGGAAACAGTCAGATCAAGTCAGACATCCCAACCGGTCTGTTAGTCAGGCGTCTGTCAGTCTGTCAGTTTAATGCAGAGTTAGAGAAGAGTACACAGTACCATAGTCATCGGGCGTAGACCACGAGCAAAATAAGCACAGAACCCCCCTCATAAGGCAGTCGATTGGTACAGTAGTCAGTACTGTGCAGTACAAGCAATGCCCCAGCCAGTCTTGGTGTGCTATGCTTGAAAGTAAAGTAAAGTCTGTCAAGGCAAGGACGACCGTACCATCCATACATACATGCGATCGCAAGTTACGAGTTGAGTTTTGATGCGGGTGAGATGCGTATGTACGACCAACTATACTTCTAACACTCCTAACACTCCTAACACTCCTTAACATCCATGGATCGTCTCCTGTCCCTTCTTCCACTTTCGTCTCATACTGCTTCAACCTCTCCTGCACAAACTATAGTAATTATAGTAATACCTCTCCTATCTACTGCATCTCTCCTGTACCATGATGTGTGATACAACATGGCAAAAACATCCCGCCCAACCCACCAAGTCTTGGCCCCATCTCCCCAAACTCTTGGCTGTGTCTGGGCCATCCCACTGTCTGGGCTCCGTGGAGCCTAGCCTCTTGTTTCACTTTCGCGAAATGCGATCTGGATTTCCGCCCTGGTGAGATTAGAAAATGATTTTTTTGTGATTCGTATAGGGTAGTTAGCTTGCAGTAGTAAGGGTTATGTATATATAGTATGCGACTAAAATATCATCCCCGTCCGTACGTACCTTGATGATAGAAAAATGCAGCAATTACTTGCGTTAAAACGTCCCATCGTGGCAACCCAAACATCAAAATCTGAGAGTAAGTCGAGTCGAGTAAAATCGGTACCTCCCCTCCCCAGCCAATCCGCCTTCATTCCCTTGTACCCCTCAATCCCTCAATTCCCTAATCCCCCCTAGTAGCAGAGTCGAACGCCAAAAGCAAACCCCACCACCACCCAGCCAGGTACAAGGGGGCTACAAAGGGGTACAACTCCCTCCAAAACGGGGAACAGACTGAAACACAAAAAGAGCCCCACGAGTTACTCCCCCGCCAATCACAACCTGGGGATGGCATATGCGGGGGGTGCTGAGAAACATCCCAGAGCACGATGCTGTGGTGTGGGATGTACCATGTAGTACTGAGATTATGTACTACTGGGCTGTTTGTATGTATCCTATGGGGACTCCAGAGGATGGCGTGTGTCGTAAAGAAAAGACGTGGGAAGACGTGGGAGAGTCGTGGGCGGCCACACGCTATCGTCGTGACTGATCGCCCCAATAGAGTACAAGTCCCACCAGCCTACCCACAGCGCCACTTAAACTGGGGAGGGGCACAGTAAAGGAAAGGTGACTGAGTGGGTGATTGTTTCCCGCCTTCATCAACTACCGTAACAGAGGTTAGAAGGGAGAGAGAGAAGGCGAAGAAGAAGTCAAAACAGTACTTCCAGTAACAGTACAAGAACCACGACTGTACTTTACCAAGATATCTCACACCCATCCAATAAATTCCCCATAAACGTTATAATTCATCAGCGCCATCGGAAAACGCCACCGTCAGATATGACACCACCCACCACCCATCACATTCGTGTCTCTCTTGCTTCCCATCCACTCCTTTCACATCCAGCCTGCACCATCAATAATCATGGCTCTGGAACAGGGACAAGACACCTGTCTCGCTCACTCACTTCCCACTCCCACTTGCCATCTCCCCCCCACAGACAGCAGACCGCATGGTTTCGTCGCTTATCACATGCACTTTCCCGCGGCCCTAATCTGCGTCAGCAAATCACCGAGGCCCACCCATGCGCGATCGAAAGAAGGAGGAGGAAGAGACAGAGATGAGCGAGACGAGAGGGGAGGGGGCTTTCGCATGTCTGACTGACTGACTGACGCCCTGTTACCCGAAAGGAAACAACCACACCACACACACACCACTTGACCGGGGGTGCGGTTCCCACTTCCGGAATGAGCATAAATTCAGAATTGGGATGGATTGGATGGGGGTTGAATTTGGCGCGGCGGCGGCGGGCGGGCTTATGCTGTAAGCTTGCATGGACTTTTGCACAATTTTAAAATTTTGTGCGGATGGGGATTATGAGATGAGGCTGCTGCTGCATAAGCAAGGCAAGCACAGGAAATCGGTAGTATGATGTTTCGATGCGGCGACATACGGATTCGTCCTCCAGCATGTCATTTGGCTGAAAACCATCACCAGTCACGGGGTGGGCAGCGTCTCACACCAGCCTTGCGCTGTTGTTGGTAGTACCACAGCAGTGGATTTGACATGTCTCCCAATCCTCCTAATTCCGCATCTCCGCGCTGCTGTTGCTACTGCTGCTCCTTGGGCCCAGATTGTGAAGCGGCATCTCCGCTCTATTCCCTTCCTTTTCCCTCTTTTCCCCCTTTCATGGAGATAATAATGGGACGATGATGGGAAGATGGGCACCTGAGATGAGAGACATGGTACTGTAGGGGCAGAGGGCAGGGCGAGACCTAGCCAATGGACGTGTGTGGCTGGCTGTCGTGGTCATGCCATGGCGGCCTGAACAAGAACTGACTGCTCGCAAAGAGTGGCAAAAGAGGGCTGTCGATGGCCCAGCTAACTACTAATCTACAACAGTCAAATCAGTAGTACCCGATAGAGCATCCCCCTAGGAAGTACAGAGTGCTTAACTATGAAGTCTATCAAGCCTTAGTCCTGAGTTAGTCCGTCACATGCGCCCCTTCAGTGGCCTTGGGAGATACCCGGCTAGACAATGACAATCCACCACTATACCGCTCAGCACGCGATTCACGTTACCACATACACATCGAGCCCGAAGCCCCATCGCACTATACCGCACTGCCTCCATGGTGGGTTGATGAGGCTGTAGATCCTCATGTCCCTGCAAACAGTAAACAATGCGGGGTGTGAGACATGCCGTCCCTATCCAGTCCAGTAACAGTAGCCGGCAGATAGAGTTCAGTGAGATCAAGTAGTTACGAAGCCGTAGTAGTGTACTCCGTAGCAGTAGCACTCCAACAAAGAGAGGAAGATCAGCTACCTAAGCCTCATCGTCCTCCCCAAAGAGATAGGCGCAACCGAGATCCGCTGCTCCGATAAGAAGAAGGGGGAGAGGGGGAAAGCGCTTCTCAGACAGAGACCGTTGACCGCCGCCGTTGATCTTAGGGGTGCCAAACGGCCACATTAGCAGATGAGTGTCGTTCATCCGTTTCGTTTCGTTTCGGTTCGTTTCAGTGTCATCGTTTAGTTGTCAGCTTCGGCACCGCGCCACGGCAGTAACACACCGATCAAGCCTTACGATCTTGCATATCTGCAGGGCTTGCACCGTCGGGATGGCACCCTCTTTCGCGGTTAGCCTCTCGATGCGGACAGGATGCCTAAATCGGGGGCAACACCCGCCAAACGTCTGGGTTGTTGTTGGTTTGTTGGTTTCTTGTTGGTGGTACAAGGTCATAAACTTTGGGGGCCTGGAAACTTTACTTTCTTGGGAATTGTTGGTTTGTTGGTGCTTGGGTTGCAGCACATCACAACTTGGGACCCACGTGACGTTGGTTGTGAACCTTATTTCCACCCGATGGGTGGTTTAGCGCGGGGTGTGTGGTTTCGCTTATCGATTAGAAATCGGCGTTGAAGGGTTGGACCATCGATATCGGCGTATCTGCAGCGGCGAGTCTTGAGTCTATTGGGAAACCATTACACCAACCTACCTCCATTCTTCTTAAGCCCACTATCGTCTTAATCGGACAAACAACCGCAATAATGGCAATCGAAAACGCAAACCCCACAATCATCAACGTCGACGAGCTGCCCACACGGCGGGGTAAGCCAAAGACCCTGACCAAGGACGACCACAGCATCCTCTCCCTTCTCGCGCCTACCCCCAATCCAGCCCTGCAGATCTACCTCGATGGCGAAGAGCCGCTCTCTGACGCCGAAGAGGAGCTGGCTGAGGAACCTATAGATGAACAGGAAATCTACGGTTCGTCCATAACCCCCTTCCCCGCCTTCTCCAATCCGCCTCACCTTACATATCCACCACCTGATAGATGAGCCTCAACTAACACCCCCCCAGACCTCATCTCCACCATCTCCGACCCCGAACACCCCCTCTCCCTCGGCTCCCTCGCCGTCGTCAACCTCGCCGACGTCTTCATCACCCCCTCCTCCCCCACCCCCACCGAACTCGTCACAGTCACCGTCCTCATCACCCCCACCATCACACACTGCTCCCTCGCCACCGTCATCGGTCTCGGGGTCCGAGTGCGCCTCGAGCAAGCCTTACCGCCGCGTTACAGAGTCGATGTTAGAATTAAGCCGGGCACGCATAGTCAGGATGAGCAGGTGAATAAGCAATTGGCGGATAAGGAGCGGGTGGCGGCTGCATTGGAGAATGCGACGCTTTTGAAGGTTTTGATGACGATGCTGGAGACTTGTGCATAGGGAGGGTTAAATTAGGATGGGAGGAGGAAGGAGGAAGGATTGCTGGTGGAGGTGCGGGATGCAGTGGTACTGCACGGGGAAGCCAAGGGTGGTGAGAATCTGGGGATGGGGAAGAGAGAGAGTGGGATTGACGATGCCGTACTCTCTACGGGAGGTACGGCGCTCACCGGTGTAAAAGGGCATACCGCAGTGCATCAGCGCCGCATTCGGCGGATGAGGTTAAGCTGAGTGAGCCGATCTACCTATATGACCTCGTGTCGCCAAGGAAGGATCAAAAACTGGGCATGGATCTACGTAACAGCAACCGCAAGCCGTAAGCTGACATCCCGTTCTGGACGTCAAGCAGTCACCACCAGCATACACAACCCCGTCTTCCACAGCACCACAGGCACGCGAACTATAGATAGATACCCTACATACATACATGCACACAGCACACCACACCACTACGGTGCATAATTATCCCAAAAAAATGATACACCTAAAATACCAAGCCTCCAACAAACATGCAATAACCTTTTTGCCAATTACCCGTCTTGGCAGGACCGCTGCCCAGCCGCGCAGCGGACCAGGGATATGGCCACTCATGGGCGCGGCATTTCTGGTCATCGGGCCTTCTTCCGAATTTTATAAGATTTTTTCTCTCTTGCGTTGCGGGTGCAGGGATGGAGTGGGCGAGGTGGGATGGATGGGGAGGCGGATCGCGCGGCTCGCGCGGGCGGGTGGGCGGTTAGGATGTCAGAGACAGAGAGTTATATGCACATCCACACACTTGGCGTAGGTAAGTCCGCGGGGATAGGTGATACCACCATCCCCTTTCGCACCTCTTCTATCTCGCAGTGCAGGATCCGCGCAGGGGAGTCCCACCACCAGCCCCATCTTAGGGGGGAATTCCAGAGATTTGGTGTTTCAAGTATCACGTTTCGGGCCACGTGGGGTGACAGCCCACTGCGCTGGTGTTGAGATGAGGTGGAGTAATTCCTCCTACAAGTGAAAAGGGGCAATGACACTGGTACCATGCACTCGCTACGCACAAACGCCGCGCGCGGACGACTGATGTCCGTCCGTCCCGTCCGGGCCGGGTGGTGGGTGTATAGCAGAGGTGTTATACAGGCGCCACATGGCAAGGTAGGTGTGTGCTTTGCGTGGCCGTGTCGTGCACGGTTCGCGGAGAATTGGGCGTGGGATATGTCCGTCGGATATGTCCGCGGCATCCGGTGAGGATGGAGGGTGAAGGGTTTGAGATGGTGGTTATTTTGCCCCTGAGAAGGTTTGGGTTTGTGAGTTTTTTGGGGTTGATATCTACTCTTGTTACCTTCGCTGCTTGTTCAATTTGGGAGAGGTGCTTTGTCTAGTGGGGTGTTTTGGCTTGCAATGGCAAAAGTATGTGTGGTCTCTCTATTTTATTTTCAATACAGCAGCTCGGTTTAGGCATTGTGTCTGGGAGTTCTTGAACTATTTTCTCGAGATTCACTTGTGGCTGCTAGAGTTTACTTCGTGTTTCACTTCAGTAACTCTCTCAATTTTCTTTTCTTAATCCAGAAGCTTTGCTTTGATGATCTCTCCCTGTGGGTTCAATTCTTTTGTCAATCCAGAATGTTATATCTCGAATCTTTTTCACTACATTTCTCAATTTTTTCCCAGATCAGAACGAAGTTCAATTCAGGGGATGCCTATGTCCCGAGCTTTCTCAACTGATCATTTGCTGTTCACTGGTGACTTGGGACTACATCTATTCTCTATCCCCTATGCCCGAACGAATTGCCTTGGGGCATATCCCATAAACCTCCTCTCCAAATAAATATCTCCTATTTGTCATGCCCAAGCCTTAGCTCTCGTATCCCGGCATAATGCCTCAGTAATAATTTCCATCATCGTTGGACGCAGGGTTGAACTCCTCCAAGTCAATAATACTACCAGTATAACACCTCCTTGATATTTTCCCCTCACACAACACAAACACTTTCGACTCCGCCGCAATCCTCAAAACCTCCCTCTGGTCCCCCCTCTCTTGCCATAGCCATAACAAAGTCAAGCTAGGAAAAAAAATCGAATCCGTCGCTACATCGATATAAACCCTCCTCACATGCTCTGGGTACACCGCCATAGAGAGTTCCCATCGCTCCCGCGCCTGATGACGAGAGAGATGGCATGTGTGCAGCAACGCAGGTATCCGGGCCGATGAACTGATTTGAGCCCAGGGGAGTGCATTTGGCCTGTTTGGTTCGCTATATTCTGGAGGGTCGACGCGCAGGATTACGCGTCGGTCCGGCGCAGTGTCGACGGCCAACTTCCAGACCGGGACGCGGATCTCGAAGGGGAGGTAGGGGAAGTAGTGGAATTCTGTCAGTTCCGGCGGCTTCGTGATCTGCGGGGGCGGACGAGATTTCAGCCGGATCTGGAAGTGGATGTTGGAGAAGTGGTCGAGGGGGAGAGGGTTCAGGGGGTTGAGGGTGAGAGGACGGGGATGAGATTTAAGTCGGATCTCGAGAGGGCGGCGGGAGAAGCGGTGGACGGTCTTGACGTCAAGGATCCTGATGATTCGGGGGTAGTATCTGAAGGTCCGGGGAGGAGGTCTGATGCGCTGGAGTGCGCAGTTCCTTCGCTTTAGCTTGCGGATCTTTATTATTGCTGTGCGGAGACGGGCTTTTAGCTGTTTGATCTTTTTCTTGTGGATTGCCGGGGTCTTCTTTGGCTTCGGCATGTTGGCAGTGTTCTTCTGGGGGATGTGGGTGGTTTCTGTGTTGGTGGTTGGGGAAGGGGCTAGCAGGGGTTAATACGTTTTATATATGCTCGTTCACTTGCTTGTTCTGGTAGAATATAGGATGGAATTAAAGAAAGGATTCTTTTGGAATTATTAGTCGTTGTGCCAGGTTTACCCTGTCTTTGTCTTGAATGGGTAGAACGGGTGCACTCTGCGCCCTTCTGGTTTTATCTGCGGTTGTTAAGTTTATGGCAAACAACAAGGGCGCAGAACAGTCGGCTCAGTCTCATGCTTTGGGTTTTCCATGAAGGTTATTATACAAAGATACTAAACGTAGGCAAAGAGGTTGTGATTGATGTGTTGTATATGCTATGTCTGTTTGGAGTAGGGGGAAGTATGGGCATGTGTATGTATGTGCTGAAATATATCGGACTATATCAAATTATTCAGTACACCTCTCCTCTCCCTCCGTTTTTACCCTCCTGTTAACCCCCACCATTATTCTCCCATTACTCATCTTCCCATCCAAACACGCGTCATCCCCACCGCCAAAGTCAGTGGAGGCACAGCTCAAAGTAAGAAAGAGAACGAATACACGAGCATGGGATAGAGATATAGTATCTGAAATTCACACGGAACCTCAGCCGCTACAGGATGCTAATATATATATATATATAGTGTAAAGAGACCAGACTAAGCAAATGAGATGACCTACCTATTATTTTCTACCACTGATTCTACTGCCACTGCTATTCTCCTGCTGTCTCGCCGCCGTAGCCACTTCAGTATAGTAATACATACTATCATGATACCACCGACAACATCTACCCCAAATAGTCAACCCAATTCGTCTTCGAATCAACAAACACCATCCTCCCATCCTCCGGATCACTAGGCATGTCTAGCGTCCATCGGTCCTGCGCCAGCAGCCGCGAGAGCTGGCATGTATGCAGGAGCGCCGGGATCGTGGTCCATGTAGGAGAAATGATCTCGGTCCACCGCATTTGAGCTGGGCCTATCTGCAGAGCTTGGGGAATCGAGGAGTAGCGGATGATGAAGTCACGGCCTGGGACAGAATGGATGGCGTGCTGCCAGATCATCGCTTGGATCTCGATGGGGAGATCGGGGAAACTGGGGAAGGAGGTTAGTTGTGTGGGGGGGGAAGGGGCCGGCATCTTGAAAAAAGGAAAGGGGGTGGGGGAAATCTTGATCGTGTCCTACTTTTGGGTTGTTGCGCTGTTTTGTAAAGTGAGAATGTGGTGTGGTGTTCTTCTTGGGGTTACTGAAGGGCTTTAGGTGTGTTTTGGTGGTTCTGTCTGGTTAGAAGAGGAGTGGGAGGGAGGTTCCAGTGGTCTTATATAGACCTAATCAGCTGTTTATTTTAACGCGAATATGAGATGAAACTCGAGAGAAGGTTGTTCGTTCGAATGATTCGTCGTTTGTGGGTGCAGCAGCTGCCGTCTTTGTCCGGAGCGGATTCATGATGAACGAGAATTCGAGAACAATAGACCAATGAATAGATATTATTCTTTGTGCAGAGTGCTTTGTATAAAGGATATTCTACTTATGATACTGTTCGTAGGAGCTAATTGTTGCATATGCTAAAGGGAGGTGGCTGTGCTAAATACATGATATTACGTAGCAAACAGTACTGGGAAATTGCATTATTCTTAGATATCCTTCCTTTGTCGTCAAGCAGATAATCCATATATGGATCTATCCAAACGACCTTCCCTCTTTGAAGACAACTTGAAATTTCTAAGACACAATCGGCCTTAGTAGTCCTTCGTGTACTTCTCACATCCCTCACTGCTCAAAGTAAAAAAAAGGGGGCGGATACACGAGCATGGTATAGGGACGGTAGCATCCAAGATACCGCGGGATGCTAGAATATAGTATATATTGAAGACCACTGTCTTAAGCTGATAAAAGACCTGCTTGTTATGACCTACCTACTATTTCCCTACTATTGGTTCTACCACCATCGCCGCTCTCCTGCTATATCGCCGCCGCAGCCGCTCAAGTATGCCAATATATATATACTAAAGACCACCGCGTCAAGCCTCTAAGAGACAGAGCTACCTACTATCATCATACCAGTCCCCCTGAAACTTCACTGCCCCGCCCCACTCTCTACGGACCTTCTCCTTCCACTCACTCTCCAATATTGCCGTAACTCCATACGGAAACACCAGCGTCCAGCGTTGGCTTGCCAGCAGGCGCGAGAGATAGCACACATGCAGCAGCGGGGGGATGTCGGCGCGCCCGCTCAGCATCTGTGTTTGCTGGTTGAGAGTGTAGGAGCGGAGGATTAGGGCGGGCGCGGGGTCGGAGGCGACGGCGAACTGCCAGATCATCAATTGGATCTCCATGGGGAGGTCGGAGAAGTTGGGACGGGAGGTTAGTTGTGTGGGAGGGGCCGGGGGGAGGGATGGGGCCGGCATCTTGAAAAAAGAGGGGGGGTGATGGTCCTACCTTTTAGATTGTCGCGTTGGTTTGTGGGTGAGACTGTGGTATTTGTGTTCTTTTGGGTTTGCTAAAGGGGGTTTGGTGTGTTTTGGTGTTTCTGTCTGGTTAGGAGAAGAGACGGGAGGGAGGTTCACGTCGTCTTATATAGACGCGGCCATAACAATTATTCTGGTGCGGGTATGAGATGAAACTTAATATAGAGGGGGTGTTTGTTTGAATCATTCATCTGTTGTGGACGAATTGGTCTCCGTCCAGGGCGGATTCAATGGCTGTTGTTCTGGATTAATGTATAATTGCTTTGTCTATGGCGAATGAAAGTTCGGGAACAATAAACGAATGAATAGATATTGTGCTTTGTGCTCTATGTTAGGGGTACTGTATTTATGATATTGTTCGTTAGAGCCTATGTGCGGATACTGAAAGGACGTGGTTGTGCTAAATATACCGTATAAACGAGCTTACTTGTAGATACTGACGAGGAAGCAACTGTCAAGGACGAAAGAGACTATATTTAGGCTATGATACATAGCAAACTGTACTATGACACTGTCCAGATATTACTGTTAGCACTCGCGTAGATATTCCCTTGTTCTCGGACATCCTTTTTCAAACAGATGATCCACCGCTACGTACGAATCTATCAAAACTGCCCTCCCTCTTTCAGAACCCCTCAAAGCTTCCAAGACCCAATCGACCTTGGGAGTCTTTCATGCTATTCTTTCATCCCCCACCCTCCCATTCCACCTCTACAGCGGCGCCATCAACCCAAACGCTTCCGCAAACGCCACCCCACCATCCCCCCCCTCGGCCCCAACCTGTATCCCCATACTCTCCCACACCCTCTTCTTCACATCATCGTCCTCGATATCGAGGCCTGGGAAGCCGGCGTGCACGGCGGTGAAGCTGTACCGCGAGAGAACGCGCCACATGGATGCGAGTGCGCGTGGGGGGAGGGGAATCATCTGTTTGAGTCGTTAGTTTACTTATATCCCGAGTCGCAAGTTTTTGAAGGTGAGAGTGGGAGAAATGGGAAGGGGGGGAGAGAAATAACATACATTCGGATAACTCCACATAAACGCAAAACTATTCATCCCCTTCGGTCTCTCGTGTGGTCTCCAGTCACCAACCCCGGAGGGGGTAGGCATAATCGTGTCTCCCACTAGGAGTCGGGAGTCGTGCAGCAGGACCATGGATCCGGGGAAATGGCCGCCTACTTTTATAGCCTTTGCTCCCGTTTCCCGTCCATCTTTGCCAGGAATCTCCAATTCCCCACCCTCCCCGTCAATGAACCTCCTCACCGGCTCTTTCGGGTTCGGCTCTTCTTCAACAAGCCATTCCTTATCGTCACTAGCCAGATAAACTGGGCATTTAAATACCGCAGCCCACAATAAATGGGTGCTATAAAAATGGGGGTGGGAAATCACAATCCCGACCAGACCGCCCAGATCGCGTATGGAGCTGACGAGGGAGGGCGTGAGGAGGGTGATGCAGTCCCAGAGGATGTTGCCGGCGGGTGTGTGGACAAGGAGGGCGCGTTGGCCAATGGCGAGGCGGGGTGAGGAGTGGACTATGGAGAGGGAGGCGGCGGTGGGGTGTGGGGAGAGGAAGCTGGTGTGGTTGAGGCGGAGGGAACGGAGGGTGGTGAAGGATTGACCGGTTGGGGGGACGTATTGGCGGGCTAAAAGGGGTTAGCAGTTGTCAGAACAAGCGTAAGCAGTGTTGGAATTGAGAGGGGTAGGGTAGGAGGGGTTCTATGCGGTGACCTCTGAGAGAGGCTTCATGCATGATCGATCGAGGCGGAAGAGTGCATGATGGGGTGAGATCTGAGATTTGGTATTTGAGATGTGGAAGGTGGGGGAGGGTGAGATTTGCGCAAGGAGGGAGCTTACGATCATCGCAGATGCGACAGCTTGTTAGGAGAGCTGCATTAGAGGTGCCGTATTGGGTGCCGCATGTTGCGCAGATGAGAAGATCGTCGCGGGAGTACAGGATGTCGTTGTCTGTGGTGGTCGCCATTGTGTTATTGGGCTGGGTGGTGTTTTGTGGATATGTGAGGAAATAGTAAAGAATAAAGACAGAAAGTATATGAATATATGTTATATATGTAAAGGTATATGTTTGTATGTAAAGGTATATGTTTGTATGTTTGATGTTGACGCTGATGATGATGATGATGGTGGTATAGCCATGGTCAGGCCATCAACGATAACGATAAGGCAAACCCTGGGCCGCGGAGCTACCCCGCATTCTTGGCTCCAAAACGACGGAGCAGAACCGGCGGTCTAGTCCCAATAAGGATAAACGCGCCTTCTGGCTATCGCATACCTTCGGCTGGACCTATCAGTTTTGGGGAAATGCGGTAGTATAAGAATGGCTGGACCCCTCGATTTCTAACTTACTCTTCTATTTACTCTCCTTGGCCCTCAAAAAAATCCACCATTCCTTATTCTTCTAATTTTAACTTGTACCTTCCAAATACCTTTGATCAATATCCCTGCGATATGGTGTTTATAACTGGCTATCTGCAGCACCGCAGGGATTGGTACGTTTCTCCAATTCTATTGGAGTGCGGGGAAAGTAGCTGATGAGCACCGCATGATAGCAAACTGAAACAAAACGAACGTACCGAGAGGATCGCTGCACTTACAAAGTATCATGGTGCATTCACTGCCTCGGAACGCCAGGTCCTAGATAAGTCGGTCGAGGAGCTCGTCCAAGATGTCCAGAAGGAAGTCGTCCAGCCCATAGATGTGCTCCGCGCATACGGAAAGGCGGCACTGAAGGCGCAGGAGAAGACCAACTGCTTAACAGAGATTATGATAGGTGCCTGTGAAGGCTGGTTGGCCGATGGCTCTATAAACTTCAAGGGGCCTCTGGCAGGTATTCCCGTGAGCTTGAAGGACTCGAATGGCGTCGCTGGCTTCGACACGACGGTTGGCTACTCTAGCAAGGTTGGAAACAAGAAGACGGTTGACGGCCCGTTGGTGCGCCTGCTGAAGGATGCTGGCGCTGTACCATACGTCAAGACAAATCTCCCAATCACCCTACTGAGCTTCGAATCGGCCAACGATGTATGGGGCCGCACCACGAACCCACATAACTCAAAGTATTCGCCCGGAGGTTCCACGGGTGGCGAAGGTGCACTACTCGCCTTTGGCGGTGGCAGGATCGGTATCGGCTCCGATGTAGCGGGAAGCGTGCGCGCACCCGCTCACTTCTCGGGAATTTACAGTTTACGTTGCTCGATCGGTCGCTGGCCAAAGGCAGGCGCCGACACGTCGATGCCAGGCCAGGAAGGAGTCCCCAGTATCTTTAGCCCCATGACCAGGACAATGGGTGACCTGTCGTATTTTACCGAGTCGATTATTGGCATGAAGCCATGGAAATACGATCACTCAGTCCATCCAATTCCATGGCGCAAAGACATATCGGAGGAGATCAAGAACCGGAAGGTCCTCAAAGTCGGGATCCTTCGCTCCGACGGCGTCATTGACCCATCCCCAGCCTGTGTCCGCGCCCTAGACAAAGCCGCCGACGCACTCCGTGCCCAAGGCCACGAAGTCACCGAGCTCTCCGGCATGCCAGACATGTACGAAGCTCTGGAGCTCGCCTCAAAGCTGCTGAACTCGGACGGCTGCCAGACATTCGAGTCCTTCCGTCGTCCCGGCGAGTGGGTAGACCGTGGCGCAGCGCAAATGAGCTACTACGCCTGGCTCCCACGGCCGATCAAGTGGCTGTACGCGGTATATGTTAGGTACGTGCGTCGTGACCCTGTGTGGGCTGGTATCCTGGAGGGCTGGGGTCCGAAGTCGGCGTTCGAACAATGGAAGTTGGTTGCGCGGCGCGAGGCGTACAAAGCGCGCTGGCATGAGTGGTGGGAGAAGGAGGCGAAGGTTGATTTCATTCTTACGCCGCCGAATGCGACGCCTGCGGTGCCGCATGATGCTATGGGGGATGCGTGCTCGAGCTGCGGCTACACATTCTTGTGGAACTTGGTAAGAAGGTCATTATTTGCCCTGTTAGGAACACAGCTGACTTCTTTATTTAGATCGATTATACCGCCGGTATCGTCCCGATCACCCACGTTGACCGGACGCTTGATGCCCTGCCTGCAAGTTTCAGTCTGCGCAAGCTGAATGGTGTGGCAAGAGGCGCGTATATGCACTACGACGCCGATGCGATGCACGGCCTCCCCGTCGCCGTGCAAGTAGTAGGCCGGAGATTGGAAGAGGAGAAGGTCCTAGCAGCCATGGAAAGGCTCGAGGACGCTCTGGGAGATGATAAGTACCAATTATTAGCGCTTGACTAGGTGGTATTGTAATGGTCCTTTGACAGCATGTTGGCCGGCGTATAGTATCAATTAGCATAATGAAGCCAAATATATCAATATCACAATCTACAACCCCGCTCAGATCTTCCTCGCCTTAACCCTCAACCTCACATACCCCAAATAGTACCCCCCAGCCGCAGACCCCACCACCGTCTCCAACGCCTCCACAACCTCTTTCACGCACTCATCCCTCTCACCCTCCGCTACCGCATCCAAAAACAACTTCCCCATCAATCTCACCCACCCCTCCACTCCACCTCCAGCACCCTCCTCACACTTCGTCGGCCGATACTCCAACTCCACATCCTCAACTGCAAACCCCACTTCCCCCAGTACATTCCTCATCCACCTCTCATCCGGGAAAAACCACGGATCAACCTCACGTGCACGCTTCATCCCAATTCTCCGCGCCACAACTGCAAGGAGCGTAGCTTCCATCTCTGCCACGTTACCCTGTCCGCCCATCTCAAACACGAGGGTTCCACCCGGCGCGAGGGCGGCGTGAGCACCGCGGAAGACGTCTACGCGCGATGCCTCATCGCGAAGAATCCAGTGCAACGCCGCGTTAGAGAAGACCTTTGTGAAAGCCCCCGTTTGAAGAGATGGAGTGGAGGAGAGAGAGCGTGCGTCCAAAACGGCGTAGGTTGTGTTTGCGGGGGCGGCGGCTGTAGCAGTGCTGATCATGGAGGCGGAGGAGTCAATGCCGTGGAGGGTGCCGGTGGTGAGGGTTTTGGCGAGGTCGTTGGTGAGGATGCCATCTGGGGGAGTTAGTTGAGGGAGGAAAGTTAGGAGGGAGAGGGGACGCACCACCACAGCCTATGTCGAGGACTTTGTCGGTTGGTTGGATGTCGAGCCATTGGACTACTTTGGTGGCTAGTTTGGGGACGAAGGCGGCGGCGTTTTGGTAGGCGGTGGAGGACCAGTTGTCCGCTGCTGGGGCGTTGGTGGCCATTGTGGTTGAGTAGGGATGTGATGGGAGTTGGGGGTGTATTGATAGTGGATTTGTATGATCAGGTTATGATAAGATGGGTCTTAAAGTATGATATCACAGGACAAGCCGTCTGATGGGCAGAGGAAAATAATATGAGATTGTAAAATAATGAACAGATGAGGGAAATACATAAGGCTTTATATGCACTTCTTCATCCCAGTATTGCCGTCTTACCTACATAGGAAGCTCAGTTGGCTGGCACATGTTGGTTATCAATCGCCCTCTGAGGTCGAGGTGGCTTCCGATCTCGGAGCCGTGCTGTCATGGCGCCCTGTAGGACTGGGTCCAGGGGAAATACTGTGTCACAATGAGCCCACTTCATGTCAATTTTTCTCCTGGATGACTGATTGCTCGTTTGATCGTAGTTGGGGTTTGTTTTGTTTTCATGTCGACTAAGATGTGTTGGTGAGGCAAGCTTTCGTGGTGGTGCGGAGAAGGGACCGCCCAGGTGTCTATGTGGGGTATATGTTTGTAAATTAACGTCGCCTCGTCGTCCTGAACAAGAAACCAAAAAGAATGCCGAATTTTAAGAACGAGTAATAGACTCTCAATTATGAGATTGACTTTATTGTAGTCTGTATCGACCTCTTCTCGCACATTCGTCCTCACTTGCTGTATGCCTCCGTATTGAAATAAGTACTTGTCGTGGAAACATTTGGACACCCAAACGAATAATCTTAGTATATTAGCAAAATAATCGCAAAGAGAGAAAGACGCTGAGGCTGAGGCTAGAATACAATATATGTGCTGGCATGTGTCAGTCTTTTCAGACATTATGAAAAAATATATAAATCCAGTCTATCACACCACCTCCCCTGGCCTCCCAGCACGCCAACAACAGTCTATTGCATTTTAATTCAACCTAATCAGCCGTCCAACATAAAACGCCAATACAACCTCTTCAAAAGGCTATACTTCCAGTCAAATCTCAAGCGATGCGTTCTGTTCTCTTTATTCTCGCGATTTTCGGCACCCTCGGCGCCTACAAGGTGCATTCAGCATGCGACTACACCAGCGGTTGCGAATGTAGCCGCCTAGGGATTCAACTCCAATACTGTGGTTGATGTCCGCAAATAAGTAATATTAAGCCTGAAGACCGGTTCGATGTGTATGAGTGTGCCTTAGACAGAGGTTGCTGCCATTATGGACCCCGTGCCTCCTGTGCCAAAGAAGATCAGAGCAAATGTGGTACTATTTAGAGCAAAACGAAATGCACAATGTAAGTATTGACTTGTGTTTATCAGAACGAAAGGAGCCCACACTGATCTATAAAGAGGAATTGGCAATCATATGAGGAAGACCCGGGCTAAGGTTTCAATAATTTTCTCGAATGGTGCGTTGATGTTGCGAGTATTAGGGAGCAAAGTGTTAAAGGTCATTGTCGGCAGGCAGGCCTTATGTCAGAGAGATATAGTTGATGTACACTACATCAGCTTTATTGTTTCGAAATAGAACTAAGCTACTTGTGCTGGATTAAATATATTTGCACAGGAAATAATATGTGTTTATGGAAGACATGTACATTATCACTTTCCACAATACAAGAGAGTTAGCTCGGATCCTTCATACTTGGCGCCAACTACGACTTATCATCGGCGCTGCTGTCATATTTAATAGTGTGATGATGCTGAATCTACTTGACCAGTAGCCATCCCATAGGTGACACAGATTGTCGCTGTCAGTTGCGGAAGAGCAGGGATTCCTGTAGGGCTGAACTTTAAACGAGTTTTGGACCAGGGAAGGCTGAGATTAAAGCATCGCAACCAACCGAGTTGCTTCCTTCGCGTCTAGCCGGCCTCACCGAAAGGGTGTCAAAGATCGAAGGAGCAGTCACGCGCGAAATGGCTATGTTAGAGCATAACCCCCTGTCTTTCGTCGGTTAGGCACCGCCTTCGAGGTTATGTATGTAACGTTATAGGGGTCCTCTTTCGCTATGGCTCTGCATTTGTTGCTATTTGATACGATAAATCTCGTCTCAGTTCGTCGTAAAAGATGAGAGCGTTCAATACAATAGCGCTTCTAGCAACCACTGTCTTTGCGCATAAACCTTTCCAGAATGCAGACCCACTATGGTACAGCGATGCGAACAGGACCTGCCGACTTGAAGCAAAAATAACAAGCCCTTTTTGGCTTCATCGGTGGATTGGCACTTACTACAATGGCACTATCGTATGTAGATGTTCTATTGCACGCTCATATTCGAGATTCGATTGCGTCCGAAGTATGACGCTCGATATAAGGCAGATATATAGTACCTTTTGCTAACATCTACTGTAACTGCAGGAAGTCACAGTAGATGTCCCAAGTGACGGCCTTTGTGGGAATCAGCGTACTCATTTCTACGAGACTTACACCGGTGTTTTGTCCCTCCTCGATGTTGGGCCAAATCCTGACCATGACTACGGGATAATCTTTGTTAATCCATTCATTTTTTTGTTAGATGGCTGGGCTCCCGATACAACGCAGACTAGCCTCTTAGCCAACCTCACCCGTCCAGCATATCTCCCACCGGCTGTCAAACTTGAAATGGAGAGTGTAATGAATTTCCGAGAACAAAGCGCCGATTTCCTACCCTGGGACCTACAGCCTGACCTCCTCTGGCCTACCTGCGAAGTCGTCAACACAAATATAAGTACGGCTTCTGGCTACAACTTTATCTGCCGCTGTCGGGGAGATCTATTTGACTCCGGCCAGTTCTCCCTTCCAATTAGCACCTGCAACCACTCGAACATCGCACCCTTTGTAGCAATGAACGGCATGAACCTTTATGGCAATACGGATACCCTGCGCGGAACCTTTAATGAGAAGTCTGCAGACTTTGAATGGATCTCAAGGTTTTATGGCTGTTTCACAACGGATTCTCTCAAACAGCGTTCTACATACTACTGCGAGGATAGATTCTCGCAAACTGGCACTTTCACCATGAAATTCAAGGGCAACGTCGATGCTGAGAACAGCCATCAGATGGTGCTAGGGCCAGGAAACAATATTTCCTGGGTGGAGGATCCGAAGAAGTCGAATGTTACCAATTTCTGTGCTGCGGCGCTAAATGAGGACCAAAATGTGACTCAAACTGACGAGGACCTGGGTGTAAGCCTTCATACTACAACGTGGATGGCAGCTGCTATTATAGTTGGCTGGAGTTTGGTCTGGGTTAATTACTTGTGAGCGTTTCTTACCATTGATACCTGGCTGTATTCCAGGTGATCAGTTTGGGGTCCGGATTGGCTCGCGCACTGATGGGGTCCAAGAACGGTAGGAGCGGAATAATTTTTGGGGGGTTTGAATTGCAAATAATGTTGGAGATATCAGATAGTGAAATATATGTAGTATGTTATAGATGGTAGAACTTCCTGAGCTTCTGAGAACTGAATGCCGTGTTCTATTTAAAGACAGGGTCGATCATTAGCTAAGCAAGCTAGCTCCGACGGTTCCTGAAGGTCGCAAGGCTGAAAGGCTGACGGGGTTCGAGAACACCGAGATTGCCAGGGAAAGCAGAAAGGCAACACCAACGGCCTTCCTCGATAATGATCATATGGCGATATTAGGTATTACCGTGCCGGCCCTCAAGAAGCTTGCGGTGCCATTTGTTTGCGGTCTCATCGCGTTTCTGTCACTCAGCTCGCAATATCTGTTCTACCACCTCGAGCCGGGGCCACTGACGGCAACAGAAGCAGCATGGTTCAACTCTCTCGTCTTTTGCATATGGTATACATATGCAAGAGCTTGCCGCGTTGATCCCGGGAGACTGCCAAAGAGTTTGACAGAGGGTGGTGCGCAAGATGGGGCAGAAACGGCGAAGGACGCGGATGCACCGGCGAATGTCCAACGTGCCGGCAAGTGGTGCAAAAAATGCGATGCTGTGAAGCCTCCTAGGGCCCATCACTGTCGTCAGTGTAATCGGTAAGTACCTGTCCTGTCGCGATGAGGCTACTGCCAAAGATAAACTAGATACTAATGCGCCACGCAGCTGCATTCCAAAGATGGACCATCACTGTCCATGGACATCCAATTGCGTCTCGCACACCACCTTCCCTCACTTCATTCGTTTTGTATTCTATGCGGTAGTATCTATGGGAGTCCTGGAGTACCACCTCTTCAACCGCGGCTACATCGTCTACCAAAACCGCAACCTGCCATCCTACCTCGGGCCCTCCCCCTACGCCCTAGCTCACCTAGTCATCCTCTTCGCAACTAACTCCCTCGCCCTCTTCATCCTCCTCGTCCTTCTCGTCAGCGCCGGCAACTCCCTCGCCATGAACACCACCATGATCGAATCCTGGGTGATCGAGCGCCACGAGTCCCTCGCCAACAAAGCGCGCTACCACGGCGGCTTCGTGCACGGCCCCGGCGGGCGCAGGATCCGCATCAGGAAGCAGGAGTTCCCCTATGACATCGGCATCTGGCAGAACCTGGTCCAAGGGATGGGGACCCCGAACGTCCTGGCCTGGTTCCTGCCGTTTGCGGGCGACCCGGGTAATGAGACCGGGTGGGAGTTCCCGGTTAACGGGTTCGAGGACCCGGATGTGACATGGCCGCCGCCGGATCCGGATCGTATGGCGCAAGAGCCGTGGACGAGGGGAGAGGGGGAGAGGAAGGAGGGGTTCTTGCACGGGGATGGAGGGGACGAGGTGCAGGAGTTTAGGAGGCGGCAGCAGCTGGATTATGAGAAGAGGGGACTGGTTGGGAGGGGTCTGGAGGGGCGTAACAGACAGGTTAGTGGGGCGCCAGGGAGCTATGACTGGCTTGAGCTGGATGGGGAGGAGGAGGGTAGTGAATACGAAGGCCAGGATGAAGACGCGGGTGGGAGTGACGGATGGTTCAATTCTGATAGAGATAGACTGAGAGACTACGGAGTGGATGAGGAAGCGGAATTGGTTGATTGGGAAGAGGACGACGATATTCCTCTTGGCGAGCTACTGAGAAGACGGCGTGGCCGTGTAGCTGAGGCTTCATAATAGCAATGTAATATCATGGAATCTGTTTCTTTGTCTCTACTTCTGAGTAACTAGCTCATTAATTGTAGCCGTGAGTGATTGGACGCCATTATTTTAACCATGATTACTGGAAACGCCTCTATTGCGCACAGTCTCTCTTCAAACATTTTGGGTGGCAGGAGTAGGGCTGAAGAGGTGGATACATGATAAGTGGCAAAGTAAACAAGGAAAGAGATTCCCATCCTAAGCACGGCACATGACGATCCCGGTTTGGCTGCAAAGTGGAGCAAAAATCTGTTTACAATGTTTTTTTAGACGGGTTTTGCCTAGCGGATTCCTGTTTCCGGCCACCAAACGAGGAACCATGTCTTACTAGTAAACCCTCAAAAACCAGCTCCCATCGTAAAGATAAGCAAAGATCATAGAACCTACCATGTCATAGTCCCCTCCTGCCTCGACTAAACAATCCTCTAAGCCAATCCTCAGGTTTATACTGTATAGCAGACGTGATCCGAGCCTCCCAGCCACCGCGAACATCACATCTCTCACAGCCCCGAAACACGAGCAACATTCGCTACAACCTCCAAGGAACAGCGACGTAAGTGGGCGGCGCGGAATCGGCACTACGTTAGCTCCGCACGGTCCAATCCCATACCAGTTTCGCCAACCCCCTCCCCACCAGTGTTTCTAAATTCAGCACTGGACAGCCAATCAGTCGTCGCCAAGAGCGAAACCCCAGCCTCGTATCTGCCAAGAGATGCGATTTGGCAGGCTATCGGCGATTGCTGGCATGGTAACGGACTTCCTCGTACCGGGACCCCGCTATGACGAGTGAACTGTGTGCAGCGGGAGAAAGAAAATGTCAGGGCGGGGTTGCTGGGATACGGTATAAGATAGACGCTGGAGGGCTTTGGGTGTGCTGGCTTGTGTGATGATATTGTCTTGATCAGGTCGTGCCTTCCGTTAAAAACATTCGCTACTCCAAAACCCCAGAGGAAAAATAAATAAATAAGAGGATTTAACAAAGTTCTCTTCTCAAAACACCATCGTTGGAAGGATTCGGACCTGACTCGGGGACTTCAAAGAACTGAAGACATTTTCTGCAAAAATCTGTGGACAGACACCAACTCGACATTCTCAAAATGCAATTCTCCAGCCTCATTACACTCGCCCTCGTCGGCATGGTATCAATGGTGGCAGCACGCCCAGTCATTTGTGCAGAGGTATGTCTACTTCTCCTACAATACAGCAATATTCGTTACTAACAATCGACACAGAAAACCCTCGATGGCATCCTCCTCGGCCGCCTGCCCAAAAACGCCTGCTGCTCCTACGGCTCCTGCGTCGGCGACGTGAACGTCTCCGGTGGCTGAAAATAGCCCCGTCAAGAGAATGAAATATAAATAAAATACGAAAACAAATACACATCACAAAATCAGCATTATAATGGCGTCAAATTATTGGCTTGGAGGGAGGCGTTACGAAATCAACAGCATGTATTCAGTCAGCGGAGTTTTTACTGGATATTTTACATGGAAAGGAGGCAGGGCAACATGGAGGGGGAACAATGGACGCATAACGGAATCACGGATAATACGGAATATGGGGATTTAGAAAGGCGGCGGCGGAATATGGGAGAGTGCGCTATATGCCCAGTTGTGGCTTTAGTTGGCAACCCATGAGGTAGATAGAACATAAGCTACAGATCACACAATACGAGCATATCAGTAGTCCGCAGTGGCTTCAACCGCATTCGTTCCTGTGCAGCTTTAGGTGTGATATCGGGATTGGTTACTCGGGTTGCTCGGTTCGTAGCGTTGATGTTGTGCATTCGTATTCAGCGGCGCTATGAGGCTGCAGATGGTTTAATGCGGCTGCTAGACTGGATGGAAACTTGTATTTATATATGCTTGGATTGGCTACCATTGAATCGGATATGTCGATTCGGTTTCTTGCGGGGTATCAACAGCTCGCAGATCTTATCGCAGCAATGCTTGTTAATAGTAGCTGTTGTGTTATATAATGGTTTGGTCACCTAAGTTCTTATCCCAAAGGAAAAATTATATTGTTAGTATAAAAATATTCACATGGACTAAAATTATTACATTACTAACTAGACACCCATAAATTAATATATAGGGATAACTTCAACCAGCCTCAAATGTAAACATCAATCCCCAAGACCCTTATTCTGCGCAAGTATGCGAAGTCGAAATCCCCCCCCTCTTTGACGTCATATTCGAGATAAGAAAGGCAGGCACAATCGTGGTCCGATAAGCGCTGTACCTGAACGATATCTTGACGAGCCTCTCCAACTTCCTTGCATCAACACCAAGACGTTGCACAGTTGCTCCTTCCGTCGATAATCGAATTGCTTGTAATGAACGAGATGTATTCTCGCCGAAGCCCTTGAGTCATGGCCCGGGATATCGACCTCTCCCCGCCTTAGTTCTGTACATGGAATCGAGCGTAACGCCTTTACACACACCAGCCTCTGTCACCATGGGGAAACTCACTTCTCACTCATTGAGGCTTCCGAGCAGATGGCGCTTTCAGTGGCGAGATGCAGTTATTCTGCTACTTGTCATTCTGATCTGTTTTTCGTACACGGCTTCAATCCCCGCTTTTGAATCCAAGATTGGATCGGACGATCTGTTCGCCAAGGCGAACATCGTGCTTGAGAAAGAGGATGGAGCACAACATGGCACAAACCTAACAATGATACCTGGAAGCAAAAAAGATGGAAATACCTTGGAGCCACTTATTAATGCAGTCGACGTTATGCAAACCCACTACTTCCAGGTCTGGGCAGGACTCTGGCCAACAGCAATCGACTGGACATCAGCCGTCACCGCGACCCATATAGCAGCCGCCATGAGTACAGTCTCATCAGCGACGAACTACGTACTACAGCCCAGATTCGGAGACTATGCTCTGATACTGGGCACCGAGTCACTCATCAACAGATTCATGTCACATCTGATGGGCTTCTACTTCGGCCAAGATGCATTGACTCTCAGGAGCGAAGCATACGACGACATGCTGTGGGTGGTACTGGAGTGGTTAGAGGCCATCAAATTCGTCGACTCCCACTCAACTGAACTTCTCTACGCCGAGGGTCTGCCATCTTGGTACGGCGAAGAATGGATCCCCGGCTTCGCGCACCGTGCTAGGATTTTCTGGGACCTGGCTTCGAGTGGTTGGGATGTATCAGCTTGTGGAGGGGGGATGGTCTGGTCTCCTTACCTGCTGCCTTACAAGAATGCAATCACGAACCAGCTTTTCATTACGGCTTCCATATCTATGTACCTCCACTTCCCCGGCGACGACAACGCATCCCCCTTCCAAGCTGGAGAAAACAGCAGCGCCTCGCTAGCGCCAATGGGAAAGAAAGATCAAAAATTCCTGGACGCAGCGATAGTAGGGTACGAATGGCTCGCCTCGTCAAATATGAGAAACGCAAAGGGATTATACATTGATGGCTTCCACATCAGCCATAACAGACACCATGGACATTCCGGAGACCGGCACATGAAATGCGATATCCGTAATGAAATGGTATACACCTACAACCAAGGCGTCCTTCTCTCCGGCCAACGCGGACTCTGGGAAGCGACAGGGTCGAGAGGGTACCTCGAAGATGGCCACGCTCTGATATTCAGCGTCATCAACGCCACAGGCTTTGACCTCGACACCCAGAGCGTATACACCGAAGCCGCCGTGACCACCAACTCCACTCACCCCTGCCTAGGAAAATGGCACGGCATCGGCCGCCACGGGATCCTAGAGGAAGCATGCGACGCCTACGGCTCCTGCAGCCAAGACGCGCAGACCTTCAAAGGGATATTCTTCCACCACTTCGCTCTATTCTGCCAGCCTTTGCCTCCCTACGTCATCAAGCCCGGGGAGACAGTCGATATACCGACACTAGAAAAATTGAAAGCTTGGCACGTACAGAAATGCAGAGGCTACGGGGCGTGGGTCCGGAGAAATGCAGCAGCAGCGAAGGAGACGCTGGATTCGGAGGGGAGAGCCGGGATGTGGTGGGGTGCGCATCTTGCGAGTGCGTGGGGCGCGAACGGGGAGGGGGGAGGAGAGGTGCCGGAGGGGGCGGTGGATTATAGGAATTTGGGCGTTCCGAGGGATGGGGTTTGGAGGTATGGAAGGGTGGTGGAGGGTGCGAAGATGGGGGAGAAGGTTGCGGGGAGGATGGTAAAGGATGCGAATGAGAGGGGGAGAGGGAGGACGGTGGAGACGCAGGGGGGGTTAGTTGCTGTGCTGAGGGCGGCGTGGGAGGCGGCGGAGAGGGAATCATGAATGTGCATTTTTTATATAGAAGGGGCTTGAAATGGGGCTTGGGATTGAGAATGGGGCTAGCATAAATAGATGATATCTGGGCGGTTATCTGCATTACACGGAAGGCGGCCTCGGCATTTATTATACAGAGCGGGTTCGCGGGTGGGAAGGAGCCGCGGCGAACGGGGATAAACGGCACACACACAATTGCTAGGTTATTAGAAAGTCGATAAATGAGCTTGATTTACTAGGATATCGTTATTATTCCGCGGGTACCTTTTTTTAAGGTTGGGGTTTTTGAGTCTTGTGTGTTTGGCCGCCTGTTGCGAGGACCGATCGCCGGGGCCAGCCGAGGCTATGCATGGGGCCGTGAGAACCGGTTGTGGAGCGGGGCTATCTATGATTGAGAGGTATGGAGCTGTGGTGATGTGGAGGAGGGGGCTTGGCGGGTGGTGGTTTTGGTGGTATCGTGGCTTGGTTCGGTGGATGTAGTTGTATAATTATCACAGTTTATAGGGTGGTGGTAGAGTAGATCAGAAAACGTTTGTGTACTGTAAGAAGTGGCATATCGCATTCAAATAAAAGGCCTGCTATCAATACAATTTAATCCAACAAACACCCCCCTTCTTTTCCTCCTATCATCATCATATCTAACCATCTAGATCTCCAACGTAACCTTCTGTCCCTTAACCCTCCCAATAACCTGACTAGGCGCATACTTAGGGATCACCTCATCATCATGCAACATCTCAAACTCCTCAGTAGCATCCTTCCCCATGAAATTCATAATCGCCTGCGGTCCACCGGGGTGCTCATCAAGCCAATCAGAGAGATCCATCACGACGCCCTTGACGACGACCCAGAGGTCGCCCTTGGTGTTGTGCTTAGCCACCTCCTCGAGGGTGTACTCCTTCTCTGGGATGGAGAATTTCGCTGGTGCGGCAGCGGCGGCGGGGGCGGGGGCAGCAGCGGCTTGAGCGGATGCAACAGGCGCGCCGGCACCGGATGCGCCGTCCCAGGTGACGGAGACGCGGCCGGGCTGCGAGGGGTCAATGTGCAGGGAGATCTGGCCAAGACGCTGGTTTGCGCCTCCAGCGCTCTTAAGAGTCTCCTGGAAGAGGTAGTTTGCAGCGGTATCACCAGCGACGCGACCGTAGACGACGCAGCCGAGGAGGGAGGAGCCACCGAGGCGGTTAGCGCCGTGGACGCCACCGGCGAGCTCACCGCAGGCGTAGAGGCCCTCGAAGGGCTTGCCCTCGGAGTTGAGGATCTGGGCCTGGTCGTTGATCTCGATTCCGCCCATGGTGAAGTGGAGGACGGGCTCCATGACGGAGACGTAGAAGTAGTCGTCTACATTTACGGGGCCGTTGTGGAAGAACTTCTTGCCGTAGGGGTCCTTGTCCTTGCCGTCGGCGATGGAGTTGTAGGCGGTGAAGGTGCTCTGGAGGTGCTGGGGGGTGCAGCCGATTTCCTTGGCGAGTTCCTCGCCGGTCATCTTCTTCATTAGGCCACGGCCGGCGTAGTGGCGGGTGTGGAAGTCGAGGACGTTGGAGGCTTTGGAGTTGAGGACGAGGCGGACGGGGAACTTGCCCTTCTCCTTCTCCTTCCACATCTCGCCGGAGACGTAGTCACGGTGGCCGAGCTCGTCGCAGAAGCGGTTGCCGTCGCCGTTGAGGAGGAGACCACCTTCGCCGCGGAGGGCCTCGGCGGCGAGGAACTTCCACTTCGAGTTGGGGTCCTTGGGGTCGACCAGGCCGGTGGGGTGGACCTGGACCTTGTCCATGTCGATGCCGTTGCCGCCGATGGCCATGACCATCTTCTGTCCGTCACCGGTGGCGTGCACGCCGTTGGTGGAGGAGAGGTTGAAGGTGTCGGGCCTGTGCTTCTTGAGGAGGGAGGTCTCGGTGAAATCGGCGGCGTAGCCACCGGTCGCGAGGACGACGGGGCCATCGAGCACGGCGGGCTTGCCTTCGAACTCGTATGTGACACCGGTGATCTTGTTGCCCTCCTTGTTGACGGCGGTGACGCGGGCCTTCTTGATGATTTGGACGCGCTCAGGCTCCTTCTCGGCGAGCTCCTCGAGACGCACCATCAAGGCGTAGGTGATGGCCATGCCGGGGAACTTGGCATCGTGACCTCTGTGAGTTCTTGGCTCGGAGTGTCCTCTGTGATGAAATGTTAGTAAGAGTCACATGCTAATATGAGGCTGAGAATACGGACCCAAGACGGGAGACGAGAGTCAGGTCCAGGTTGAACTCGTCTTGCAGCCACTCAACAGCCGCAGCGGACTTGTATGTGAGGACCTTGATGAGATCTGGCCTGGCCTTATCTCTCGCGGACTTGAGGGTATCGTTGTAGAAGAGCTTGACGGAATCTGGGATCTTCTGGTCGACCTGTGTCCTGGTGAGGGCACCGTTGATGCCGGAAGTGGCCTACGGGGCGGAATTAGTAACTTGGTATGAGGTTAATTGAAGCAATAGAACTTACCTTTGTCGAGTTTCCACCGAAGAAGCCCTGCTTATCGAGGACAACGACGTTTCCGCCATTGAGGTAGATGGTATGCGCGGCACTGAGACCGGACACTGTAATGACATCAGCGGGAGCTCAAAGCCGAGCCGAGCGGAGATGTTGTAAAGAAGCACTTACGTCCTCCGCCAACGACAATGATTCTTGGTGCCATTGTTGTGATTTTGGGTATAATGTACGAGATAGGAGAAAATGGGAAATGGGTATGATATTTGGGAGGTGGAGGGGAAAAGAGAGTCAAGAGGAATGTGGATGGGTTTTGTTCGCCCGACCTACCTCTCTTCCCCCACAAGCGTTTGGGTATCTCCACCGTGGGACTACCGAGGCACTCCATAAGTTCCCTCCCCCACTGGGGTAAGCGCGGCTGGGGGAGCGAATGGCCGTGCCGATTTCTGTCAGCAGATCAGGTGACTAGCCGGACGCAAGCAGAGCAAGGTATATACACATGTTATACACATGCTATACATGGGATCAATGGGATTAATGGTCTACAAATATCTACAATAAACAATAATACAGCTAATAAGCCACATGCAAACGGTTAATGGTAAAATAAATTTTGTATATTCATTTGCCGTTATTTTGCATGATATTTATAATATTTCTTTCATCGGTGTACACTCACCCTGACTTGCTCATACTATGCAAGCCCTTTATGCCTTCGGGGTATTCTTTCCCAGGCCTACACCCACCCTCACCCGCAAACGCCCACCTAACCTAACGCCCACCTCTCACCCTCACCCACCCTACACCCACCTTTACACCCACCTACCACATAATCGTACGAGTAATAGGTGCCCATAATAGTGACATTGCCCCCTCCCACATTTTGCGGGGACGCCAAGTATCACGCATGTGAAGAAAGAGCGAAATGTTGGAGAAAGAGAGAAAAAGACCGGAGCCCGCACCTCCCCGCACACGTTACTCCTTGGTTACCCCTTACACCCCTGCTTGCTTCGGTCGTACTTGTCCCACAAGTAGCAAAGAAGTACACATACTACCTACACATTAACTACCCCGTAGTAGTAGGCTCAACGCACTCACCAGTATTTTTGCCCCAACCAATCTCCGGCTCCCCCATTTTCTCCAGGTTTGGTGGTGGAGTTTGGCAGGAGGGAGCACGCACCGGCAAGCACCACCGGACACCACACCACCTTGAATCGCACATCATGTATCGGTGTTAGGTACCGCCGCCTGCTACCGTTACCACCAGCCTCATACAGTCATGCAGCACAACACAACACAACACAACCGCAGCTGGCATGTGAAAGGAGGCTCATTAATGTATGTGTAATGTAACATCTGAGAATCATGTATGATATTTGAAGTCACCCATCATAAGCTGCAGCAGAGTGATTGCAACAGTTATATTATATTATCGGGTTTGTCCCATATCTCGCAAGTTCTTCCTTTTCCAGTCATTCAGACGAGCTCCATTCAGGCACTTGGAGTCAGCTACGTCACGTCAGTATTTGGAAACCATGAGTGATATTCCAGTCACCCATTCTGCAACAAGATGATTTCAACAATTATAGTTCAATAATTCTATCTTATTGTCGCCCTTTAAAATCTTGCATTCCCTTCCCCAGCCATTCAGCCATCCAGCCATTCACTCCCCGCTGAGTCAGTTACGTCACGTCAGTATTCGTATCGTACAAATTGATATGGCCGCGATTATTCCCACGCCCATAGCCCGCTAAATATCCCCCCAAACGCCAGAACCAGATATATCCCATATTGCTAATCGTAAAATTCATCATCACATTCTTTGCGAGCCTTTACGCGTAGTTTCGAGCGCCCTTCAAGATCCAGACTTGCCCATTTGCCACCTTGCTCGCAACGCTTGTAACTTCGATGTTCCCTGGCTGAACCTGTTGAGGAGGATAGTTAGTTGATGCCCTGCTGGATAAGGGTATGGCGATGCTATGACTTACAATCCTTTTGCCATCCTTCGTCTCCCACCACACCTCTGTGCCACCAAGAGTCTTCATTTTGGCTCCCTCTGGCCAAGGGCTTTCAGGCACAATATGCTCTTCGACAAATTGCCTAAGGTTGGCATGGGCCCTGTCCTCCCCAGGCTTGCCCTCATATGCGTCTGCGCCTAATCTGTTGTAGTCCTCGTTTGACTCCCATGGCTTTCGCGGAAGCCCGGTGATAGCGCTATTCAAAGGTGCCAGAACTGTCGTATTCTGTTGTCCGTCGGACAGACGCTTACTGATAGCCTCAATATCCCGTGTGAATCCAGCGAAAATATTGATAGACCGATCGCGACCAAGCACGTCGCAGAGGATGACGGAACCGCCTTCTGGCGGGGTTGAGGCGGACGGATCCGACGCCGCTGGAGGCATCACCGGCCCGATATTGTCCATGAAAGGATTCTGTACGTATTTTGCAGAAACAGAGTATATCGAAATAGCTCCAATAAGTAGTGTAAGGGCTCCTGTCGACCGCATTTCGTTGTTGTCAAGTTGGTTGAGTATCGAAGAGGCCTTGGTGATCGATCCACACGTAACCGGAACCATAACTCCGATATGGGAAGAGTATGACGACGTTTCGGCTCGCTTAGTCTCCGCCCGCGAGGCTGCGAAACTCTCTTCCCCAGCGTCAGGGCAGACTATTCGGAAATAGGGTAGGGAAGGAAAACAGCCGCGTCGACATCTCTCTGTAAATTATTTGTATGATTAAGACATAAACTCTGCTATAATAAACTGTACCCAGAGTCCAAAGCACTGATTTACGGTTCTCAGAGACCCTCAACGTGTATTTGCGTCACAGGTACTCTCCGGGGAGGCTGCGGTTTGCACGACTTGCACCACGCTAAGAGCGGTATTTTCCGCTGGCCAGCGGGTTTGAGATCTCCCTACTCAAGAGACAACCCTCACCGGGAACTCAAGCTTCAAAAGAATCATCATACAACAGACTCCTTTAAGGCCATGGTTCTCGCTGCATGAGCGCCATCGGCATATCTTAGATCTTTTACCGGGTTTGCTCAGGCACCTCCGATCGATCGCTGCGAAGTAGTCTCTTCGGCTCAGCATTCACGATACAAAAATCAGCTCTCCTGACGCAACAGTGAGCCGCTGATTCACTCAGGGAGAACACTTCAGTGTCTCTTATATTGCGTCGGCAGTATCTCTTCCGACCCTCTATAAGTTATCAACTGCTCATGCTCAACATTCGCTGACATGAACAACCAACCACCACAACCCCCCTCGGGGCTCGATCGCGAGCGGGAGCTCGAAGAACAGCATCTGCGCGAGCAGCAGCATATCATGAGGCAACAAGAGGAGATGGCGCAGCGTCGCGACCACGAGGACCGCGAAAGACATCGTCGGGATCAACAACAACAACAATACCAATCGGTGCCTCAACACCAGAACAACACCGGCACGATCCCAATCCATCAGCCGGTCGCATCGCGTCTCGCCGGCGCCATCCACAGTCCTGGTGGGCTTCTCGCCAACCATAACGGCTCATCTCAGCCTGGTCCATTGGGTGCGCCGACGGGTCCTGGGAATGCGTTCGGCGGTCCTTTGCACGCCGAGGCAAACCGATCAATCCAGCCGCACAATCAGCAGCAGAATCCCGCGGCCCAGCAGCAACATCAGATCTTTGGACCAAATATCATAAATCACGTCGTTGGGCAGGCGGCTCCTATCGGAGTCAATCAGGCCGCTGCGCCTGGGTTTGGAGGTCCCCTCCAGCCTGAAGCTGCTGCTCGCTCGATGCAGCAGATGCCGTTTGGTGGCCCTGGTGGAGCTGCGCATCCTGCACAGGGTGCCCCGGCGTTGGGACAGGGACAGCAGCCGATTTTAAATGTGAGTTTCCTTTGTTGCAAACAGCGACAATTACCAGTTCCGAAGTCTATCGCGTTTTGGCGTTTGCGTGGAGCTGTAGTGGCTACATGGTGGCCTTTCGTCATGACTCCGATCGCCCAGACACTGTCCCGCTTCATGGGGCAACAATCGCCATCATTACTGCAGAAGACACTGACATTATATTCTTCAGGACGCGTTAAGTTACCTTGATCAAGTCAAGGTTCAGTTCGTCGACCAGCCGGATGTATACAATAGGTTTCTCGATATCATGAAAGATTTTAAGAGCCAAGCGTAGGTCTTCTCGCCAACCCCACCAATGCCCCCTCGGCCTCCATTTCATAGCTAACATCATGGAAAACAGTATCGACACTCCTGGCGTCATCAACCGAGTATCGGATCTGTTTGCAGGGCATCCGAACCTTATCCAAGGATTCAATACTTTCCTGCCACCGGGGTACCGAATTGAATGCGGCGCTGGCAACGACCCAAATACCATCCGTGTAACGACACCCATGGGGACAACCGTCCAGTCCATCACTGGAGCTGGCCGTGCCCTTCCTGATGGGCCCCAGGCCGGTGCCAACGGCGGATACTACCCAGCACAAAGAGGAAATGGCAATAACTGGCAACAACCACAACACTCCATCGAGAGTCCTGAAGCTGTGTTCAGCCCACAAGCTCGCAACGGCGTGCCACCGTATGCCCAAGCCCAGGCGCCGAACGCCGTGTACGAATCACAACAGGCGGCTGTGAATGCTCATCAGCAAGAACAGCGGGGTGTATCTCAGCTTCAGAGTGCCATTGCAACCGCCACCGGCCACCCTGTCGCGAGGAACGCGTTGACTCCTACGCCAACTGCCCAAGGTGCCGGCATGAACGGAGCTGCAGCCCAGCAACCTGGTGTTGAGAAGCGTGGTCCTGTCGAATTCAACCACGCAATAAGCTATGTGAACAAGATAAAGGTTTGTAGCTGCCCAGTGTCATTCAAAAAAAGTTATTAATAGTGTACAGAACCGCTTCCAAGATAAGCCAGAGATCTATAAGCAATTCCTTGAGATTTTACAGACATATCAGCGGGAGTCGAAGCCAATCCAGGACGTCTATGCTCAAGTCACTACATTGTTCGGCACTGCGCCTGACCTTCTAGAGGACTTCAAGCAGTTCTTGCCTGAGTCTGCTGCCCAGGCTAAGGCTGCTGCTGCGAAGGCTGCCGAGGACGCTGCAGCCATTGGTCTTGCTGGAGTATCGCAGGCACCACAGCCTCTTCATGTTGCCCGTGGGGAACAGAAGTTACCTCCCGTCGGGAATTTCTTGCCTCCAAGCACCAGCAAAGAGGGTAAGAAGCGGCCACGTCCGCCGAATGCACCAGCGCCGGTCCCGATGGGTGCTCTGGGAGACGCAGCCGCTAGCCGGGCGTCTATTGGGCAAGCAGGGAGTGCAAACAAAGTAAGTTGTATCCTAGCGAATTCACTGCCCGCTTAAGCTTTATAACTAACAAAACTCCACCCACAGAGGATGAAGACCTCGCATGGTACAAGAATGGTTGAAGGTGCACCTGCTGTCTCTCCAACACTTACTCCTCAAAAACCCCAGCCCATGTCGCCACTCATGTCGATTGCTACGCAACAATCTGAGGTGGCCTTCTTCGATAAGGTGAAGAAGTATCTGAGCAACAAACAGATCTTTGCTGAGTTCTTGAAACTCTGCAACCTCTTTTCACAAGACCTCATTGACAAGAACGTGCTCGTGCACAAGGTCAGCAACTTCATTGGCCAGAATGCTGAGTTGATGGACTTCTTCAAACGCTTTGTCAACTATAGCGGACCTGAGGAGGTTATTGAGAACCGCCCCAGAGCTCCAACTGGGAAGGTCTCTTTGAGCAACTGCCGTGGCCTAGGGCCTAGCTATCGTCTGCTCCCCAAACGGGAGCGCCTTAAGGCATGCAGCGGTCGTGATGAGATGTGCTACTCTGTTCTCAACGATGACTGGGCATCCCATCCAACTTGGGCGTCTGAAGATTCTGGATTTGTCGCTCATCGCAAGAATCACTTCGAAGAAGGCCTCCACAGAATTGAGGAGGAGCGACACGATTACGACTTCAACATTGAAGCAAATGCCAAGGTCATCCAACTACTTGAGCCTATTGCTCACCAGATCCTCAACCTTCAGGCACATGAGATGCCTACTTTCAGGATGCCATCTGGATTTGGTGGCCAGAGTCAGTCTATCTACAAGAGAATCTTCAAGAAGATTTACGGGACTGAGAAGGGCAACGAGGTTGCTGCAGACTTGTTCAAGGATCCGATCGCAGTTGTTCCAGTTGTCCTTGCTCGTCTCAAGCAGAAGGATGAGGAGTGGAGATTCACGCAGCGTGAGTGGGACAAGGTTTGGCACGTCCAGACCCAGGCGATGTACCTCAAGAGTCTCGACCACATGGGGATTTCCGTGAAGGGAGCCGACAAGAAGCTCCTGGCACCCAGAGCCATGACAGAGCTTATCCGCAACAAGCATGAAGAGCAGAAGCGCCAACGAAGCCTGACATCCAATGTCCCGCGCTATCAGTTCCTGTACACTCTGGATGACGACGATGTAATCATCGATGTTGTCCGGTTTGCGATTCTCTACGTCATGAACGCAAACCAGCATAGTCCTGCTGAAAGAGATAGGATCGCGGATTTCTTGGAAGATTTCGTTCCTACTTTCTTTGGCATCTCTGTTGACACCGTTCGTGACCGCGTCAAGGATATCTCGAGAGTCTCACCAGATGAGGAAATGGAGGACACGACCCCCGCGGAACTGTCCAACGGCCGCAGCAGCCGCCGCGCAAATGGCAAGACGGACCACAACCTTCTACGCGGCGTTCTCGAGCGCGGCAGAAACGGCACCAGGGGCCGTGGCCAGAAGGAGAGCAGCATTGCCTCCGGAAGCAAGGAGTCGACTCCTGACACTGGGTCGATTGCCGAGGATGAGGAAACTGCTGGAGACCCTATGGATGAGTCTGGTTCCGGCGAGGCCCAGAATGAGCGCTGGCTAGGCCGTCCCCCGAGTGCCGCGGCACTCCAAGGCGCACCGCTTGAGGCGTCTGATTTCGAGTTGAAGGCTGATCAGCCGTTCTATCGCGAGTGGTACAGCTTGTATGCCAACCAGACTATCTTCCAGTTCTTCAGCATCTTCGAGGTGCTGTATCGTCGCTTGAAGGCTCTCAAGGATGGTGAGGCGGCTGTCGCGGAGGAGGTGCGCCGCATCAAGGCTCCTAAGCCCGCGAAGGAGATTGGCCTGCTTGAGGAGCGCAATGATTGGTTTTCTCAGGATTCTTCTGAGACTTACTACAATCGGGCTCTTATGGTTATGGAGGAGTTTGTACTTGGTGACGTTGAGGAGGTCAAATACCAGGACTTCCTTCGTACCTATTACCTCCAGAGGGGATGGGCGCTGTACACGATCAGTGATCTTCTGAAGAACATTTGCCGATACGCTACTACTTGTTCTTCAACCGATAGCAAGGAGAAGACGCCATTGATCATCAACAGCTTCTTGACCAACCGCACCAAAGACGAGACGACTTTCAACCAGGAGATTGACCTCCGCAAGAAGGTTGAGAAGATCGTCGGAGATGCTGACATGTACCTAATCAGATACGTAAGTAGCATCCTAAGACTATTTTCTAGTTACAAGCTAACCCCCTACAGTCCCCCAAACGCCGCCAGGCCACAACCCAACTCATCACCAAAGACGAATCCACCTTCGACCTCACTGACATGGAGCGCAAAGACCGCTGGAAATACTACACCTCCTCCTTCGTGCGCATCGAGCCCACCGAGGGCGTCCCCCTCGACCGCATCCGCCGCTCCGTCCTCACCCGCAACCTCTCCCCCCACGAAACCGACTCCGACTCCGGCCTGCTCTCTCAATCGCGCAAGCCCCTCCTCTGGGCCGAAGACCTGACTCTCCGCATCTGCGTCAACACGTACCGCCTCACCTACAAGACGGGCACGTCGGAGTGGTTCGTGTACTCTGATGGCGTGCAGGATGAGGTCGCGGCGCGGCAGACGACGGAGAAGCGCAATCAGAGGTTTAGGGAGAAGTTTGAGATGAATAGTAGGTGGATGGAGAATAAGAGCCAGCAGGAGGTGCAGAAGACGAATGAGGACTTTAAGAAGTGGATTAGTGAGGGCCCGGCTGCTGCGGAGTGAGCGAGCGGAGCTAGGGGTTCGAGTTGGTCTATTTATTGGGTTTTCGTGGATCTGTGTAAGCTTCATAAGGCGTTTGCGGATTCTTTTATGCGGGTTGGGATGATATACGATGGGCTGGCTGTACGGAGGCTTATTTGTATACTTGAGGGAGGCCAAAAGGCAGAATGGGGAAGACATCGATCGGACTGCGTCAAGCCTCTTTTCCCACCTTGAGGCATCGAGGGTTTGAACAAACTACTGGCGCTTCCCATGTGTTTCTGGGTACGGACGGACGGTGGTGTCTCCAAAGAATCAGGACGAGGCGTTTTTTTCTCTTTCTAACAGTTTTTGTTAACTCGCTTCTTCCTTCACACGAATGGTTTTGTTGTTGTCGGCTACTTTTTGGTTTTGGTTTTTGCTGCTTAATAAGGAGAGCTACTGTTTGTTTAGACTACGAGTTGCGGTGCCTTTTTCTCTTTTGCTCTCTACATAGTATCAGATAGTTTTCACAGGAATTGAGGAGGTTTCGATTCATGACTGTGTGTCTGTATTCTACTCTAATCATGTGATAATTTTCCCTTGTGACCCTGAGCTCAGTATCTCGAGGAGGTTGGATTAATGGCCGCTCTGGTCCTGTTTAGCCCGGCCCGTCAGGCTTTCTCCTGTATAGTTCTTCTAGAAGGTCTTACTTCCTGCCCCTGCCCTTCGTGAGGCCTCACGATCTGATGCACGGCGCTTCCGTGATATTAGCCACAGCCCCAACGTCTTCGATGTGGCTGGAGGGTGACGACAACCTCATCATCTGAGGCCTTCCCACCCCGGCCCTCAAGGCTCTACGACATGCTCCACAGCGTTTCCACGAAGTTAGCCACCCCCAACACCCTCATAGTGGCTGCGATGAGTGGCAACACCCTCGTCATAACTACACAGCGGCCCCCTCGGCCTTTCATCCTGACCCCGGCTCCAGACTCTACGATCTTCTGATCTGACGCACAGCGCTTCGCGACGTTATCCCCAGCCCCCACCATCAACGGCCTCAACGGGGCTTGGAAGTGCCAACATACACCCTCGTCAACATCTGCACAGCGCTTCCATCAAATCCAACTCCAACGTTCTCACCGGGGCACGATCATGTGAGTGGCGAATGCACGGCGCTTCCCCGCCATTAGCCCCAACACCCACCCATCCATCAACCAGGGCATCGCGTCGGTCCCGCTGCACGGCGCTTCCATCAGTTGGCACCACCACCACCACCACCACCAACATCCGGACAAATCCAAAAACAGGGGAGGAACCTCATCGGTCCGCTGCACGGCGTCCTGGGCGGCGATTGATCTGAGACCTCCCTCCTGCACGGCGCTTGCTTGCTCGGTCGCTAGCTAGCTACTTGGTGTTGGTGCTCTTAGTTCACACCCCAGCACCACCGGCTCTAGAGAGGCGTTCCTGGGCGGCTTGCGCTTCTAGGGCTGCTGCGCGGCGCTTGGGGAGGAGGGAGGGGTCGAGGAAGGGTTGGGGGGGGTGGGCGGCGTGGAAGGTGGTTGCTTGGGGAGGGGGTTAGAGGGTTGTTGGGGAGGGGGGGGGGGGAGGTACTTACGAGGGGTGGTGGTGGTGCTGGTGGTAGTGCTGGTTGTACTGGGTTGGAGCTCGAGCCGGGAGGGGAGGGGGATGGTGTAGGATTTGTGTGTGGCTGGTGGTGTCTTTGGGGGGAGGAGGGGGCGCTTAGGGATGAGCTGGTGAGGGGGTTGGGAGGTGGTGGTGGACATGTTTGTGAGGGAGGGGATGGTGTGATGGTGGTGACTGGGATATGGTTTGTGAGGATGCTGGTGACTGGGGCATGTGGTTCGTGTAGCAGCGGTTGTGCCTTTTTGTGATACTGTGTTGGTGATGTTTGTGTAGCGCTCTTTGTACGTGGATATTCCGTCTGCGGGCGTATATTCTGTCTGCGGTTTGCTGGATATGAAAATCGTGTCGGTGAATATCCGCTGGTTGTTTACCCTCGTGCCCTCATACCCTCGGTGGTAGTATTGGTGGTAGTTTCGATGGTAGTGCGGTATGGTTTGACGGGTATATTGGAGGCGTGAGTGAATTTGCTGTCGTCGGCTCGCTGGCGGTCCAGTGATGAGCATCCGCGAGTCGTTGATTTCGGTACCTATACTTCCTTGTCCATACTAATCTTGGCTGTGGACCCCGTACTCCTACCCACTGGCGTGCTAAAGTCGTAGCTCCCAAAAACTACTGCACCAAGCAACTTAGCCTAGCTGCTAACTGCCTTCCGCATACTGAATAGCGATAAGCAACCAAAAGAGTCGCAAGTCAATTTCGCCAGTCAAATGTCCAGTCTGCACCGCCCAACCATACACCACACCCCGCCATATTCAAGACCCCGATTTTTACTACTGTAATTATCCTCCCTGAGAGCGACACCGGACCCCTAACGTGAACCGATACCGGGCCATATCGGAGACATTTTTTAATTATTTAGGAAACCACGCGCCATCGCGCGTGTTTTACTGCATGGACGCTCAAGGCGGCGTGGGGGTGATTGGCGGTGGTCACGGCGGAGCCTCTTCGCCAACCTCTATTCGCAACGGCACCGCCAATGCAAAACGGAAACGCAGCGGCGCGGGCTTCGAGAGCAGTCCCGGGAGCGTTGATATCGCGGAGAATGAAGAGGATGAGGCCGAGAGGAGGCGACAGCCCGGCGTGAAAAGGGCTTGCAATGAGTGTCGTCAACAGAAGGTGCGATGAGTCAAAAAAACCGAGAGAGCCCCGTCGCAATGGCGACGTCGGGCGGGCATTCTTCAACAATGTCTCGGATGAGGGTTCGATTGGCTAATGCGATTGTTCTAGTTACGATGCGATGTCGTCCAGGATCCTTTTACCACCTGCTCGAGGTGCATGCGATTGAAGCTGGAATGCAAGATCGAGTCAAACTTCAAGCGTGTGGGGAAGCGCAGTAAACATGCCGAGATGGAAAAGCAAATTGAGTCATTGCGACGGAGTCTGCAACGGGCGCAAGCACAGGGATATGCGGTCGAGGAAGAGGAGGATATCGAAAGCCCTATGGGTAACGGCATGTACAGCAACTCGATGAACAATTCGTCGTTCCTGCGCAACTCTGATGAGGCGGTATCGTCGCTCCTCCACCTAAAACAAAGCGGCACCTACAATATACCTCGAGTAGCGCACCAGCTGGAAGATGTACGCTTGACGGAAGATCAAGTCAATCAGCTCTTCAGCGACTACTTCACTTTCTACCATCCATTTCTTCCGTTTCTCAACCCCTCGCAACCGCCAGAGCAATACTTCACACAATGCCCGCTTCTCTTCTGGGCCATCATCTCGGTCTCGGCTCGGCGTACCAATGTAATGGATAACCTCCTCACGTCGCTAGCTGGCCCTCTCTCAAGGTTACTCTGGACAACCATTGGTGGCGTTCCTGGCAGCCACTACGCCATCAAGGCACTGTGCCTGCTCTGCACATGGTCATTACCTACAAGCACAACAGCTACAGACCCGACCCACATACTCAGCGGAGTATTGATGAAGGCTGCCACAGGCATCGGGCTTCATAGGCCCAGCCATGCACAAGACTTCTCTCGAGTCTCTGTCGAATTCAACAAGGACGAGTTACATGACCGAGTGACTACGTGGGCAGTTTGCAATATTGTCTCGCAGACTATTGGCACAGGGTATGGCCAGCCGGCAACGACACTATACGACTGGACTCTAGCGATCCGACCCGGCGATGCGGGGCCATTCCAGCTATCGGCAGAGCTGGAGGCGAGGCTACGAATTGAACGATTCACAGACAAGGTGTCCAAGGAGATGTTCAGCAACGCCAGCGATCCCCAAGGTGTTTCCGGAGATGAGCTCCGGGCGATGCTGACGCGCATCTTCAGGCGTGAGTATGCCGATTTAGAGGCATCTATTCTTTCAGACCAAAATCTCTCCCCATTTATAACCGTATTTCTCAAAGCTGCTGGCCTGCATTTACGACTAGCCGCGTTCTTCGATTCTCGATCTACCCCGAATTACATGGATGATCTACTTGGATTATGGCGGGCGACGACGGGGTTTCTTACGACGGTATTCAGCCTCGAGACACCTTCGGGCACACACTCGGGCAACATCCTTCAGTATGGTACAAACTATATGTCCCAAATGATTGTAGCTGCCGGGTTTGCGCTGCTGAAGCTCTTGAGCAGCTTCTTCTCGGCGGAAATCGATTTCGACCGAGGGAGGCTGCTGTTCCACAAGACGATCCAGGCCATTCGTAGTATGAGTGTCACCAACAACGATCTTCTGTGGCGACTTGCCGAACTGATGGCGCAGATGTGGAACGGGCTGCGGGCGGAGAAGAGGACGGAGCACGGCAGTAGTGAGCTGGATGGATCAATGCAGCTGAAAGTAAGGTGCCGTCACAGCATGAGCTTGGTATATGATACGATCTGGCGCTGGCGCGAAGAATATCAAGCTCAGGGCCGCGGGAGCATCGAAGGTACGTCCTTGCGGATACCTCGTCAATCGGCCGGCACGACTTCTTCCTCCTGGCTTGATGCTAACCGAGACTGGGATGCAGCCGCCTTGAAAAACCCGACAAACCCCGAATCTGCCGAAGATTCTCGGGCATCATCCACTCCCCTCGACAGCACCCTAGCCCCCCCTCCACATACACTGCACCAGGGCCTGCCGAATCATATGGCGACTTCTTTATCTGGGCTCGGGGGAATGAGTGGCTATGGGGAGAGTAATTATGAGGTCTTCGATCCGCTGAATTGGATGCTGGATGGATTGGTCGACTTCCCTTATTCATATGCAGCGGTGCAAGGATTGGAGACTCAAGGAATGAGCTGAGTAGGGCGCAGCTCGGTCGTAAATGACAAATGCGGTATGATGTTGTATTTTTTTCACAAAAAACGGTGTGCTCAAATCGGCGTGCGGGAGGGGGGGATGGGGGCGTGAAACGGGGGAGGGATGGGAAAGCAAGGCCATGGGGAATTAAATGCTTGCGACAAATGACAAATACGCTTAATAGGCTATGGGCAACATGCTCTCCCTTTGTTCACTGGGAGTACTTGGAGTTAATTTGAGGTTTCAGCCGGGGGAAGGCGCAGAATGGAAGGGTCTCGGACGTCGTTGCCTTCCTGTCGCATATCTTTCTCTCTTTTCTTTAAATAAAACTGGAATGTTTGCTCACCGACGCAAGATATGCGGACAAGTATGCAGCCCCGCTGGTGTCATTGGGTGAACTAGACAAATAGGTGCATGAGCGCATTTCACGTCCGAACAAGGACCCCCTTCCATATCAATCATATTTCAGGCAGCCGTCTTTTGTTATTCAACCACCACTGTCCCCCTTCCAAGCTTATGCGGGCACGCACAGCTCCCAACCCCACCTACCCTACCTCACCTACCTCCACCTATACCTACTACTCTATTACTTACTTTCTGCAACCTTGATCGCCCTCCCGTCCGTCGGTGGTACTCTACATAAGACCCCATCCCATCCAACAGCGCTGCACGCCCGCTGCGTCAACGGCGGATGACACCCATTTCGGACGACACCGTACGACCCAACGCAGGCGGTCTTGGGGCGGGAGAAACGCGTAGTGGCATGTACGACGTCGGGTGGCAGGTGAAATGGTTGGTCGAGTATATGCAAGTGCCGCCTGAAGGCGCCGTCCCATGTGTTGGTTGTGTGTTGGTACGAGTAAGAAGGGCTTTCGAAGCGCTGGGCTGCAGCCGGCAAGCGACCTTTTCGTTTACGTTGCGATGCTACCTTCTGACAGACAGTGACAGCCAGCGACAGCCCCGTTTGCGCCCCGTCCGCGCCCTAGTCGTGTCTTTTTTGTACATCGCGTATGTGTACATCATATCTCGTTTGCACATTATACAAGGAAGGAACGGAGACGTCGGAGGAGCTTCATTCACTAGTGTCTTCGTCGATACATCCACCACGTCGGCCAAGATTAGCGACTAAATCCACTAAAGGCCGCTAGCATCCAAGCCATGACCATCGCTAATGAGGACCCCTGACCCCCTAGCAAACATACTACCAACTATGACAATTTAGGGGTTGGCCTCCGCAAGTAGCCTTCACAACGTCGCCTTGCCATTTGCTAAATCTCGATGATGTCCACCGATGTGATGTGATGTGTGCTGTGCCGTTCCGTGACCTTTTGGCCAGCTCGTCACACAATACATACAACAAACAATATACAATGGGGCCCATATACAATATACAATTTACGCCCGCGCGCTTAAGTCCACCCCCCCCCCCCATGGCCGCGAGGCTTTTTTCCATCCGCACACCCTGACTCCCTGTCTCTTTGTTCTGCTACCTCCCCTCGTTCCCCCCTTTGCTTTACGGCTATGGCCAAAACAGGGCACAAGAAAAGAAGGGGTCCAACATGGGGAGGGGGTCACTGCTGCTGCTGCTGCAACACACAGCATGACCGATCGATTATTTGCGCCTGTTGTTGGCTGCAACGGCCGGGTCAAGCCGCTGTGCTGTGAGATCTGCTGCTTTTCTGTGTGCGGTTGGTTGTCTGTGGCACACTTCGCTTTGGGGGCGATCATGAGCTGACTGAGGGGAGAAGGGAGGACCGTCCCTCCCGCGTCTCCCCGTCCACACCCCCCCCCATACCGTATTGTCCTTACCGTATTTACTATACTTCGCAGGAAAGGGGGGGGGATCGGGGATGGGGGGAAAGGGTGGTGGTCGACTCCCAGAGCACAGCCTGTGTGGATGCGTTTGAGAATGATTCACAATTGGTCCGACGTGCTCCATCGATCAATCCCGACAGTCTGGAGACGACACCCGGGGCCCCATGTTCGTGGCGTTAGTTTGTTACTTCGCTCCACACCCCCTTGTCTAATGCTTGTCGTATGTCCCTTCCCTATTGACAACTTTCATACCATTTCATACTTCCCATACTCTCCCATACCCCCCCTAACTATTCCCTGCTTTCTACAATATTCTATTCTGCCATACTGCACTACTCTACTCTGCTCTGCCTACACTCTACTCTACTCTACTCAGCTCTGCCTACTCTAACCGACCTCTATCTATCCTTACTATGCCACGCTACGCCTACCACTCTACTACGCTCTGATCGCGGCATTTATCCGCGGCCCCTCCCTCCCTTCCCCCCCCCAACCTTTCTTTTGTCCTATGTATCTATTCCTATCCTATCGTATGCAAAATTTCTTGCCGGAGATCGGCTTATTTTATTTCTACTTGTCACTCCGCAACTCCTGCAGGCAGGGGCGAACATGTGATGCTAAGTCGCTCCAGCGGCCCTGAAACCGTGTCCCGAGCGCTTAAACGTCTGCAGAAGGGTGCATGTTCTGGAGTCTTTCCTCCCACTACTTCCTCCCTAGTCCACTCCCACTATTCCCACTTGTCTCCCTGTCGTCAAACAGGCGATCGACTCGACAAATCGCCCCGTCTTTTCTCTTGTGCAGATTGTCGATGAGATCCCCCCCCATCCCACTCCTAACTCCCCCCCCCTTCCCTACAACCCCCCCCCCTAACCTAACCTATTCCCTACCCCCCCGACTGATCTCTTTTCGGCTCCTTGGCACTAATTCCTGGTTGCCTTTTCCTGTCACTCAACCCCCCTCCTGCACTGTATGACCAGGGCGCTTAATCAATGCAAAAATTCATCCATCCACCCCAACCGCACCCATGGAGGTCGATTCCAAAGCGACCCGGCAAACAGAATGGTGCTGTACTCCCTGCCACATTTGGCTAGTTAACCAGCGGCCGAGGCTCAGTAGTGCTGTGCCCTACAGTCCGTCCGAAATCATAGGCAATCGTTTCTTCACTCCGTCAAAGTCGTGGCCATCGCCACACCTGGCGAGGCTTCCTCCTTGATATTCTTCTTATCCAGTGTTTCGTCAGGCAGAATTCTTAAATGTGCCTGTGTGGATTGCCCTCTAGTACTATATCTCGAATCATTGCATCTTATGATATATACTTTCCGTCCCACACATATGCGTCATATGCTACTGCTATCTTCACGGTGCTGGCAAGTCGCAAAATCACTCCAAAAACTTCCTCCAACCACCAAGAATCTACTCGACAGATCATATTCTTCTCAGATCTTTAGACCAATAACCTCAACTCATGTTTGTTGCCATGGGTGATCCATTATACCCCTCTCAATATGAGCGCATACCAAACTACGAGGGATTCACCCCGCAAAGCGCAGTATGTGATCTCTATCACTCTCAGGGTCGCGACGGTTTGGGCATACTGTACTCACAGTACGACCAGGTCTCATCTTTCAACCTACCACTCATCTACGACTCGACTTTAACAACACCCGTATCGCTCGGCGCAGACTCTCCCGTCCTCGCGTCCAAGCCTGCCTCCTCTACTATCCACTGGGGCCGCGAACAGTCCCAAATGAACTATCCCATGCGGGACAATCGTGCAATCTTCAGCCACAACCAGAACAACAACCGCATGAAATCAAATGCCAAAGACTCGACATTGTCTCTCCAAGTTCCCCAGAGTTTAAACGGAGACCACGGACTCGGCTTCCCTACTTACAACATGTTTGACTCTCCTCAAATCCCCTGCCCTCCAACTCCGTACTTTGGCTCCTTCGGCGTCTCCGGTGCCCAGGTAGCATCTCCGACACCATCCCTACCCTCCAACGTCCACTCAGCATCCCAGCTCAGCAGTGCGAGCACGCCTTCAATGCACCACAGCATCCCGCTCGGCCAAAACAACGCTCCCATCCTCATTGCTCCTACTCCAGGACAACTCCGTCCAAGCAAGCGCTCTCACGATTCCCCCATCAAGACTGAGCAACAGCACCACGGGATGCCATACCACAGCCGACCTCTGCAGCAGCACGAGCAGTCCCCAAACCACTTCAACCCGCCCATAAAGCGCGAGTCTCCTCCGCTGTCACTGTCATCCCAGAAGCGCCGGAAGCAATCCGACCCAATGACTCCTGTCTTCAACCAACCCCATCGAATGCCCTCAAGCGACGCATCAGCCGTTGAGTTCCACGGAAGCCAATCCCGCTTCAAGCCATTGGCGGGCAACACCCAGTCCCCCCAGCCCGTGATGACCGAGGAAGAAGAATTCCTGATCCACCTCCGCAAAGACCGCGAGCCCAAGCCCGACTGGAAGACGACGGTGGAGGAATTCAAAGCGCACACGGGCAAAGAGTTCCGCATCCCGGCGCTGCAGATGCGCTACTCGAGGCTCAACGAGAGGCTGCGCGTGTGGTCTGCTAAGGACGTGAGTGCCGCTCAACACTCTGAGGATGTCGTTGCTTGGGGCCACGACGACGACTTCCAGGTCTACGTGAACTAACGAAATACCATCAGATCAACGCCCTGACCCGCTCCAAGGCCGAGTTTGAGAAGTCGAAGTGGGAGAGTGTCGCGAATGGGATGATGAAGTATGACTGTGAGGTCAAGTGGTCGGCGAGGGCTTGTCAGCAGAAGTATGCGGAGTTGAACCCGGAGGAGCTGGATGAGGCGCCGCTGGAGCTGAGTCCGGATCCGGAGGCGTATAGTGAGGTGGGGAGGCATAATAGCTATGTGAATATTGGGGTGCAGGAGTATGGGATGGCTAGGCAGGGCCATCATCATCAACAGCAACACCCGCAGCAGCAGAGGCAGAGGGTGACGCCGGAGGGGAAGAGTAGTAGAGAGCAGAGCGCGGATGTGAGAGTGGAGAACTACAAGAATATCCAGGTGGATGCAAACAATCAACTACAACTCCTGCGGCAGCAACAGCAACAGCAACTTTTATCAAAGCGGATGCAGCTTGGGCAACAGCAACAGGAGCAGCAGCAACACTGGGGCATGGGCGGGCAACAATAAGAAGAACTACACCCCTTCACTCAAGACGGCATCAAGGCGGGGTGACTACAAGAGACAATTGGCACGACGACGAACACAAAGACATCCTCAGAGCAAAGACTGAGATTACCAGATAACAGCAACGGCGACGGCAATAGAGATTCACAAGAGGCCATACAACGGCATTTACATTTCGTGCTTTTCAGCGGTGTCAGCAAGCAAGTACGTGCGCATCATCAGAAGAGAGACATTAGGGACGATAGGGGGCGCGCCTCGATACAGAGGCCGAGCATTGGAGTTGAGCAATACCAAACGGGAAGACGACTGAGGGACGGACGGGAGGGGAGTTGGGGGGGGGGACAGGTTGGGCGGCAGTGTGAAACCAAACACTCATTTGATTTATTTCCAGCGCATTTACTTCACTTCTTCTGTATCTATTTTACACCTAATGAACCAAGAATCTTTTTCAACTCCCTCCTCTCCTCTACTCCACACTGTAAACCACTTCCCGTACACAACTCCCTATCCCTACACACCTCATGCCCTAAAAAAGCCGGCCCCCGGCCTGCACACCCCCCCGTTCCCCGGCGGCAGGGCCCCGTTCTAGCCTTCTACGCCTACCTTCCCTCAGCTAACCTTCCGGGGTGCTGCTCCACCGATGACAACCCATTACAGCGTCAATGGTTGCTAAGCACCTACCTCCGCCCCCTGTAGCTCCAGCACCGCCCGCCCGCCGTCGGAGATCAAATGTGGCACAGCACAGCACACCGCAGCAGCCACGCCGTAGCGTCCCCCGGGCGACCTTTAGCCGCCGCACCACGCACTCGGACCCGAATGCGCCGCCTGATCCGAGCACCGCCCGCCCGCCGCGCTGCACCACACTCTGTCCTGCGCATAGAGTGCGGTAAGTAGGGTACGCTTACGGAGCGTGCGCCGGTCCTGGTACCCTGCGCCGCATGGGGGCAAGGTTGCGAAATTTCAACATCGGTTATGCAACCACGCAGTCGGTGGAGTAGAATCTGCTAATTTGCGGCTTCCGTCTCAATCGCCTGGGACACGTAGGGTGTGTGCGCTGCGCGCTGGCGGACGTTAGGGCGTATCTCCGATCCACTTACAGCTACACAGCTACATCATTCTCGCCGTAAACGCACACCCCTGTCGAGGAACCGGGTGCCTGGCGTGCGTGCGTGCCCCTCCCCGCTCCCCCTCCCTTGTCGGGAAAAGCAAGCCAAAAGCGGAAAATCCGTTCGGAAGAGCCGATGAGGGGGTTTGGCCCCCAAACGACGCGGCCGGAGATGCGACCGTTTGTGGTGGCAGATTGCGAGGCAGATTTGGGGGTTGTCGGTGAAAACAGGTTGGATGAAGAGGGGGTTGTGAGGGGTTTGTAGGGAGGCAGATAGGCGGCAGCGTTACGATGGCAGGCGCGCGGAGGGGAGAGGGGGGAGATAGCTGCCCGCACGCTGACAGTGGCGGGACGGCCAGATATCGGGGTGTGTCGATCGTTGATCTACGGGTGCCTGGTGCGAGCTACGTAGTAGGTTGATATGTCCATGTCCATGCCCTACCTCGTGGTTGAACCCGCCTTCCTTCCTTCCTTCCTTCCTTCTTTCCTTCCTTCCTTCCTTCTTTCCTTCCTTCCTTCTTACCTTCCTCCCCCCTTCTTCCTACACCACATCTACAACACTAGTAGGAGGAAGCTAATGTGATGCGACGGACATGGGACGGGATATACTCTTCAACGGTACAGCTGCCGATTTCTAGTTACAAGGGACGGGGTATATTCTTCAACGGTACAGCAGCCGATTTCTAGTTGCGCAGGGTAGGGCAGTAGGTAGTATTGGCATTAGAAACGGTCCCGTTCGTCAGTTCAGATGCAGGGGCAAAACGTCACCGTCTAGTCTGCGGAGTTCCCGAACATGGGGATTTGGTTTTGGGAAGATTGGTGGCGGGGGGGGGTGTATTCTGCTCCGGATTGATAAGCTCGGAGCTTGGATTGATAGGGAAGGGGGACCTAGGAACGGGTGTTGGTGCCCGATTAGTTTTGGGAATTAGGGTTCTTATTGCTTGCTGATTAAAGGACTAAAGGATTAAACTCTCCGTTCGAGAAAAACATCGGTCCTAATGCCCCATTATCGGAACCAACCCCGCATGCACCCTGCGACCCGGTTTTGCGGTCGTCGGACTGTTGGGCTGGATGGGGTTGTAAATTTCTAAGATTGATTTCTAATGCGCGCTTTGCTGTGCTATGCTGGATGTGTGTATGGAATGGAAACAGGAAAAGGGAAAATGTATGTACTGTCAGGGGTATATAAGTCTCCGCCGAAAAGAAAAACACAAATCGCTCCGCCGTCGGGGGATCCTCCTTTCCGCCATATCCCCGCCTTTACCTCCCGCCATTACTGAATCCCCCTTCCGTCGATGGACCCCGTCTCCCCCCCGCATATTGATGGACCACCTCCCCTCCCTTAGCTGAATTCCTCAGTCCCTAGTTTCCCTTCCCCCTGGCTAGTTTCCTCCCTTACTTCTTCACTTCCCGTGCTGATTATCCCCCCTCTCCCCTTGCTGAATTCCACTCCTCATGCTAGCTTCTTCCCTTACTTCGTCCGTTCCCGTGTTGAATTTTCCCCGTCTCGCTCCTTGCTGAATTCCTCAATCCTTGGTTTTCTTCCCTTGCTTGGTTTCGTCCCTTGAAGGATTCCCCGCCCCTTGCTGCATTTGCTGCCTTGCTAGTCTTTCTTCATTCTTAGCTTCCCCCCTCAATTGATTTCCTCCAGCTCGGGTTTTCTCCTCCTTTCCAAGTCCCCGAGTCCACCATTACGGGTTTGCTCCCCGTTAAAGCTTCATCCCGTCTTAGTTCCCGTCGGACCCACAGTCCAAATCGTCCATCGATGATATTCCCCATCCCGCGGCCCGCATCCCCCTCGACATCCTCCGTCCTCTCCCTCCACATCTCCCCTCTCCCTCCATCCCCAACGCTTCCCCCCCGCCCAACTAAGGCTCCTTAAACCTAATCCTAATAATCCCAAACAACATATTCTGCAAAACATGCACCATAACCACCGCACTAGTCGGCAACAACTCCGGCCACCTCCTCAAATCCCTCCACCCCTCCCCCGCAACCTCCTTCCCAAACAACCCTTTCACCACCCTCCTCACCACCCACGCCGCCACAATCTCACACCCCCACGTCACCGCCGCCAGCCACAGCGTACGATCAAAATCGTACAGACCCTCCGCATCCCCGCCCTCCGCGCCATCAAACGCGAAGTACGGGTACGCGTCTCTATTAGCGCCGTAGTGCAGGACGAGGATCTGGCCCAGGAAGGCCGCCATGCTGGCGTTCTCGGCGAGGGACCGGATGAACAGGGTCCGACGGCAGAAGCGCGCGTAGGTGGTGTAGGATTGCGTGTTTAGGCGCAGGAGGCCGAGGAGGGAGTGGTAGGTGCTGGACATGGTGAGGGGATGGATGATGATGAGGGTTGTGGAGCTGAGGAGTTGGAGGAGCATGAATTGTTGGGGGGAGCGGAGGCGCGCGTATAGGGCGCGCACGTAGGTTTGGTAGGTTAGGGAGAAGTAGCTAGATGAGTTGGTTAGTTGGGGTTTGTTTGGTTGATATGGATAGGGGGACATACAGTTTGAATACCCATCCCAAGGGGTAGCTACTCACGCGTTCCCCGTCGTCGCTTCCGAGTATCCACCCTGTCAGCCCGTCAAGTAGGTGAATCGTAACAACCCAACTATACACATACACAATCGTCTCCATACTGTCATGCGGCAGCGTCCGCAAATAAATCTCGGCATACGTCTCCCCCAACACATACGCCAACAGCGCAATAGACAATGTAGCACAAAACCACATAAACCTCACAAAACTCGCCGGGATCCACAACTTCCTCATCCCTAACCCCGCCCTCGGCGGCATCGCCTCCGCATTATCAATCGCCAGCGGCGCATCCGGATCGAAATTCGCAAGCAGCGCCTGGGGACGCCGCCGGTCCCGTCTAGCGAGGGTGTCGGATTCGACGTCCCCGGCCCACCAGGAGGTGGTGAAGAGGCGCTGGGTGTCGGAGAGAGAGTTGCGGAGGGAGAGGTGGCGCTCGTGGGAGGTGAGGATGGCGAAGGCCACGGCGACGGGCATGGCCATTGTGATGAAGGTCCAGAGGATCCAGACGGTGTTGTAGTGGAGGTAGGCGCGGGCGGTGGGGATGTAGTAGAGTGGGATGGGGGCGGCGATGGAGAGGGCGGCGATGGTGGAGACGGTTAGGGGGAAGCCGAGGGATTGGGGCCACCTGGGGGTAGGGGGTTAGTGGAAGTTCTTTGATAGGGGGTAAGGGGTAAGGGGTAAGGGGGCGTACCAGTTTAGACTGTAGATGTTAAACACCTTTGTGATCCACATCAAGGCCGTGAAGTTATAGAACCCATAATACACAAACAGGAAGAACCAGAAATTAACCAGCACCCTCGCCTGTCCATGGCCCGGCACCCGATGTCCATCTGCATCTCCATCCTCCTCCCCTCCATTTCCCGGCAACGCATACTGCGGAAACGGAATCGCACACCACGCCACAGCCTAAACAAATCATCGTCAGCTTCACTTCACTCCAACCATTCCGCCACCACCACCCCAATCCAGGAAGAAGGCAAACTCACAATCCCCGCCGGCAACCCCACCACAACAACCCACCTCGCAATCCACCACCCCAACACCCATCCCACAACCTCCCCCTTCGGCTGCACCCAAACATCCCTCACCCCCTCCCAAAGTTTCCACCCCCCATCGCCCTCCGCACCCCCCCGTCCCCCATCACCCCTCCCCCCATCCCCCCTTCCAACACCCTCCTCCTCGCTCCTCGACCGAAACAACGACCCATACCCCACACTCCCAAAGAACTCCCCTTTACTCTTTTTCTTCCCCAGACTGGGACCGGGGACGGCCCTGAAGCGGCCGAGGAGGGGTGTGCTGTCTGGGCCGGCGGGCTCGCGGCCCTCGCTGAAGGAGAAGAGGGGGGGCATTTACATGGTGTGGGGGAGGGGTGCTGGGTGCTGCTGGTATGGAGGAGGTGTGGTGGTCGTGGTGGTCGTGGTTGTGGTTGTGGGTGGTGGTGGTATCGCGTGTGTTTGGTCGTCCAGGGTGAAATATCGTGTGCTCTCGCCCCCCAGCGAATCTCGCGCCTGTCAACCTCGCGATCGATCGATCCTGTCGTACCGCCTGCACTATCCTATCATATCCTCTCCTATGCAGTGTAATCGTGACCCTCCGTGTGTCGTGTGGTTGTCTCGTCGTGCAGCAGCAGCAGTCGTAGCAGTAGCAAACGCAGCCGTTTCGGGCGATGGTCGGAGATCGCAATCGTAGGTTGAGATAGGATAGCTTCTGATTTGGGTCTTGGTATGATGATTTGATGTCTAAGGGGACAGGGGTACGCACCCCTGCGGGAGCGAGCCGAGGCCGAACTTCCCGTTCTGGCATCCCATCATCACCCCCACCTTGGAAAAATGGTCGGCGCTAAAAAAATAATTTTTATAAATTTTTTTATTCGAAAATTATGGTTTTTTTTTACTGATAAGGGAATTCAAAGCTGAGCTTATCATATCGTATTGTGGCTGTCTGTCTGATGCAGCCCTCTTGCTGTTTGCAGCTCTCTACATACATACAGTGTGGTGTGTGTGTGGGCATAATCCGCGGGGAACGTAAGAAGTGAACGAGACAAGAACGGGCGGGGGGAACTACTCCTCACCCCGATAGGGCCTCAGCTCAGCCAACACAATGTAAAAAGAGGAATCGGTAGGTCGTGAGTGAGCGGCGTACAAAAAATGCAGCCAGAAACCGCCACTAAAGCGAATCTGTGACGCGATCCGGGGTTCGCTATACGCACATCTTCTACAAAGTCGGTGAAGGGATAAGGCTACTCGAACACCGCAGAAGCGTGATTCGCGCGGGGAGATGGGGAAGTGCAGTGTCTCAGCGCGGGCTGGCCGCATATAGAAGCTACTCACTTACGTGCTTCTGGGGAAGGAGGGGGAGAGGTGTAACTGTGAACCAAAATGACAAAACAACGAAACAAAACACGACAATTTGTGAGCTCGTGTGTTTTCCGGGAACAGTGTGTGCCTGATTTTGTGTAATGCCTAACGAAACTCCCAATATTTGTCCACTGTTTCAGTCCGGGGGATCATCCAGCCGCTCCCTGTCTAATCCATCCATCGCCATGGAAATGATCCGCACCATGGCTTCTTTTCCCCGCGATTCAAACATAACATTATTAAGTAGCCCAGCTTTCAAGTGGCGGAGTGGAGGGGTGAGTGTAGAGAGAAGAGAGGTGAAGTAGCCCGCCGTCCGTCGCCGTTTCTGTATCCTTGATCTTCCGAAATCCGCATCGCCGCTCCCTGTCTAATCCATCCATCCGCCCATCCATCTGTTCAATCCCTAACAAAAATCCATGCAACAAAGTCCTTGCCTCCCATTCGAACAGGTCTAGAGCTGTGAAAAAGTATTGTAATTTTTTTGGTATCTGTATCACATACGTCGCAGCGCAAGATCGGACGGAGTATATTTGTGTTTTAAAGTTCGTCGTGTAATATCGGGTGTGTGAGATGGGATGTCGTCTACTGCTTCTCCTCCTGCGCGAGAAGGGTGCGCACAGGGGCGTTGAGCAGGTCGCGGCCCTTAAGGAAGTCGAGCTCGAGGATAAAGAGGTAGCCCATGACTTCACCTCCGAGCTTCTCGACGAGGTCGCCAGCTGCCTTTGCGGAGCCGCCTGCGGGTGAAAAAGTCAGCACACTGCATTTTCTCGATCAATCCCTCACAACTGATGACAGCTCCCGACCTGGGAAAAAAACCCCCCATATGAGAGATGAGTAAAAAAAAATGAGACATACCAGTAGCGATAATATCATCCACCACCAACACCTTCTGTCCCTTCTCAACAGCATCCCCCTGCATCTGAAAGAAATCCTCCCCATACTCCTTCTTAAACCCCACCTCAACCGTCGGACCCGGAATCTTCCCACTCTTCCTCACAGGCGCAAACCCACATCCCAACCTCAGCGCCAGTCCCGGCCCAAACAAGAACCCCCTCGCATCAAGCGCCACAATCACATCCGGCACGCCCCCAAAGCCGACCAGGACCTCCGCCTCCAGAGCAGCGAGCAGGGTCTCCTGGCGCGCGGCGGTCGCGAACAGCGGCAGGATATCAACGAAGTCGATGCCTGGGATTGGGAAGTCGGGGAAATGGCGGAGCGCAGAGTGCAGAGTTAGCTTTGCACTGGCGAGTTCGGCGGCGCGGGTGGCATCGGGGGCGGCGAGGGGGAGGCGTCCCGCGGCATTGTTGGGGGTTTCGACGGCGGCGACGGTTGTTGCAGCGGCGGTGGTGGTGGAGAGGGATGAGGGCATCGTGGGAGAGGAAGGGGAGGTGGAGGGTGAGGTAAGGGAGGTTTGTTGGGGGGTTTTGTGTGCGTGGGATGCGTGTGTGTGGTGTGTGAGATGGCGGTGGAGGGGAGAGGGTGTGGTTGGAGGGGAGGGGGGGTAGAGGTAGTTTTCAGGTGGGATGAAAAAAGGAATTCCGGCCGTTGTGCCGTAGCGTGGTGGTAGAGGGGTGTAGGGGTGGGAAGAGGGTGGTGGGGTGGTGGGAGGTCCCTTTCTATTGCCCCTCCCTACTAGATTACTACGCCCTATAGCACATACTTAGCACACTCACCCCGTCGTCCTATCGCACCATAATAAACCCCCACCTGTAAGGAGATGTATGTACTCTACCGCATTGTACTGTGCTAGGGAATAGGAAAATGTATGGATAGTGGGGTTATACTCGAGTAACTGTAGGCAGCTGCAATGAGGAAGCCGCGGTGATGTAAGGCGTGTTTTGTATGTAAGATGTAAGGCGTGTCTTGTATGTAAGGGTAAGGTGGTGTATGTATGGCGAAATGTATATTTATATAATTATCCTATACACTCTCCTGCACTTTCGTATAACCATCGTATAACCATCGTATAACCACCATCGTATAACTTATATTGGTGTGTGTGTATATCTAACTAGGAAGCAAACAAGTTCTGTCATATATCACATATTGTCTGTAGAAGGAGTACTCTAACGTAAGTACCCTGTCTGCTCTGTATACATACAGTCAGACGTCCGATAGTTAGAGGGGATACAAGGAGGTAGGTACCCTCTCTACTCTATTTTCTTCTCTCTATCCCTAACACACCTTACACCTCACACCTCTGATACAGAAAGTATCCTACTCTACATACAGCAGATCTTATATATAGAAATAGAAATCACTCCTCCGACCTCGCCTTTATCCATATCCGTGAATACTCAGAGTCATACTCCCTCGCCCCTTTCTTCCATGTCTACTCTACTCTATTCGCGCATACCCGCATTTCTATATATATACTGTAACGTATAATATACCCCTCGGCGGGTCCTCGCACCCATTTCACATGAAATCCCCTCTAGTTCCATCCCCATCAAGTCTCACAGATAAGTGCAACACCACCACCGCCACTCACCACCACATCAACATCTCACCTCCCTCACCGGCCAGTCTCCAGTACACAATCCCCTCCACCCAGCACGTATCACAAAAACGCCATCACCCACCACCTTCCCACCTTCCTCTCCCTACCTCGCTCTCGCCCCGACCAGGCCAAGTTCGGGTGAGCTACTGCGCGTCCAAGCCCTGCATGTCTAAGTACCGCATCTATCGCAGCAGCGCAGAGTAGGCCGAAGCAGGGAGGTGGGGCTGGAGGTGTGGTAGAGGATATCAAGACAGGTATCAAGACAGGTATCAAGACAGGTATCAAGACAGGTATCAAGACAAGCGTATGTAGAACCAAGAGAAGTATACATATAATCAAGCAAGCTACGTGATTTACGCATACCATCATCTATCGCGTCCATCCTATACCATATCCATATCCATATCCCTCTAATATGTACACCTCCCAAACAAGCCCAGCCCAGCCCATCTTGGAACTCTCGCCCAGCTTCCTACCCTCCAAGCTCCAAGCCCATCCATCCCATCGAGCCTCTCACATCCCACCCCCCTATCACCGTCCCCCCACCCCACCCCCCCACCACACACCCGCATCCACCCAGGTACCTCCAACCTCCCCTCCACCACGCATCCCTCTCTCGTCCACTCAGTGACGCACGCCCTTCCCAGCCTCCAGCCTCGGGTGCGCGTTTGGACCCGGGGAGATACAGGAGAGAGAGAGAGAGAGAGCTCCTGGCGATCTCACGTCGATAGCCGGTGTTTGTGTAGAAGGAGGAGGAGCTTGGCATAGCTCTCCGGGTAGCTGTTTCGCTTCCTCGTGTTGCGATGCGATTCACTCACTCACCGGTTTGTCCACCGACGCGTCGAGAACCCTCAAGCCCCTCCATCACGACCACCGCTGTAACACACTCCCAGACGCAGCTGCTGCATACTGCACCTCCTTCCCGCACGCACCTCGATCCCGCACCTGTACCTACCTATCCCACTACACCTCTCTTCCTCACCGCACCCTCTCGATATCACGTACAAACACTGCTCAAAGCCTGGATAATCTTCATCCAGCGCACGAGAACGCATCTAGATGCGGTTGCCCGCGGGGGAAGATGTAAGGTTCCGTAGGGCTGGGGATAGAAAAAAGGCGGGGGGGCTGATTAAGGTGTAATAAAAGATGTAGAGGAAGGGGGTGGTAAAATGGTATGTATAAACGGATGTATGGTACATCCAGTAGAGATATATGCGCGCCCGCTATCACGAGCGACCGCACCTTCTCCTGAGCTGGTTCTAGGTCGATGGTCGCGGTTTAAGCTTCATCCACCCGTTAGAGCCGCGCTTCGCGTCGGTGCGTGTAGAAGCTTCAGGTGAGCGCTCAAGGCTAGCAAAGCTCTCCCCCAAAAGGCCCGGACCACGAGCTTCCCCCTCCCCTTCACCCTCACCATCTCTAGAGCTACCAACATTGCTGGTGCTCCCGCCAGCGCCCCTCTCTCCCTCGTTACCCCCCTTGTCCCCCTTACCACCCTTATCCGCTTGCTCCTCGTCCACCTCCCCCTCCACCATCTCCCACCCCGCCCCCACAACCTCAGCCAACAAATCCCTCCTCAGCCTATCCGCCATCTTCACCGGCCCCAACAACCTAAACCCCCTCACCAGCTCCTCCCCCCCCTTCCCCACCAAATTCGAATGCCTAGCCCCATGACTATACCTCCCCAACCCAAGCCCCTCACTCCCACTATCCCCGCTCGCCACGGTAGGCACCCCCGCCGCCGAGGGCGCCGCCGGCGGCGCCCTGCCTCCAATGAGGAGGTTATAGAGGTTTTTCCCTATGGCTGTCATGTCTTCGAAGGGGACGCCTTTTTCTTTACTCACTGCCCCGGAGCCGAGTTCTATGCCCTGAGACTTGCATAACCAAGCCACGTCGTACGCTAACAGTGCCGTGGCTTCTACAAACGTCGTATAAGCCCCCGGATCCTCCTTTGCTAGCCTCGGCAGCGGGGTCTTGACGAACAGCGGTCGCGGGCGGGGCATATTCCTATCCAGCGGCGGCGGTGTGCGCGAGCGTCCATGGGCTGTTAGTAGACGACTCGCGCTCGGTGAAGGTGTCTGGGCTGGGGTGCCAGGAAACGGAACCGGTTTATCGGTGTAAGACGAGGCTACCGAAAAGATAGTAGGGAGCGGGTAATCCGCGTGCGGCAGCGTGATCTCGGCCGGTAACCGGACAGAGAGATACCGACTCACCAGCACGAGAAGATTCGCCACATGTCCAAGGCTTGTGCTAATCAGCGTCGCCGACGCATTATTCATATATCTCAAATCCACAATTCTCACCCCTCCAATTGTATACTCGTCCGCCCCCGCCCCGCCCCTAACCCTCACCCTCTGCAGTCCATAAAGTTCCGCAGCCTGGTAACACAGAAACGCCCTTGCTTGCACCGTCAAAGCATGCGCGTGGTTCCAGCGATAGGTACTCATCTTCGACGCCTTAGCAAGGTCGTCCAAAGCTCTTTGTTGCCGGGCTGCGAGGCCGTTCCGCGCTTTTTCGAGAGCCCGCTGCCGTGCTGCTAGGGCGGCTTTGCGGGCTGCGATGGAGGCGCGCGCATGCGTGAGGGAGAGGCGCAGGGTGTCGGCTTTGAGGATTATTTCAGCTGTGCGTGCTGCGGAGGCGTCGCGCTCGGAGAGGGTGACGGAGAGGGCGAGTGCGAGTTGTTCGGGGGTGCGGTCATCTGTGGGGGGTTCGGTGGAGGGGGGGTTATAGGTGTGTTCTTTCCCCTCGGAGGGGGAGGAGGACGAGGGGTCTTCGGTGGTGAGGGCTGCGATTTTCTGGCTTAGGGCGTCGTTTTGGAGGAGCACTTCGGCGTGGCGGAGGCGGGACTCGTAGAGTTGGTTTCGGGCGTCGGTGGCGCAGAGGAAGGGGAGTTTGCGGCTGCCGGGGCGGAAGCAGATGTCGCAGTGAATTTTGCCGTCCATTTTGTAGGTTTGCGGATGTGAAGCCTTGGGATGTGCTCGAGGTGGGATGAGGAGATAGGCGGTGTCGGGCCTTGTAGGTATGTCGATAGGCACAGCCTGCGATGTGATTGAGTTTCAGCGAGGAGATAGCATCGTTATATATGGTGTTTCGGAGCTGATATATTCGGCTTTGAGGTGTGTCTTTCAGTTGCTTGGAGATTCGGAGACTATGGGTCGTTCACGCATCGTCTGAAGGTAGTCACGATGGTAACCTGGGTCGATTAATCTTATCTTATCTGCACGTGATACGGCGTGTGTACCTGCCTATCAATAGCCTCGCTGCGAGGCTCACATATAAATAGAACTGCAAGGTCAATCACCACGACATATCACCATAAGATCAAGACTTGAGAATAAATAATTCTGAATGTGAAGCTACCAACCAATTACCTGGTCTTCCAAGCCGGTATCAGCTTTGCTACTTTCTCAACTCCAGAAAAACAAACCCCAACCCACATCACAATGGCCCAGGATGAGAGCCCCACAATCCAAGTAGAGGAAACGCAGTACGATGCCAACAAGGAGCCATATGTCCAAGCATCCCAACCCGATCCCAAGAACAAAGAATCCCCTCCAACCGCCCAGAAACCCAAAACCCCAGGCCAACTGATGACACCAGCCACCCCTCGCACCAGGGCGGAGTCTGCTCAAACTCCTCCCCTCGGCCCCGCGCCCAGCCTGCCATCTCAATACCCAGTGCCGCAGAGCCCAAGCCAGGAGAGCGACGATGGCAGCTCTGAGAATTCAGATGATGGACCTAAGGAGGCGCACCGTGAAAAGGAAAAGGTTGATCCGCACGTGCTTCCCCAGTTTGACTGGGAGGGGTTGGAAACGGAGTACTACGCCGCTTTGAGCAGGGCGAACGATGTTGAGGCAAATCTCAACGAGGAGTTCAAGGCGCTTGCTAATGTGAGGACTTCGTTACGTCTTATCTGCCATTGCACTTTTCTGACAAATCTCATAGTTCTTCGCTCAATGGTCCAATATGTCGCTTGCAAAAGACGAGGAGAGGGCTGTGAAACGGTTCAGGACGAGGCAGGAGCATGTGTTTCACTCGGAAGACAAGTTTTCGAAGAAAAAAGAACACCGTAAGTGGCGATCTTTGGCGTTGTGTGGGTATATATGCTGACTACTTTGCAGATGAGGAGGTGGTTAAGGCGCTTAAATCCGTGATGGCGCTTATGCACCACACTAATTGAGTGGGTTCTGTTAATGGATGCAATGAAATGCGCAAGAGCTGGGGGTGAATGGATGGCTGGAGAGGTTGTGATGTGAAGTATGCTACCAAGGTCAGGGGACAGAAGCGTGGATGGCTCAGCTCTTTGACAGAGCTGGGGAAGACGAGAAGACTTCTTGGAGGAAATAAGAGTCGCTTCAGAGGACCGTCCAGCTAGGTGCGGGCGTATTGGCTTGGTTGCTTTGCTTTTGAATTGGCGCATCCAACATCAAAAGGCCAGGACGGTGTCGATATATTACAGCTACATGCTTTGATGAAGCATTGCTATTGCTGATGGAGATAAACGAACATACATAGTTATACATAATACCAATCAAAATGTCAAAAACAGTCAAATTTCATGATTGGACGTAGCTTTATTTCATATACCGTGCTAAATAGCTCGCACGCATAGAGCACGCTCGACAATAACAAAATAGATCGCTTAAAAATGCTCCTTCCAAAACGAGAAGTTAACATCCGGCGTCGTAACCTCCTTACACGCCTTCTTGATCCCCCTAGCCGCCGCACTCGGTCCGCAGAAGTACACCCCGACATCCGTCCTCATCGTGCCCTCCAGCCCACTCATATACGTGCGGTCCATAATACCCTCACGCATCCCCGTCAACAGGCGGTGAAAGTCGGGACGCCCGAAGTTCGTGCGTGTCTTGAGCTCAGTGAGCGGGTCAACGTCAGAGCCAACACTGTTAAGCACGATGTTCTGTGCGGTATCTGCGTCGAGGCGCTGTGTAAGGTAGGTGTGGATGCGCAGGAACTCGGTGCCAGAGGAGCCTGGGATGCTAGCAGCCTCGAAGGACTGAGCCTCGAGCGAGGACAGCAGGGTTTGGAACCACTCGAAACTAGTGGTGTCTTTGCAGACCCAGATGAACTCGACACGGCGCAGACGCTTTGGCGGGTTTGGGCTGTTGCGGAGATGCCAGATGTTCTTGAGGATGGCAGCCCAGGGGGTGACACCGATACCGGTTCCGATGAGGACGGCGATTTCGTTGTCGAAGACATCTTCGGCGGGAGCACCGTAGGGGCCGTCGATGCGGAGCTTCGGCATCTGTTGTCCGTTTTGGAGGGCGACTTCGTACATGCCGTTGGGATCGACGCCGTCGTAGAGTTTGGCTTGGGCGGGACCGGCGCCGAGGGCGTCTCCGAGGGCGCGGGTGAAATCACCGACTTGGCGGACGTGGACGGAGATGTAGGGGTCGAATGGGCAGGAGGTGATGGTAAAGGGATGCCATTGCTGGCGGGACACTGAAGGAACTTGAAGGAAGAGCCATTGGCCTGCCTTGTACTTCATCGATGGCTTCTTGAATTGGATCTCCATGGCGTCTGATAAGGCGTTAGTAGGAACTTGGTAATGAACGATTGTATTACTTACCATATGGATGGCGAATGACGCGGATGATCTCCGTCTCTCTTCTCGCACGAATCTCACGGTAGAGGCGCTCAGCGAAGTAGAGGCCGCCTCCCCAAAGCTCCCATCTCCATCCTTCGTACCCAACGCAGTGGTCCCAGAAGTCTTTTCCGGCAAATGGAGAGAAAGGATCCGCGGTGTCTCGCACAAAGCATCCAGTCGCATGCGTATATAATCCAAGCAAAAACGGGATAAATAGATGGTGCGTATACCAAAAGGTCTCAAAAGATTGTTGGCGAATCTTCGCATGTGCAGTTGTGTACATAAGAAGCATGCAGAGGAGCATGATATGTCCTGTGATACCACCGGCTTGAGCGTAATGGATCTGGATTGCGGTAACGGGACGAATCTGTGTCTTTTCGACGTTGAAGAAGTTCACGTAATGGGCCGAGACGTGGATGACCGTGTATACCAGCATCGAGTATGCGACCTGGCGATGGAACCATTGCGACTCGTCGAGAGGCAGGAACCGGACCTTTGGTCTGACCCATCGTAATATGTTCCTGCACATCGGTAACAGAATCATGGCCCCATCGACCGATAGAACGAGACCCGCGCCTCGTGATAACCACACCGAGTATGTCAATGTATTCAGCCCCGCTAACCTTTCGTCCATTGATTGCTTGTACCTGTAAAACGTTAGATGCTACTCAACTCCCACGCCAGAGGAAAACTACTCACCATCCCAAGGCGAATAAGCCGATGTGACCGCCATGGAACAAGACGTTGAAGACCAACTTCGTCCCCCACAGCTGATTCTTCACAGCTTCCAAAAACCCCATAATTACTGCGTTCTATATCTTGCTCTGTCGTTTCGTATTAATGTCGTCCAGCGACTGCTCCCTGAGTATGTTCAGGGTATCCAAAAAGTATAGTTGAGAAATCAGAATCGACCTAGAGAGCGACTATCAAGGCACTCCTTGGCGATTAAGAATAAGACCACTGGGGTCGACGAAGTAAAGGACAAAGAATGTAAACACTGGCCCACGAAACCCAAAATATCGCCGGTATCACCAAGATTCAAGAAAGATGCGACCAACGGGGAGGGCGTCTGATAATAAAGGTTCCTGTCACAAGTTTCGGGACCGCGGCCAGTTGGTTACGGGGCTAAATCAGGACCAATACTATCTTGAGACACGGGATATGGTATAGTCTACGGCGATGGAGGGGTCCGCGCATGGGGTTCCTCGGAAACCCTCTTTGCTGCTCTTCCTGACAGGCTTGTCCCGTCTTGCGACCCTGGCGCAACGCCGTGACTGGCCGTTTACTCGGATGTTCCTAAGCCAAGGTTTCGCGCTGTAGCATTCGCAAGAGATCAATCGAAAAATTCTGTATGTGGGTATAGATCGTGGTTCATCAAGGTCGTGAAGGGGTGTGTGCGCCAGGCGATGAGACGTGGAGTGTATGAGAAGTTCGGTCTGGCAGCGTGCCGAGTGTTTGGGGTTGCAGCGGCAGCTGGGGTCTCGAAGATGCTGTCAATGCGCACGAAAGGGGAAGGCGATTGTTGTTCGAATAGCGGGAGCCGAAAGATACGGAATCGATATCGTCGAGAGCAAGAAATAAATCATCAATGGGGTCATGTCATGTCAAGAGAAGAGCAGAGGAGGTTCAAGAGTACATGAACTATATGGGACGAGGAGAATGGTCCCTGGTGGGACGAGGATCTGATGTTGCATGGGTCAGTCCACTCGTGGCTTGGGATGGGCGCTTCGCGGTCCAGTTGAATTCGCGAGACCGCTGTATCACGGTCAATCACGACCACTAGGGTAGCAACGAGACAAGCCAAGGGCCAATATTCAAACCCACTCCTTGAGGACGGTACTGAATGGAGTAAGGGGAATTGCTGGTGTTATTTTGGTTCTTTGGTTATTTGGTATTTGGTTATTTTGGGAATTGTTGGGAGTTGTTGGTTTGCTCATTGGGGCCTTGTTAGACGAAATAGCGTCTTGTTTCCCCAATGAGGTCGTGGCTTCGGCCGGTGCCTGGTTCTCCACGTGTGAAGTTCCTGGCAAGTCTGACGTCTGATGTCGGAAGTCTGATGACTGATCTATTTGAGATTATCTTGCCGCCCAGCGCAAACTCTATTCGTTTCGTCGCATAAACATCGTCGTGATCTATCCGATCCGAATGCCATGAAACGCTGCCGTGGGAGGTGAGACGGATGCTCCCTAGTGGCCCGCTTTGAACCCACAGCAGTGTTTGCGCTGCACGATGACGGCTATCACGAGATAGATTGCTTGACAGGTACAGCAAGGATAAAGTTTGATTGTGCAAGGCTCCCAAAGGCTCGCACGAGAACCGGGATAGATCTCACGGTTTTTCGTCGCTCACCTTATTAAGTGCCGTGATCCGTCGTGGCAGGTACCAGGCCGCTCCTGTCGGTTGTTCCTAGCATCTTACAACCCATTGGCTCTCAAGAGTTTATCTCATGAAAATAATAGGTTGCTTGCCGTAAAAGGGGTACCGTCGCCGCTACAACCCCCGTGGCGGACGCGTGCAATCCCCATGGCCGTCGCTATCGCCATCTGGCCGCCAACGAGTGCGTCGCTTTGTCATACCATACCTTTCAGAACTGTCTGCCACATTGCTGGGCGCGCATTCTGAGCCCACGACTCTTCATTTGGCACTCAATCATTGTCTACTACTCCCTTTCTGGGACTAAACATTATGCAGACATGTCTAATATTTCGTAGGGTTGCACCTCCCATATTGTGACTAAACCAGTTATCACCATACACAGCAATTGTGGCTGGTGCATTGCTACGACCGGTGAGGTTTATGGCAATAACTAGTGTAGCCACAATATGCGAGTTGACACCACTCGAAGCACCCTACCTAAGACATAGTTGGATTGAATTTTAAGATATATATAGGATTTACGGCAAGGCTATTCAGCTGTGATTCTCCAAGCTTTAAAGATCAACTATATCCACCCTTCTCCGAGGAACTAATATCTATCTATATACTGCCAAATATTGAGGAAATAGCCACGACACGTATTCAAGTAGTTTGGTTACTGTTGTCACCTACTAGGAGATTTTCTTCTTCTGGTCACTCTTCATAGTCATCCCCTGATATAGGTGTGTAGTTGTACTCACCTCTGATGTCTCAGCCCCTCCCTGGTGCTCTCCCTGGTGGTGGTGATGTTACGACCCAGCTCCCTGATAGTGGTGATGTTGTCGCCAAGCGCCCTCTTAGTGGTGATGTTACCATCCAGCTCCCTGGTAGTGGTGGTGGTACTATCCAGAACCCCGCTGCTGGTGGGCTCCCTGCTGATGGTGTTACCGCCCCAGCTGTCTGCTATGCTATTTGCAATGAGTCCCCAGTCTCAAATTGTCGATTATCTCTCACATAATGGCTAGATAATGCTAGTATTGTGGCCCAGACCATGGTAAGGTCGCCTGCACTTTGCGGCCCGGATTCTGCTTTCATAACAAGTTATAACGCCTGCACGAAATGTATTGCGGAAAATAGATTTAAATCGGATGAAAGCTCCCCTCTCCCACAATTTGGAGAGGTTCTTAGTTACTGCAACTTAGCACTTGCTACTTCCACGGTCACCCTCACCATGACAGATGGCAAAATAACGACAATTGTTTATATCGTTCCAGAAACGGCATCCGTATCAACTACAGGCTCAGCATCTTCACCGCCAGAGCGCGCATCAACCGCCACCGCCACCACCTCCTCCTCGACTACATCCTCGACGACACCCTCGATGACATCCTCGATGGCATCCCCGACGATATCCCCGATGGTATCCCCAACGATAACCCCGACACACCCCATTCATCAACAACGAGCAAAGCCTGGATAGCTGGCCCAGTCGTCGGTTCCATTGCCGTGTTGGCGCTCATCCTCATCTTTCTTCTTTACATTCGGAAAAGGGGTCAAAAAACAACTATCACGCATAATGAGTCGGGTTTACAGTATGAGAAAGCAGAGCTCCATGGCGACGATGTGATAAAGCCTACTTATGAGGTAGAGACTCATGAGATCCACGAGGTTGAAGGGTCATATCCTCATCCGGCCGAATGGGAACGCATTCTTCTGCATGCCCCATCCCTGACTAAAGTAGTCTTCACCACCGGTGCCGTGCATGCTTGGGGGCCAAGTGTCATCATCGATAAAGATCATGTCATCGCCCTCGCCCCACCACGTCCCTTGGAAATGCAGCACAGAGTGATTACATCCGATGAAGGCGCCTGCTCCTTCGGTTTCGAGAATGGTATAGTTGCCTTTGCCGTCCAAGTTAGGCACTTGGGTTTCGAGGCTGTTCGTTTGTGTGTTTTGTGCAGCCCACCCTTTCGTTGGGTTCTCTCGTCGCCAGTGTGCGTGAAAGTAGAGGATCTCTGAGGGATTGAACGGAGCTGGACGAAGCTCGTAGTCGATGTAAAAGTATTGGATGTAGGCGTTCTCGCCTTGGTTTTCAATCTCGATTCTTGCACGCTTGTTGAACGGCATAGGGACATAGCAGTTGAACGCGGCATTTCCACCGAATTTCTTCTCTTCCGACGGCTTAACACTGACGGTAAATGGCGTAGACTGGAAATTGGCGGCCATAGAATGACCCAAACAGAAGAAATCTCCGATGGGTGCTATGACATTAGGCGTCTCGGAGTCATCCCAGTACATCTTGATGATAATTTTTCGGTAATAATCTGGATCATTGTCTTCGTAGTTCAGACCCAGAGCATTGTGGATCTCCATCATGGCAACGCCCGATTTCGAGTATGGGATCAGTCCGGGACCAAGAATGCGGCGACAGGCCTGAACAAACCACAAGTGAGTAATTTTGCCCGGGCCTTCAATATCACACAAAATGGCAGTCTCGCCTGGTTGGACGATAAAGGCGTCCTCGTTCAGCCCGGATTGATCCCAGCTGGAAATTCGAGCACTGCGCGCAACCTTGCGTTGCGCTGCAGCCGACATCAAGTCGCCATCAAGAAAGGCGGAGGTTGACATGTTTGTAAATAGAGGAGTTGTCTCTTGGTGAATGGTAAATTGTAGAGCAGCGAGGACTCGATGATAATTTACTCGATGTGTGAGAGAATATGAATGGGAGAGGAAAGTCGAAAGGGGAGTTCAATGATGATAGTTATACTTTTCAGAAAGTGGGCTGAGAGTCGCCCGCCATTGACTTACATGACCACATGCACTTCGCTGATGCAAGTTGCAAAGACGAGGATCCTGTGAATCCACTCCATGATACCGCAACGAAAGACGCGAGTGCAGCCGATTTGAAGTCATACCAGCGCTGGTGTGGGGATTCTAATTCTGTAGCCGGCGTCTTGGAAGGGGGGAGAAGCGCGACAGCGTCCGGACATCTCATCGTTATCGGAGCAACCATCCCTATTTCCGCGAAGTGAGGAGTGGGTGGGGCATTTCCCCACATCCAAAACTTGGGGCACTGCGGGGTAACCCTGCTCGGAGACATTAACCCCGCTTGGCAGTCGTCTACCACACCAGTATATTTAACTTCTCGCGGACATCCTGCCTTTACCCGCTGATGCCTTCTCGTCCTGCAGAATATTTGTCCCTTCACCTCGGAAGCAAACCCCGATAGTCCTCAGTATGAAAATGATGGAGCAGGATACACCCCATGAATATGATGGCCAGCGGAGCAATACAACTAGTCCCCGAGGCTGTTCTTCTCCACCACTGTCGCAACCTGTGGCCCCACGATCTCGACCGACCCTCCGAACAAGGACAAGAAAGAAATCAGCCATTGCGTGTAATACATGCCGTGCTAGACGGACAAAATGTGACAGCCAGAGGCCCTCATGCTCGTACTGCCAGTCTCGTAACGTCAACTGCCACTACCCACAGCCTGTAGCAGCTCCAGAAACTAGGTATGAAAGCCCTTAGGTTGCCAATCTCTTCTTGCAAATATGCTTAATACTAGTGTCTTTCTTCCACGAGTAGAACAAGTGCTAACGTAACGCTAGCAGATATGAAGTTGAGCTTTCTACCATCCGTCAACGTCTCGATCACCTAACTAGTATTCTTGAGGGTAGCTCCTCGCCGAGGCCCCTACCTGAAACTAGCGGAGCAGTGGATTCCACGACGACAAGAGAACAATTAACTGATTTTGGAAATACCCCATATAAACTGCTCAACACGCGACGCATGATGGCTGCCTTAGGCCTAGGAGAGGATATTGTCGATGAGCTTACTAGGCTAGAAAGGATTCCTTTGGCATCCCTGGGCGCTACTGGCGCTTCTCGGTTATGCTTTGTCCAGCATCACCAAGCTGCTAGGTAAGCTACTACGTTTTCTAGAATATTTACTTATAATGTGGCCTAATACCCATGTTTATAGCGCCCTAGCGGCTTTCTTTGAGAACGTCCATATCTGGTATCCAATCCTAAGCCCTGGATTTTCTAAACAGTACCTTAGCATCATATCCGGGCCGTTGACACCATCTCCCAATTCATGTCTTGTCCTACTAGTGGCTGCAGTTGGACTCTTGGCCCAGGAAATTGTTTCCAATGGCGAGCTCATCGAAAGCACACACAGCTCGTACTTTGAGGCTGCAATGACAATGTTGCCAATAGTCGTGTCAGACTGCGAGTTAACTAGCGTAAAATGTTTAGTTCTAATCAGCATCTACCACTGCTGTCTTCTCAAGCCTTATCAGGCACATAACTACTGCCTTATTGCGTCCTCCAAGATACAAAATCTTCTCAAAAGGTAGGTGCATTTATACTGCATAGATGACGCTTAGTATGGACTAATGTTGAAACTATAGTTGTGCTAGCATAGAGCAATGCACTCCGGAGACCCACGAACAGGCAGTTCGAGTTTATTGGGCTGTTTTATTGCTCGAAAGGTGAGCTTGGTCACTCCTACCTAATCTTGCAGTTTTCTAAAACGTTTAGTGAGCTTGGCGTGAATTTTGATGTTGCAAATAGCGGCATATGGACCCTAGATGAACACGTCGGACTTCCAGACTGCAGCGACACATGCCAATATGACATTGGGGTTGGGTCCCCTCTCGCAGTATTGTCTCCTTCAAGCGTATCATCAACAGCTAGTGCAGACATAAATAAAGTCCAATCGTATTTCCTCGCGGAGATTTCTATGAGACGCATGTTACGCAGATGTAACACTGCGATTGGACGAGGTGCAAACGGAACAATATGCTATGCGCCAGGAATCGCAGTCGAGCTTGAATTACAGTTGGATGAGTGGTATAACTACCTACCGGAAGTAATTCGATTCCATCTAGATTTCGCCACTACGACGTTTGAAGTTCCGCTAGATGAATGTCCGCTCCGTAACTTCCTGCGCGTGCAGTATTACTGCTGCAAGGTTGCAATATACTGGCCTGCAGTATACCAGGTGATGGAAGATGGGATTGCGAATGGACAACTCCTTGATCATTGCCAAAAATTCTTTGCGTCGTATGTTCAACTCATGCCAAGTATCATAGCCGCTTTCCACGGCTGCATCGTGAATAGGTGGACAATATTTGCAAGGTAAGAGATGTTATCCCTTCGCAGCAGTCTCAAATATCTATTACCAAAAATAAAAATAACCTTATAATAGCATATTTACGAACACTATGGCTGCTATGAAAGCTGCAAGCACTAGTTGTTTGTATGCCAGTAGTTCTCCGGAGCTATACCAGTGTTTTGCCTTAATAAGAAATGTTGATGAGCGTGTCATTGAGAGAAGCGCATCTTTGTCTTTGCTAAGGAACGATTTGATGGAGAAACTTGTAGCCGGGTAGTAGGAAGAAAGGCACCATGAAAATCTGCTGCTAGGAAAAGCTACGGGATTTGGTATATCTTAATTATTTATTCTAAAACTCTAATTTTTAAGCTGTACTTGGCCCAACGGTTCCATGCCATTTAATCCGTCCCAGAGGCTAATCTTCTCGAATATTGCACTGTTGTCCAACCCCGTTGCAAATGCAGCGATACCATTATTGCCCTCATAATCACAAGTATACACCATTGTTGCAAGTGCAAAGCGATCATTGGCATAGACTTCGAGAATGTCTCCATCCGAGATGATACGGATCCGAAGTCGCTCTTGTTCCTCCTCACCCGTAGATGGGTCTCGGGTTTTAAAGAGAGTAAAGGGTCCCTTCTCTGGGAATCTATTGATGTCTTTGTATGATGTTGAGGCGCTGCGATCTACGGTGATCGTTTCGGCGAGGAGAGAGAAAAACACAGTGGTGCGAATCGATAAGTCTTTGCTGTAGCGCAGGTGAAATCCTACAGTTTCACAACCTGTCGCTACTGATATTGTAGCTTGGAGCTCCCATGTTGGGGTCGAGGTAACGGCTAGATGTTCATGCTGTATTGAGTTTGGTCGAGGCAGGAAAGTCTCATTCTTCTCATAGGACCAGAAACAATTATCGCGCAGACGGCTCATTTCTGAGATGGGTCTGATGCCTAGCGTGTGTAATGTTGTGGAATCGTTCGGTTCTAACTGACGTTCCACGCAGGTAATCTCAGAAATTTGGCTGCTGAGTGCGCTAATGACGTTTGGGATCGAGAGAAGGAACACTTCGCGTGGGATGGATAAAGCACCATTCCATCCCTTTCTTCGAGCATGTTCATCCGTGCAATCCTCTTCGGGGATCCAACCATGCACTATCTGCTTATTCGACAGAGGGTCGAGGAAAGAGTTTGCCGCATAGTAACTTCCATGGTCGAGAATGCCGCCGAATTTGAATTGGAGCTTGATATTGTCTCCTTTCTTAACCAAGTTGCCGGACATCCAGACCTGCTGCCTTACTGTCCTCGGGGAAGTAGCCGCAGGGAAAATGGAATTGTTAATGTGATCACGCTCAACTTCCCCTTCTGCGCCAATGATGAGAAACTCCCGCGATACCGAGTTGGATTCGAGTGTCATGAAATTAGTGCATTCCCAATTGATACCATAATTACCACCCCACTTCTCAGAGGGCTGGTAACTGATTGATAAATCCACCAAAGAACCAAGATAGTCCCATTGCCCTAAGGCTTCTGGCTGGATCTCATACAGAAATGTAGTCGGACCTAAACCCGCGATACCGCCAGAGACAAGACCATAAAGCGATTTCCCATTCTTCCCACGAAGTCGATCCAAAGCAGGCCAATTTGCAATATACGGGTCGCGAAAACCTGTCACGTCAACATCTTGAGGTTCCCCATTTAGTATTGGATTATCGGGTGATTTTGCCCATGTTGATCCGCCATCATCCGATGTTGCTATGCCCAACCCTGCTGCATTCCGTGGGTATGGCAGCGTGCTCCAATGAAAAGGCAACTTGAACACGGAGGAATAGAAAACCGTCAGTTGCTTGTTATTTGCATTCGCAACAGGAGCAAAGCAACCCGTAAAGACCCCATCTTGATCATACCCTTTACCTGGACTTAGTGCGGGCTGGGTTGGCATGTTATTCCAGGTTAGAAGGTCTTTGCTAGTTACATGAACCCACGACATGTTTCCCCATTCAGTGCCATAAGGATTACCTATGGCAATAAAGTAATTGTATTAGCTACGAATAACTCGTTGCGACAAAGCATTGCGTAGAGACACTTACATTGGAAGAAGACGTGATATAGCCCAGTACCTGGATCATATCCTGGGGCACACGGATCGTTTATCCAACAGGGCGCGGTAATATGGATCGTTGGCCGGCTGTAGTGGACGGTTTGGAGGTTTGTCAAGATGCGATTTGCTGTCTTTGCTTCGATCTGTATCTGGGGCATAGTGGCTCGCCTTCCAGGACTCGTTTTTAAAGCACTATGAAATGTCGGCCGCTTGAAAATGAAGTATACTCTAACTGCCCCCTCGACCTTTAAACTTAATCTACTCTGAAGTCTTCAAGGAGAGACGTAGGTGCTTATAGTGAATATTTAGAACTCGACTAGCTATTGTAAGTGGCTTGAGCTCAATACACGTGATGCTGGTATTGCTGCATCAACTAATGTGCGTGAGTATTCAATCGACTCAGCTAGAAGCTACTACTGGAAATTGCATCGCGGTGGCCGTCTGTTGCTCCGCGATGGGACAGGTCAAGATGACTCGCGTTTTCAAAATTATGGGCCCTCGCGGAGGATTTATCTCTCTCCGCGAGATCTCCGCACTGGCCCAGGATTCTATGAATGAACTGTGGCGATGGGGCCGTTCTAGGCGTTACGCCAGGTCATAGCCAACCCCACATTTCTTTAGCCAATTTTTACCCCGCGTTCTTCCCAGCGAACTGGCTGACCTTACCAGACCCGACTGCATGGCTAACTTGACCAAGTCTGGGGTTCATGGGGAAACAATATGATACATGGACTCCTCAGGAACAAGTAAGTCCTATGATTTACCTATAATAACGCTATCATCAGCTTCTAATGCTTGAATTATTAAGTCTCGGACAGCGACCATCCTCTCATAACTTCAAACTCCTAACTTGCTGATACTAAGACAACTAAATCAGACATTACTCAACCTCGTTGCGATGACTCTGGTTCAAGGGTGCGCATAAAACGAACCCCTTTATGTGACAATATTAACGCCGTCTCATTGCAGTGTCGACTACTCAGTCGTCAATCCGGAGCAAAAATGGAAAATTCTCAGGTCGCAATCACGCTTCGCTTTCTGGGGTGAGTGTACATGGTTACTACAAGTCCCGTGTTTGATAACTAACCTTATACATAGCTTTTTGGATTTCCACTGGTGTCATAATGCAAGGTTTTGATATCGTAGCCGGTGGTCAGCTAGCTGCTCTGCCTGCTTTTCGAGAGCAGTTCGGAACTCTTCAACCAGATGGGAGCCATTTGATCCCAGCTTATTACCTTTCAGCCTGGAACTCCATTGCTCCTGCGTGTGAAATCGTGGCTACTTTTATCTTTGCACCTATGCTAGAGAAGTTTGGACGCAAACCTGGGATCCTTGCTGCGTCCATTATATCCGTCGCCGGTGTCCTGCTTCAATAACTATCTAAGGATTGGAAGGTACATTTAGCTGGACGTGGTGTTAATGGTAGGTTACTCTTCGTGCATCATACCGATTGACGAGCTATTATTAACAAGTCTGCCTAGGTATTGCCATTGGTATTATGTTCACTATAGCTCCTTTATGGATTGGCGAGACCTGTCGTCCTGAACTCCGTGGCTTCTTTCTTTGTTTCTTCAACACTAGTATTGTGTTTGGACAATTTGCCATGTACGTTCCTCGAGACCGAAGAACTTTGCTAAAATGCTAATTGACTTCAGCGTCGTGGTATCGAAAGGAAGCAGCGGCATAGACGGTAAATGGTAGGCCTCTGTTGCACACGATTGAGGGATGACGCTGACTTTAACTTTGAAGGCAGTGGTGGCTTCCTGTCGTTGCCATGTATATATTCCCACGTAAGTCATCCAACATCGAGGAGCCCCGAACATTCCCCTACGGCGCTCGCTCCTTTCCATTAGTATAATCAAACTAACAACAAAACTCATAGTTATCCTTACTGTCGTCTGGCCTTTTTTTCCTGAATCACCATACTGGCTCGTTCGCCAGAATCGCACCACCGATGCCAAGAATGCCCTCCGCCGCGCCTATGGCTTCAAGGGTGCCGACTCAGCATTTTATGACATAGAAGTCCTCCGCATGGAAGAGGAGATACGAATTACAACTGAGTTGCAAGGCGGTGTTGCTGCTAAACGTAACACTATCTTAGGTGTTAATGTATCCGCCGAAGCCGAATGCTTCCGTGGCATAAACCGCAAGCGCACGTTAACTGCAATTTTTGCTGCCAGCGCACAGCAAATGATTGGAGCGACTTTCGTGATTGGTTATGCCACATATTTCCTAGAACTCATCGGGATTACTAATTATTTCAATGCTTCGGTTGCGCTGTATGTAGTCATGCTTATAGCGAGCATGGCTGCGTTCCCACTTACCGAGATCTTTGGACGACGTGTATTGCTAGTTTGGCCTCAATTTGTTCTATGTTTCATGTTACTGATGATTGGAATTATGGGGTGTGTGCCTAATCAGGTCCAAGCAGGTTATGGCATTGTGGCTTTCATCTATCTGTGGGCCATCATCTACCAACTTTCAATTGGTGCTACTGGGTTCGTCCTTGCATCTGAAATTGCAACTATGCGGCTTCGCGGGGCAACTCAAGGTCTGATCACGATCACCAACGCGTGTTGGGGATTGATCATGCAGTTTACTGTCCCTTATATGGTAAGTCCACAGACTTCTTGGCCTTATTAGAGCAGCCGTTCTTGGGTGCTAACTGCGACCTTAAAGATAAACCCAGACGCAGGGAATCTTGGAGGAAAAGTGGGCTTCATTTTCCTTGGGACTGGACTGATAGCAGCTATTGGAGGGTGGTACCTGTACCCTGAGACGAAAGTAAGTCATTCGGTCTCTAATATCCATTCGCAGGACATGAAGTCTTTCGAAACTAACAACTAGAAAGGGCATCTCATTTGAGAAACTCGATGAACTTTACAGCTTAAAGGTTGCACCTCGACATTTCAAGAAGTTGTCTAGGGAGGCAGGTATTGGACACATACGTGACAGCCCACAGCAGGTCGAAGCAGAGGTGATTGCGAACAAGACGGACAAAGAGCACGTAGAGCATTCGAGCGTTTAATGGCGAGTTACCTTTTTTGGAAGCTATAGTATGGTACTTTCTAGTGCGGGGTATATCAGAATGCGCGTGGCTAACAGGATATAAAGCCCTTAGTTCCCCGCTCACCCTTGCCTCGTCGTCACCACACTTCCGGCTAGGACCGTTGCAGGTGGATCATCCTGAGGAAAATATACTCTAGCAGGTGGCAATTGCTTCGCGCGAGCACAATTGCTAGAGTAGATATAACTTGGATGAGGTGTGAGTATTTCAACTAAAGGCATCGGATCGACTTTGACTTGTACTACATTATATTATACTTTTCAAGTAGTAGTGGTGGTGTTTAGGCTGCTGAATCCAGCAGCTTTGCACTGCTTTATACTATTTATTGAAACATGCAATAATAATTCATGCATACTATACTCTGACCAACGCCCATGCTGCTAATATACCCCCCCAAACAGTCTCTACAGATGCCGATATAGCCGCGCGCTGGGCATGCAACATGTTTAAAAAGCAGGCGGAAGAATTATCCCACCTTCCATTTCGGAACAATGATAACAAGCTTCGGAACAACCCCGCCGCCGTCTCCTCTGCCCCGCGTTTCCCCCACAACATGCAACGTCGTCCTGTATGTAGTATCGGACGACGATCTTCAAGTGGAAATATAAAAGACTCGTAGATTCCACCTCGGGCTTATCTTTAGTAATGTAGCTAAGAGCTGAGATTTTCCTTAACTCCAGGCGTCGGTTTCTGAGCTGTAGTTGACTCGGTTGCGCTGTAGCCTTGTTTGTTCGTTTCGTGCTACTCTTCTACACGCTGCCTGAAATACTACTGTAATGATGAAGTCATTTTCATGGCTGGTTGTGCTCTCCCCGGCTGCGTTGCCAATGGTTGCGGGCAAGGGGTTCTGGTCGAGTACTCCAGCCACATTTCAACATCTTATCAAAGAAACGTACCCCGTTGGAAATGGCAGGCTAGGAGGTATGAGAGTCAATAATTTGGCAGTTTTTCAGATTTTTGACGAATTCAAGCTATGCCATTTGGTCCTCCCGGAGCAGAAAAAGTGGTTCTCAACATTGACTCGCTTTGGTCCGGTGGCCCATTCGAATCATCTGTGAGTGTGATGAACACTTTATAAGGATCAAACTAATATTTGCCATGAGACATACACTGGCGGAAACCCAACATCCCCTCTTAATGAGTACCTTCCGGGAATTAGAGATTCAATCTTCCAGAAAGGCACAGGAAGTAAGCTCTCCATTCTGAAACCTTGCCTTCCATTATTAGTCTTTATGTAGCCTGCGCTGACAGATTCCAGACGTCGATCAGCTTCTTGGAAATGGAGACAATTATGGAAGCTACCAGGTGTTTGCCAATTTATCAGTTGTCATCAATGGCGTGAGCTCTGCAACCAGCTACAATCGGTCTCTCGATTTCAACACGGGCATCCACACTACGGCCTATACTGCAGACAATGGGAACGATTATAAATCAACTGTGTATTGTTCCTATCCCGATCAGATTTGTGTCTACAGCCTTTCATCTAACGCTGCTCTTCCCAATATTACCATTTATCTGGAGAATCAGCTTACATCTGCGCCCTATTCTGCATCTTGCGAACGAAATGACACCTCTGTTATTCTGTCAGGCGTTACCCAGGCCGGTCCTCCTCAAGGAATGCAGTACGAAGGGAAAGCCCAATTAATAACTGGAACAGGAAAATCCATGCTTCATCGCGGCGCTCACACGAGACCTCTGTGCAGTGGCTCATCGCTAATTATACCATCCGATTCTAAAACTCGGACACTTAGTCTCGTAATTGGTGCTGCTACGAATTATGACCAACTGGCTGGCAACGCCGAAAGCAACTTCTCATTTGCAATTCCAGGATCCGATACAATTGACACTCATTCTTTGCTTGATCCAATTATCTCAGCAGTCACGTCACCGGCAGCGTCAAAGGCAGAAAGCACACTCCGACGAGCCCACATTACAGACTACCATGACTTGGTGGGCCAATTCACCTTGGAGCTTCCAGATTCTGCAGGGTCATCCGGTCTAGAAACATCAGTTCTTATTAGCCAGTATAACTCTTCCGGCCTAGGCGACCCATATCTCGAATCTACAATATTTGCGCTGGGACGCCATCTCTTTATCTCCTCTTCGAGAGATAATTCCCTCCCTACAAATCTAGCAGGGAGATGGAGTGAGACAATTGGAGCTGCATGGAGTGCAGACTATCACTCCAATATCAACTTCCAAATGAATCATTGGGGCGCTGATCAGACTGGACTGGGGCGTCTCCAAGCCTCGACCTGGAACTACATCCAGAATACTTGGGTGCCTCGAGGGACCGAAACCGCACAGCTTCTATATGGGGCTCCAGGATGGGTTACGCACGATGAAATGAACATCTTCGGGCACACAGGCATGAAGGAGGATGCTCAATGGGCCAATTATCCAGTCGCTGCCGCATGGATGATGCAGCATGTCTCCGATCATTTCTCCTATTCGCAAAACGTTACCTGGTATCGAGATCAAGGATACCCGCTCCTCAAAGGCGTCGCCCAGTTCTGGCTTTCCCAGCTTCAACCAGACAAATACTTTAATGACGGCAGCCTTGTGGTGAACCCATGCAACTCAGCGGAACATGGTCCTACTACATTCGCATGCACGCACTATCAGCAACTAATTCACCAGCTCTTGACCGATATCAGGTCAACGGAGGCTTTGCTTCCAGATACCGAGGAGGAGTTCATTGCTAACGTCACAACCGCCCTGAAAACTCTCGATAATGGCCTGCATATCGGTACCTGGGGCCAAGTCAAAGAGTGGAAGATCCCGGATTCTTTTGGTTATGACTTTGAGAACGATACCCATCGCCACCTCTCTAATCTCGTCGGATGGTACCCTGGTTATAGTATGTCCTCCTTCCTTGGGGGATACACGAACACAACTATTCAGGATGCTGTGGCTACAACCCTTTACTCAAGAGGACCAGGATATGCCGACGCAAACGCAGGTTGGGAGAAAGTCTGGCGATCAGCTTGCTGGGCCAGATTGAATAATACCGATGAGGCTTATTTTGAGCTCAGATATGCGATTGATGAGAATTTTGCCTCGAATGGCTTGAGTATGTACAGCGGACAGAATCCGCCTTTCCAAATCGATGCCAACTTCGGGATTGTGGGAGCAATGCTAAGCATGCTGGTTGTGGATTTGCCGAATGGCAATGCAGTGGAGAATCGGACAGTGGTATTGGGACCAGCTATTCCTACGAGATGGGGCGGTGGGTCTGTTAAAGGACTGCGACTGAGAGGTGGTGGACTAGTCGACTTCACATGGGACCTAAATGGGCTTGTTGTAAGTGTGAATGCAAGCGGAATAGCCAAAGGTCTTCGGATTGAGAATAAGGAGGGGACTATCCTCGTAGGATCTCGATTACGAACTGAGATACTTTAGTCCCCTTTCTCTTTTCAGTAACTTATACAATCATGAAACTACTGTTCAAAACTCCTGCATACTAATTTAGCTATGTAACTTTAAACTCCTTTTGTGTAGCATTGTATCCGATTCCATTATAGAATCTCAACAAATAACATTTGCCTGACTATTTTCTTAACCTGTACCACCTTGCATGTTGATGGTAATGGACTTTGCTTCCAGATAACTCATTAGACCAGCACGGCCACCTTCTCTTCCTCCATTCCCACTCTCTTTCCACCCTCCGAAAGGCATGTCGATGTTTCCCCCAATGCTCGCGTTGATTGATACAGTCCCAGCCTCAATCAACTTGCTGACCCTTAGAGCTAGCGGGATATCCCTCGTGAACAAGTAAGCAGCTAGTCCATAAGTTGTATCGTTCGCGAGTTCAATTGCTTCCTCCACGGTTTTAAAGGTTCGAATTGCTAGAGCCGGGCCGAATATTTCATCCCTCCAAACCGAAGATTCAAGAGGAGGGTTATTCATGATTGTTGGCTCGATGTAATTCCCCTTCGACTTTCCGCCAGCGAGAAACTCAACACCGTCCTTCTTCGCTTGCTCAAAGAATGACACAACTCGGTCCTTTTGTGCAGTGTCTGCTAAGGGACCTAGAAACGTTGACGGAAGCGCAGGGTCTCCAAGTGCCCCTTTGAACATGTCGAATCGGGCCTTCAAGCCCTTAGTAAACTCCTCGGCAATCTCTTCCTGAACCAAAATCCGTGTTGCAGCAATGCAGACTTGACCGGAGTTGAAAAGGAAGTTTTGGGAGGAGTGAACAAGTGCATTCTCGAGATCGGCGTCTTTGAAAATGATTGACGGGGATTTACCACCAAGTTCTAGAGTAACGCGCTTGAGATTACTATTCGTTGCCGCGATTTGTACTTTCCTGCCGGATGAGACGGATCCGGTGTAACTAATCTTCTTGATGCCCATGTGCGATGCCATGAGGGCTCCTGTAGAACCATCACCACTCAGCAGGTTGATAACGCCAGGAGGAAACCCAGCTTGGACAATCAATTCCCCAACCGGAAGTGAGCCCAGAGGTGATTTTTCCGAGGATTTGAAGATGAATGTATTCCCAGCAGCAACCGCTGGTGCGATTTTCATACAAAGCATGTAGAGTGTAGCATTCCATGCCGCAATACCAGCGCATACTCCGAGAGGGTCGTACCGGATCAGCTTGTACGTCTTGTCATCGCCCTCGGGAACTAGTTCTCCGGGAATCTTATCGCAATACCCAGCATAATGGCGCCAGGTAGAACCCATGAGACTGCCCAAGGGAGCGGCCAGTGCTACCGGTTGGCCCATTGCAATAGTTTCTAGCTTCATCAGACTCTCGAAATTTTCATCCAAAAGGTCAGCAAGTTTTAGCATGCATTTGGCCCTCTCAGAACCGGGCATTATGCTCCATGGGCCTTTGAAGGCTGCTTGTGCTGCAGCGACAGCATCGTTTACGTCCTCTTCGCCACCAGAGTGTACCGCATCCGTGACGATCGAGTCATCAACGGGATTACGAACAACCACGTAAGTGCCAGATTTAGCAGACACATACTAGAGAAATTGTAGGTATTAGACTATATGCAAGCAATGGTAATGGCGAGTATGCACTGACCTCGTTGTTGATAAAAAGCTTGGTTTGGAAATTTTGAGCCATCTTTGTAATGAGACCAAATTGAGTGTTCACTTTGAGGAAGAATATTAATGGGTTTTATTTCAGGCTGTGCTTATTATCGGGATTACGACGTCTCTTTAATCCAACGCGGGGTTGCAGTTACTTGAATAGATCATAGTTTAGATTGGCCCAAATTAACGACGTGGTGCGTCATCTTGGAAAAGGATCGAGATCCTAGTTCCGCCCGCAGCGTAACACCGCCCTCAGCGCAAATATCTTCATCTCCGAATGATCGGTGCTCGAAGAAGGAATGTCCTTGTCCCATACTGTGGACGAAAGCTCTGGGCTAGAGATATCGATATCGGCGGAAGTTGAACCTTGCTGCCACGTTCAAGAGTCCCGTACTCTAGAGCTAGGGGAAGATAGTGAGCAGAAACGGTGGGCTGTTAAGTTTTGACAGGGAATTAAGATGGGGCGACTAGTTGTAGATAACCTATGTCGGTTCATAATTCTACTCATTCTTAGTTTGATTCGATACAGCACCATTGCTGCTGGTTCATATCGAGAATTTTTTATCGTAGCAGGAGGCAACTGCTTCACGCAAACACATTCGCGGAATAGACATGAGTTGGATGAGATGTGACTATTTCTACTAAAGGCACCTGATCAACTTTGACATATACTAAATTTCCGCCTCTTTCGCGCCATGTTGCCGTAAAAGTTGAGCGATATCTGAGTAGCCGCGATTATTAGCCTCCTGCAATGCGCTGCCAAAACCCTCGCGCATGTAATTAGCATTAGCTCTTGCTTGAAGAAGCAGCTCCACTATGTGCTTTTTCCCGCAGCTAGCTGCCGCCGAGAGTGCGTTTCCATAATATCTGCCGCCTCCTCTATTTATATCAGCTCCTGCTTGAAGAAGCATCCGGACTATTTTCTCATGCCCATGGTAAGCTGCCTCCTGCAATGCGCTGCTGTAAGTCCCACCTATGCTATTCACATCAGCTCCTGTGTCAAGAAGCATCTGCACTGCCAAAGCATTCCCATGCTGAGCTGCCGCCTCCAGTGCGCTGCCGAGCTTTCTGTTCCCGCTATTCACATTAGCTCCCCACTGAAGAAGGAGCTTTACAACCTGCACACTCCCACCGACAGCTGCTGCATACAGTGCGTTGCTATAATCATGGCCACCTCCGCTATTTGCATCGGCCCCTGATTGTAGAAGCAGCTGAACAATCTCATATTTTCCAGCAAATGCAGCAGCCTGTAGTGCGATCCCATCGATCTCACACACGAAGTTTACATCAGCCCGGAACTGGAGAAGCAGACGAACTATCTGCCAGTTCCCTTTACTAGAAGCCGCCTGCTGCAGTGCTCTGCCACCTTCTATGTCTACATCACCCCCTAAATGTAGTAGTTTTTGTACGACGGCCGTCAATCCTACTGTTGCGGCCATAATGAGTGGTGTCTGGGTGCACCTATCATTATTGCCGCAACAGTAGGATACAATATCATGGCGGGCACCATTTTCGAGTAGTAGCAGTGCAACGTCTATGTGACCAGAATCTATAGCTGAAAGGAGTGGAGCTAACCTAGGTTTGTCTCCAGGAAAATCGATATCTGCGCCTGCGGCGATGAGATGCCGGGCAACTGCGAGGTATCCCTTGCCTGCTGCTAGTTGCAGGGGACTGCCGTGTTGTCTTCCTACATCATTGACATTTCCCTTGATTTGTATTAAGTTCAGGAGGAGGTCAGGTAGATTTTCGTTCGATAGTATGTAGATTAGACTGTCGTTTGGATGATAGACTGTAGGGCTACCTCTGGGGTTATAACTGAAGTCATTATACACCATCATCCATTTTTGAATTGATGTCCTATCAGGGGCTTCGAAATCAGTGAGAAACCCTCCCTGGTCTATATCGCAGCTTTGGGCGACTTCAGCGTGAGCGAAGACGTACCGAACAGCATACCACGCGAATGGAAAGTGGCGCAAAATATCATCCTTTAGGTTCGGCTTTGTCCTCAGTCCATTAAGTAGTGGGGTCAGTCTTGGCTGCGTAGGGCTCCAACGGTTATCCTTAAACACGCCCAGTGTCATGTACTGATAGCAGCAATGTTTTAGTCGTTCCTCGCTGAATCCCCTAACATTGATCGCAAAGTTGGGTTCGAGCTTGGTGAAGCCATCATGAAGAAGAAGAAAGTCGCATACGGACTCATAGATGAACTGGACAGTTCTATCCATCTTGGTTACTTCTACGAGCCCCTTCGAGATATTGAGGATAAAATTTTCAATGCCCTCGGAATTAATTTCGTCAGCATCCCATTTTTCTATTGCTGTTGGCTCTGTTCCTGCTAGAACGGCAAAGTATAGCTCCTCTGGGTTCAGTGGCCTCTTAGCGAACAAGACCCATTGAAAGCACAGAATTGATTTGTACTTCGAGTTGGGGTCTGATTTTAGGATGTTGGTAAACAGGTCGTCGAGCTCCTTGGGGACACTGTCTAGTAGTTGTTGTAATTGGGCAGGCTTGCCTTCGCCACGACGGAATGCCATGTTTAAGAGTTCTACTACCAACCTAACCCATATAAATACCCCCGATGATCTGCTGCACAATTCACACTTAATAAGAGCTACGTGTGGGCTGTAGGGCACTCTGAATTCGCTGTCGATGTATGTCATAATGTCTTGATTATGGCTATATTGCTTCTCGAGGGTTAATTTAACACCCCACCGAATCAGGATATTTAGATAGTGGCGCGTCGATAGGCATATGTGCAGAGGTGATCCTAATGACACTGCAGTATGCCCGATGTTCTCGAAGAATTTGACTAATTTAAGCACCTCATCGTCCTTGCATTCGTCAAGTGCGTCGATAAACCACATAACTGGATACTCTTGAGGTGTCTTCATAATTGTAATTAGAATCGCCTAGAGCTCGCCAATATTCCACTCATAGACCTCGCTATGCTTTATCTTGAAGGAGAGTAGATGTGAGAGGTCATCTAGGATAGTTGGGGTTTTCGAGATTAATTGGAGTAAGACTGAGCGGTACATTCCTAGTATTGACCTTTCAAGTTCAGCTCCTCGCGCGTTGAAGAAGAACGTGATAACTGTAGATGGCAACGCCGCATTAGTAGCGGCTTCGACAGCGAGCTTCATAATCGTCGACTTTCCAGATCCTGGCTTCCCTTTAATCTAGATGAAACCATTATGTTCGGAGACAAGATTACTGTCAAGCCACTAGTCGTATTCAGGTGTGGAAAACAGCCAATCGCACGTTGTGCTAGTTGCTGTCTCGATATTAAAGAACCGCGTCTTCTTCTAATTGAACTTCAATGAGTCTTCGATAGCCTTTTTCTCCTTTTCAGTTAACTTTTTTAGATTCAGCTGCCCTTTGATACCACGAGGGATAGTGCTCATAGCAGTTAACGTCATGCAATTTAGCTTCGCAAGAACTTCGTCATAGTCGCTATCGTTCGGAGTGAATTTAACCAACGTTGAATGATCTCTCTTCATTCCTATGCAATTATGGGCTTCGTTCTCCCACGGGCGGGTATGTCTTGCGGAAGAGCTATCAACTAAGATGCAAAGCGGTCCCCCCATATTCCATACATTGTTTTCTATCTTCTGAATGTTAGTGCGTGAAAGTAAAAACAGCGTACTGAGCTTACAAATTTTGCTGTTTGCAACATCTCGGTTTCGTAGTAGCAGAATATTTCTGAATCTTTTCTGTCAAATGCCTTAGGGAAGTCTCGAGACTGATTTCGAAGGAAATGTGACTCCTTTCCGAGAGTGTGAAGTAGAGCTTGGTTTGGCTGACCTGCAACCATTGGTACAAGAGAAGCTACCTCCATGCCTTGGCTTGGGACGCTAAAGAAAAGACCGCCGTCCTGGTGTTTCTTATCGTTCTTCATTTGTATCATTGCCTCTTTAACGATTAATCCCCCAAGGCTATGGGCTATAAATATCAAGGGCACTGTTTTCATTTGGGAATTGGTCGAGCCTGGTGCCCTCTGAGCAGCGATGCTTGCTCGGAACGAGCTCGCTAATGATTTAATATCTTGAAAAGAAGCACTGCCATGAAGTTGAGTGTCGTAGCCGTATATCATGATTTGGGCACCTAGAAGACCTCGGGGTAGTGAGTCACACAACCACATATGTTGCCCATCTCGCGCTTTAAATGACCCAAATGCATGTCCCCTAAGTCCTGAGATTGCAATAATGCTACGCGTTGTTAGATATTTGCGATATATATCTGAATATTGACTTATACGTACTCTATCTTGTGTTCATCTAACTTACTGAAAGATCGAAGTACTGTGATGCCTTTGAAATGTGAATCAACTGTAATGATTTGCTCTTGGGGAATTATATCGTCGTCATCATCAGTGCTACTATTTTCACTATTATTTTCAGTGGGTATAGGAAAATGCCATTCTCCATCGGCCCTTGGGGGGAGGAGTATCGGCAGGCAGCTAAAGCATACTGTAGCCACCCTGGTCCTCCGGTTCGGACTGATAGCGATCGACCTGAGTTTGACCGAGTTCCCAGCCTTGTCAAGTTGCAAGACCGTTTGGAGTAGGGACTTGACTTGCTTCTGCTTGTAGTCTATAGGGATTCCCGTAACCCGGTATGCGGCATTAGCTTCATTTTTGTTTGAGCCTATCAACTGCGGATCCAAGGTCCCCATAGTATATAGGTAGCATATGAGGAATATGACATAAGACAAATACTCATATCCTCGCGGTAGGCCATATTTGAAGAGGGTAGCTGGTGAGGCTGGGAGACCAGTAGCCCATATAACCCCTGCAATATTGGGCCTCCAATGCGAGACTCAACACAGCTTCTCTCTCCTCCGGTTCACGTGAGATATGTAACAGAAAAAAGGCTAGCAACTTCGTTATATCATAAACTACATATCCTGATGCGAAGGCTTGCCACAGATTTATGAGAGTTAGTAGGGGATTAAGTAAGAATCCAAGAGAGACGCTATGAGAGAGAATTGTGTTATCAGAACTTTCTATCACTTGATTACTAGATGGCCTCTCATTCGACTTTCCCTGTGGTGGGAAGCTACGAGAGAGTTGTGTCCTTAGAACTTCAAATCGCCCAACAAATAGATAGCCTCTCATGTGACTATGCCTTACTGTGAGACGTTATTAAAGAGAGCTGTGTCCTCAGGACCTTTAAATCACGCCCCTGCCCCCCCCCCAAAAAATAGATGGCCTTTCGTGACTTTTTCTGTGCTGAGATGCTTGCCTAGTGTACCTGGCACTATATAATCTCTAGATGTGGCAATGGCGATGATATATTGTGGAGATACTATGACCGACGTGGATGCGGCTGTGCCTATCCCCAAAATCCAAAGTGTGGCGGAGCCTTGCTTACATACGCACCATTGCGTACCTTCCTCCGTTAACCAAACCACCAAACCGCGCACGGAAATAACCGATAAGCAACTCGAAGACAATGACGACTGAACCCCCCCATACATTGAAAAATATTATTGATTCTTGACTCGACTCGCTTTGGTCGCACTTTCGTCTTTCTTGTCTATTGTTACTCTTTCAGATTATTCCCATTCACTCTTTCGATACCCTCATTTAATCTTCTGGCTTTGCAACTTCACGGAACTTCGCGACAGACTTGAGGCCTCCCAGGCTACACCATGGTGAGATTGGCCCCCCAACCCCCGATCCGGTCTCGATGCGGACATTTCTTTCTGACACGCCTGTTTTATTAGGGGATAAGTAGGCGACCAAAGGATAAATCCGCAGGCAATGCGCCGTCAGGCGGCCGTGGGGCAGGGGGAGGGAAGCCCAACATCAAGAAGGCGGCATTCGATACGACCAAGAAGAAGGAGGTCGGAGTCTCGGACTTGACGCTACTGAGCAAAGTGTCGAACGAAGCTATCAACGAGAATTTGAAGAAGCGCTTTGAGAATGGAGAGATTTACGTTCGTTTAAGCATCCTCCCTGAGCGGACGTTTGAATTCTGACCTACGCGCCCAACAGACTTACATCGGCCATGTGCTGGTATCAGTCAATCCCTTTCGAGACTGTGAGTATTGCGCCAACAGCTATTTACACAGGGTGCTGACAAGCTTCCGAAGTGGGTATTTATACAGATGCCGTGTTGGATAGCTATAAGGGGAAGAATCGATTGGAGGTGGGCCAGATCTCCGAATTTTGAAATGCGCCGCTGACCACTGCAGATGCCACCCCACGTATACGCAGTTGCCGAGTCCTCATATTATAACATGAACGCCTACAAAGATAATCAGTGTGTCATTATTTCCGGAGAGTCTGGTGCGGGGAAGACAGAGGCGGCAAAGCGCATTATGCAGTATATCGCCAACGTGTCAGGAGGTAAGGACTCGTCGATCCAGGAGATTAAGGATATGGTGCTGGCAACAAACCCTCTGCTGGAATCGTTTGGAAATGCGAAAACACTGCGAAACAACAATTCGTCGAGATTCGGAAAGTACCTCCAGCTCCAGTTCAACTCTGCCGGCGAGCCCGTCGGAGCGGATATTACGAATTATCTTTTGGAGAAATCCAGAGTGGTTGGGCAAATTATGAACGAGCGCAACTTCCACATCTTTTACCAATTTACGAAAGGAGCATCACAAAAGTATCGCGAGACATTCGGAGTGCAGAAGCCGGAGACATACGTGTATACTAGCAAGTCGAAATGCTTTGACGTTGATGGTATTGATGACCTGGCAGAATTCCAAGATACGCTGAATGCGATGAAGATTATCGGGCTGTCTCAGGCAGAGCAGGACGAGATCTTCCGCATCCTAGCGGCGATCTTATGGACGGGTAATATCCACTTTGTCGAGGATAAGGATGGATATGCTGCTATTGCAGACCAATCTGTGGTAGATTTCTTGGCTTATCTATTGGAAGTTGACGCAGCGCATGTCGTTTCCGCCATCACGATCCGCATCTTGACGCCAAGAAATGGCGAGGTTATTGAGTCTCCCGCCAACCCCGCACAGGCAGCAGCTACCAGAGATGGACTGGCGAAAGCTCTCTATAACAATCTGTTTGACTGGATTGTCGAGCGTGTCAACGTGTCGTTGAAGGCTCGCGGCGCAACCTCGAACTCAATTGGTATTCTGGATATCTACGGCTTCGAGATTTTTGAGAAGAACAGTTTTGAGCAGCTCTGTATCAACTATGTCAACGAGAAGCTGCAACAGATCTTTATCCAGCTTACCTTGAAGACGGAGCAAGAGGAATATGCCCGCGAGCAGATTAAGTGGACGCCTATCCAATACTTTGACAACAAGATTGTCTGCGACTTGATTGAGGGTACGAGGCCACCAGGAATCTTCTCCGCCATGAAGGATGCGACCAGAACTGCACATGCGGACCCCGCAGCTTCGGATAGGACGTTCATGCAGAGCATCAACGGAATGTCGAACCCCCATCTCACTCCTCGCCAGGGCAACTTCATCGTCAAGCATTATGCTGGTGATGTGAGCTACACAGTTGAAGGTATTACCGATAAGAACAAGGACCAGCTTCTCAAGGGCCTGTTGAACCTCTTCGCGCAAAGCCAGAACGAGTTTGTGCATACATTGTTCCCCAACGAAGTCAACCAGGATGACAGGCGACAGCCCCCAGCGGCTGGAGACAAGATCAAGACGTCAGCCAACGAACTTGTCGCCACGCTCATGAAAGCCACACCGTCTTACATCCGTACGATCAAGCCCAACGAAAATAAGTCGTTCTCTGAATATAATGTGCCAAACGTCATGCATCAGATCAAGTACCTTGGTCTGCAGGAGAACGTCCGTATCAGACGTGCTGGATTCGCCTATCGTCAGACTTACGACAAGTTTGTCGAGCGCTTTTACCTCCTGTCGCCACAGTGCTCATATGCTGGTGAGTATACTTGGACAGGCGACTCAAAGTCCGGCGCCAAGCAGATCCTGAAGGACACCAGCATCCCCGCCGAAGAGTATCAATTTGGTGTAACAAAGGCGTTCATCAAGGCGCCAGAGACGCTCTTCGCTTTAGAGCACATGCGCGACCGATACTGGCACAACATGGCCATCCGCATTCAGAGAGTATGGCGAGCATACCTACGCATCCGCTCCGAAGCCGCAACTCGCATCCAGAGGGTATGGCGCAAGAAGCGTGTCGGGGCGGAATTCCTCGAGATGCGCGAGAGGGGCCACAAACTTCTGCAGGGCCGCAAGGAGAGGCGTCGCATGAGTCTGCTCGGCTCGAGACGCTTCATGGGCGATTATTTGGGCTGCAACGCTGGGAGCGGGCCTGGCGCGCGCATCCGCAACGCGATCAACATCCCCGGCAACGAAGTCATCCTCTTTTCGTGTCGTGGCGAGGTCCTCGAGTCCAAGTTCGGACGCTCTAGTAAGCCTAGCCCGCGCATCTTCGTCCTAACCAAGAGCCGGTTCTACGTCGTCTTGCAGGCTGTTGTCAACAAGCAGGTCCAAATCTCCGCTGAGCGCGCCATTCCCCTGGGCTCGATTAAATTCATCGGCCTATCGACAAGCCGCGACGACTGGTTCTCCCTAGGCATCGGGTCCCCACAAGAAGCAGACCCCTTACTCAGCTGCGTCTTCAAAACCGAGTTCTTCACGCACCTCACGCGCGCCTCACCCGGCAGCGGCTCCGCCCTCCTCAAGATCTCTGACCACATTGCATACGCCAAGAAGCCCGGCAAGATGACAGACATCAAGGTCCTACGCGACTCCCAGCAGCGCGAGGACTTCTACAAGAGCGGCGCTATCCACACCCAGTCTGGCGAGCCCCCGAACTCCGTCTCCCGCCCTCTCCCCAAGGGGAAGCCCATCCCCGCCAAGCCCTTCACCAAGGGCCGCCTCATCCGCCCCGGTGGTCCAGACGGCCGGCCGTCGAAATTCGCAAACGTAGCGCGCAGCACCAAGCCCGTGGCACACCCCGTACCACATCAGCCTGTCGCGCAGAACCCTATCGCTCACGCGCCTGTCGCTGCGCATAACCCGTTGGCGCAGCAGCTCGCGTCGCGTACGCGCGCGCTCCCGCAGCAGCCGCAGGAGATCTCGCTGTCGCAATATGGTGCTATTGCAGCTGCATCCCATGCGGCGCCGGCGCCTGCGGCACGTGCGGTACCGCCGCCTCCGCCACCACCGCCCCCGGCTGCGACGCCTGCGGGCCCGATTTTCCGAGCGATGTATGACTTTGAAGGACAGAGTGCGAATGAGTTGAGCTTCAAGAAGGATGAGGTGGTGGATATTGTGCAGAAGGAGAATAATGGTATGTCTTTCCCATCCCTCTCCTCGAACAGACAAACTAACATGACCCCCAGGTTGGTGGTTAGCGAAAATTAACGGCCGCGAAGGCTGGGCTCCGTCCGCCTATCTCAAGGAAGAAACCCCTCCTCCACCTCCCCCACCATCTGCCCGGCCCTCGGCCGCAAACGGGAAACCCAAGCCTCCTGCTCCTCCAGCCAAGCGTCCCGCTGCTGGAGGACGCAAGGCCGCGGCGCTACCCGGGCAGAGGGATTCGGGAGGGATGGCGAGTGGGAATGAGGGAGGAGGAAGTGGCAGGAGCACGCCAAGTTTGGCGGGTGGGTTGGCGGAGGCGTTGAGAGCGAGGCAGAGTGCTATGAATGCGGGGCACGGGGGGAGAGATGAGGATGATTGGTAGGCAGTACGCTTGGTGACGGCGGGGTCAGGTAGGGGATGATTTAGACATGTGAGGGGAGGCAGATAGAATGAATGAAATTTGAATACGTGCCACTTTTCGTACCCAACCCCGTCTATGTATCAACATGTATCATCATATAAACCGTAGCCACAATCCCGTCGCCCATCTCCAAATCCCCACCTCTATAAATATCAAACCTCGCACTCATCCCCCTTCCCCAGCCCCTACCGCCCCCCAACAATCCTCCCCGCAACATCCCTCAGCACATGCTTCTTCACTTTCCCACTCCCCGTCTGCGGCACCTCACTCATCCCCGTCTCCGCATCCCCGAACCAGAAAATATGCGCTGGCGCTTTGTGCCTCCCCAGCACCTCGCGGACCCACGCGCGGAGGTCATCGTCGGTCGGTCTTTCCTCCTCTTGCGATGACGACGATGGGGAAGACGGAGGTGCGGGGAGAAGGAAGGCTCCTACCACTTCCCCATACTTAGGGTGCGGGATCCCCACCACTGCCGCGCGGGTGATGAGCCCCGAGGGGTGCGCGACGAGGCGGGATTCCACTTCTAGGGGGTATATGTTCTCGCCTCCTTCGTGATGGTTAGTGTTTGATCGGATGGAATGGAGTTGAACGAGCGACATACCTCTTATTATAATATCTTTAAATCTTCCGGTGATGGTACAGTACCCTTCCGCATCAAATACGGCCTCATCACCCGTATGCAACCACACTACACCCTGCTCATCCCGGATCATGACTTCCCGCGTCTTGTCGGGGTTGTTCCAGTACCCCTTCTGTAGTGAGTAACCGGCCATGCAGAGTTCGCCGGGCGTGCCGACTGGGACAATGGCGCCGTGGCGATCAATGATCTTTGATCTCAGGTGCGGCAAGACACGGCCTACGGTTGTGAGTTTGCGGTGGATGGAATCACCCGCATGAGCATTGAAGCAGGTTGGTGAAGCTTCAGTAAGGCCGTAACTACTGGTGAACTCCTTCATATTTAACTCCCCCACCATTCGCTCCATCAACTCCACCGGCACCGGTGCACCTGCCACTATCCCGGTGCGTAAATTGGGACACGACCAGGACGCCGGCCGCGGGAGGGAAAGAAGTTCCTCGAACATGGCGGGAACGCCATGAAGCGCTGTGCAGTTTTCCGCAGCGACCGCAGCGAGCACGGCGGGGGCGGAAAAGGAGGGGCTAGGGAGGACGATGGTGCTGCCATGGGTGATGCAGACGAGGAGGCCGAGGACGAGGCCGAAGCAGTGGAAGAGGGGGGGAGGACAGCAGAGAATGTCGGCGGGGGTGAAGGACATGCGGTGGCCGATAGAGTGGGCGTTGTTGATCATGTTGCTGGGGGTGTTAACTTGGTTTGATGGGCGATGGGGAGATTGACTTACTGGTGCGTCAGCATTGCGGCTTTAGGTTGTCCGGTTGAGCCACTGGTGTATTGAAGGTTGCAAATGTCATGGGGAGAGACCATTATGCTTGCTGCTTTGAGGACTTCACTCGGGATAAGGGCCCCAGCATCGATTAGTTCGTCGTAAGTCGGGAAGCCGTTCAGGGGTCCCTTTATCATGACGAGGCTCTTGAGACTACCGAGATTATTTCTGTTCGAGAGATTCGAGGTGACCTCAGAAAGGAGCTGTGTGTTATTGAATTTGCCATACTCCTCCTGTGCAAACAGAAGCTTGCAACCTAATCACCAATTAACCAATGTCCTCCAACACGTCTCTGCCAAACTCACCAGAATGGTCCAGCGCATACTGTGCTTCCGTAGCCGTATAAGTACTGTTCAACACCACCAGCACACACCCCACATACCCCGCCGCAAAAAACACACTGACATATTCCTCGCAATTGCCCGCGAGAATCCCGACACGATCACCCCCCCGCACTCCCAGTGCCAGCATGGCTTTCGCGAGACTCCTGCTCTTATGCTGCAACTGGGTGTATGACCATCGCGCGCCGGTCCAGGGAACGACGAGACATTCCTTGTCACCGCGCAGCGCGCATTGCTCGTCTAGAAGCTCGCCGAGAGTCAGGTCGACGAGGGTTGGTTCGGCGCCGCCGTGTACGAGGGAGAGGGTGGTTGGCTCGGCGACATCGTTGAGGTGGTGCGTGGTCTGTTGGAGGCGGCGGATGGTAGTTGTATTAGAAGACATGATGCGCGCACTTGTAGGAAAGACAGTGAACAAGCACACTCAAATAAGAAACAACGAACAGACTCAAGAAATCTATCTCTAGTTGAAAGAAAGACACGAAACTGAAAATCCCTCGAATTTTTATTCCCAAACGCAAGTACGTTCGGCTTTCGAACAGCCTGGCGGCACCACGGCACACACACACACACTTCGACCCACCTCCTCGAGCTCCCGACACATTCTCGAGCTGGTTATTACCTCCCCTTGGCCATGGTCACTAGCTCCCCAGCCAGGCCAAACTGAGCACCTTTCCCTGCTGATGATAGGGGGGCATGTCGCGAAAGATCTGATTAGATTGGATCAGCTACGCAGGGATGGGTCGCATCTGATTAGATTGGATTAGCTGCACGCCCCTCGAGCCGTCGTCCGTCTTGGCTCTGTCCCGGTCAGCGGCGGGGGTTGGAATTGCACCTCCATGACATGTGCCTTCCTGGACTGGCTTTGGGAGGGAGGTCTGAGGATCTTAAAGCAGCATCGGATCGCATTTCGTATAGTAGCTACATTACGGTAGCTGTAACATTAGCCTCCCCAGAGATTAACCACGCACGAGAAAACCAGGATCATACATCCGGTTGACAGCTTGAATAGGGCTTTCATGGATGGGGGTGTCTCATAATTGGCTGTGTGGAGTGCTTATTAGGCGATCCGGTCGGGTATACGCCATCTGATAAGAAAAAATTATCAGATCCTGCAGCTGTTAGCGCCGTCGCCGTGGGGGTAGTACGTACTATGACAGAAGGTTGGGTCCACACACACGTTTGGAGAGCACCGATGTCGCTTTGTGGGAGGTAATTACATGGTTTTGTGGTGACAGTGATGCTTTTATTAGAGGTGCGTTGATATACTCTATGCTGTGCCGTGGTGAAGCCTTTAATGCTTCTGTAGGGTGGGGGGATGGGGAGGAAATAGAAGGATGTGCTTGTGTGTTTTAGATACTTGGGACGTGGATGTATGGAAGGTGGAACATTTCAGGTGAGTTCATTGTTATTCGTTATTGTTTATTTATTATTATAAAAACAAACAATACAATTTGTTTCCATTTCCATTTCCAGTCAATCGTTTCGGAAGCTATCCTCTCCGAGGCCATCCTTCCAAGTGTGTTTCCTTTCGAGATCATTCCTTCCAAGACCATCATTGCCAAGGGTCAATCTTCTCCAGATCATTCCTTCGAAGGTCATCCTTTCTGAGGTCACTATTTCTGAGGTAGTTCTCCATTGCCAGCCTTTCCGTCCTTCCCCAGGCAGCTTCTTCTCTGAGTGATGCTTACGGGCAGCATAATATAGCGACGAGTGGATTTCCAGCGTCTTGTTGCGAGGGGCACGCGGCAGACAGAGTAAGTGTTTTGTTTTATTTTGTCAGCATGCGAGAACGTAAGTAACTGCTTCGGACTCATGATCTTGAGAGATGTGTCGATGCTTGGGGCAGGTCTTCCGACATGACGCCCTTCCGAAGTATGGGGGGTGGATGAAGTTCAAGGGGTGACTGGATCCGAGTCATTCAGAGGACGTGACGAGACATGATTGTTCTGTGCTTCAGCTCGGGGACGCATGTGCCTACTCCGGAGCCGCGCAAGTTGAGGATGATCCGAGTGCTTGACGCGAATCGCGCGACGCCCTACCCATCCGGACGAACGGCGAAATGAGGTCCTAGGGGTAGCTCTTCGGATCCCAAGCATTCACCGGCACGCGCCCCTTCGAGAGCGACATGACATAACGCGGCATCCTTTTCCATCCTGCGAAGTAGGGATGCAGGTAGTTTTCCGTCTCTGTGTCGACCTGGAATAAGAGCGGGTTCATCTGGTGAGGCAGCTCGAGGAAGAGGTCCTTCGTGAGATTGTTGATCTGCACGTCGGCGACGGAGGCGAGACCGAGTTTGAAGGTGGTGTAGTGTGTCGTGTGATACACAAGCGCGTCGAGGTAGGCGGGGATACTGAGGATGTTGATGGGAGAAGTGTTTCCGGCGCCCTTGGTGCGCTGGTATATCGTGTTGAATATGCCGTCGGCGCCGCTATTGGCGGCTGCATCGTCGAGGATGCGGGGGCCATAGAACCATCCGTCGTCGCGGCGGAGGGCGGGGTGGAATTCCTCCTCCACCAGAAACGGGTTCCACGGATACAGCTCGGGGACTTCGACGAGCGGGCATGCATCGATGTTGATGTGATAGGCCTCCTCGGTCCATAACCGCATGTACGAGAATCCGATGCCTTCGATGCCTTCCCACTTCAGGACAGTGTCTGCGTCGCAAAGATACTCGATTAGCATCTTCTCCTCAATGTTTTCGAGATCCTGCCATGCCGCGTCGGACTTGAAGACCTCGAGCGTTTTGACGCCGTCGAAGATGGTCCAGAAACCAGTTTCAACGAGCGAGGTGACGATGGCGGGGAGTTGGGACGTGCGCAGGACGAGGTCGAAGCCAGCGTCGACGCTGGAGGAGCAGCCCATCCAGCGGAGTGCGACATGGCCGACGAGGATGAATGGGTGGGAGTATTTGTCCAGGATGTCAAGAACATGGTCGATGGTTCCTTCGGCGGCGGTGTTGGGCGCGGTGATGGTGCTTGTCTCTCCTCCAGGTTTGGTTTCCATCTCATGAATTTCCTCGCTGATCGTACACGTGGAGGCGGGCGAAGAGGCGTCCATTTTGGCGATGGGAGTTCGGTGAGATGGTGATGGGAGGAGGAAGGAAGGTGTTCACGCCAGTTTCTGGGAAGGTGGGATTTATCACATGGTTCCACGCTATTTAGATTCAGTCTAAATGGTTATAACCTCGAGCTAAGTCGAGCTAATCTTTTGACGTAAGGTACATGTATACAGGTAGTGCAGGGTCTAATTACATTTTATAACATATTAATTTGGTATTCATTGCGTTCTTTCCATAATGCGGCGTGGGAATGATATTCCTCGGGCACCATATGCTTACTTACCGAGAGTTATTCTATCCTCAAACAACCTTTACCAACATTTCAAGAAAATCGTCGATTATGACATAACGTCCTCGTAGTCGGAGTTGGTTCCAAAACTCAAGATATCTCCCGACGATTAGTTTGGTAAGGTTGATGAGTACAGCGACAGCAAGAGGCGACAGGAGAAGTAGTGGTGGTGAGAGACATGACTCTCACCACCGCCGCCCATTCTCACCACCACCCATTCCCACCCACCCCTTCCCCACAAACCAACTTCTCATCCCAGCCGCCCCTCCCCGTAGTATCTCATCGAGAAACGATAAGGACGCATGCTTCTCTTCTCCGTGTGTTCGTCCATCTATTCGAATGCGTCTTCGACGTCTTTCTTGGTTTTCCTATCCAGGCCCAGGTCAGGGGTGCGCGTCGTCATCATTTATCATGTCTCGTACCAGAATTCATTTTTTGATTATCCCATGTCTGGTGGAGCTTTTGGGCTGTGTGCGATCGAGACGCCCCTTCATCTCTCTTTGGTCGCGAATCCCCTTTCCCTTCTTACCATGATCTTAAGTCTTTGTTGTGGGGGTTCTACTTACCTTTATTCGGAGTCGGGTGATGATGATGATGATATTCTTTTCCCCTAACGATGACCTTTAAGGCTGTGTGAGGTAGCGGAGAGTGAATGAGATGGATAGAAAGAACGGCGATATGATGGGAAGGATGGCCACTCTCCTCCTGCAGCGTAGATTCGAGAGAAATGAGTAAACGCTACCTCGCCGGCCATCGTCGGCAAGCAACCCATCAAGTCCGACTAAAAGCGATGACAACCCCACCGACAATCACGATAAGGAGAATGACGACAATGTGTATGACATTCCTCTATCCCGTTCGCAGACATGAGAAATGTAGACATCATCGCCGAGCTCGCAAAACTTAGATAAAACCAAAAAGAAAGGCTCTGACCGATGCTCTTTCAAAGATTAAGGCATAAAAGATCGTCATCGTCATCAATTTCCTCAAAACAGATAAGCAGAACGCGGGCTAAGGTAATTCATCTACCTTGTGCTAATGGTGCCGGTATCTCCTGTCCTCAGCACAGCTCATTCTCACCACGACGCCTTCTCACCCATCTCTCATTCTCACCACCCACCTCCTCTTCTCACCACACACGTCTTCTCACCACTACCCCACCCCTTCCCACACCCCTTCAACCACCTCGTCTCACAACGGGAGTGTATCCACGTAACCACCCGTTTGCTGACGGAAACGATAATAATGTATTGACGAAGTCCTGTGGACATATAGCTAATCTAAGATAGCATATTCATCAACAAGTGCATCGTGCACACGCTCTTCATATCCTCGGCGTCACCAAGAAAAGCCAAAGTGTCCGGTAATGACGCCTTGCAGCGGCTCTCTCAGGGTTGCCGATGTAATGCGCTGATGGCGAGGCGTTTGGGTCGTGGGAGATGGAGAAAAAGGGGTGGGGGATGGGATAAACAGCTAGATAAAAAATCGCAGACCAACACAAAAAGTGACCCAAAAAAAAACCGAACGAAACCCCCACCGCACCCTCCGCCCATGTCGCTAGGCGGGTAAGAAGCGTCGGGCCGAGAAGAAAGTTCCATAGGGGATGATGATGAGAATAACGAGGCGAAAACAAGCATCATCGAGCATGAGAAGGATAAGACAAGTCTCCACACAAACCTGACGGCAGCGAACGCCACAGCTACTTGTGTCGTTGGGCTTGAACCTCGCACCGCGCTGACTACGAGATGGGAAGTGCTGAACTGTACACTGATTAGTTGATGTCGTGACATGTTGGCCGTGGGAAGGATGGGGTATACGGTGACGAGAACTGCTGATTGTGGTGAGAAGAACCACCGCCCCTATAACCCTCTCCTCTCCAACCACCGTCGCAGAACCCTCAACCCCGCATCCACCCAGTCACAGAACTCCCTATCCTTCATGCCGACGAATTTGAATATGCTCTGCAAGGGGTGTTCGTCATTCGCACTGCTGGTATTTTAAATAGTTGGCTGGTTGGGGGGGGGTTACCTGTCGTCGGTTGGGTGGGATGGGGAATGGGGGATGGCGGGGATAGATTTCCGCACCGCTACGTGCTTGTGGGATGTGATGGATGTGATGCGAGGTGATGCGGGGGAAGGAACATTGACATCGCACTACCATTCTAGAATCGCGGTGACTACGCCTTTTCCAAGGTCATACAACACCGCTTAACATTACAAGGGATAGTGATGATGATGATGATGATGATGATGGGACGCCGCCGGGGGGGAAGAGGGGAGTTGGTTGATATAGAGGTGAGTGATTAATGGGGTTAGTAGATAGGTGGGTTGCAAGAGGGGGGGAATGATGACTCCGGGGGCCATGGGAGGGAGGGATCGGGTGAGTAATTGGTGTTGATGTTGACGCATGAGGGTTCTGTTCATGTATATGGGGACTTCACAATTACATTGCATGCATGCACGAAGAAGAGACATGGGTGTTTTTTTTATATATTTTTTGCAACTTTTCTTCAATTCTTATCTCATCTCATTCCCTCAACTCTCAACAACTATAGTGTAAAAATCTGCAGCCCCTCCTCATGGGGATATAAACAAGTCCACATGTCTCGCACGTGTCGAGAAGAAGCTTTCACAGATCACCACCACCATCTCTCCACCTCCTTTCATCCCCATCCCCCATATCCCTTTCCCCGGGCCTATATCATCATCAACTTTCCACCTCCTACATACAATCCGTCCTGTTTGTATCCAAAACCCATCCCGGATAGACACCGTGGATAGAACGCGCGCGGAGAAAATTTCAAAAAAAAAACGGTGAGGGGGGTATCAAGACACCAGGCCCGTTCCGCCACCATTCCCGCGTTCCCCGGCAAAAAGGCAAGTTGTCGCATGCAAGTAAAATATCAAAAGCAAAAGCAAGAACAGGCATCACCAGCTACCCATCACTCTTCAAAGAAGTGATTTAAGCAGCAACGCTGAAAGTGCTCAACAAGCTCCCCGTCACCGAGTTGAGGAAGGTGGTGACCTGGTCCGAGGTCAAGCTGGCAGGGAAGGTAGCGTCATCGCTCAGCTTCTGGATGTTGGCAGTTCCATCAGCACCATTGAAGATGACAGCCAACTTCATGGTTCCGCTGGTAGGGCGAGCGAAGTAATCCGAGCTTCCACCAGGAGCGTTGGTGTGCAGAGTAGACTTGCACCTGTTATCGCCCGACATCAAGACCTCAGCAATATCAAACTCTCCGCATCCAGTAGTCCAGCACGAGCAGCTCGCCTCACCGTACTGGAGGGTACGGGGAATCTGCGCATTGAGCATCCAGACGGCGGGCATATCAGCGTTGAAACCCGAGGACCCATCGGCGGGCATGCCGAACTCGAGGAGGAAGACCTTATCCGCGCCATCGAAGCCGTGGTACGCGACGGAGCCCGGGCGCGTGTAGCCGCAGCTGTCACCCTCAACGCACTCGTTGTCGGTGAAGATGGCGAATTCCTTGTTGCTGCCGATCAGGGCGTCGGCGAGGACGGAGGCGGAGGCGGCGCCGCCGGTGCCGGCGGAGTTGAGGTAGGAGAGCGAGTTGCCGAAGACGTTGTCGAAGACGCCGGATCCCGAACCGCCGTAGTTGCCCAGGAAGGTCAGGCCGTCCAGGGTCTGCGATGCGGCGTCGTAGTATCCGCTGCGCGTGTAGGCGGCGTTGGGGTCAGCGGCCTGCTTCTGCTTGACGGCTGCGACGACGGGGGCGCCGGCTGCTGCGGCGGAGGAGGCGACCTCAGGGGTGGGGACGGCGGCTGCGGCGGCGTTGACAACAGCGGCGACGGGGGCGTCAGTGGCCTTTGCGCCGCCGGGGCCGAAGTAGTTGTTCTCCCAGGTCTGGACGACGCCGTCGATGGTTGCGGTGACGATGTCAGCGCGCTTCTCGACGGTCTCCTTCAGGGCGCGCGCGTGGAAGGCCTTGTGGCCGTGGCGGCTGTGGGAGTGGGTGTCGCGCTTCTTGGAGGAACCGGAGGTCTTGGTGTAGACGGCGACCTGCTTGAGGGTGATGGGGCCACGGAAGTGGAGGGAGACCTCCTCGTCGAGGGGGGCGAGGGAGCCGGAGTAGGAGACGGGGGTTGTGGCGCACTTGCCGTCGGAACCCATGGAGGTCACCTTGTTGTAGGCGCCGGCGTGGCCGACGTTGGAGTACTGGATGGCGTCGACGAGCTGGCAGAAGTAGTTGCCGCCGTCGAGGGTGGAGCCGGAGGCGCACTGGTCGGCGACGGCGGAGGAGGCAGCGAAGGCCAGGATGAGAGAGGCGATGCGCATGGTGAAATGCATTTTGAGATGTGGTTTAGGGGTAGTTGTTTTCGTGATATAGGATTGATTGATCGTTAAATTTCGTGGGTGGTAAGGAGTGTGGATTTGGAACTTGTGCTTCGTCCAGCGGGATTTGTCTTATTGCTTCAAATGAGTGAATATCAGTTGGCGGTCTCGTTTCGCAACTTTTTGAATCCTTTGTTTCCGTAGAGGTGATGAAAGGTGAAGAAGGGAAGTGGACTGGGGGGGGTTGGGGAGGGTAGTATTTAAAGACAGTCCTTACTCAAGTGGAAAGTGGCATTGTAGGTGCAGTGTGGTGTGGATGAGTGGTTCGTGTTGGCTTGTGTGGGTGGTCCTTGTGTCCTTGGGATCATAGACCATGTAACCTTAGCAAACTGACTCTGGACCGTGCAAGGGCATGGGTATGGGTATGGGTGAAATGGCTGAATGGGTAGAATGAGTGACGGTGGAAGGGGCTGGACGGTCGAGATGGTCGAGATGAGCGCGATGGGCGGTGATGGGCCAGATTAGCAGTTCGTGCAAGATTAAACGGGAGATTAGTGTAGGAGTGGTGTTTAAGTGGGTCTGTGCCTGAGTAGGATGGGCTGTGATTGGAGGGGAAGCGAAAGAGAGGGCGACCCTGAAACATGGATAGCGTGGGTGAAATGAGCGAGTTACTTTGTCAAATGTGAGTAAGCAAAGTACTAGTTGTATGCATTACAGTGTGCATTATGCACTGTGAGTTGTGTGGAAAGTACAAGAAAAGGAACTTCCGTGAGTGGTCGGGGTGTTTGACCAGGTGTCGACCGGGTGTGGGTATTGAAGAGGTTTAGTGCATGTGTTAGTGCATGGTAGTGCATGTTAGCGTCAGGTACGCGTCAGGTACGCGTGAGGCATGGTGCCAAGGTTGAACAAGGGGGGATGGGAGGGAGGTGAGTGAGATGGATGGGATTGGATGGGATGGGGGGAATTTGGATAGGATGGGCGGTATACAGGCCCTGCGCGTACGAATGATTGTCGTTGATCCCCAGCGAATCACAACTACATCTAGCAAGTGTAATCAAGCTGTAATTTAGTCTTGTACGAAGCCCTGTTCAAAGCAGGTGATACAGAGAAACAAGATATGAGCATCAACAGGTGCAGTATTAAATACGAGAACTAGTCGACATAGGGCATGGTGTGGGATCGAGGGATCATCAAGGGATCCATGGGGGAGGAATGAGAGGCATGAACAGTGAATAGTGAGGAATCAGTATCAAAGGAAGCGTACAGTCAGCAAAGTACTCAATCAGTACCCTCTATAAAAAAAGTGCTTCCTTCATCCTTCATCCTTTGTTGCAAGTGGTAGAGATCAAAGAAGTGGAGAGGCGGGACATTCCATACTCTAACCCTATACTGAGCATACTCGAGAGTAGTGCAAGTGGACTGGTTCATGTCCATCACCGCCCATCCATATAAACCGATCTCAACCAACCTCAACCACTGACCACTGCCAACCACCATATAACCTCCCGTACCAAGGGTCTACCTTACCATATAACCATACTGACAAGTCCTCTGGGTCTTCTTACTCGAGGGAAAATTCTTCTTTGTTCTAGTCTAGAAGCTTCTTTCTACCCTTTGACAGCATGGCATGGTCAGTGTTTCTTTGGTCTATCCGTCTGGTCCGGACGACTGACAACTGACATGTAAAGACTGGTACTGCTGACTGGCGGCTACTGACTGGCAATGCTGCTGTCGACCACACTGATACCGGTGACTGACTGGCCACTGACTGGCAATTGGGACTAGCAATTGGGACTGACAATGCTCCTGTCAACCACACCCCGTACAGCTGACTGGTTAGTGACTGGCAATTGCGACTGATACTCCTAACTGGCCACCACTGACTGACCATGCCATGCCGTCGTCGTCTACCGCCAACCACGCAACTCACTCCACGGATAATTCCGCGAATACCCTCACTCACTCCACGACCACGCCACGACCACGACCACGACCACGTCTCCCACGACAACGGTACATTCAACCAACCCCCCTCCCCTCCTAAAAAACTCACTCACTCACGAAAAACTCACTACTGCAAAGAAAAGAAGAAATTTTCGGTTTTTAACCATGCATGCATGCACCTCAAACATCCCCCCTCCCCACAACCGCACAATCACCACGCCCTACCAGCCACCCATCCAACTCCCACTCCCAGTAAGACACCAAGGGTCCCCCCCCGTGCCGCGCGGCACACAAAACTCCACCCCCTCCACCCAACCCGCGCGTCCACTTCATAGCCAGCCCCGTCAGTCGACTCCATCGCGATGGCGTCGATTGGAGAGGAGTGAAGCGTGCGGTTGTTTCATGTCTTTTGTTCTGGTCCACAAGTTCTATCCACCGAGTCCACAACTTCTATCTCTTCCACCAGCGAAGTTTGATCCCACACCACCACCACTGCCACGAGCACCCACTACCAGCGCATCGATCAATCACTGCCAGCGAGAGAGTCCACACCACCACCACTACCAGCGCATCAATCAATCACTCAGTGCCAGCGAGGGAGCGCCTCGGCCCATTCCACTGTGCTGGCAGTACTGTACTCGCACTTGCTGTACTCGCACTTACTGTACTTACTTACACTGTCAGATGTACGTACAGTTGGAAGTACAGTAGCATCCCATCCCCCCTCGTATCTTCGTGTAAACCCTGTGCTGTGCTGTGCTGTTCGCGTCTACCTTGCACACCCCTCGTGTCCCTCACTTCTATCACTTCCATCCAGCACACTCAACTCACGCACTCACTTCCCCCCCCTCCTCCCCCTACCCCCAACCCCCAGCTAACAGTGCGATAAGCCGACCGATACTCCGCAAGCACCGCCCAACTAAGTACGTGGACGCCTGCGGTCCATCTCACTCAATACCCACAACCCCACACCACGACGACGCCTCCATTCCCATCCCACTCCCACTCTCCACCCACGAAGAAGAAGCCGATCCACCCACGAAACAAACAACCACCGGATCCACTTCGGCAGTAAAAGGCGGTTGCCAAGTTTACTGCCAAGACAGGCGTGAGCGCCCAGAAGTGGTGTGTGTGTGTGTGTGTGTGTCTGGACTTTTGGGGTGGTGGTGGTAGTGGTGGTGAGTGCGTGCGCGAGCTGGTGGGTGAGAAAAGTAGGGCCGTGGAGTGGGCTCGGGTAATTGACCAGTCACGTCTCTCCAACCACGACCACCAAAGCGTTTCTCCGAAGTTACCGCGCACCATCGCCATACCACTGGCCAAAAAATGCATGACCTGACGGAAATGGCCTACCGGTTAATTATAGTGCGGAATACACATCACTACCCCAATAATTCTCAAGCGGCTTTAGCTCACTTGGGAGAGCGCCAGACTGAAGTTAACTTCGGTTCGATATCTGGAGGCACTGTGTTCGATCCACAGAAGCCGCAAACTTACTGCGAATCGGGGATCACCTCGATTAACGAACACTTCTTTTTTTGCCATTTTTTTCTACTTTTGTATTATTTTTCGGGCGGGGTATGGGGGGGATGGGGAAGACGGGGAGTAAGTGAAGTGAGATAGTTTACCATGGGAAAGATAGATGGAGGGAAGGAAGTAATGAAGTCTATATACTATACTAAACACTCCCATGGACACAATTACCACCACCACCACCGCCGTCGCTGTAGCTTTTTTCCCCAAAAAAAATCCCCCGTGAAAAGGAACGCATTCCCCATCCCCATCCCACTCCCCCCTCCCCGCCGCGAAACGGGAGAAAACCAGAACCCGCCCCTGCAGCAGTATCAATCAACATATAAAAACAGCGCCCGTAGGCCGGTAGAACGCAATTAAGCAAGGAGGGAGTAGAACGCAATTGCCATAACCTAGGGGACTTGGTGGTGCGGGCGGGGGTGATGGGTGAGGGAGGGGGAGCGGCTGTTGGTGGGGTGGGTTTTGTTACTGTTGTTGTGTTCTCACCACCTCCTATTCTCACCACCGCCCATTCTCACCACTCCAATATCTCCTCACCTGCCTCTCTTCCCCCTCACCAGTCCACGCAGCACCCGCTTTCTCACATCCATCTTCCTGTTCGACTGGGCATTGCTCCTCGCAGATAAGTCGTCGGATGCTGAGAAAGAAACTCGTAGCAAGGGCGTTTAGATTTCATGGCTGGCATACTACAAGTAGTTTAACAATAACAAAACCACGGATGTTCCTACTACCACACTATTATCAGTAAGTATCTACTACCATCTCATATTCCCTTTTGAGCCTCAACTTCCCCCTCCCCACCAACCACCTCCAACACCTTGCCCGTGCTCACAGATAGCACTTTCCTCTACCGTGCACACCCATCCCTTCCCATCACGCAACGATCATCCCCTCCCCTTCCCTTCCCTCCTCCCAGCTAGATTGCGAGAGTCGGTACGTACAGAGACTAAGAAACAAGAAATAACCCGCCCCGGCAAGAAATGGTGATCGGCGCGCTGATCGGGGATCGGCTTCGGTAGTGGGAGATGGTGGGAGATGGCGTGCTGGGACTAGACTGGGGGGTGAGGGCGGGAGGTACCGCGCCGTTGCCAAGGAAGGGGGTCTGGGTCTGGATCGTGAGAGGGGGATGGAGATGGGGAGATGGGGGAAGATGCAGATGGAGGTCGGGGGGGAGGTAGAGATAGAGACGTAAGACATAGAAGAGATGGCGATATCAAAAGGATGAATAGATAGGATCTCATCTCTCGATAACCCAGACCTCGCACCATCAAAAGAAAAGAAAAAAATTATATAAGCACCACCCCATCCCACTCTCCATTCTTCTCGGACTTCCCTCCACAGGTCGGTCCCTTGCGGATAACCGAATCTTTTTGGTTTCAAACAAACTACGGGGAGAAGTTTGGGGGAACGTTGCGGTGGGATGGAGGGATGGGTTTGAGGGGGGGGCGCGGGGGGTGGATTGCGAGCGAGGGAAGGGGTGGGGCTGAAAATGGGAGATGGTGGTGAGAAGGTGGTGAGAATAGGGGACGGTGAGAATAGGATACGGTGAGAATAGGAGACGGTGAGACTAGGAGACGGTGAGAATAGGAGACGGTAAGAAGATAGTAGTAAAAACAAAAGAATTCCTCCTCCAATATCCACATCCACGCACCACCCGGTACTCACATATCCCACAATCAACGAACAGATGCAACTCTCAGTTTTCCTCAAGTTATTTCAACCCCTTGCCTTGGTTCACCTCTACCGCCCGTCGACTGCTTTTATAATCTGCTCCTCCTAGAGGGGTTCTAAAAAGAGGTTTTCTTTCAAGACTCGCGCGCTGGGTGGTTTAGGGACTGCTGTGGGGGGAGGGGCAGGGGGGTTTTCTAACATATCAAAACAGCAAAAAAAAAAAAAAAAACATACAACAGTGGGTATTCGCTGGTGGTCACCCACCCAACTACTAATCCACCGATCTCAAGCTTGAAGTGGATTGATACTCTGGACGGTGCCATTTGGACTAGCGGGTGAGCGTCGCCGCCCTTAAGTTTTTGATGCCTCACGATGATCCGGTTGTCCCCCTCAGCTACCTGATGGCGACCACGTCAACACGCACGAAGTGGGTCTCGTATTAAGACGCGATGAACGCGATGCACCGCGACTTTGGATGGCCATGGATAATCTGGTACCTGGGTGAACGAAGGTGAGCGGGGGTGAGCGAGGGTGAGCGAGGGTGAGCGAGGGTGAGCTTGAAAATGGTATAAAAGGCACCCTCCCGCCATGTCTACATTCTGCAGTCTACCATCTACAACATTCTTCATTCAATTTCAAGGACTTCACTAGTACTATGGGACGGAAAACCCTCTCTAAAGAAGGACAAGCTGCTCTAGCACAGTCGCGAGGCTGTTTTGAGGAGAAAACATCTAAAGAACAGAACGTATTAAGTTAAGTTGAACAACGTTATCTCTCTAGCGCTACTAAAGCTAAGCACGTAGACGTGGGGGAGTTATTCCAAAAGTATGTTAGACTTAATCACACTGTGTATAGTGCTAACAGAGATATTAGTTTTCTTGCTGCAAAGGGTATACAGATTGAGTCAGTGCTACAACATAACAGGGCTCTGTATAAAAACTTTGTTAAATACTATGCTTTATCACGATATGGTCGAATTGAGGAACTTCTAACAGTCCACAGTATTGTTAATATGTAGCACCGATATGTTAGCTATGCTCGCATTACAAAATCTAAGATTGACAAGAACATCTCTCGTAATGTTGCTAATGTATGATCTACACGCCCCTATCGAGAATTAATTAACATTTATCTAGTATATTAAGGGTTCTTTAAAGGCTAAGATTGGTCTGAGCACAAAGAAACGTGACAAATACTTAGTCACTAACAAAGACCTAACAGTATTAATAACACATCTGTGGTGTTATGATGATCATGACTATCTACAGGAGCGCTATAGAGTCTAGATATCTTTTGCTTTGATTTTCTTTGCTAATACTGGCGCAAGAGGTGGTGCCTGTGTAGAATCAAGTTGCTATAGGGGGACAAATGAAGCAATTGTTTATAAGGTATGTCTCGAGTCTATATATAGAGCGCTACTTTACTAACTAATTAGGATTGCCGAGTTCATTTGTTGCGATGCGCCAATGGCAGTTTTACTCTTAAACTTGAAGTAGTTCAGCGATATTTAAAAGGAAGGCGTCATGATGAGAATGACAAGTACGTAAGTTCTTAGTAGTTATTGAGCAATGCTTACTAGACATAGCCTCGAAATGGTCATGGAGTCAGTAGACGATTTGCAACATAACGGAGTAATGTTTTTTTTTGCTATAGCAATGGCTAATAATGCATTTAAATTCTACGACACTCTAGAAAAACTTTTGAAGGCTCGCTTGCCAGTAGGGAGAGATTCGTAGACTCTAGGATGGAAAGAAGAAGCCCTTGACCGTCCTGTACTTCGGATGGCATCTTTAAATGGCGTACACGAAAGTAGGGCACTGACCTTTGCAACTCTCTAAGATCAAATCGTCTCTCTTGGAAAACGTGCTAGCTATAGGGACACTGTGAAGATCCATGCAATTTGCGCTAGGGTTGCAAATAAGATTAAAGGTAAGCTTAATCTATACAATACCTAGAGTCTTCTAATTGTGCTAAGATCCATAGGTACGAAAACAGGTTCTAGGTTAGAAAAGCGATGCTGTATATAATGAATACTACAGATCAAAGCTTGTAAAAGAAGATATATTTTCTTTGTACTCTAACAAAGATAAATCTATAGAAACTACTAAGCACATCGAGGTGTTATGCAGCATAGGTCATCAACGTAACGAGAACGCCCCTAGAGACCTTACTCGCAAAGAGAAAGATGAGCTTCATTAAAGCGCTAAAGTCTAAGAGCTCAATATGCACATTAAGGAGGCGACGGCAAAGATGCCTCTAAATCCGGACAAAGGCTCAGCCTAGTTCAAAGAGCGACAGAAGCTATACACTCAAAAAAGTATGCTATACCGATCAGCTCGCGCATCAAATAGAGAGAAGTGGTTCTCTAGTAGTTTCGATGAAGAGGCTCAAAGGCAATTGGAACAAGAGGATGATGAAACTTTACCAAAACTAAGAGGCACATTTCCTTTGACCCACCACCTTATGCTAGAACGCGATCGTATTGCTAATACATTGTTTGTTGCCAAAGGCCTACAAAGCAAAGCAGGGCAAGCTGTTTTACAAGATGTCTACAGCTTATGCAGTAATGATAACCAAGTGGCATATCGACCTAATGAATGGCCTGTTAATGGAGCATGCCCTTCTAACAACTATCCGAAGGTTATTGCAGAGTAAGCATAAAATGCAATTCCAAGTTAATCAAAGCTAACTGATTTAGGTTGAGTCTTCCCATACACTCAAAGCACATACATAATTGCCGCTAACGCGAGCAGCGAGATACCCTGAGTCAACAGCCTAGCTCCTACTCCCGCCAGCTTCGGAACCAAAAGCTCCCATTTGCAGAGTACTGCTATGCATGTTGCAAATGGAGCCACAGTAAGGATAACTGGAGCAATCATTGCAAATGGCATCTTGAAAATCTAACAATAAGATGCGGGCTCCTTACTTTTCGCTATACGCTTGCAATCGCAGGTTACTGTCCATTCTGTATAGCCGATGAGAGCCTTCTTCCATCACGAAGGATGCTGCAATGGATGACGAAGCCTACGCTAATCAATCATATTGACAAGCACCTTGAGACTAGCGCAAAAAAGGAATGTCCACATCCCTTATGTTGCGTAGCACTCATGAACGCTTCAGACTCCTAGGCCCATTTTCAGGATGCTCACTGTATTGAAGAACCACGTTCAAACTGTGTCACTATGAAACGGAAGAGCGAAGATGACGAGGAAAATGTGCAAGACCCGAAGGGCGAGGCTTTGAGCTGTATGAGCAAGAAGGCAAAGGGTGAGCATGAGAGGGTAGAGGAGGAATATGCGAGATCTACGACATCATAAGATAAATAATACTATTGTTCTTTTTAAGTTGCGATTTAAACCGTGACTCAAATTGCGGGTGGTTGCTGTGGCTGAGTCCTTGTACGACGGTGGTGCTTGAACATTTCTAGACTCGGCATTAGATACATTCCGCGGGGTGGACCAAAACCAGTTAATATCAGGTGGGCAAAGGGCGATAGGTCTTATTGACAGAAGCAACTAAGCGTGCTACGTTCAAGTCTGTTTGCTCCTGACTTCTCAAGTCACGACAGTCAATTCAAATCATATGCACACTCCCGCCTCGTTGCACAACCTCCTTACCTCCCGTCCTCACCATGGAAAACATAAGATACAACCTTTCCTCCCCATTTTCCTTCATGCTCACTCGAATTATTTATTTGGTGTCACATCTCCGTCTCCTCCAGTGGTTGCTACTTATCACCATCGCCATTCTCACATTTCATCCACTGTGTCCTCTGCTCTCCACCACCACGACAATGTCGCCGCAGCAGCAAAATAATGAAAATGGAGGAGTTAATAACTCAGGCAATGCAGGTTCTAGTATGGCGTATGTACATGTTTTCATATTTCCGACCCTCTTTTAAGTCGTGCAACAATATGATGCTGTTCTTTGCCTTATCACGTGACACACTTCTTCCAAATTGTAATTCTGGCCTGCAGAATCAGGCATATAAGGCACCCACATTCTGAGACGTGTAGTGTACGGGTGTAGTTTCGTACGGTAGAGTAGCCTACGGGCCACGGCATAAGTAAAGGCCGTGGCCCCATAGAATTCTACAAGTTTGGTTCGCGCTCGGAAATCACAAAATAACTGAGCCAAAACGCTGATGCAAACCACCGCCTCCAGATTCTCCTTAGCCATCCTCGCCGCGGGTCCTCTGGTGCCTCCGCATTACCCTCTCATCGAGTGGTCGACCAATGTCTCCAGAAGCGACAATCCCGTTACGGATTTTCTCTTCGAGTTTATCCCCGTCGAGAAATCCCAGAATAATCCAGGAAGTGCATGATTAGAATGCCAGTCGTTGAGAAGATTGGGCGGACTGCAGTTGTGGGGAGGCAGGAGGTGCCTGGAGTACACTCACTAGCGTCAGCAACCTTGGGCCGGCCTGTGAAGGCGAACGCAGTCAGATATGATGGTGGGCAGATCATCAGCTGAGGGCCTATCGGACTATCAGTGGATCTAGGTTAGGCGGAAGTTAATGGAGCTCTCAGGAAAGCTCCTTTCGTAGAAATAGTTGACGAATTTGAAACTGAAGGATGGGCAGGGCTCTTCAAAATGGCGATTTACTGAAAAATAATAAAACTGCTTCATATTTGCACGAGCTGGAGGACACGAAATACTAATTGGTACATATCAAATAGCCCAAGGTGAGAGGTAGGGAATGAGCAAAGACGAACAGCGATCTGCTGGCTACTACCCGATGATACCGGTGAACACGGCCCTCAATTTTCTGCTGGTCACCACCTGGTGATACCAGATGTTGACCACACACCTCAATTTTATGGTGCAGTGCCACCACGCGTAAGCAAGCCACTATGGCCACATAAATATAACGTAGCGCTATGGCAGCAGTGAAATATGTAATTAGTTTATAATGAACTGCCCTCGAACTAGCAACTAGGAAAGGGCCAAATGGCGAACTGAGTGCAGGGAGAAGTTAGCCAGTCACATTCGTAAGTGTACTCGGTACATAATAAGCCATGTCTAATTGTGTCATTTAGCCAGACTCCTAACTTAGGCTTTCTATTCTCTTAATTAGTGTCAAGCTCATAACAAAACTAGAGGACCTGTATTAATAGAGTATTTTAACACCTGTAAGGGCTCTATTGTTTAATAAACAACTAAGCAAGCACTCGACTAGGGCCTATATCGACCTATGTAGTAGAGTAGGAGTACATTTTAAGGCTGTGCTAGCAGAAGGCGCTGCATACTATAAACAAGAAACGCGACTCGTTACAACAAGCACAGCTTCTAACGTACTAGAGAAGAGCAGAGAACATCCTTCTAGCGATATAATTACCTTTCAACTTAACGCTAAAGAATAGCGTGAGAAATTTAATGCAGAAGTGGCTATAAGAGAGGCTCTAGAGATCGAGATGATAGGAATTAAAGGAGAGAATGCGGAACTGCTGACTGAGATGAAAGCCCTTCGCGAAGAAGAAGCAACGTGGATCCAAGAACATAAAAAAGCACGGGAGGTTCTGCTGATAACATCGCGCATACTTTAAGAACGAGCATTAAAGGCATCTGAAGACTCATAGAGGGTTACACACGCCGCAACTTCCCTAAAGCTGGGAAGCAACCCATGTATGTAGTTTCGTCCGAAATATATTCCTCAATGCATTCTGATCAAACAGCCGAAGTAGTAGGACCTGAATGATACCGCTGGGGAAGCAAAGACGGTCAGGTGTATCCAGGATAGGTACATACATCGGTGTCTACGTGATGAGGCGAGATGCAGAGAAAAGTACGGGGGACGTGGGACGAGTATTGTCGCATTGTGAGGTGGCGAATGATTCCGGGGGTTTTTTAAGCTCCGTTGACGAACTGGAACATAAAAGGATTAGATGTTACAGGGTCCATTCCATGCAGTTACAGCGCTGCTGTCAGATCAATCAGATCTTTTGAGGCTCGAGTCTGAATTGATTAATCTGTTAAAAATACCGAGTCTGATTTGAATTGATTGGATTGACTGATATATTTGATTGTTAATGTAATCTGACAGCGGTCCTATGCCGTTATTGGGACACACTTTGAGAATTTACTTTCTTCTGTAATCAGTCTATCATATAATGTCTCAATGCTTGAGTTTGAGTATGGCCCAGGATGCCAGTCTATGTCCCAGTATGATTACAATCACAATTCCGATATTCTGCTTCTGATTTTCCGTCTTATACCCAAACTGATTCAAAACAGTTTCCCCGGCAATATGACACTGGCTTGTCGGTATTGGGTCATATCTACAGTGACATCCACTGCCACAGTCGTATGTCTCTCCGTCGAACTGGGTGACCATCATGCCCTGGAAGACGTAGTTCTGGAAGTTCCAGTAATAAAACCCATACTTGTAGAATGAATTCAGTTTCTCAGGCGGCACCAAGGCGCCTGCAGTCGCAAACCACAAAACGTTAATGAACGCAACTAGTACAAGAGCACCAACCAAATTCGGAACAATCGAGATAGCAAGAACCACCACGGCTTCGGCGGCTAGTCAGTCGAAAAAAAGCCAAGTGACCCAGGTAAGGAAGGCCGTTAATGAATTTTGACAGTTAGAGAGCCAATAGAAGATGATGGAAAACATGATGGAGAAGAGAAACAGGTGCGGCATGCCAACCAAGAAATTGGACACTGAAAACAGGGTGGCCCCGTATAAACCGTTGCGTTGCTCATGGATGTACTGTTAGTGGTCTTCAATGAAAGCGGGGACGTATGTCACTGCCATGAACGCCATGAATCCGCAGCTAACAAGGAGCGCGTTAATCAGAAGCTGGATGGAGTCTTGGTTGCGGTCCAACTGCAGCCAGAGTGTTCCCATCAGGATAGCCAAGCCCATATACATGACGAGCCGAAACGTGTATGCCATGATATCGCGGTATGCCTTGAGAAAGCTTCGCTGCAACAAGGTCATCAGCTGGCCGCCTATACCGGGCTTGTCGTCGGCTTGGATGCTCAAACCCTCGGACGAACGATCAGTAGCCAGTATTGACTCGCAAAGAAGCTGAGCGCTGTTAGATGCTTGCCAGAGAGACTGCAGGTCCGCAATGCGTTGAGAAGCTGCGGTTATGTCTTGTGAAAAGTCAATATTGACTAACTCAAGCAGAAAATCTGCAGGATTGACTCGTTGAGGGATTGTTACACCGATGCCCTCGCAGTAGTCAATCACAGCGCTCCTAGCGCCAAAGTACTGTGTTTTCCCCGCCGATAGTAGTAGCAACTTGTTGAAAAGATTAAACGTTGACGTGGACGGTTGGTGAATAGAACAGATAATGATGAGATTGTTGCGCTTTGCAAGGTCGCGTAGGTAGCTGATAATGTGAAAACTGGCACTGAGTCGAGCCCGCTGGTGGGCTCATCGAGGAAAAGAATCTTTGGACCAGTGACGAGCCGTTCAGCAACTGCCAGCCGTCGCTTCTGGCCTTTTGAAATCCCCTTCTCAACAAGCGCACTGGCTTGGTCAACAAGACCAAAGGATTTGAGAAGTGTATCGATGCGGGCTTGAGATTCATGTCTGAAAGATCTATTCGCCATAAGTATATTTCATGGTCATCGAGAGCTTACTCACGTTATGCCTGCCAGCTTTGAGGCGAATTGCAGTGTTTCACGAACAGTCAATGACCCAATAAAGGTATCATGGTCCTCCACAAATGACGTGACATGACGGAACGCAGCATCTGGTAGTTGTGTACTGTTGATACAGACTCGGCCGTCAACAGTAGCATTAATAGGTCGCCTAGCAAGAGCATTCAAGAGCGTTGTCTTGCCACAACCCGATGGCCCCATGACGGCGCAGCAATCACCTAAAGATGGGTCAGTTCGTGGGTGCATATGGACATCAGGGCGATGCATACCAGAATTTACAAGACCTTCTACATTATCAAGAATATTTCTGGTTTGTCCGGTCCTGCGATCCTTGATGGCGACAGTCAATCCGCTCCACGAGATTTTGTGTACAGTGGTATTGAGAAAGTGTTTCTCAGCAACTGGACGCTGCTCGATATCCATTCTCAGATACGGCTTGAATGCACTGGATTGAATGTATACAGTATAGTTTCAAGGATTTTCTCAATATTTTACTATGGAGGCAACAATGAACCGCATCAATATTGTCGTGACTCGTGAGCTGGCGTAGATCTGTGAGGGCCTAAGGTCAGTCTGCCTCTACATCCGCATTCCCAGACGCACAGGTTGCATACCTATAATTCAGTGCATTACCAAGACACTCCGTCGAGGAAACTCGCATGTGAAATACGTTACGTTATGGCTTATTATATACTAATTACACTCACGAATGTGATTGGCTAACTTCTCCCTGCACTTAGTTCGCCATTTGGCCCTCTCCTAGTTGCTAGTTTGAGGGCAATTTATTTTAATTACATATTTCAATACCGCTATAGCACGATGTTATATTTACGTGGTCTTAGTGGTTTACTTACACGTGGTGGCACCTTGCAGCAGAAAATTGAGGTGTGTGGTCAACATCTGGTATCACCGGGTGGTGGCCAGCAGATCGCTACTCTTTCAAATTGTGAGCCATTATTTCCGTCAACTTATTAACACTGTTACTCACGGGCATAGAGGGCAACCGCACGTGGGATTTGAGCCACAATTGAATCCGCAACTGAGACGTAATCTTAGTTTCAGAGTGACGACGATTTGTAAAACGCCAACTACAACGCCAACATCGTCAATGGTTTCCCTCACAACATTGTTAGCCACAATTGGCAGCCGCACCCGCAATTTGAGCCACAGTTTAAATCGCAATTTGAAAACGACAATAGTATTATCTATCTTATGACGTCATAGATCCCTTATTTCTCCCCTCCACCTTCTCATCCTCATTCTTTGCCTTTTTGCTCACATAGTAAAGCCTCGCCCTTCGTGTCTTGCATATTTTCCTCATCGTCTTCGCTCTTCCGTTTTCTAGACACACAGTTTGAACGCGGTTCTCCAATACAATGCACATCTTCAAAATGAGCTCTAAAATCTGATGGGGACTTGAGATGTGCGTGACACATAGGGTGTGGACGTTTTGATTCCCCATAAGTAATGAAAGCCCACTATAGGCGCTTCGATTACTTTAGTGTCACGTGGACGTCGACTTGTGATTCGTCAAATCTCCTCGATGCATGGCTCGTCTCCTCGTCATCCGGACTCCATTCTTCCGGCTGGAAATTAGGGTTACTGTAATGTGCAGTATTATAGTGACTATTTTTGAACATGCTTGTCTGGAAGATCGGTGCCGATGGGTCGTTCCAGTCGCTCTCGTACTCGTACTTGGAGTGCCGAAACTGGTTGCCCAAACTAGACAGAGGAACTTCAACATGAAGATTGCGAGTGCGTTGTGGTTGTGATGGTGCGCTATGGACTGAAGGAGCAGCAGCCGGGACGATTGGCGTGCCAGAGTCGTGGGGAGATACCGCTGATATAGGTGGGACATACTGCATGTTTGGTGTCGACACTGATGTATCGAATGGATAGGTGGGTGTCAAGATAGGCTCGTAGTCGCCGAGGGGGGTATATGTCGAGGGAAAGCCATGATTACTCAGAGCTGCCAGAGACAGGCCAGGTATGTTCACTGTACCGGGCAGGTAAAACGAGTTCAAGTTGGGTATCGGCGATGGATCCATAGCACGATTGAAGACGCCACCACGGTTAAACCGGATATTACTAGCAGCGGACGCGCTATCGATGATCTGATGCTGTCGTAGAGATTGGGAAGCGTTGGTATACTTGCATAAGATGTCATAGTGGCCAGGTTGGTAAAGAAAGTGAACGGTGGGTCCAGCAGGGTTGATTGGAATGCCATTATCATCCTCGGCCCGGATAAGATGACTATTAACGTGTGTGCCACTCCTGTCCTGGTAGACAATCTCGACGGCGATACTCATTGGATTCATGAGGACGTCAATCAAAATGGTCACCCCTAGATTCTCAACCTCTATGTTCAGAGGCTCTAGCATGTCCTTGCAGAAGTTGCCGACCCCGTCTGGAATGAAGCCTTGGTTAGTGACAGAGATAGCCTTCAAAAAAGCACTGGCAAAAAGTCTGAAGTAGTACATTATGGCGCTAGAAACCTCCTCGTCGTTGAAGCGCCGAAGGATCAGTGAGTTTGCATCTGATTGTGGCCCCACGTGTATGGCAGCGAGATCCGTCAATAGGTTGATTACTTCACCCCTAATATCCTCAAAGATCCATTTCCGATGGTCGCACCACATTTCAATAGAGCCTGTTAGGTTCATGCTCCCATACTCTTCGTCTATCCGGTCCTTGCTCCCAAGATTGTGGAAAGTCCCGAGGTAGGGGAAGTTCATAGCTAAAGCAGTTAGCGCGTGGTCCTACCATCATCTGAGTTTACCGGGCCCAATATCAAAAGCTACGATTCTAAAATGGAGAAAAGCAGGTTGATGTAGGTTTGAGAATACGGACATCGCCATCGACAGTTGGCATCGTCGAGCAACGGTCGATAGTGACTGTAGGTCTGACATAACTGCTGCTAAGTAGTCAGTAGTGATTTTTATGTACAGCTGGGACGGCCTACTGAAGCTTTGGCCATATAGCCTGGATCGGCCTTTGCGTGTTCGTCTCTGATATCGTGAGTGCTCTTCTCCCCCCCCACCAAAGGTCCCTGTAATTCAATTAGCACAACTCCACGCCAAAGCGAATAGCTGCAGCCTTACTTTCAAGTCTGGTTGATACCCTCTCGCCGGCGCCTCTAGGGTGGCCATATCGTCCGCGGTTGGTGGGTTATCCAAGGTGCTGTTGTAGCGCTGTATCTGACTCCCGAAGGAGCCAAGATCAGTAAAATTTAATCCTAGATTCAACGTCGCAGCCTGGAAATTATAGTCGCTGGGTAGGCTATTGCCTGATACTGACGCGGCATAAGCAAGGGACGAGAAAGGGATCGCTTGCGGCTGAAACATCTCCCGCGAGAGACTGGAGTCTATTCACTTATTCTAGAGCACGAAGGAAGGCCAAGGCAACAGATGATCACTGGCGACGTGAGCGACGAAAGGAACCAAACAACAGTTCGACAGTGATGTGCATCTGCTCTTCGATATGGAAAGTTTGAATTGTTGAACAAGTACTTTATATTCCAGGGGCGAGTATTCCCTACGTGTATATACTCCATCTGTCTCTCTTGAAGCTCCGAGGCTGACGACGTGCAATTGGAAGGCAATAATGGTCGCCGTTGCATGCAGTGAGAATAGATCGCCTTGCAGGCCGAGTGGTGCATGGCCCTTCCTTCAAATATCGCAAATGAGGCAGCACTGTGCACATCGGCTAGCCTCATATTCGTAGCTTGGCATCTTCATTCTTCTTTAGGACCAGACAACCTAGACTAATTGTTCTCCCAGGTTCTGGCCCATGTGAGGATCGTACGACAATCGGCAGATGCCCTACCCTGTTGGGAGATTCCCAAGCTTTGTCGTCTCCTGCATAACATACATGGACCAGATCCCTGTTGACACTTCTGCATCTGGCATCTGCTTGGTTGATCTGTGGTTATCGATTTCTGAGAGACAATAATGCGGGGCTTGGAGCCCAGTGCAGAAACGATCCACTGCCCTGTATCAAAGAGAGACAAGGCAATACCCCGATTCAGGAGTATGAAATCCGCTAATTGAAAAAGACACTATGAGTCCCTGCGGGCGGAGTTAACTCCATATAGGTAAGTACCATACCCATGAGTGTTCAACTCGTTCAATGCATTGCCTTGGGTGCTTACTTCTGCAAGTGCCGCCGATTTGAACTGTCTTGATCCTTGCTCGGAATGCGATCCGCGCTTCCCATGAAACACATCAACGAATACATGAACTATACCGCCACTGCAATATCAATTTGCGTTCCCCAGATCTTGTCAACGAAACGGATACGAGAGAAGAAAACCACCGCTATATTCTCTTTTTCCGCTTGGCTGCGTCGCTGGTTTCGTGAAGGGCACGGGGTGAGAATTCAACAGAGGTCCCGACCTGATTTCTACGCGATATGTCGCACACTCCTTCAAGCAAATCAAAGATAATAAGCAATTGGTGTAACAGCATTTGCCTGATCGGCAGCTTGACCGGTGAAATAATTTCGGTTTAGCTGGTGCAGCAAATAAGTCTATTGGTTTTATGCGAATTTCGTTCATGGGCATGATATTGAACGATCTCGAGGTGAGACATAGCTCGTTGTCAAATGCTTTGTGGGCTCTACACGCCACTACACGCCACTTTGCCGTCGCTAGTCTCGATATAGAGCGATCATCCGAGACAGGGTCCTCTCACATCAGGTTCCTCATCTTTTCTTTCCCTCAAATACGGCACACCACCTATCAAAGCTCCTCTGAGCATACGAACAAAGTATTCACATTGTAGCTGTTGGACTAACAATCATTACTCTCCTCAGCAGGACTCTGTGCTACGCCTCCGTCTTCGCATACTGTCCGCCCTGCACGCGACGCGATCCCTTCCCTTGGTGTTGGTACGTTACTCGGATATCGGACGTCGTATAGCTCCGAGACATGTATGGGCGCGCGAGATTGGCTGCGCCGGCATAATGGGAATTGGGAGGCGGAGAGAAGGGAGACGGATATGCTGTACTCGAGTATCACTATCTTTGCCCCTCTAAAGTCCCGAACCATGTGGGGGGAGCACAAGTCTGGCCATCACCATCCCCATTGCTACTACGAGAGCGCCACCACGCGCCGCGGTGCAACCACAGCTGTCCCTGACGCGCAGACAAGGCTCGGCACATCAGCACACTCAACTATTGTTTCAGAGAGCACGAATACCAAGTCTACCAAGCTTCGGATTGTTAAATCTTCGGCGCTGTTAGACCTTGCTGAGCTGGATTGTTCGCTCTTGACTAGGAGAACTCATAACTTACTACTTACTGAACAGCACCGACGTACCCTTGCTGGTTGACCCTTGTCAATCTCAGAGTACAAATTACGACGCTTGTTACTGATACGCACCACCATCTACCTAAATCCGCTAAGGTCCATATTTAACCTCCCCCCACCAGATCATATACGCTCCCTCCCTCCTCTTCCCACGATTTTACCGAATCACACCAGACGCTATTTTTTATGAGTCTTCGCATGATCATTTGACTCTCGGATTTTATCACTTTTATTGCATTCCGTAACTCAATATTGAGAACCTGAGCATCAGCATGAAAGATGGCGGTCACAAGAAGGCCATACATTTCGGCCCTGGCAATTCCACGCTATGCCTATTGGCACGATTAAGAGTATTAACCCACTGAATGGCAGAGCGGACGGGATGCCCAGTTCTGTTGAGTCTATGGTCGTATGTGATAATTACTTGCTTATCGGAAGATACATACCATATAAACCCTGCTCAGCTATGGCACTCTAGCTCTAGGGGCTAGGATAGCCTGCTTCGCATGTTGATATCTGTTACTTGATCGAGAACCAAGCAGACTTCGGGAGACTAAACCACCGAGAGGACTAGCGGCGGACGCTCTGAGATAAGCTTGCGAGTCTGAGCTTCAGGTTAAAATGTACGCCACCGAAAGCCTGGAGGTGGGCTCATTGCTTATACGTCGTCACCTGCGGGCGCTGTACCCCTCGCGAATGACGACGAGAAAAGCAACATTCTACTTTTCTCGTCGTCATTCGCGAGGGGTATCGCTTACGGACCTCAGCCGGAGGTGCGAGCCATCGTCGTTATCAGGCTCAGCCTCCTTTGATTCCTGCTCTGGGACCACCAAGAAGCTAGGACACAGGGGACCGTGGATAACGATCTTCGTGGATAGTATTCCCACATATGGATGTTTAAGGACCTCACTGATGGAGCATGCCTTGGTGTCTCCCGTTTTGTAGTCCTCCAGCGTTGGCGGTGATCCTGGCCCTTCCGGCTCGGGCGGACAGCCGCAAGATCCTCTATCGGCAGTACACTGGTTTAAGTGAGTTAGCTGCCATTTGGTATGAGGTGTACTAAAAGCTTTGAGCTCTGCCTTGAACCTGTCGTACGCGTCAATGTATTCTGCAATCCTGGCGAGGTCGACGCACCCGCTATGCTGGAACCATTTCCGCAACATCAGGCCCCATGTCCAAGGCCGGCCGCTATTCCACCGATAACCACCCTTGTCGAGCTTAAATTGAGACGGCGCTAGCAATGGAAGATCGATCATATTCTCTAGGCACGATATGTGGAAATACTCGAGGTTATGGCTCACAAGGGCAATTCGGTAATCAGCCATGATCAGGCTATCTCCTCTTGGCAACGCATTTGTGATGAAACATTCTTTGCCCGGCAATGTGCTCGTCTCATATGTATTGGCGGGGACGGCTGTAGGAGAATTGTGATTGCGGCATCTTGCTCGAGCCGGCGTTGTAGTCTTCGCCCGTCCTCTGCCATCCTTTCCTCTTGGGTTAGGCGGATCTCCGGCGGCTGCTTCGGGGTCGGTGGAGTTTCGTGTCCATCGCTTCTGGGAAGATTTGGGAGGAGGGTTATTGCTTTGACTAGGAGAAAAATTTAATTAGATGGATCTGCCCTAAGACAGATGATCGAAGCCTTATTCAATGGGCGAGGCGGTTGACGTTGATGTGAAGTCGAACAATTACAAGCAAAGGAATACCCCAAGCCAGAAATACTTGCGAATGCCAGCTACGACGAAATCAAAATGTACTTTAGGGACCTCAGACTTCTGCGTCGTGCGTGGTGGCTCATCGAATTACCCAAAAAATGGCTCATAGATCTTCCTTAAGCAGGGAAGATAAGAAAGAAGATGTGGGGGGGATCCATACAAGCTGATCAGAAGTCCCGCACCTTAAAGGTGTAGGGCTATATGCCAGCGATGCTTGGAGGATTTTTTGCAAGGATAATATGTACGAAAAAGCAGGCATGAAAGTGATGGAAAGCGAGTGGAAGATCGTCAAGCCAAAGGACAAAGAGCTAAGATTCTACTTAATATGGAGGTGGGCAAAAGAGGGTTATTATTGGGACCCTGAGACTGGGGTAGCTATTGAACGAAGCTTGGAGACTGGTGATTGCGATCGAGGCATGAGCTGTCTCACAATTGATGATTCGAAAGGAGACCGACGACTACAACAAGTTCGTATCTCTGATTCGAAGACTAAAGAAGTCTGCTATCTGGAGGAGCTACCAGTTCCTCTTGGCCGTGTTATGAAAGGAACGGCTGAAGGGGAGCCCGTTGCAACCATATCAGATATTGCTACTGATGGTTCACCTGTGAAATATATCTAATGCCGAATAACTTAATGGGCTTTAAAATCTACAAGAGCGCTGCCATTTTGTCAGTGATCCATACTGTAAAGCGTCTCGATTTTATAAGTAAGCAACCTTTGCTATAGGATATTCATCTGTTCGTGATGGTACTTTGGAGCAATAAATTGAGTTCACCATTGATAGCTAGCTATTTCCGCACCAAAGACACATATAAACGAAACTTAAGAAGCCGGGCCATTCAAGAGTTTGAGCAAGCACAGTGAATTGCACACTACAGCTGCCTACGAACTCTAGACCTCCCCACCTATCTCATGTCTCGACAGACCCATTTGAGACAGACACCGAACTACCAGAGTCTAAAATTATCATAGAAATCATCTTGGCTACAGCTCGACCAGTCTTACTCTCCACCGTCCCGCCCATCCTTATCCATACTTCACACTCCCTATCTCGGCTAAGGGGCTTGCATTGCACAACTGTCGAGATACTGTCTTCTGTAGGAGCTGTGTTCAACATTTGTTCCAATTGCGGCTTTCGAGAACTTCTTATTTAACCGGCGGACGAATGTTGGTCTGCCAAGATTCGGTTGATATGCGCCTTAACGCGACAGCCGAGCTCGCCTGGGAGGCTCTGGAAGGGAGGTTGGAGATAAGAGGACATCTTGTAAGGGTTTCCTACTACAGCATTTGAAATAATCAGATCATCACTGCTCAACGCGCTCTTGAGGATTTCGTGATACGGGGGAGGGACATATCACATTGATGGGTGACAACCACTACCTTCCGCCTCTTGAGCTCAGCTTGACAAATGCTACTCGCCTCTACATAAGATGTTTCAACCCTCGCTCACAGATATATTCTATTGCTGCAACGTCCCATTTCAATAACATCCACACCAACCGAAGAGCCGATCAACCTGCTTTCAACCTCCATTAAGTTTCAGCAGGTTTCTGTGGAGGTGCTGCAGGAATACGCGGAATGAAGCATAGTAACTGGACTATTACAGTTTCAATTTCAAGGACAATCTGTCTACTTTTTTCCCCATGCCGTGTACTACACTCCCTTCTCCGTTGCTTCTTGCAACAGCCTTTCCTCCGTTCCGGATACTGCCTTGAGTCTTTATGACCATAAGTGCCTTCGATTATGGTGGGGTCGAAATACCGCTGTATTTTGTCAACGCAGAGATATCCTAGTATCGCCGACACAAATCGTAATCCGTCCTGGTTAATGTCGAAAGGAGGCGATGCGCACAGATAATTGAATGAATCGCGAAATACATCCAGCCCGTCCGCAACTGCCTGCTTTCGTGCATGGATTGTTGCCACCCGGATGGCTTAGGCGGCTTGGTTTCTGCGGCTTAAACTATTATCGATCGTCAAAGCATTTTAAGCCTTTCCACCCTGGACATATACCAACTCAAGTCTACCAGGTAAAGGAGCGGTCTATCTTGACCCCCTGCAGTACAGTGGGTCTAGTGTTTGTGACAACGGGATGATCTGCATTATCTAGTGGTGCCTTGGGACATAACAATGCGAGACTTCATGAAACTCGGGCGCATTCACAACTTCCTGCTACTACCTCACAACTACTCCTTCCTTACCTCTACACAAATTCGAAAAGTCGTGACAATTACGGCAATACTATCCAAACCGCTCCCTCGAAACCGTAGTAAGGCTGCCAGTAGAGAAAAGACGTTTTAACATGGACAATATGTTGGTAACGCAAACATACGTAAATGCCTTCAAGGCTGTTGTGACGAGTCAATGTGCTTTGTGGGTTATCATCTTCACCTCCGCACTGGTAATAATATAATTCCGAAGCAGGTTATTTGGAGATGCTCACCATCACCGTCCATTTACCATAATGATGCGTCATATTCATGTATGTCTCAGAATATCACTCCCATCAATATGTGCTGGCCGAGGCAGAACGAAAGCCCAACGCAGGTCGTGAGTATGGTTATATCGAAGCTGATCACCGAAAAAAAGCTTTCATGTAGCTCAACACGCCCTAGTGTGGAACAATATCGTCTCTGGGTGGATTGGAGGCGTTAACCGTGCATATACTCGGATGCGGCCGTCCCTAGCGGGAAATCATCATCTGCAAGGCGGGGTGGAGTAGCGACGTGGTCCTCTGATTATCAGGGTCAGAGCAATGCCCATTACATTTTGATAATTTTCAAAGATGGAGAATTGATTTATGGTATCGAGATATTTTTTTTAGCAATTTGGTATATATAGATTTGTCCCTTTAATGAAATTCAAGTTATCTACAGCAGTCTACCTCAAGCCATTCTCACTTTACGATCACAATTGCTCTTCCTCATCGGTCTTCTTCTTCCATCCACATCCACCTATCATCACCAACACTTCAAAGCCATTTCCTAGTATGAAGTGTACCATTTTCAGCAATGGCAGGCTCGCCCTTTTTGCTCTCGCCATCACACAATTCAGCCCCATCCTAGCCCACCCTTCCATAGTCGAGCGCGGTTCCCCCATTGCCCTGGGAGCTGCCAAAACATACGGAGCAATCGCAGCCACGACTCTCACTAGCACAGGCAACACTCGCATCACCGGCGACTGCGGAACCTGCCCTGGAACATCAATCACCGGCTTCCTCCCTGGAGTGTGTACCGGAACCACATCAGCGGGTGGGAAAGCAGCTTGCGCCGCAGAAGCCGCTTGTCTTTCCGCATACAACAATGCTAGAGGTCTTGCCTCTACCGCTACAGCTCTCCCATCATCGGACCTCGCAGGCTTAGCATTGGCTCCAGGCGTCTACAAATTCCCCACGGCGGCAGCCACTAATTCGGCCACTCTGACACTTAACGGAGCTAAGAACACCATGGGGCAATTCATCTTCCTCATCGACACAACCTTAACAACTGCCGGTAGCTCCAAGGTCGTGTTGATCAACGGCGCACAAGCTTGCAATGTTTATTTTATTGTTGGCTCATCTGCTACTATTGGAGAGTCAAGTGCAATGACCGGAAATATTCTGGCGCATACTTCTATTGGTCTGACCAATGCTGCGAGTAATAAAGGTACTCTCTGTGCACTCAATGGAGCTGTTACTTTGATCAACAACTCCCTCACTGCTCAGACTGTCTGCAGTTCATAGGCTTTCGTGCTTGTTGCGATTTTTCTTTCTGGTTGTTTATCAAGATTTAGTGTACTTTTACTAGTTACAGATCAGATCACCACAATGTATTCTAGGGAACGAATTGAAATCAGTCTTTTGATCTCTCCCCTGCTTGTGATTGACCCTGGCAGTCTCCTTTTCAAGCGGGAAGAGCAACATGTCAATATCTGCATAGCGATACGGTTATATGAGTTAGGGGGACTGGACAGTTGAAGGGAGGTGGTGATTATACAGGGCTTCTGGGATGGAATTAACAACGCGCGCGCTAAGAACCTAGGAGGGATATCGCAGGCGCCTGATTGGGTGAGGAGGGAATCTTCGTTCAGGTTCATTTTCGAAACTTCCATGCCCTTATTAATATCGCGGCAGCCGTGGGACATCAGAGGTTGAACGGGGAAGGGATTAAGAGCTTTAAGATGGTTCTGTAGCAACCCCAGTCCGCTGACGAAGTGACGAAGTGTCGCTGGGCTGTATCCTGGGCGAATGGCTGTCGTCAGCCAGTTTGTATGGCATGAGTAATGCGGGGTAAGTAACTACCCCAGGTTATCCGCTCGTGGCGAGAGTGAACTGTAGGAATGTCCTTCAACGTTCGTACTATCCAATTTCGGCACCACCTACTAACGGACCACATACCTTCGCGAAAAGATTGATAGAATGGAATGAGGTTATGAGTCCAGCCGACCCCGCCAATCGCGCCCGCCAGTCTAGCATGTCGCTTTTGAGGACTATCGGATGCCTTCCACCTCTCGATCTTGAAAAGGAGCTTGAACAGTCCGAGAAGTCTGAGGGGTTCAAAGACGAGTTTGAAGGATTGAAAAATGAGCTTAACAAATTCCAAACAGTTAGCAATAACCTTCTGGCACTTTTTGAGTCGACCAATCAACATTTGTCCAGAGCTTCGCTCTAATTAGTGTTTAGTTCTGCCAAAAATATAATCTACTATCCTCCCCAATCCTTGAATGTCACCTTCAACAGTCCCTGCTTTCTCCCTATCAAACCAGCCTTCTGTGAAACCACCTCCAAAGTCAATGATCCATGCATCCATGTTTCTGTCAACCAAAACGTTTGCTGCCTTTGCATCTCCCCACACAATGCCAGCTTCATGAAGATGCTTCAAAGTGCTAATGACTTGATCCGCCCAGCGCTGTCGCAAGTGCTTCGGGGTGTCAGCACGGACGGCGCCTTCCAGCGTCCTGCCATCACAGTCGATATACGAGAGCAGTAATCCCATGTAAGAAGAGCCGTCTTCCCCTTGGACAAGGCCCAAAATACGTGGAACACGTAAACCATCCTCCACATTTAACTGATCAATACGTAGATTGGCGTTGAGTTCATGAAGAGCTTCTCGCTAACATCCGCTTTGAAGTAGCAGATAGTCTCGTTATTTGCAAGCACCATTCTAGGAAATTGGGTGAGCGCGTCCTTTGGATCCTTATTGCATATCGATATCTCTGATGGACGAAATGGTGGCCATGAGAAAGAGAGATCGGAGGGAGCCAGGTCCACCCCTTGATGACGCGGCCTCGCATTATTATCGTCATCTGGGCTCGCAGCCAATATCCCATCAGCAACGTGGAGCTTATACTTCAACGTGACTGGATTGAAGTAATCGTGAAGGGTAAATGTCTGTTCGTTCGTCGGATTCGAGTCAATCCGTCGGAACACAGGTGAAAGAGGGTCTAAAGACTAATCGTACAAGTCCTCCACAGTAACGTTGAGATCATCAGCCTCCAAAGCGTCCAGGTATTGGAGATACTGGTCCTTGATATTAGGTGCTTCCTGGAAGTTTTCTGTTCAACTAGGTAACGTGAAAACATGTGCCGTTACACATCACCGTTATATCGGACTTTTTCGTCCCATAATGGGTCCGAAATTGGGTGACGGTGTACAATGGTCGGTGATCCATCGTGAAGGCGCATCCGTAAAGGATGTAGATTCAAAGCGACGTTGATATCGTGGATGAAAAGAATCAGAAGTTTTGAAGTGTTGGACCAGAAGAGAGTGTTTATATGCGCCGCTACGCATAAACACACACTCACAGACCTGGGTCCCAAAAGCGAACGGGGCCGCGACAGGGGTACGTACCCCGAAAATAGATGGAGTTTAGAAAAAGGCACAACTTTAGCGTTAAAATGTGGAATGGGGTCATCATCTTTAGTGTCCATAGATGTCGTATCGTGTGCTGGTTTTGACCGCGCAGTGAACAAGTCGTTGAGACGAAAGATAGTAATAATTTCAAAGATTCTCCTATATCAACATATGTTACCGTTGTAAATGATGCTGCTATATTGTTTCGAGAGGACCGGTGCAAGTGAAAGATGTTTGCCGATTGGCCAAGAAACCGCCAGGCTTTCCACTCCAAGAGTGTGACGCGGAATTTGCCGGTCGCGTATCAAGCGTCATAACAACACAACCGGTCTCCAGATTGACTCTTTCCGAGCACACAAAGTATATACATTATCGTCTCGTTTTTCATGTCTGCAAGGGATGGCATGAGAGGCGTGTCACCGTCGCCTAAAGTCAGACCCCCTGGGAGTCTGATCGAGCTGCCACCCTCCCCTCCAAGCACAGGGAGGAGCGCCCATGCACTCTCCCGCAGCCGTCTCGAGGCATCCGTACGACGGATTCAAACCGAACCGATTGAAGGCGGACGCATTAAATTATCCCCTGGTGATTTCTCTACAGCGTTGGATTATCTTCGAGAGTCTGATCCAGATACCTGGGGTCATCCCAGCCCTGGATGGCCTAAATGAGACAGAGACAATCGCATCTAACTAGTGCACCTCTTTGCAAATGGGGACAAAGCTGAGAGCAAATTATGAGTCGTCTCTTTCGAGAAGATCAAAACAGCACGTTGCTGAGATCCTGTTTCTTGTTCAAATTCTATGTTTTCGTTCCCTACTCCTTAGGATTCCACCTTCACCTGAACGCTGCTTCAGTAAAATGAGCCAGAAAAGCTGGTAAGTTAAACATCCTCTTTATCTCGACTTGCCAAGCTAATTATTTCTCGCAGCTTCGACATCGACAAGGGTGCAGTCCACGTAATCGAGATGAAAGCCCTATTGAAGTCATCGAGACTAGCCCAGTTATAACGCCTTCACCCATCACAATCTTCCACCAGCACCTTCGCCAGGCAGAGTCAGTGTATGCCGTGCATATGGAGCTGAATGAAAAGGTTCGTTCATATCTCGGAAAGAGCCCGTTGTAGAGAAACCTGACATGTATCTGTTCTTTACCACGACATCACGATGTTCGCCAAGGAGTTTGGCGTCGATGAAGTCCCTGGCACACATCCAGGACACGATTCTTTCAGCTTGGAAAGGCCGTTCATCAACCAGAGATTCGATTTCGTCATCTGCGATGGCCAAGTCTTACGAACACACAAGCGACCTAAATACCGGGAGCGAACCGAAGCAAGCCGACTCACAAGCTCACAGCTAATTTTAGCGTTGCAGCGCATCCGACATGGAGGGACATTAGTCATACTATTGCACAAGATCGAGGCGTTGGATACCATGGAGCTTCTATATCTATTCTCCCAGTTTTCCGACATCGAAGTATTCAAACCCTTAAGGAAGCATCGACGTTCTATCTCATTGCGAAGAATGTTCAGCCGAGTGTAGAATCTGCAAGAGTGGCAGTCATTGCTTGGAAGAAGGCTTGGTGGAATGCAACCTTTGGTGGGGAGCAGGGTGTAGGTGCACAGAGACTCGATAAGGATGATAAATATGCACAGGCAATCATTGACTCTTTCAGCGATAGGTTTACTACGCTTGCTAGACCAGTCTGGAAGATTCAGGCAGACGCTTTGAGTAGAACAGACTTCACTCAGTAATCTGTAGAGGATTGGAAGTCAGTCATGAAAAACATGGATGCACCTGACCGTATTGGATTTTATTACTAACAAGCCGTGGGACCTTGGAGCCAACAAAGACATCTCACTTCCCTAGCGGCATCATTCAGGTCCTACTACTTGAGCTACTTGATCAGAATCCATCGAGGAATCTATTTCGGACGAGACTACATACATGGGTTGCTTCCTAGCTTTAGGGAAGTTGCAGCGTGTGTAACCCTCTGTGAGTCTTCAGATGCCTTTAATGCTCGTTCTTGAAGTATGCGCGATGTTATCAGTAGAACCTCCCGTGCTTTTTCATGTTCTTAGATCTGCGTTGCTTCTTCTTCGCAAAGGGCTTTCATCTTAGTCAGCAGTTCTACATTCTCTCCTTTAATTCCTATCATCTTGATCTCTAGAGCCTCTCTTATAGCCACTTCTGCATTAAATTTCTCACGCCATTCCTTAGCACTATATTAAAAGGTAATTATATCTCTAGAAGGATGTTCTCTACTTTTCTCTAGTGCGTCAAAAGTTGCGCTTGTTGTAACGAGTCGCATTTCTAGATCATAGTCTACAGTACCTTTTCCGAGCATAGCCTTAAAATGAACTCTAACTCTATTACATAGGTCGATATAGGCCCTAGTCGAGTGCTTGCTTAGTTGTTTATTAAACAGTACAGCCTTTCTAGCTGTTAAAATACTCTATTGATACAAGTCCTCTAGTTTTGTTATGAGCTTGACATTAGTTAGGAGAATTATAAGCCTAAGTTGGGAGTCTAGCTAAATGACATAATTAGACATAGCTTATTATATACTAAGTACACTCACGAATGTGACTGGCTAACTTCTCCCTGCACTCAGTTCGCCATTTAGCCCTTTCCTAGTTGCTGGTTTGAGGGCAATTCATTCTGAATCTAATTACATATTTCACTGCCGCTATTCTCTCGCCTTCAATATTTTATATATTAGATATCTCTATGATGAATCTAGTCTACCCGCTTATCGCTTTTGCCTGTCTCGCCTCAGGTTCAACTGCAAACCCATTTTACACCAATTCTTCAGCCACCACTCACATTGCAACTTAACATCTTCAACTGCGAATAAGGCCCAAACGGATACCAATTCTCCAATTGTTCTTAAAAGCTGGTCAGGGTTAGGCTGTAAGCATAATCAATCTAATACCCAGATGCATTCATAGCGTCTAATTATCCTCAAGGCACAGGGCAAATGACTGAGTTTGATTTATCAGCACTATATGGGTGGAATGTTACTTGTGACCCTAGACCATTTTCCAGCTTTAAACTCAGTCGCCCGCTAAAAGAGAGAGAACAGCTTGATTTCAGTCGTATGTCAGAATCAGATGATTGTGGTCGCTTCCTGCACTCGTATTAGCCACGAGATTCACTAGGTGAGACGGGTGTAGGAAGAAATCCACCAAAAGCTAACACAGAACAGCTGGATGTGTTAATCTAAGCTCATTTTGGTGCGTTCGAATCTGGCTTAACTAGCTAGAGCGCACCGCCAACCGGATGGACCACTAGATGGACCCTGGAACGAATGGATGACTCCAAATGTGGCTCCTACAGCACAGAGCGGTAGACATTGGTCGCTCATGGAAAGTCCTAGAAGAGCGTAAAAGAGCGCTACACTATACTTGAATTAAGAATAGAATTTGAACTCAGCCACATGACCCATACCTATACGTGGTGGCACTTTGTAGCAGAAAATTGAGGGCCGTGTTCACCGGTATCATCAGGTGGTAGCCAGCAGATCGCTGCTCGTCTTTGCTCGTTCCCTACCTCTCACCTTGGCCTGTTTGATATGTACTAATTAGTATTTCGTGTCCTCCGACTGGTACAAAAATTGAAACACTATTATTATTTTTCAGTAACTACTATAAGCGATAATAGCTACTTCCGCACAAAAAACACATATAAACGGAACTCAAGAAACCGGGGCCATTCAAGAGTTTGAGCAAGCACAGTGAATTACACACTACAGCTGCCTAAGAACTCTAGACCTCCACCCACTATCTTATGTCTCAACAGACCCGTTTGGGACAGATATCGAACTACCGGAGTATAAATACATCAAGTAGGTACACCCACGATGTGATAGCAGCATGCTAGCCGGACCTCAGTAATAACTTCGATAAACTGGGAAGATTACGAACCGACGACGAGCCAAGGCAGTTGCCGTGGCTTTGGGAGTAACTTGAGCTTGGAGACGTAGGCGTTCCATCTCCTTTTCTAGTGACTCTAAATCACCGGTAGAAGTGTTAGAGATGTCGTCGTTGCGAGGATCCTGAGGAATAATAGGTCTAGAAGATATGATTCTGAGGTAGTGGAGACGTTGTTTGTCATTGCGAAAGGTAGGCATTTTATAGCCTTCGAATGCCATTTAGTTGGCGAGTTGTTTTACTGATGGTATCGGAGGTAGTATATGAGAGGTGAAGTGAAGAAGTCTCGCTAGGGAATTGATGGCCTCTTATAATGTTAATGGACCCTTGCACAGCGCTAACCCTTTGTAGATGTCTGAAAAGCAATCTGCCTTGAGATGACAACCCATACTCCGTACTCATCCCGAAACAACCCATCTCCGAAGTTGTAGAGTGCATATTCCAAATTTGCAGTTTCCAGCATGAAATCTAATGCGATGACTCTGGGAGGTTCGGTGCCATTCTGGAGAGCGGGTTACCTTCGTGCGTTAAAGTGCTTTCATGGGTGCTCTCGTCAGAGATTCGGACAGTCTCCCCTTTCTGTTCACTCTCTAGAATCCGCGAGCCCATTTGCTTCCCGCCTACGCCCACGCCACTGTGGTTAACCTCATATGGATAATAGACCGAGGACCCCTAGTATCCACACTTCACACCAATTTGGCAAGGGGACGCTAGCTTGGCAAGAGTCTGTGGCTTCCAAGTCCAGCTCGTTGCAGCTCATCATATTTTCTCTTAGCAGAAGTTCCTGTGGAAAGCTGCGAGCAGTCGTCGCCAAACATCAGCCGCCATCCCTCTTTCCGCCAGAGAAGACAGCCGCAATCAGCCGCTCGGCATAGCGTGGACTGTGGCACACCTAGCATACGGCAAAGCATGCTTGCCGACAGCGGAGTATTGCTATATAGGCGGTTCAACCCAAGAATTCCAACGTCATGAAAGCCAATAGAACGAATGGATTTCTTGTTGGTCTCGAAAAAATCCTTGGTGACCTTTTTAGGAGCCACCACTCCACACATGTCAAGCTGATGCAGATCAAATGCGCAGTGAGACAGCAGTTCCAGAACACGTTCGGAGACCCCACGCACGCGCAGGACCTTGACGTTCTTCAGCAGCTGTCTTAGAGACTCCGATAGAGGGCCTAGATTTGGTTCTTCCCACTATGAATCGTAGAATGGAAGCTCGAAGTGCAACAAGCTAATGGTATGAATGGCAACGCCTGCCTTCTAGCACGCTGAATGGCGCTCGAAACGACTTGTAGATGGTGTTTGTAAAACTCATTTTTTATGACCATGTCTGGGATCAACAGCCAGCCGTCATCTTCCAGCACCTCAGAGAAAGACAATCTCACCTCCTGCAACAAAGGAAGTGCACAGAAGACAGATGATAAAATCAGGTCAGCACCCTCATCGACAATGCTGCGCTGCTCTATACAATGCCGTGGACAGTTTTGTATATGGCCATGTACGAATGGAACTCATCTGCTTCATACCCCACATCGTAAAAATCTTCGCTTGATCTACGTGGCTGTCGGGAGTTAGAATATCAGACCTAAAACGGTCAAAATCTAGTATTTCTACTCGATTTCAGGATTAGTATTAGCTTAAACTCAGCGAGCGACTGGAGATGCATACCAGTCTTTAGCAGTTCAGTGATTTCGTAGGTAAAGGAGGTAATATAGCCACAAACATTTGACTTCAAGAGGTCGTTGAGTCCTTCAATCCCGGCCTGAGAGAACTCAAACTTCACGTGACGAAAGAGGGTCGACAGACAGGCTTGTCTGAGCCGTTTGCTGGCGCGGGAAAGATCTTTGATCTCCCAAACTGGAAGGTGGTCGACAACGGCGTGGAAAATCTCCGTCGGGAGCGTCTCAAGGTGCGTTAATTCTGGAGTGTCAATGCTCATTATGAAAACGTTGGAGGGCTCCTGGTTGCTGGTTCGAGGGCAATTCATTCTGAATCAAGTACACTTTTCACTGCCGCTATAGCGCCATGTTATATTTACGTGGCCATGGTGGTTTACTTATGCGTGTGGCACTTTGCAGCAGAAACTGGGGTGTGTGGTCAACAGCTGGTATCATCGGGTGGTGACAGCAGATCGCTGCTCTTTCGAATTGTGAGCCGCCAACTTGTTACCGCTCTCACTCACGTCCGCAACTGAGACGTAATCTTAGTTTCAGAGTGATGACGATTAACACCACGCCAACGCATCAATGGCTCTCCTCACAACATCGCCAGCCACAATTGGCAACCGCACCTGCAGTTCGAGTCACGGTTTAATTTGCACTTAGAGAACGACAATAGTATTGTCTATGTTATGATGCCGTAGGTCCTCCATTTCTCCCCTCCACCTCCACCTTCTCATCCTCAGTCTTTGCCTTCTTGCTCACATACTTCAGAGCCTCTCTCTTCGTGTCTTGCACATATTCCTCATCATCTTCGCTCTTTCGTTTCCTGCTCACACAGTTTGAACGTGGCTCTTTAATATAATGAGCAACCTGAAAATGGGCCCGGGAGTCTGAAGCGTTCTTGAGTGGTACGTGACATGAGGGATGTGGACATTCCTTTTCTGCGCCAGTCTCAAGGTGCTTGTCAGCATGAGTTGTCTTACAATTGATGATTCGGGAGGAGGCGGACGACTAAAACAAGTGCATGTCTCTGCGTATGGGGCCAGCATGGCTCTTCCAAAACAGGTTCTAGAAGGAGCGAAATCATTCAGCTATGATTTGTAGACTCAAGAAGTCTGCCAGCTGGAAGAGGTACCAGTTCCTCTGGGCTGTGTTTTGAAAGTGAAGGCTGAGGGGGAGCCTGTTGCAACCATATCAGATATTGCTACTGATGGACTCATAAAACGTCTTGCGGACTTAGGCCTCTGATGCAGTGCATCTTGAGTAACGCCGAACAGATAGATAGCTTCGCTTTGAACCAGACCTGTACCCGACGCTCAGTTAGCAGTCGCATGTTTGTCCTTCTGTAATAGCCATCAGGCCGTAACCGCCCACGCTGTGCAATCCAGATTGTCGGCGCTAAAACATTCATCCCGAGGGAAGAGGAAAGGCGCCTTTTCAGGAGGGATCCAACACAGCTAAAGCCAGCAATGTGATTATATTCAGTCATCCGATTATGTCCTCTACGTTTTTGATGCTCCGTAAACCTACATGCAATCTCTATCTTCAGGTCTGCGAGCTTTTCCTGCTCGGCCGATCCCAGCTGTTCTCCGTCTCTGCCGTACTAGTCCTGTGCCTCATCCCTCTCCCATCATCCACACTAACTGTGACCTCTCCCTTAACCTTGATCTTATCCAGTCCATACAGGTTCTCCACGCTGTCTCTGCCCTGACTCCACTGACCGCCGCCTAGCCTACTGGCGCCTCCGGGCCCCGCCTCGACCGTGGTAACCGTCCCAAAGGTGTGCCCCTTTCCCATGAATGCGAAAGTCTCCAGCCCGATATCATCTGACGGCGGGTATGCCGTCAACACAATGTCCGCCCTTGTAGTCGAATATAGCAAGACGTCAAGCCAGCCGTTGCAGGCGATCATCGACCCCGCTACGCAGAAATACGCCAATGAGGCCTTGTTCCCAGCCAACGCTACTATCCGACCGATAGCGAGTGGCGCAGTACAGACGATATAGACGACGGGGTAGAGGATCATAAGAGGTGTCACACGGTGGATCATCTGGCCGGACATATCCTCCCCCTAGGAGCGAGCGCGCAGGTAGATGAAGATGGTGGCGTAGATCAGGACGCTGCTAAACATGCAGACAAAGATCCAGAAATAGTGAAGCCAAAGACGCTCGTTTTGGTAGGCATCATTGATCTAGCACTTTCGGCCGAGTCAGTTGGGAAGTAGGAGAAGGGAGGTCAAGGAAATACCTATGCGCTAGCTCGGACGTAGAAGTCATGCCGATGGACGAGGGGTCCGATGAGTGCCATCACGTATACGAATGTCTAAAGGCCGGCGCTGTAGCAATAGAAAGCCACGGTGGGCAATCTATAGTCCTTTACAACGCCGAAGAATGTGTGGACGGCAATTGCGCATATGAATACGCTACTTGCGAGATCTCCAGTGGAAACAAACCTAAGCTACCGTTAGTTTCAACTTCGTCTAATCACTTTACAAAACGAACCATCCTTGCGCAAAACACATCGATGTTCCTACTTCAATTGCATTGTGCCTTAAAGCATGAATGTTGAGGACGAAGGCAAGCGCTTGCTGGATATCTGCAAATAACATTTAGCAAGTGGCTTTAAATCGGCATGGAGTTCTAACTAGCGAAGAGGAGGTTGTAGATAAGGAACAGGAACTGATTCATAGGCCCCTTCGCTGCAGATTTGCACCGCCATGATATCAAACGGAACATTAGCCATAGGAATAATGAAGTCGAGCAGATCAAAGACAATAAACCGAACGTCGACACCGGTATCAATCCATGAGAAAGGACAGCAGGGAGTGGTGACAATGACCTGCTCGCAGCGTCGAGTGCCATAGTGGCTTCTGCCAGCAGAGAAACAGAAACACCGAGGGATGTCAGATTTCCTGCAACACCGTAGCAATTTGTAGTAGTCCCACTAGCAAGTAGCTTTAATAGGAAGGAAGCTCCTGTCTGTTCCAGGCTCTATAATTTCCTAGTCCGGATAGCATCTGCTACAGTGTAGAAGAAATAATGAGATCAATTTTGGCGAGGTAGGACGAGTTTGCATGCCCGTCGAACGTCATTGATTTTAGAGATTTGGTTCGTTCTCCAAATCTCCAAATCACGTGAGCTTCATGATGTAGTCACCGCTCTTAGTGGGTTGACGACGAACACTTAGCCCATCGCTTTCAATTGATAAACAAAGACTGAGCAGCTTAAAAGTAGCTAAAGCTGTTGGATGGCTTATTGCTACACTTGATGAAGCTCTTCGACAGCAACGTCAAACAGTAGCAGTCTAAACAAACGTACTATATTATCTACTAATCCATCTGTGGCTATTCGCTGAGTTCTCCTGTGAGCCCAGGAAGTAGGTGCTAGACTAAATGAACATACTCATCTTAGAATGTCTCATATATACCCGAGCACGTAACATGTATCCAACTAACAAAAGCTGATTGATATTTAAAAGTCGCAGTTTAAAATAAGTGAACGTGTCTAGACGCGTCTCTCGTATTTCTGAATCAGGGTGAACGCGAACCTGACGGATGAGTGAAGATGCAAGGGTCGGCATTAGCGTGGCGACCGCAGCAAATCAGGAAGGGGGAGAACCCTTGAAAACCGACATCCATCACGGCACATGTTGACATTGTGCAGCAAAGTGATAAAATATGTGGATTGAGGGCAGGAGACCATCAACCTGGCTCCTAAACTGAAATGTAGTGACGGCATACGAGTTCTCTATCTAATCCTTTTGCTATCCTAATAATCGTCGGAGCCAACCTTTCGTTTCACTCGAGGTCGGGGTAAGCGAACAGCGTTCGTGGAAACAGACGGCGCTCAGGTACCATCACTAGCAAATTGTATGTGAAGGATCTTCGTGTTTGTTAATTTTCGCCAAAATGGTGTTCTCTTTACCTTGAACCACTACCTTATATGAGTCTCTTTTACTTGATTTATTGTCACCTAGACCTTAACATAGCTATTTAGATTCTATAAAATGTGGTGTTTCACTCGCCTGGGCATTTCACTCGCATATGGACTACGTCACACGAAATATTAAACTATGACATAAAAATACACACCCCTACCTATATCTAGCCCATCAGTTATACTCCGTGCCTCTACTCTTGTATATTGCTCTATATCCGCTTGTAATAATAGGCATTTACAATTTCCTGTGGTGACTGGGGAGGCACCAATTATAATTGTTGTCATCGTCGACGCAACATATCCGCTACCAATCAGCCCACTCTCTCAGCACAACCACAACTTTTTTCACCTTTTCCGTACCTACCGCACTTGCCCTCCTGATCTTCTCTTCTCCCCAGCTACCCCAACGTCCCCACCTTTCCCAGCCTCGGTCCTCATCTTCTTCACTCTGCCTCATTATATCAGGAATTCCGCTCTGCCGTCTCTGCGACTCGGGCCGCTCTTCCCCCTCTCTATCCCTGAAGTTCCAATCCACTACAAACCTTGCCTTCCTCACGACAGAAAGATATACCGGAAACACCAGCGCGACGCCAAGCAAAAGAATTATGACCCAAAATGACCTCCTCAGACTCCGATTTCTCATCGCCCCAAATATAATCCACGGGCCCACCGTCCCTATACACCTCGAAGCCGTCAGCATTGCTGCCGCGATCCTCGTATTCCTCCCCATTCCCCTTAACGTTATAGCATAGACAAGGGGAAAAACAGGTGCTAGAAAGAGGAATATCATTATTCCAAGCACGGCGACCAAGTTCGGGTCTTTAGCTGACTTGCCCTCTGGGAGAGCAACGAAGGCGATCGTGAATGCTAGGCTGCCCGCGAGGAAGAGCAGAAGAATGAGCCGCGGCCGCATAATAAGACATAACAAGCCGGCTACAACGCGCGAGAAGAACATCAAGCTGTAGGCCAAGAGGAGGTAGTTTCTAGGCGAGAGACTGAGGCCGTGGATCTTTTGTTCCGCGGGCGGCGGGGCGAGTACCTCGATGTACCAAATATTAAGGGCTTCCAGCGAGAGAAGGTAGATAGATTGCACCATAACACCAAGGGCAAGGGTCAAAAACACAGTTCTAATACCACCGATGTGCGTCGACGAGGCCGACCTCACGGCTCTGTTCATCGGCAGGAGGTGCGGCTGGAGCTCCTTTTGCAGATCTTCATCGCCTGCTTCGGGGAGCGGCATGTAGTAGAAGAAAAGAGCGATGACGATGGCGAAGAGCGCGACGCTAAAGTAAGTCCACTGTACAGGGATTAAGTTCATCTTCTTCTGTATGAGCGGGGCGAAACCTTTGTTGGCGATCAACTCGCTGACGGCTACCCCGCCTGCTTGCATGGCCTGCGCGAAGAGCAGCCGAATTTCGCCATACTGCGGGGGCCCGCAGAGAGTGATGAAAGGGTTCGCAGCCAGCTCCAGGGACGAGATGCCAATGCCGGTGATGACGTTTGAGATGAGGAAGCCGGGTAAGGAGACGAACGATGCTGAGGGCCAAAGCATTAGGATACCGATGCCATAGAGGCAGAGGCTGACGATAAAGATTATTTTGAACCCTCCTTTTTTTAAGGCGTACCATCCAACGGTGAATGGACCTATAAGGTAGGCGCCGAAAAACGCTGTATGTAATGATATGGATTGCTTAGTGGTATATTGTGAGACAATCGAGATTTGATCGTTTAGGGCATTGAGCAGCCCGAAGGAGAACCCCACCATGAAGAACAGGATGGTGACTACGCTGCAATATTTCCACGAGTCACCTACAGACATCCTCAGCATGCATTTTGGGGGTTGAAGGTTGAAAAAGCCGAAGTAAACAGCGCTGCCGGCTGATTGAACTTGGAGCAGCGTTTGATTTCTAGCGGTGATATTGTTCTCCGTACGAGGTTGAGTAAGAAACTCCATCTGGTCCATCTGGATATCCAAATCACGAGCATTCGAGTGGATCGGTCTGTTCTCAGTGGGCGCCGTAGCCCCTGAAGTTTCATCTGTGGTACTTTGAACATCTGAAGTATGATTCCTAGATGTCGGCTTCGTCTTCGGCTTTGGCGACCCGCCACTGCTATGACTTCCGACTCGCTTAGTAAGCCAAGGCACCACTCTTCTCAATAACGGCCTCAGTGTTGGGATGCAAGCGCAGACGATCCCAGCATTAATTTCCACAGCGGACCACATTAGCGCAGGCGCAACGAGGTATGCAAAATCCGCGGTGTCTTCGAAAGAATCTGTCAAGGTTGGCACTCGGCCCCCAGCTGTGATGATTAATATGGTATTTTGCAGAACATTAATCCGAATCACATCGACAATCATCACAAAAAGCCACAGCGCGAATGTCAAAACTAGGATAATCTTCTGCTTCCGAGGCAGCTGCGTGCCAGTGAGGATGGGTATAGGCAGCATCAGAATGACAATGTCAGTTGCGACGTTTGTAGGCGAGGCTGCAAAGTAAAGAGTGACGAGACGTATACACTTTTGTCCTGAGCTGTCGCTGAAAGTCTTGGTGATCGGATCACACAGGAAGATGCTGAAAAACGTCAGAATTGTACCGGCTATATTGACCACCGCCAACGTTAAATATGTGGCGAGCCGGAAATATTTCTTATTCTTTGATAGACGTAGATAGAACAGTAATATGCTTGTCTTTGTCGCCATGAGCGCCGGGTTCTATGAATCGTTAGTCACGACTCTCTTCTATCACTTCTTGCAGTTTCCTCCACTCCCCCCCTCTTCCCACGACGAGAGGAACATGGCATTATACGCACATAAAGCACAGAAAACGAATACACGCACTTCCTAAAGTCGTCCCGCGACTCGTGTGGAATATCCGCATCATGCCTCCCCAAACCATTCGCAACGCCAAACACAATCGAAAGTGTCACACCGAGCGCCAAGATCCAGCCAACGACAATCACCAAGTCATCCCATGTGGATTTCTTGGCAAGACCGAGACGAGTGACCAGCCGGGCTACAACGAACAGCGTCGCGACACCTAAAGTGGTCAACGCCACGACCTCAACGGCGAGGCCGCGGCTTGGAAACTTGGCGGGAATCATTTGCGAGTCACGACCAGGCCTCGCGTCTGCCAATTCGATGACTGAAGGTCTCTGGGGAGCTTGATCTGTCGCCTGCATGCATCTGTATCGAGGTTGTCGGGTCTGTACCTGTATGTATAGGGAGTCGGTTTTTTATGACGACATCATGACATTTCCCCAAAGCTTTTGAAATGCCGCGTTTCTGCTGCACTTCCGGGTCTGGTCACGCGATACTGCTTACTTTTGCCCCTCGCACTATCAGCAAGTATACTAGTCTGTCGCTGTTCAATATCGAAGTTATCAACAGCAGCTCGCATGCTCTTGCATTGGCAAGCGAAAGCTGAGAATGTCTACTCTGGAGATCCAATACATGATCTCGAAAGCACCGACAAGCCAGGTACGTAAGCTAAAGCGGCCACACTCCGGTACTATTACGAATTTGACGCGAGAACTGACACGAGATTGACACGAAAACGATGCGTCGCCTCACCCCTTGCTCTTATTTTCCAGGTAATTCGCCATTTGTGAGCATACGTCTACACATCAACCAACAAGAGGCTAAATTGCGAGGCAATCTTCATCCACCTGCTGGTCTTGACTGTTTTGAATACCCGGCCAATTAATAAAGCGCAGATCCTCAGAGAATTAGCAGGTTGTCTGTTGGGTCCCGGGTAGAAGCTAACAGTGTAATATGCTTAGTTTAAGATCACATTGTCCGGCAGACGTTTCCCATGGAGAAACTCCGCTCAAAAACAACGATGAGTTTGGTAATAGTAGCAAACTGCTGGTTACCACCGGATGATACCGTGATCACAGTGGCCACACTTCAATTTTCTGCTGCAAGGTGCCACCACGCGTAAGTAAACCACTACGACCACGCAAATATAACATGGTGCTATAGCAGCAGTGAAATATGTAATTAGTTTACAATGAACTGCCCTCGAACCAGCAACCAGGAAAGGGCCAAATGGCGAACTGAATGCAGGGAGAAGTTAGCCAATCACATTCGTAAGTGTACTCAAGCCATATCTAATTGTGTCATATGACCAGACTCCCAACTTAGGCTTACTATTCTCCTAACTAATGTCAAGCTCATAACAAAACTAGAGGACCTGTATCAATGGAGTTATTTGACAGCTAGAAAGGCTGCATTGTTCAATAAACAACTAAGCAAGCACTCGATAGGGGCCTATATCGACCTGTGTAACGGAGTAGGAGTACATTTTAAGGCTGTGCTAGGAGAAGGCGCCGCAGACTACGAACAGGAAAAGCAACTCGTCACAACAAGCATAGGTTTTGACGCACTAGAGAAGAGTAGAGAACACCCTTCTAGCGATGCAATTTCCTTTCAACTAAGCGCTAAAGAATGGCGTGAGAGATTTAACGCAGAAGTGGCTATAAGAGAGGCTCTTAAGATCGAGATGATGGGTATTAAAGGAGAGAATGGGGAACTGCTAAGTGAGATGAAAGCCCTTCGCGAAGAAGAAGCAATGCTGATCCAAGAACTTAAAAAAGCACGGGAGGTTCTGCTGATAACATCGCGCATACTTCAAGAACGAGCATTAAAGGCATCTGAAGACTCGCAGAAGATTACACACGCCACAACTTCCCTAAAGCTGGGAAGAAATCCATGTATTTAGTCTCGCCCGAAATAGATTCCTCGATGGATTCTAATCAAGTAGCTCAAGTAGTAGGACCTAAATGATACCGTTCTTGGCGCTTCACGAACGAATTTGACTTGCATATTAGATCGATAGAGGTACCGCAGGAGGCGATATATTTGAGTCGGATCACACCGATAATACAAGCGCTGTAGTGCAAACTTTAGCAAAAAAACCATGACGAGAGCCAACAGGACCAGCAGACAGACTTACAAGGACCTAAGAGCAAACAGAAAGATCAGAGCAATTATCTTCTATGAGTTCAGACTCAAGTCTTTCAGCTCCCAAAACGTAGTGATGACAACATCCCGAACCTAGCAGCTGAGTAGACGAACGCCTAAGAGTTAGTGCGCCTTACATGCAATTCAGATCCTAGACCAATGTGAGACTATAGCAGATCACCCACGGTGGCGCTCGGAGTGAAGGGGAAAGAACAAGGTTGCCAACGTCAGCCGTGAGGCGCCGCCAGAAGGGACGGCGAGGGACAAGAAGGGGGAGAGCCAGGAGAAACGGTGAAGGGGGTTGGTGTATGAGGTGATGGAAGAAAGTAGAGGTGCTGATGGTGATGGTAGTGTTAGTGGTGGTAGCAAGGTGGCAAAGATAAGGAGAAAGGAGGAAGCGTGAGCTGTGAGTGGGCCGTCCAGCCATATTGAGTGGGGATGTAGGCCTGGCTGCCCCATAACACCGACTTTGAGCGCCACCGTGAGTCTGGGCGCGGCTTTTTCAGGTCTTAACGTCTAGTCTTTCAGTGCGATAGAGGATAGTGTGGCGTGTCTATCATACGGCAGATGATATAGTACTGTAGTCTATCGTGTGGAATGAAGCTTTACAATTGATGATGCAAGGATCGCGTCATCCTCGGCTTAAACTCGAATCGTAGAACCTAGTCCATACCAGCATCTCCTGTTAAGCCATGCTAATGCCTTGGCTTCTTACCTTACAACAACTTCTACTTAAGAAAGCCCTTCTTCGACAGTCGGTTTTGACGGAAACAATTCCCTTCAAGTCCCCTTGTTGAAGTCACTCAAAGCAGCTCAGAATGGGAGAAAAGTGCTGGTCCAAGTCGTCTGCCTCGACTGTGAGATGTATATAGGACCTGGCTGAGCCACGCTTACATACTTGTTAGCCTCCATTGCTCTCAACTCTCCGTGTGTTGCTTAGTTGATAGGGGTTCAGGTATCGAGGACATTGGCTAGGAATTTGCGAAGTTTCACAGATCACAACGAGAAAATCGAAAAGACAGAAAGAACATTTGGTCCACCTAGAAACAGCCACATCGCTTTCATCGCCGCGGTGCTCCACGGTCCTACAGGACGAACTCATGCCACCTAAGAAGCACCTGCCATCGAGGCCTTTGAGCCTTGCCATACCCGTGAAACGATATAGTCCTCGAAGACCGACACTACAAGAAATCCTCGCAAACTCAGCACCACCGCCATGGACTCTAAGCGCCTTTACGGCCTACCTTTCACAAAACCACTGCTTAGAGAATCTGGAGTTTACAATGGATGCTACGCTGTATCGGAAGCAATATGAGGCGCTACTTGCAAACTGCGGAGAGGAGACGATAATGGCTTCGACCGAGGGGTGCGAGTATGTTCGCATGCTATGGCAGAAGCTGTTAGATGCCTACATCACGCCAAATGGCCCCCGCGAAGTCAATATTCCCGGTGACGTCCGAGATCGTCTCCTATCATCCCCAAATCATTTTAGACCGCCGAGTCCGCTGCAGCTCGATAGTGCGATAATGGTTGTGTACGAGCTGATGGATGAGAGTGTTCTGGTCTCATTTCTGAACTCCGTTTCCCGAGGTTTCAGCAACTATACTGGTCCTTGGACATCAGTAGAAGATACATCGGTTATACCTACACCGGATTCTCCACCTATGCCTCCCGCAGCGTCAACCCGGATAGGCTATGGCTCCACCTCAAGTAGTGGCCCGAGCCGTGACGCGCAAACTTCTAACTCCGCACACTCGCATCAACCCGTGCAGCGTTCTCATCTTGCTGCCGCGCTGAAGCGCGGCGTGAAATTTATTTACCCGTCACCTTCGTCGAATAGTGCCAAGGAAAATAACGATTCCCTCATCAAATACACCATTAGCGCCGGATCATCCAGTTCTCTTGGCGAGTTCATGATTCCACTGATAATACCCCCAACCTATAATTCGTTCACCGACACAAGCGAATCGAGTTCGAAAGTCAGTAGAGCAGGTGAGAGTGATTCGAAGAAGATGGGTTGGAAGTTGGGGTTAGGATTGAGGAAGCCTTGAACCAGTCATCCGTTGGCAGCAAACATTAACAGTGGCAGTTCGAAAGCGAACAATGTCAGAGAGTCCGACAACGCTCATAGGTAGTCAGAACCCTTACGTCCAGCACAACCACAGGTCTTCTGTGCTTTTGGTTCGCGTGGAGTGGGGAATACAATAGTGTTCACTAGATCGTGCCGACAATTGCCATAGTCTTCCTGGTCGCACCGATCCTTCTGGTCTTTGTCGCGTCCTTGAACTACCTCAAAGATACGTATCTGATGTATGCAGCAAGTGCAGCAAGTGCGGTTGCAGCTAACACCATCTGTAAATCAGCTGCGGGTGCATCTGCTCCACTATTATACAATATATGTTCTATGCTCTAGGAGTTGGAGGCGGTGGTTCGCTAATTGGCGGAATAGCCATACTGCTTGCTGCGTGCGACGGAACTCCAATACCTGTATCGACGACTTCTGCGAGAAGAGTATGTGAATTTTCATCCCCAGCGGAAACCTTTGTAATGATCCGTATCGATTTCTGTTCTGTAAATTTATTGGCATTGCTGAGAGGTATTTCATTGAGCACTTAATCGATGGAGATTTTGCCTCGAACAACGGTGGCTGGGGATTTAGTGCCTCTACAGGAGTCGATCCTTAGCCATATTTTAGAATCTTCAACCCCCTCTTGCAGAGCGAAAAATTGGACCCCGAGGGAGAATATATCAAGAGATGGGTTCCCGAGCTGAGGGGTATCACGGGTAAGGCAATTCATGATCCGTATGATAGGGGAAAGGGGGTGGAGGCCAACAAGAGCGGGTACCCGAAGCGGATAGTGGATCACAAGGAAAGTAGGGACCGGTGTTTGGCTAAGTACAAAGGGGGCTTGGGACGAAAGACAGCCGAATTTAGATTAGCACTCTTCCAGGGCAAATGTTTGCCGTCCCATTGTAGTAGATACCTTGAAAGAAAATAGGTAAAAGTTGTAGACACAGGGCCGTGAAAATGTGTAAGCTGGTGATAGGCCCTTTAACTTAGGTGAAGTGGTCAAAGTGATAAGAACGCTTTGCATTGGCTCCTTTTTCACCTCGAGATCCTCCGTGCATGAAAACCTCTCTGCCGCGGGAGCTAGATGTACCATTTGTTATAGCTAAAATAAAATAACAACGCGAAATATGGGGCTTTTTAGGCTAAGAGGCAAAAAGCTACATATAGAAACGCTGAGGACAGAAGCAAGGACGTTAGAATTGGCTGGTGTCAAAACGCCTAGTACGATGCAGACACCGCTAGACGGTATGATCCTCTTCGAAAGATGAAGCGTTCGGAGGTCTCATGCGCACTTCCCATCTAGACAGCCTCCGTTGCAGTTTGCTCGAAACAGCAGTTGCTGCAGAACCTAGTCCCTAACCTGCCTAGAGTTCCGCACTGGCTACAAGCAAGCCCTTGTTGCGGTTGGACAAATGTTCTCTGCCCACCTAAACTTTCTTGATTTTGAGTAACTTCTTCCGTGCGATTGACGGTCTCATGAGGGTATACGGGCGTCATGCCACTAGCCATGTGGCTCTTCTCTTGTCTTTTAATATGCGTAGAATCTTCGTGCTTTCGACCGCGAACTCGACTTAAAACGATAATGCCCTTCGAGGTTATTAGTCATTTGTGAAAATGGGCAACGTGGGAATCCCAAAATAGGAAATCTCACCAGTACGAAACTAAGAAGCCAGAAGATCCCCCCGATAAAAGCCCATGCGATAGCTGCTCTCCAGCTGCTACATCCAGGATGTCCAACCTGTTCTGCTGTACCTACTCGATACCATCTACCCCAAGCCCAGCCCCAGTTGGTCCTAAACCAAGTTGAATTGCAGCCTCGGCTTCCAACAAGCTATTAACATGTTAGTTTAGTGAAAGGATATAATATTCAGTATTAGAGTAAAAAAAATTCTTACATTGACAAGAAGTCCGAAGGCGACCATCCAGCAGACAAAGATTGCGAAGTCTAGGGGAAAGGCATAAAATGAGTAGGTTAGAGGTGGCGTTAAGACCAAGGCGAAGAATATGGAGATGCCTGCGATGGCGATCGCATACACGACTCGACGGTTACTGCCAACACCTGCTTCGTGGATGTTATGTAGATAATGTCCTAGGGTGCCGGCGACAACAGCGGCGGAGACAAGCTGCATAAGCCGAAAAGCCACGGAAATAACTCTTGATCCAGAACCCATGGCTAATGATCTAAATTTATCCGTTTGAATAGTGGAGTTTTAACATTAAAAGTTGAAGTGATATTGGGACTTAGTAGTCGACGTTTAAAGCCGTAGAATGGGTCTGCTGTCAAGTTATACACATGGGACTCGTTACCTACATGGATGCCAACAGGTATTTTCGTTCGGGTGTGAACCCAGTATTTCCATATTCCCAAGGGCCAGACTCAAGAATCCTCTACCGTAAAGCAAAAATGGCCAAAACTAGGCAATGGTTGAGCCTAACTTAGCAAGTTGACTAGAGCGATTTGAGCTCGAGATGTCTGGAGTGTCGTAGGTGGCGGGTCGAGTCACCGATGCAGAATCACTAGAAATCGGCAATTGTGTAAGCGAAAGTGTCTGCGCCCTCATACAGTCTGGAGAGATCAACTAATGAGGGAATATTACAAGATGCCGCGCCGCTAACGTAAACCGTAAATGCGGGCTAAGATAGGTCATCCTTTTATACTGAAGGCCCAATCATAAGCACGGTTAAATTAAATGGCGTCTGAGAATTCTTTAGAGTGACAAGAAGCATCATTCGTAAGTATAGTCAATTCCAACGGATTCTCACAGCTTGATAATTCTACCTAAAGTATGGGCATCAGCTTTCACATTACGCAATAGGTTACCATATGCTACTAACATATCTATATAAGAATCGTCATAATTTGCTTCACGTGATCTAAGCATGAATCTTTACTTCCTCTAGTGTAAGCTTCTAGCAAACGAGCGATTAAAGACAAACTTGTACTGCATTCTTGAGATTTCCTACTACAATCTACTGAATAAGAATCTCGAGCTTAAAACAGACGAGCTAATAGCCCTATCGGATTCGAAATGTTTGGGCGTCGCAGAAGACCAATGATGGCTAGCCCGCTGCTAGGCACAGCAATAATCATGGGGGCATCACGATCGTCGGCCAGACACGAAGTGGCACGCCAAGAACAGTATCATCAGAACAACCAGATGGCAAACGAGCTAAGAAGGCGCGACGAAGAAGATAGAGAGAGGCGTACGCAAGCCGCTATCGATGAAGCTATCGCAAAGGAGAGGCAGCGCGTTGAGCAAGTTCAAGGAGGAGAAAGTGGGACACAGACCGGACGTGTTGAGTCTCCGCCAGTATATAGCAGTGTTAAAGGAGCTGTTAACGCTGAGAAGTATTGCAGACGTTGTGGAGGTGGTTGCAGGGCGAGCGATAAGTTTTGCACTAGTTGTGGAAGTAAATTAGAGACAGCGTAGCTAAAGAAAAGCGAGAAGTATGAAGCTGTGATCCGTTAGGATTAACTACGGTTAACAAGAGAGGAGATCATCTCTGGTGACCTTGCGGCCTTGATGAGAGTCTCATTGTTGTAGCCAACGGGGATAGATGCGATTTGAGCGTAACTGATAAACGTGAGCCATCCCAATTGCCAATCCATATTCTCAGCACCTACACATCCAAATACTTGTTTCCGTCTACATCGACAATGCTGAAGCTTTTATCAGTAAACCATTGCAGAACGCAGTTTGTGGTGGTGTGACGTCATGCAGTGACGCCGTTGGTGGTGGGATCATATCAGTTATCTCAGAGTACTCTCCCTCGGAATTCTCGGATCCGACTATTCGTGGTAATGATTACCGTGTCGTGAGAACCTTAATCCAACATTCCTTCAGTAATTGTCAAACGTTCAGTTACTTCATGATGACGCCGACGCATTCAAGTATGGGAGAGTTGCCAACGAATTAAAATCATGACACTGTACACACTAACCACAACCGGTCCTTAAAGGTTAAGGAGATAAGTCGTAGAAATAAGGAATGCGCATGTATTGGCACGAACTTGGAGTATATAACCCATTGTTAGGCGCAAGTAGTATAATCCTATATTTGGCAGCTTGCAACTTATATTTATTACGGCGGCACTGCTAAGCTAATGGATTCTGCCCAGTATTTAACGGACGGAGAGGTTGAAGAGTTCGTTAGTGACTTGGATAAAAATAACGATGGGTTTGTTGACTATGAAGAGATTGAATCGAAACTGGATCAAGTCCACAACGAGATCGCGCCAGACGCAAAATCGCATCATCTACACCACAAAGACCTGGATGATGAGCATCGCCACCATTTTCTACGCAGTGTGATTGGATCGAGCACATATCCAATCTCTCGATCCGACCTCGCAGAAGTAGTTAAGGGATGGAAAGTCCCTTCTTTAAAGCCGGATAGGAGAGCCGAGCAAAGCAATAGAAATTATATGAAATCAGTCCCTCTGGCGCGAAGACTCCGAGCCTATTGGGCGGTTAAAGGTCCTGAAATTTTGTTCATCACATTTGTTGTGTCAACACAGGTTGCCTTTGGGACGTGGCAAATGGTCAAATACATTATTGAGACGCAATGGCGCGCCGCTTTGGGATGGGGAGTTGTGTTGTCTAAGACGACAGCCGGCGCTTGTATGTTGGAACCTGATCTATCACCCCTGAAATAATGAGAGTGCTGATATTGGAATTCAGTGTATCCAACTATGTTTTTCCTCATAGTCTCCATGTCAAAGTATCTCCCTACTTTCGCAAGACGATCATCGGCCATCTCGCATTTTATTAATTGGGACAAAACTCACGCGTTTCACATAAAGATTTCTATTGTTGCATTGGCCCTGGCCACTCTGCACGCCATTGGTCATCTAACGGGCACCTTTCTGTACGGGAGCAGGCCAGCACAGCAGGATAAAGTTGCCGCTATCTTCGGTGAAGATGCCGTGCCTCGTTCCTACCGTGACTACGCTTCCTCCCTTCCAGGATGGACCGGAATTGCTGCCCTGGGAATATTCTGGATAATAACGCTCTTCAGCATACCACCTGTTAGGAAATGGAACTTTGAGGTCTTCCAGCTAGTCCACTTGCTAATGTTTCCAATGATTGGGTTTCTCATAGCACATGGTCTGGAAGCCTTACTGCAGTTCCCCATGCTTGGATACTGGCTCGCATTCCCTACCCTTCTTGTCTTCCTAGAAAGAGCCCACCGTCTGCTAGTTGGCTTCCACCGCATTCGAGCAGAGATGAACGTTTTGGATGCCGAGACGGTTTGCATCAAAGCCACAATCCCAGAACGCCGACTTTGGCCATATCAAGCCGGCCAGTACGTTCTACTTCAAGTTCCGCAACTATCATGCTTTCAATGGCACCCTTTCACCATCGCCATCTGTGAAGGCAATACTATCCAAATCCACATTAAAACAGACGGTAATTGGAGCTTAAGATTACGAGATTTGCAGAAAGAAACGGGGCAAAGCCTCCGCTGCGTAGGTATTGACGGTCCTTTCGGTGCTCCAGCTCAGCGCTTCTATGAATTCGACCATAGCCTCATCATCGGATCTGGCATCGGAATTACTCCTTTTTCTGGAATATTAAAAGATATGCAAACTAAAGCGGACAAGTTACTACTGTCATCCGCGATGCCATTAGCATCGACTGAGGGTCTCCCCGATGCTTATATAAACCAAGCCACGGTTTCCACAATCGATACAGGTCAGAACACGCCTGGTTTGCGACCCGTAAACAATCGGACTGTCGACTTTCACTGGATTGTGAAGGAATGGAACTCGCTATTGTGGTTTTCGGACCTTTTGAATAGCATTTGCTGTCCCTTGTCCTCTCAGCTCCATCACAATCCCCAGGTAGATATTCAAATTATAACTCACGTAACACAAAAGCGAAAGAACATTTCGACTCATGTTTTTCGCTTCCTCCTAGAAATACATCGGACAGAGGAACATCCTGAATCTCGACTAACTGGCTTGCTGAACCCAACAAACTTCGGGCGGCCGGATTTGGCACAGGTTATGGATGATCATTATGAAAGGATGAGAAAGCTACTTGTCAGTGGTGATGGATTTCAGAACAAAAAGAGAAAAGTCGGCGTGTTTTTCTGTGGTAACCCTATCATTGGTTACGAGCTGGCTGATCGATGTCGGATACTGACATTGCGGGGCAGGGAGGATAAAAGCCTTGTTCAATATCACTTTATGATGGAAGTATTCTGATTATCTGATATAAATTATATTTAGGAGCAGAAATATACTTGGCTGACTCGCCCTGATGCTCAGCTAAATAGCAACACAACTACAAAGGCTATCAAACTTCAACTTCCCCCGTGACTGACTCCACTCCATCCCTTTTGCGAACATGCACGCCGACCAGTAGTAGTCCGTTTTGAGAGAAAGTAGGCTGGGTATGAGGTGATTTGTTTAGGGTGAAGTGACACACCCCAAATTCTTGAAGCAAAGTAGCCCAAGGACTCCGGCAAGGATAGGGTGTAGGCATCTATATAAACGCCACCCGTCAATGTTTCACGAGAAAAAAGCCAAGGTTAATATTGTGTCCTAGCTTCTGGAGCGCAAGGTCTATTTCTAGCGGCCATAGCTGTGATACAGCCCGCCCTTCCGCCGAACCTCGTGCAGTGCCCAGAACACCACGAGCAACCAACCCTGTCCCACCCGCTGAGCTAGGAAGCCGATATTCTCTCCTCATCCGAGAACAGCCAGGCCCGACGTCATCGCGCACGCCGGTCACTTCTAGCAGGGCGCGCCTAGTCGCGAGGACAGTCTTTGTTAATCAATTGAAAGCAATGACACAAATGTGCGTCGTTCCTTGACAGGTTTGCAGAGTTTGTGGCTCAAGAGAAAGGAGCAAGATTTGTTGCTCCTCCGGCGATGGAGGAGCAGGAAGCAGATGCCACTATCTGGATTTCAAGGAACGAGGGTTTCAAACCCGGGGACGTGGGGTTTTTCGAAGAGTTCGCGCAACTTTGGTCAGCAAATTGATGATATGATGCGGGCTCATAATATTCACATTACTAAGAACGACTTCTTTCCTCCCTTCTACGCTGCGTTTATATTGCAATGACTAAAAGCAATATTCAAGGAGGGTTTTAAGGTACTAGACTTCTTCCATATACCTGCACAACTTATCTTCTTATAACTAACGATGAATCGCAGGTTCCATCTTCGATCAACCGTCTATCCACACTTATTGATCCCTAATACCTATCCCTCGGCTTGAATTATGCTACGGCTTTTGTTATCCCGCTGTAAGGGTTCTGGAACAGTGAGGACGGGTTTTGTCAGCACGTTGCAAGTCAGCGGTATGAAGTCAGCACAGTCGTGTTTTGGGGGGGGGGGGGGTCAGCAGAGAATGGTCATAATTTCATGGAAGGGTGAGATTCTAACTGAGATGACAGGGTTCAGGTTCGATTGGATGTCAGGGTGAGGGTTATGGACAAGATTGGGGAATAGCACCCATCAGAGCGGCCACCCCCGGAGAGAAGAGGCATTATAGGGTTAAGGTTATGTATCACATTGGTGTTTGGGAGGAAGAGACATGAATGTGAGACACGGGAGGCTGGGACGGGCGGAAAGCGGGGGGGTTGAAAACGTTATATATTCTAAGAATCAGTTCTTGCAAACTTTCAAGACTTCTACAACTACACCTACATCCAGTATGAGTTTAGAATTCGAAATATCCGCATGGATAATGATCGTTCATTGCCATTAGATGGAGACTTTAGCAAATGGCATAAGAAAAGGGGACTAAGAGTTGATTGATGCCCTCATACACATGAATCGAATATTGCAAGCGGGCGTTTAGGAAAGACGCTCATAAACCGCCCTACTGCAATGAGTGGCTCATTGCCAAGATATCTCTGACCTGAAATCTTCAGTGCGGCAGGATATCTGCTAAATAGATCTCCAAACCGAGGGTTAGATTGGGAAACTCTAATTGGACATCTCCAGCGTCTATCAAAGGTTACTAACTGGACCGAGAAGCCTCATTTGGCTCATTTTCCAGTCTATGGATGTCTTGTTTATCCATTCATCAAGACGAGGCCCAAGCTAAAATAATATCTCTTCACAACTAATTAAATGTTCGTTTCGTTTATGTTAGACACGCTGAGTCGCATCAACCTTGTACAGATGTACTTTTGCTAGGTTTTCCTGACTCTCGTTATCTACCCAATCCATCTCTCTTGCACTATTAACATCATCCCCAATAGGGCCTTTTGTTTTTGCTCTAAAAGTATTGCGGTGGCGGTTCTGTCTTGAGCTCATTTGGTAATTGCCCACACTAGGAGTGCTATCCGTGCAAGGCGAGAAGTGCTTTTGGAGGATGCGTTGGGTGAGCGCCTTAAGAGGAGGTGCGGATGCACAGACTATACCTAGGTTCACCTCTATGGCTTCCCAGGTATACATGTAGTAGCCCACCCAAGTGCTATCGTCAGACGTCTGGGTGGCAATCGTGTAATATAACCGTATCCCACCAGCAACGCAGACCCTAGTGATAAAAGAGTCAGCAACGTAGTAATGTACTTAAAGCCCCTAGCATTTGCGTTCGTTTGCATCATATCTAAGCTTGATCCTTGATTCAAGAACAAAAGCGCGATATATAGGGTTGGCATAAGACTTACAAGAACCCAGCTCCAAAGATGCCAACCAGTTCAAGTCTCTTGCGTTTTGGTAAGTTTGTTTTCCAGACCAGTCTCATGGGCAAGACATAGACGTAAATGTCCGTAATTGTATTGGTAAGTCCATGCAAGAAAAGAGCTATTTCAGCAGGGTAACAATTCTTAGAACTCGGATCCCAGTAATCGCTCACTGGATTACATTGCTACAACCCAGTTAGATCCCCCTTATTGGCTTTAAATGAACCCGCTACCGTTTAATACGTACAAAGATGATAAGAGCGCAAAACGCGATAGTCCAGATGACAATAAATGCAATGCTGCCGTATATCACTCTTTTCCAGGGCTTAGTGACCGCGATACGGAGGTAAAGGAAGAGGATGGAGATCTTCACGAGTGATGTCGTGAGAGTAAACAAAATCTCGGAAGCAAAGATGTTTTGAAGAATAGGGCTTAGGTTTTCCCGCGGGATTGCAGAGAGGTGTCTGGCCCAGCCGAATTTAGTACCGACACAGGTATTAACAGCCAGTGCAAAACTGAAAAACTACACAGAGAAGTGAGTTCACGGTCCGAAGTGTAGGTTACCATCCTCACGAGCGCTCTAGATTAGCAATGGAAGGGGCAAACTAACTAGCGCAGCGCCCATGAGCCAGTCATCAGTGCCTATCGTATCGAGAATACGAGCGCGTGTGTATATTCGAAGGCCATAGAAAACTGAGGCAAAAACCACCAAAACCACCTGCAAGGCAATCAGAGGTAGTGCCCGCGACGCGTAGTCTGGTGGAGGCAAATGATCTTGGATGAGAGCCATATCTAATAAGAACGATTAGGAACGGCATCGCAGGAAACAGCCATATAAGTGCAGAAAGATGTGGCGCTCTGGCTAAGAAAGGAGCCTTGAGTCGCTCTGTGACGGGACGCGGCATGATGGTGAAACCACCGCATATCGAGTTTGCCGCGTTTGAGGTGGTTGGCTGTCGAATCAGACAGCACCTGAGTTTCCCCTGTTCTAACCAAGACTAATGCCCGCATGGTGTAGCCGAGGCTGTCCCGTCCCGTATAATGCGATAATTCACGTGGCATGTGACAAGGACACGGCAAGCGGCTTGTTGGTATTCCAGGCACTTTCGTTGAACACACTTTGCGACGCAGAGTTGGCCGGCCGAAGTGGACGCGGGCCAGCCATGTTGGCCGCAAAGTTTGTGTAGGGTGCTTTATAGCCAATCAGAGAATTGGAATAAGTCGTTCAACAAATGACTAGTATCATTTATTGCAAGAGTCTACAGCAATCATCGTTTGCAAATGAATCTTTAACCTTATAGGCTGCAACTATCATGTCACGCACGATTGCTTGTAACTGCCGCTCTTATCTTTGCGCACGGACAGGCACCGTATGCAAATCAACACGGACCAACAACCTCCGTCCCGTCTTACGCCATAACTCTTCGTACCAGGTCTGTGCACGAATTCCAGCAAAAACCGCTTAATTTAATGCAACACATCTAGCACATTAACAAATACTCTGGCTGCTAGGCGCAGGCCATATTGACAAGAGTAACGTTACCGCCCGCAGCCTGCCCCACCCCTCATTTAGGTATTTCGGGAAGGAATTTCCCCGCAATGTAGATCAAGTGTGTGGAGGTTTGACAGGGGAGGAGTACAGAAGCAGGTCAGTGCGTACCAAATCACATTGCATCATTCATCCAAAGCTACGAGCCACGAGCCTACCATCCCTTTCTGTGTTGTCGGAAAGCGTGGATGATTGCCCTTGTATGCTCGAGTGTGCATGGAAAACGCGGACGCAAAACGTTTACAGGAGTTTTGAAATTGCAATTCGGAAGGGACGGGTTTGACCAATTGTATGGTGTCCTGTCCAAAAGGAATATAGATACAGGACAGCTTTCCCATGCTTCTATTTCGCATCCACTTTACTTGCCTTTCCGCAGAGCAATATTCATTTGGCCACAGGCATCACGATACTCTACTCATGTCGCTATGGATGCCTTCTCAGACATCAAACCGGTGCCACCGGATGTGATCCTCAGCTGGCCAAAACCGAACTACACAGATCCTGATCGGCGTGGCCCTGCATTATTGATTGTCAACTGCTTCTTGTTACCGCTTGCGATGGTAGTAGTTGGGATGAGATTGTACACTCGATTGATAATTGTGCACTCCGCTGGATTGGATGATGTGTTCATAGTATTTGCTTCAGTAAATTCTCCATTGTCACGCTACATTGAATCAATAGCTTACACCTTTCTTGATTGCAGCTGTTGGTTTGACTATAGCAGTATGTCTTGGTAAGTCCTTTGAGTCACTAAGTGATGACCTGCTGACGATCAATCATGAAGCTGCATCTCAATACGGATGGGACCTGCATATTTGGGACGTTCCAGAGGCAGATATCATTCCAGGTCGTATAGTATGCTTCTACCTCCCTAGAGTTAGTAATCCCAGAACTGACCTTGACTACAGGTCACTTGGGTGGCTCAGTTAATCTTCGTAGCAGCCACAAATTTCACAAAACTGTCGATTCTCCTCTTTTATACACGCTTGTCAACTGTTGGTATCCGAACACCATTCGACTACGCTGTGTGGGGCACGATTGTTTTCGTCATCTTGTACATCATCTCATTTTCAATCAGCGTCATCACCGCGTGCAAGTAAGTCGAAGATTCCGTGTACTTTCCTCTTGCAACGACTGCTGACGGAGTTGGCCAATGCTCTAGCCCCGTGAGAGGTTTTTGGGACATCACAATCCCACATCACTGTGATGAGCAACGAAAATTTGAAATGGCCGCTGCCGTCGTCAACATCATAGTAGATCTTGTTGTAATCCTTCTTCCGCTTCCAACAGTATGGAGATTGAAGTTGCCGAGGAGGCAGAGGTGGGCGCTTAGCGGGGTTTTCATGTTAGGGTTTTTGTATGGCCACCATACTTAGTCTATAGGTCCATGATGGCAACAGCTGACGCACTGGACTATTCAGTGTCATCTTAGTATCAACAATACGCGCGTATTGGGTCAATATTATTGTGAACGTGACCTATGATACCACCTGTGAGTTATTTTTCCATCTTATCACCAACTTTCGAAATATCATACTATTACGAGACTTTATAGGGGAGGGTTTCATACTCTGGATCTTGGTAGCCCTTGAAGTCGACGTTGCACTTATCTGTGCCTCGGCACCAACACTCAAACCTACCTTCAGGCGCTACTTTCATAGTCATAATACTCATTCGTCAAGCCATTGCGTAAACCACAGACTCTCCTCGACGCATCTAGGTAGTAATAACCTCACAGTCGAGCTGCTCGCTGTAGAGAGTATAAAGCCTTGGGATATAATACGAAAGCCTCTGCCCGCAATTCCAGCAAATAATAAATACTATAGTCATTGAGAGCGATTATGCAGGAGGTAGAAGGGGATAATGAGAAGACATTAGAGGCTGCGGGGGCTATAAGGTCTCGTCATATTCACAAATTCTCGGCTTTAAAATGCTCACTAGGGGTAAGGAACCTCGGTCAAAGGTTTGGCTCTTTATTTGAGGACGGCGAAAATTTATTTTACTCATTTTTCACAAGTGATAGGAGATGTAGTAGCATCGAGCGACTTCTAAAGATATAATTGGCCAGGCGTGCACGTACAGGTCGATAGCTTATGGCACCCTACAATATCTTCCCTTTTGCCAGGATACTCGTATGTCAAATATCACTAATCCTAGTAATTTCTCGTAAGCTTTACAAGTAAGAAGCTTACTACTATGTCTGTCTGACAGGTTTCAGGGATTAATCTACAAAGGCGAGTTTAAAGAGGGACCTGCAAGCAAACCGACGATGACTCGGTATTAACCAGACTCACGGTGTTGCTTAAAGTGAGGGGAAAGGTGGTGTGGCGCGACTAGTCGAGTCAGTTGTGCGTGGGTGGGCCGTGAGTCCTAGTGCTGGTTCATGCGGAATACGTACTGTCTTCACTAATAGGTCTATCTTCGCCCATCTTCCCCAATTCTCCCACTGTCCCGTCCCTACAAATACAATAGTATGGGGGAAATATGGAGCTAAATGGGCCGCAATGGACCGCAATGGTACATGTAGATGCCGTTCATTTCGGTCCGAACAATTGAAATGGCCTAGCCTCCGTGTCCCTATTATCCAGCCTTGACCATTCGTCAAACATGTCCGCGATTAGCTTGGTCGACATCAATTTTATATGACCAGCGTGTGTCCCCTGTCTCTGTATCCAGAATTGACAACATGCATGCACGATGCGTGTTCGGGGAATAATCGCGACTGTTGCCCTTCTCTTCGGTGCTGCTATCGCAGATGTCAATCTATCATAGGCGCTTGCGCAGATTCCTACGTGCACTGTAAGTTCCCGCCTCCGCTTGTGCCTCGGCATCTTTTATTTACGCCTCCGTAGCAAGAATGCGGTGTCAACTTGCTGGTACCCGCGCAGTGTTAATTGGCCGACCTGTCAAACTGTCTTTGCACGAATTGCACCTTGCAGTTAGAATTTGCGCTCTGCGTCCTAGAGTCGTGCGACCTCGCCGACTAATTCGGTATGTTTGCACACATATTTGCCACCCGCTAAGGTTCAAACCTGACCTTGACAGTGTCTTCGACCGTCCTTCAAAATGAGATCTGCAAGGGTGTCCTAATACCATCACGAAGCGCAGAGATTATACGAGATGTTATCATCATCTCAGCCTTTACCTACGTGATCATCGGATTGCGATTTTATTCAAGGGCTCTTGTAACGAGCGAGATGTGGTGGGATGATTGGGCCATTGCCCTTGCAGCTATGAGTTCTCGAGTACATTGTAGTCTTAGTAGTACAGCTGTTAACAATGCTAAACAGCTCCTCATGATTCCCATGACTATCATTCTGATATTTAGTAAGAGCCTCGTTACTAAAGTATCCCCTATGCCGCGATACTAACGTATTTTAGATGCAACACGCAGCTTTGGGAAACACTTCTAGAATGTTCTACCTCAAAACCTAGTTCTACTCTAAAAGGTACGATCTAGAGTGCATTCCTTTCTACTAACAAATACTTACTTAGAATAGCTCTACTATATCTCCCAAATATTATATGTTATCGTACAAAGCCTAGCGAAATTCTCCATCCTACTCCTCTACCTTCGCATCTTTCCCAGCAAGCGATTTCGCCTTATTGTAAAGATAGCGATAGGGTGGATGATTTGCCATACTCTCGCATTTGGGATGGTCGTATCCTTCCAGTGCGTACCTGTCGAATTAGTCTGGGATCTTACAGTGCGTAGAAGGTGCACCAATTCTCAGGCGTTCGTCTACGCGGCTGCTGGGTTTAGCATTTTTGAGGACTTTATCATCATGATGCTCCCTGTTTGGGAGCTAAAAGACTTGAACTTGAACTTGAGGAAGAAAATTGCGTTGATCTTTCTGTTTGCTCTTAGATCTTTGTAAGTGCAATCATCTGGCTGGCTTTGTTATTGCGTTCTTACTAATGTTGGTATTATAGCGCTTGTATCACAAGTATGATCCGACTTAAATATATCATCGCGTACGGGACATCTGTCGATGTAACATGTAATTCAAATTCGTTCATAAAGCGACTTGGCCTAGAATGCTAACCCGTTCAATAGACCGCAATGTCGACATTGTTTTATGGAGCGTGCTCGAAGATTATGTGGCAATCATCTGTGCCGGCCTCATGTGTTTCCGGCCACTAGTTATTAGATTTCTGCCCTCAATGTTGCCAACCACCAGCTTGAGCGAAAGCAAAAACCCTGGGAGTCAAGCCTAGGCCCAAGCGAGAGGGAATTCAAAGTTGGCAAGCAAGTTGGGAGCCGGTGTCAAGGGGTATGAACTGCATAGCCAGAACGATGAGGCGAAGGATAGGCAAGGAAAGGCTATTCGGGTGCAGAAGACATGGTTCACGCAAACCAGCAGTGCTGAGGAATTGCCGGAACGAAGTTATTTAATAGATGGTCATGGGAGAAGCGAGGAGTTGTGGCAAGACCGTCGGACTTGAGGGCATGGGCATTCATATTGCTTCATGTTAATTTCGAGGACGTTCTACCAATTGTGTGGAGAGATCGTGCAATACGGCAAGAGCCGGCGGCGTAGGTAGACCTCGTCCAGAACGAGAGCCAGTTCCCAAAGAGACGCAGGACGACAGCCTGCATTTTAAAGACGACGCTTGTCACGCCAAATCAATTCAGTACAGCGAATAGTGCATCACACAACTCAGATAGACAGCAATCACCATGGCGGCTTGTCAGGCGCAGACCGGACGGCTTCTACTCGGAACAATGGCCTTGCTGCGACCAAAGCTCTTCGCCATGCTTGCTGAGTCTTCTGAGTTCAGTTTCCTGTCCAAGGCGGGTAAATCCTGCTCTTCTTCCTCTTTGACGTGGTCTGAAAGGTTGCTCATGATGGCTTTGATGGTAGGTAGAAACTCTGGGGACCCGACCTTGAGATTTGGAACTTCTTGAGCTCTTCATTAACCTGTCACGTGTTAATATCAGCAAATTAAAGGTGATTCCTTTAGAGATAAGGTGAGGGCATACGGTTTGATGGTCAGCGCGGTCTTTATCTGCTTTCGTTGTTGACCTAATTGCTTTTCAAAACCAGGATATACAACCAGTTCTTCACTAATGGAGTGGCGGGCAAGCTCCTATATAAACTGATTCTGCCAGCGAGTGGCCTCGTCGCTGTCCTTAGCGTTGATAATATGTTATGATATTGCTCAAGCTCTCGGTGATCCTTCTTCATAGCATCGCTAATTCTAGACATCTTAACAGTGGATGCAGATAGTAAGCGAATATTTTGTGGTTGGATTGGACGGACAATAGTGTTCGCTGAAAGGGCCGGGGCTAATCTGAGTTTCATCCTGGCTTTGTAGAATTGGAGACATCTTCAATGTGTGTATGTTGCTATCAAGGGGAATGAAAGTAACTTGAATCAGGTTATGTGCCGCGACATGAGAGGCACTCATCAAGCCCTTCGAAGATGGTAGGCAGGCTGATTCAGGCGTCAAGGGTTTGTGCTATGCGCAGCTTCTCGCGGGGGCGCTTCAGGGAATGAGGGAAATGAATAGTTGAGCTCGGCGCGACGACAGCCTTCTCCACAGTAGGCTTTGCCATCTGTCTGCCTGTCACAACCGAGGCAGACGTCTTGTGAAAAATTCGTTTCTCCCATTATGAGCTGTTTTGAGTGATTTCGACAAAGGGTGAGAAAAGGAATTGTTTGGTCCAAACGACCGTTGCGGAATGTTTTTATAAAGTAGAAGTTGTTGTTACGTGGTCAAGTACAGTTTCGTTAGGAAGCCTACGTACTGGCATGGCTTCAGTAGTAAACGAGGAGATGCTAGTATGGACTGTGCCCTGCGACTTCAAGTGATATTGCCGTGATGGGATGGTGGCAAAATGATATTGCCACGCCAAGGATGACATAATCCCATCATCATCAATTGCAAGGCTTCATTTCAAACGGTACACATAGTACTGTAGCCGCTACCGTACTGTATCCTTTAGAATACATATGGGCCAATTCAAAGAAGCGGCGACCCATGTATAATCATATTACGTCATTTAATAGGAACATGCAAAGATGGCGTTTCCAGCAGTGCAACGAGGCTTCTGCACGGTAAGTACGTAGAAGCTGAGGCCAGACGATTAAGCTCAAGGAGACGGTGCTTGGGAAGGATCACTTAGACACGCTCACCAGCATGAACAACCTCGCAATCGCGCTTAAGGAGCAGGGAAAGTACGCCGAGGCCGCAGCGATGCACCTGAAGACGATGCAGCTTAGGGAGATGATGCTCGGGAAGGATCACCCAGACACGCTCGGCGGCATGAACAACCTCACAGTAGCGCTTGAGAAGCAGGAAAAGTACGCGGAGGCCGAGGCGATGCACCAGCAGACGCTGAAGCTCAGGGAGACAGTGCTAGGGAAGGATCACCCAGACACGCTCACCAGTATGAACAACCTCGCAATATTGCTTCGCCTGCAGGGAAAGTACGCGGAGGCTGAAGCGATGCACCGGCAGACGCTGCAGCTCAGGGAGACAGTGCTCGGAAAGGATCACCCAGACACGCTCGACAGCATGAACAACCTCGCAGTAACGCTTGAGAAGCAGGGAAAGTACACAGAGGCCGAAGCGATGCACCTGCAGACGATGCATCTCATAGAGGCGGCGCTCGGGAAGGATCACCCAGATACTCTCACCAGCATGAACAACCTCGCAGTAACGCTTGAGAAGCAGGGAAAGTACGCGGATGCCGAGGCGATGCATCTGTAGACGCTGAAGCTCAGGGAGACGGTGCTCGGGAAGGATCACTCAGACACGCTCGGCAGCATGAACAACCTCGCAGTAGCGCTTGAGGAGCAGGGGAAGTACGCGGAGGCCGAGGCGATGCACCAACGGGCTTTATAGTATAACAAACCTGCAAATCCTATCCTCCAATATATCCATCTTGTTAAACTTATTATGCTGCCCATGACATGGCCAACAAAAACCGATTCCACCCAGTAATCGAAAGCTCCCGTGTCAACTCCGAATGGAAAGCCGACCCCGGCCTCTCAAACCTCATACATGAGTCGGATGGCTGCGTAAGCCCTTCAACCCGATGTTACGGCGTAAACAGGCTAATTGATACATCAGAGCCCAGGTGTCAACCGCTCTAACAAGGATGAGCCGTTGCCCGAGTCACACCTTGCTCAGGAGGTGGTTGATAACATCTTTGATTATTCTACGAATGGTAATGCCTATCTTCTTCTACCCACTCATGTGACAGGTAATCAACGTTTCTCGTGGGAACATGTTCCAAGGAGACGTCTTCCCATCCTCGTGAGACTACTGTTCAGGTAAGAAGTGAGATGGTACCGCAAGTTGCCGGACCGACACATTGTAAATCGGCGAGGAGCTGGCGTATCGCCATAAGTTCTGATGGATTGATAATTTGCCCTTTGATGAATTTTGTTGCATTGTACGAATGGACGGCACTACTCACGATGGTCAAGGTCTCTATTTTCATGTGGGGCAAATAAGACTTTATGGAAAACAGCAGATAGCTGTCCTTGTCTTGAATTGTCCATGCTAAATTACCCGTTGGGACCGTTTAACGCTGATCAATCGTAAACTTCGGAAAGCATGGTGCGGATTGGGTCGATTGATTCTGGTCAATCGAGAAATGGTGAATGGTCTCATGGTGATAAGAATGAGGCCACGCTAACGGCAAGTCGCACAAGCAATTCGCCCTCTACATCACGCTTTCATTTGTAGCTCAGGCCGAAACACCTCTTGCGTCACGAACCGATTACATCAACACTCCCAATATCCCGTCAATGTAGTACTATGTCCGCCTGCTGATGCTGTGTGTGTTGGACGTTCAGCACCTTAGACGTCTCATTGTATGCTATGCTATGTACTATGCCACTAGTGGCCCTATTCCCACTGCACTCAATCCGAAACCTACAATAGATCGTGTTGCTGGGTGATTTTTAGTATTTTCTTACTGTTTCACCGTCTCATGATCCAACGACTACATAGCAAAAAATATGGGTTCTAGCTAACGCGATGCCGGAGACATATATCGTAAGTCGCTTTGCCTCATAGTATGATGTGTCCAGAAAGACTTACTGTAACAAGATAACGTTTACGGATGAAGCTACAGTCACAGGCAAGCAGCTGTATGCCTACGCCAACGATTCAGTTTGCCTATAAACAGGGCGCTAATAAGTAATGCGTACAAGGATAAAAAAGGAGGTAACCAGCGTTGGAGGCATCATAAATCATGAGCACTCGTTGATTTCTTCCATTTCGTAAGCATCCACCCAGTCACGTAAACATGAAGGTTTATACAAAAGAAAGATGGCCCAATTCACGGGCAATGCGCTTATTTTATCCGCAGGATTGAGCTACCTGATGGTCCAACTTATGCATTCGCAAATAACCCGTACATTAAATCTTGGGAGAAAACGCAAGGGCTTTGTAGTAGCAGGTAGAGATCTTGTAATATATAAAAATGTACCAGTGATTGATCATATTCCACGAGATTTGTTATCGTTCTACAGCGTACGTGGGTCGTCATCCGAGAAATCTCTCTTCTCATCAATCTCCTCGTCTCGATCTGTCACTTACTTTATCCCATTGGTTCTGCCGCTAACAAGAACCGCAATTTGAAGTAGAATGCACTGGGCCGGCGCTCTAAACAGTTACTAACTGCGGCCTAATTCCCCCTATGCATAGATAATATCCTTCTCCGACACTTACCCCAGCTTCCCTTCTGGATCATACTTATTGCTAGGTCGGAATCGAAGAGTTTTAATGAACAGGGTTGCGCAAGAACTCGCCATTGTCAATATTGAGGACCTCGCCGGTGACAGACCGATTTTTTGCAAGGAATAGCACGCCCTGCGCTATTTCGCTCTCAGTCCATTTCTTTTCCCCAGCCGGGTCCAACAGAGTTTGTTCCTTCGACGGCCTACCCTTATGGGCGGTACCCTCTTCCTTGTCATTGGACGGGAAGTAGCCAGGCGCAATACAGTTGACACGCACATTGAAGTCCTTGAACTCGTACGCCATCATCTTGGACAGGTGGACGGTGGCGGCCTTGGAAGCGCTGTTGGAGAAGTAGCCACTTAGGTGGGATTTGAGGCCTGACATGGAGGCAACGACGATAACGGAGGCTTTCGCGTGCCCGTCGCTACTGCACTTCTGGAGCAGCGGCAGGAAGGCGACCGTCTAACGGCATCAGTTTAATAAGCGACAGGACGATGGGAATTAAGACATACTGTGAAGTACATGGCGGACACGTTGGTGTTAAATGTCGAAATCCATTTCATCTGGTCTTCGGCGAACAGCATCTGCTGCAGCTCCTTGGCGTCCATTTTGGGCGCTGTGCTGCGCTCGCCTTCAGACCCCGCCGCAGTGACTAGCAGGTCGACGCCGTAGCGCTCACGTTTCTCGATCTGTCCCACGAGGTGCATTAGATCCTCCTTGTTGGTTACGTCGCATACAATGCTGGGCTACGTCAGTGTTCTGTTGGACCAGGGACACGAATGGAGGACGGACGGTATAATTGACCCGCCTTAGGAGGCCCGGTGGCTCTCAGCTGTCTGTACGAGCGCCTCGCGGTTGCTGCTTACGATGTAGACTCGTGCGCCGTTGGCGATGAGTGCTTGGGTTGCCCTGCCTGATTTTAGAAGCAGTACGGAGCGAGGGGTTACTGCTGGTTGTACATGAGTCCTATGCCAGTTCTACCGCCGGTGACTACACAGACATATTGTTTGAACGAGAAGAGCCTGTCCCCCCTAACACTTTCTGGATATGACATCTCAAGCTACTAGGTGACTGCCTGTATTAGAAGTGAGGATTTTGACGGCTGGTGTCCGAAGAGGCAAGATTGATAGATTATTGCTCCGTCTATTATTGCTCAGTCTACAGTAGAAATTCCTGACAATTCCAAACAAGAATTACGTCATTAGATGCTATACTAACTGAGGGGCCGAACCTGTGGCAGTTAGCTATCGAAGTCATGATTAATTAGAAAAGTCGACTTAATTGGTCGTAAATTTAGTTGAAACGAACGAAGGCCACGGTCAGACCTCATGGTGAACCACAATTGAATACAGTTCGGAACCACTACCTTTTGAGAGAAGAAAGGCTATGCCACCACTTTATCTCCGAAGGGTCAACTTTCTCTTGCGGATATTGAAATGTGTAATGCCATTTCCGTATTACACAAAATAACTGCATAAATAACTCCAATAACCAAGCACCCCTTTCAGACCATAGTGGAGGGCTAACTTTACTATCTTCGGAATTGGTTTCTCGCAGGCAAATCTTCTTGCTTCGCGTTCTAGTCCGAGCAACCAGGGGCTGTTTTGAGTTCTCCGGCAAGCTGATTGGGATATCCCTTTGACGCTGTAGCTGGCAACTGCTGTCACAAATTCCAAAGGAAAGCAGTAACTTACTACAAAATCTCTTATATACTAGAGATGACATTCAAATCTGCGTCAATATTCTTCGAACTGATTTTCGAAGGTATCTCATACGGAAGTGTTCGAGCGAAGTACTAGCTAAGCCCCAGAAGTTCCTAAAGTTTACTATTTACATGACGTGCCTGGGACTCGCGTTACGTATAGAGATACCGACTTCAGAGCCCCTGTAAATATTGTTGAATACTATAGTGGAAAGCTCTCTACGCTGAAGCCCTATCGTCTCACTTTAAACGCCAATCGGGTGGCTGGCCCCCCAGTATCAGGTTGCCTTGTGCACTGAGAGATGCACCATCGCAGCTAATCCCAATGCTGTTATAAGTTTCTCTCGTATAGACAATCTCATCTTCCGCGACTCCGAGCTCGTCCCTTGGAATCCATAGGACTAGAGGATCAGAAGTAAGAGTTTCGTCTTGACAAGGATCTTGAAATATCTTTGTTGCAACGCGCATATCTTTGCCTTTACTTCCGGTTTGAGCCGTTAGCTGCTTGAAAATGGGTCGCGAGGATAGCCAATGTAATCCACTTCTATGATCTAACGAAAAATGAAACAGTGCAGTAAAGGCCATAGTAACAATCATAATTATCGCTTGTGTAGTGCATGTGGCATTGCCGTTAGCATCGCGGAGGAGAAAGAATAGGCCAGCAAGGCATAATTCCATAAAGTATATGCCTGTCATTAGCTAACGAATTGCTGTTAGGTAAAACAGGCCGGTAGCACTAAGATCCAAATCAGAGAGCTTTAGAGGGTAGAACCGGTATAGAACCCAAAGCGCCCTAAAGTAGATCATGCTAAAGACTAAAATAAGAGGAGCGATGACTAAATAGATAAGTCCTATGCAGTTAGTATTATCTCAACAGTAGCTAATACAGAAAATATACCTATACACGCTATATTTGTGAAGACTAGGACAAAGGTACCCCATTTTTAAAGTCCTAGGCTCTGTCTTCTCATCTACTTTTACCTTAGAGATTTGTCAAACAAAGGAGAGAGAACAAACATGCTTATAAGTCTAGTAATCTACATAAGAGTGAAGGCGAAGGTCATAAAAGTGTGTATCATAATATACGAGAAGAAATAATTAGACGCCTTAGGCAAATTCTAGGCAAGCAGCGTCAGTATTGCTTCAACTATATCTAGCAACTGTCCAATGATGGTGGTGATACCAGCCGACAACGAGACGGCAAGGAATACCTACACAAAAAGGAAAGAGAAGTAGTAGATCTAAACGTAGTTCTCTACCCTCTAACAAGAATGTAGTCCTTGCATATTTGCAAGAAGACGTAGTACGCTTAGAACCATAGCAGTGATGAGAGATAGTATTGCAAGGGGTAAGACTCCTTAAATAGTCGCTAGGGCCTAACTTAGGAGCGATTCTAGCCGTCTTAGCGAAGGGACAACATAAGTTAGGTATCCAATCTAAGAAAGTGAGCCTGCGATTGCTACTAGAAGTGCGAAGCCAAGCGTAAGCGAAGCAGCAAGGGAGTACACGAAAGCTGTCTAAATAATCTGTTACCACCAGCTAATCGAGACATTTGACCATATAATATCTGCAGCAGTTGTCCCTTGTTTAAACGTCTAGGACGGAGGGGCTTGCGCTTTAATCGCAAGAGCTATAGATAGCGTTGAGAGATCTTTGTTGAAACGAACAAAGGCCGAATTCACCTTAGGGAACTCATCGAAATGCTGTTGGCTCCGCTGTATCTCAGTGTTATACCGAGCAACTTCTATACAGAAGTAATAGATTGTATTGACCTTAGCCCTAATAAACGGCAGAGAAGGCAGCCATGAAAAGGCTAGAAGTCGTGTTGATAGACAATCCTTTCAACATAGATATTTCATCCATAGCTCTAAGGAATGGGGGTAACTTTCGTCCTTTCCATATAGCGTCTAATGATTTTTTAGACAATTTGCTTTTTATATAAGACGCGTCTCAGCAACCTCTAGATTGCTTATAAACGCATCTCGTTGTAGTAGCTTGCAATGTAAGCTACTATAGTCTCGATTTATCAGTATACTATTAATGCCACTAGAAATGCTATGGAAGTGCCGCTAAATTTCATCAACAGAGAGCTGCTGCCCCTTTGATCTCAAAACGATGAGGAGAGATGATTCTTTAATGTTCTTTAATGCTTAAAAGATGCTTCGAAGTCTAGAATAATCCTAGAGCTCCTGTTGAAGGGTATAGCAGACCAAAACAACTACTAATATTACAAGTAGAAGATGCGCCCAGTACTTGTCTGTGTGCGAGAGTCTTAACGTTTAAAATACTTAGCAGATCTAACCCCTTTACACCTCTAGACGCGTTCTTGCCATAAGCGACATTTAATAGAACGAGGATAGGCATTATAATCAAGCACAATATAATGAAAATCCTCATAATGGTATGCAAATAGCGGTTAAAGAGGTAGTTTTTAAACCTAGATGCGTGTTTTATATAGGGGTCTAGTACTAGCGAAAGAAGCATTTGTAGGGACATCAGACGTAGTTTCCATTTCGAATTAAAGACTCTATAGGCTCGCCTGTAGCTTTATTAATTAGCATTTGGTTCCTTACTAAATAGGACCACTACGTACTAGTAGTCTGGGAATTTAAGTTAAAGTAGTATGTAAGCGGTTATACCAAACCTAAAGATTGCTCTAGAGGTTGTGAGAGATGCCAAAAAGGTGCGTAGCGATTTGCCATGATTCTTATGTGCCTTGCCTACAGCATTGTCAAGCATATCATTAACGCTCATAACTTGTATATTTAAGTAAAGATGAAGATGAAGGAATAGAACTAGAGATTGTCCCTATATATAACTAATACTTTCGACATACGCGGCTAGCGTCAACATCTTGATGCTGATGGCCCTCCACTAATAATGCGATAATCTAATGATACTAATGAACCACCACCTAATAATGGCCGCCTTGAGCTGGAGTCATGCCATACACACAATTCTCTAGAAGAACCGCCGGATGCACATTCATTTCTAGATGATAGTAAAGTACCCAGCTCGCCCCACCACGCAACCTAATGACTAATTTACTTCCTATAACCCTCTCTAGGGTGATGCTTTAGATTTGGACACAACTCCTGTTAGAACTCGGCTAGGCACGTAGCGCAATATAAACTGCGAGATCATAATGCTGGTAGAGACAAGGAATCAATTCAAGAGCATTTATATATTATGCTATCTCTGCTGCTACATTCAAGTCCCTCCGTGCTTCCCAGAGAACCTCTTTCATCCGAGAATATAGGCCTCTATCTTCCTTCTCCATCTCCCGCCGTTTAGAGATACCAGCTTTCGTAATCGATTTAGGAATTTAGTTAAAAAAGTGCCTCTTCCACAGACACTTCTTCCAGAGGCTGCTCTCGCACAGGCTGAGCCACTTCCTCTTCCCTAAGCAGACTTTCGCAATCGTTATGACGCTTTGATTCGGTGCGTAACATGGTTCCTAGTATGGGATACGGATATGGGCACATACCCATACTTAGACTTCTAGCATCGTGTATATCTCTGTAGTCGTGGAAGCGACATAGCCCACCATAGCCGATCATGGACTGCGCTTAGGCAGTCTGTACTTCTCGGAAATAATCCCAGCCAAGTTCAGCATGCTTTTCAAAGACTTTTTTCCATTTTAAGGGGTCAGTGTGTCGTCTGATCAAACTCAGGCTCACAGAGCATAGATCGCGGATAATTGAGCGAGATGGTACATTATTATAAACCGTAGAGACGTCGCGTGGCTTAAGCTCCCACCTGCCATTGAAAAATCCAGCGCGGAGAATATCTGAAGTTTGGTTCTTTAAATGACATATTATATATAGCTCGGCGAATATAGCTAGATCAAGAACAGATTCGAGAGATTCAACATTTACGCTCGGCTCGAGGACATGTATCCAAATGAAAAAGTCTTCAAAAGTCGATATTTTCACCTCTAGCAGTTTGATGATCCACGTCTGAGATTCCTTGAATTCAGATTGACACATCCTTCCTAATGGCGGGGAATACTGCATTAACAGAGCTTCTGGAATAGAAAAGCTCTTTTCGGTAGGTCCTACGAGGATTGTAATGCGATCACTCTGCATTGCCCTATTTAATAATTTAGAAGCATTCATATGTAAGCTATAGAATACTGACGTAATGTACGATGATATACTTTTTCCCATAGTGGCGGTAGATATAAAAATAGGGATAGAGACAAGAAAAGCAATACAGCGTGGTGTAGTAGTATTTATAGAAGTCCTAGGCCTCCAGCCATGCGCAATAAACAATATTTTCTTGAGTTGACGATTGGTGGCCTCAAAATAATGACCCCAATGATACCAATGATCCCCCTCAATATTGAGATCCGAATGATACTGATGATCCCCCTTAATAATGAGATCCACATCGACGCCTTTCATTTTAGCCTCAGGCACCAATCTCCGAAAATCGAAACTGCAGCATTGTAAAGATGAAGGCATGGAATCTGAAGATTGGCCCTAACATATAACCAATACTTCGACTTTCGCGGCTAGCGTTGATTCTGATGACCCTCCACCGAATAATCCAATCATCCGATGATACATGAACACCACCCAATAATGGATGTTTCTAAGGTGGTGAAAGCATCGTTGCGGATTGTGTGGGATGACAAGCCACCTAGGCAGGTCAAGTGTATGGCTGACTTTTCGGACCAGTCTTAGGTACCGTGGAATCAGGAGTTTGAATCTAAGAGTTAAATGTAATATGTAATGTAGGACTAGACTATATACTGACTCTCATCTCCATGACTTAACAGACGCATAGAGAAGAAGATGACAAAGTGCCTAACAGTCCTGATTTACTTACTAATACTCAGTCAGCGGTAACTTGCCAAATTTGACTAATCCCCACTTCGCCGATAAATCGCAAAGATACGACCTGCGTTTCCCTTCGCGTTCTTGTCCGACGTAATGTTGGATCATCCATAGCAATAAGTCGTTGCAAGTTCTAGTCTTCATCCTCCATAATGCCTTTGCAATATGATATCCCTTCGCGAAGACCTCCCCCCACCTCTGTTTCCACATGGACTGCTCCCATTCCGAGTCAAAATGGCTGATCATGTTCTTTAGCTCACCCCCTAAGTCAGCAAGTTCTTCGTATGAGACTAGCCCTTAGTGATGCGCGGCCGAGTCCCACATTGCTTAGAGCATGACTACTACCTCATTGTGGCTCATCGTCAGTTGTACACGTTACAAATGTATCGCAATGCTAAAGGCCTCTAACCACAAGCCTATTTTGATCGCTATATCCCACATAGTCTTGAGCATTTGCACTACACCATCACAGTCGTTCTCAACTATGTTCCATGCCACAGCGAAGGCACCTTCCCATCAGCCTTTGCTATATTCCTCATGCCATGCCTTTTTTAACATGGGAATTGTCTGTTTGCCTTGTAGTGGTACTATTTCCTTCGTTGCTGTGGTAGCACTGTCCTAGTCGTATTTCTAGGCGGCCTCATCCCAGAGGGTTTGTAGTATGTGTACTACTTCGCTGTTATGGTTTCTGATTTTGAGTTATTTAGCAAGGTGTTTAGCTAGATTGAGGGCAACCTGCCACTAGTTGTGGAAGGCTTACAGAGCAATATAATCCCACATGTTTTAAAGCGTGCTCATAAATTCCTCGTTAACATTTGAGTTATCTCTAACGGTCCCAAGTACACTTACTACTCTGTTAACCTCGCCCCACTAACCCTCTAAAATAGCGTAGCTGCAAATGATTTCCAGAATATGTACCACCGGTCGAGTATTTGCATTCGGCCTTATGAGTTTAGATGCCTAGCATAAAGCGTCTTGCCATTCATGCTCCCGTACGGCAAGATCTAGCGTCGCTTTAACCACTTCGGCTAGTTCGTCACTGTTTCTTCTTAGATAGATCTGTAATTGCTTAGACACAAAGTAGACATCTTTCCACTAGCATGTAAAGACACTCTAGCCAACTATGTCTCGCCATCCGACAGCTACTCGGTCTCGAACCAATTGTTGCATCATGATTCCAAATTCGTCTTGTAGGAAATCTGCTGCAGTAAATGTAGCTGCCTAAGCGTCCTATAACCTATCGACAAGAGCCCTTTAACAAAACCTTCGGAGTGGCTCCACTACATCGTAATGCTTGTTATGTAACTCTTAATCAAGTTTAACTAAGAAATCAAAGGCGTCTTTCCACCTCCTTGCAGTGCATAGGCCCTTCTAATAACTTTCAATAAGTTTTAAAGTAGATATTAGATGCTCGTTTATGCGACTAGTAATAGTGTTGCAAATGGTGTCGATATCCAATGTATGCTGACCCTGTCTACCTTCCCTAGTATAAGCGTAAAGGACTAAAGGCCACCTTTTGCTCTTAAATAACGTTTGAAATTGTTTAGAGAGCAAGGATACATACGAGAGCGTTCGTTGGTCTGAAATATTGAACATGATCTAGAAAAGCAATTCAGTAGGCAGATTAGACAATTGAGTAGAACAAGATGAGGAGGATTCTTTCATGTTAACAGAAGTCGGCTGCTTGTGTCAGGTTACTTCGTGATCTTCAATTTCAATAGGGTTCTCTATTCATTTTAGCAAGACTTCCGAAGTGAATACTAGGCATTCTTACCTTAACAGCCATTAGCCGGATTAGGGTGAGGGTAATTGTCACCTTAACCATATATTTTGAAGTTGAATGATGCCATAGTCTGACTGCTTTGAGGCATAAGACAAGGTTTTGGTACCAATGGCTTAATGTTGGTATCCCGTGAGCTGGAAGTAGCAGGCAATTAGGGTCGGTATGTGGATTCGTATATTTGGTGAAATTAGCCGATTTCTCCCATTTCTAAAAACGCGAGGAGGGGGGCCTACATATATAGGGAAGAGAGGTCTACCCACCAGAGTGCCTGGCGCCCCTCCTTATGCTTTCTCCACTCTTGCGATCCGCCATTCAGGTAGCAAGATCACATTTACTAACCATCCGAGCCCAAACCGTTACATGGTGCTCCTTAAGCGAAATTAACCCTTCATTATTTTGGAAATGATAGCTCTTACGATGTTTGCCAATAGAGGGGATTAAAGATCATAATGGATTAGCTCGATAGAAGATAAGTTCACCGAAACCTTAATATAGCTAATTAAAAATGCCTGCCAAAGGTGATCTGAGATTAGGAACCCATAATAATGTTTGAGAATAACTAGTGTATGTAAGTCTAATTTATTTGCACGGTCCGTTAATAACTCCTACATATGTCCCAATCCCATGTACAAGTTCAACCTCGAATAATTTTCACGATTATGCATCTATAACAATATGGAAGATTACGTTCCATCGGACATGAGAATACAAAATAAACCAGTCAAGCTCATTGTTCGCATATACTAGATCTTCTCTAATGAAACTCTTTATCGAATTTTACCTTGGACATATCAAGACGAGACAAGATACAAAGAGGCGTTAGGATCTTTGCGCTGCTCGAATAGTGGGCGATGAAGACGTGCTAGTCAGCATTAGCAGGAATTAGAAGCATAGATTGCAAAACTAACATCGGAGAGTTCATAAGGAGCGGCCCAAGGAATTGCCTCTACAAAACTGATTGCCTCAGCCGACCACTTCCCTAATTAAGAGTTCAAAGTCTCAACCGTCTCACGCATCAATTGTAACACGAGAACCCTCAAAGAATCCATGTCTGCCGAGCTGTGGTCTTTAGGAGAAGTCACATGATCTGCAAGTATTCAGTCAATGAAATTGCATCGGTTTAAGAAGCTTACTAAGCTTGACCTCGCCGTTTATAGACAACTGAATATTTCGTGTAGATATACGGACGTGACTAAGTTTCCTTAACTAGATAAAACTTATGCCGGCCAAAACCTACTACGTTAGTAGGATAGGAGGAAGACAGTGCTCGACTTACTTGGCTGATAATATATGCTATCTCAGTCTCCGAGAAACAAATGGATTTTTGCAGTAGGTCTTCGAGGGAAAGCCCTACATACTCAACAATAGCAGAGTATTCCCCTTTAAACAAGTATGTCTCGTAGATATTAACAAAGTTTTTATGCCGTATTAAGATGTATGGAGATTCGTTTAGAGGTGCAATGTTAAAGTCTCTAATCTCTCGCACTGCCGTTCTATCATTGCAGAGGACTAGCCTCATCCCTAAGCTAAGCTTTAAAAACGGCTCGTATAAGTCCTACGGATTGCAAGCAAATGATGGAATCTCTGTCAGTCCTGCGGACCAGAATTCTTTCTCGCAGGAGGGAGCATGTCCTAGAGACAATAGGCGAGTAGGACGAGCAATAGGACACTCTTCAAGACAATCTGCAATGGGCAATCTAGTCATCCCTACTGTCTTTGTGCTTTCTCCCATAGTGGCAGTAAATAAAGAATTAGAGATAAAGACAAGAAAAGCAATACAGCGTGGCGTAGTAGTATTTATAGAAGTCCTAGGCCTCCAGCCATGCGCAATAAACAATATTTTCTTGAGTTAACGATTGGTGGCCTCAAAACAATGACCCCAATGATACCAATGATGCCCCTCAATATTGAGATCCGAATGATACTAATAATCCCCCTCGATAATGAGATCCACATCGAATGAGATCCACGCCCTTCATTTTAGCCTCAGGCACCAATCTCCGAAACTGCAGCATTGTCAAGCATATCATTAATGCTCATAATTTGTATATTCAAATAAAGATGAAGGCATGGAATCTAAAGATTGGCCCTAACATATAACCAGTGATTTCGACTTTCGCGGCTCGCGTCAATTAGATGGCCTCAAGATCTTGATGCTAATGATCCGATGATCCGATGATCCGATGATACCAATGGACACCACCCAATAATAGCTGTCTTGAGCTGGAGTTGATTATGAATTTACCCTCAACGATATTTAAGTACAAGCACGGAATTACTCTGTACAGCCTAGAAAAAGTTACTTTCTAGGGACCTAAATTCTATAAGAATCGTCGCAGCAGCTGGCGGAACAATATCTATCTATTTACCTTTTGAAGTGGCTGCTTAAAAGGTTTAATATGGAGAAACCTATCACTATAAAAATTCTCATGATTCATGGTACTTGCTCTAATCAGAAATATTTGGGTCGGGCATAGACTAACCTTGACTTTCAGGCTATAGGCAATCTGGACCGCTTCTAGACATAAAGACGTCTCGACTCCAACATGCGCTACAGGAAGCATTTACGAATCATACCAGGACATGCGAAGTTCGGTTCTGTTTTCCTACTGCTCCATGCAGAATCCTAGTGCCAAGTATACGTGAACCTAAGGAATCACCAACTAGAGGACAACTTGAGAGTCTAGATATGTAGACGTGGTGTATGGATTATAGTTCAGGGGGAAACAAATTCTTCGACGAAAACAAAACAATTTCTGACTTAGATAACGCCTTAGATTCAATTGTAGAGATAATACGACAATATGGGCCTTTTGATGGAGTCATAGGCTTCAGCTCAGGTGCCTGCATTGCTGCGTTAATCGCCTCGCTCCTCAAAGAGGGAAGAAAGCAGGCGTTTGAAAAATGGGAATCTAAAAATGGAATGCCTTATCCAAATAGCTTTCTGCGAGAAGGCAAGTCTGATGGCAAGCACAACGTACTCTAGTCGCCATTGAAATTTGCAGTATGCTACTCCGGGTTCAGCCTCGAACACCCTAAGTATTCAGCATTCTACCAACTGCAGATTTAAACACCGATACTACATGTCCTAGGTAAATGGGACACAGTTGTTGAGGAACAGCAGTCATTAAGTCTAGCTAGGAAATGTAGAAGAAAGCCAACACTTTTCTATCATCTCGGCGTTCACTTCGTACCACAACAGAGTTGTTATATTTCAAAGGTCACAAGTTTTATATTAGATGCCTATGTAGCTAAGATGAATTGAAAACATAAGTCATTCAAGGAGTTTTACCCATAATGAGTCATCGTTTGAACAAGCGCAGCTGAAGTGTATATGTGGGTGCTAGGAGGTAGGAGTTCTATTCAGCTCTAGTCGAGGATTTATTAAATGCGGGCATAGCCTCAATACCCCTACCCCTAGGCTAGATAGTATAAGTACCAATGAATCCCCACGTTGAGTCCGGCTCACATCCTCTTTTAACTTTCATCAGACACAAGGTTACTTCACGCCATGTCGTTGCCACTACAACTAAAAGATGTGGATTTGTCTAGTTCGAGGACTACTATAGAAAACTCTCTAAGGTCTACACTTGGCTTGAATCAAGACCAAGAGCGATCACCGACATCTGATTTGAATCCACACCTAGAGGAAGAGTCGGTAAATAGTAGCACCATTGACCCTAGCGAAGCGGCAGTAAGTCTTGACAGCAGTGACGCTATAAGGTATCAAAGATTAATAATTACTAGGCTTCTAGAAACTATGTTATAGTAATAATACTACAATGTTGGTATTCTTCAATTTATTGCCTAACAACCACTAATGCATTCAGCATTAATCGCAATGTTTCAAAAAAGAGAGCGCAATTTATGCTTCGGCGAAATCCAAAATGAAACAGCCGAATTAGCTGGACAAACTGCGAGTAGGCTAGAGGCCAGCCTTCGTGAGAGCTTCCACCACAGGAGTCCTACTTTCCTAGCTAACTTCCTCTATAGAATTAACCAGCGAGCTAATAGCATCCGACGTCTAAACGCAAGGCAAGTCATCACCTCTTCACGCCATCCACACTTCAGGAAAGAAAATTCGGCACTCCATGGTAAGAAACTTGGTTTCTTTATGAAATATAAACCAAAAAAAGCTAATACACCATCTAGAAACAATCTAGGATCTTTATTAAAAGCTCATTTACAAAATAGGTATGCAGCAAATGCTAAGTAGCTGTCTAATTGTTCATAGGTCAGATGAATTCGCTCCGTGCAGACTATAACCAACTCTGCATTCACAATACAGGACTTAATGATAAGATTCCTATAATCATCTAGAACGCTTCCATTCTTACTTCCTATAGACAAATTAAGAGCTTCGGAATTTGAAATCAGTAAACTGCGCAAGAAGAATGAAGCTCTAAAGACGATACTCTACAAGGTTCTATCTAATGATGGGAATGGAGGAAAGAAGGGTGGAGATATGGCTAGAAGTGATATCCACGTGAGTGTAGGGGTTAGGGGCAAGTTTAAATAGCCAGGCGTAGGTAGGGATTTAGATGGGCTCTCCGTTTCTTTAATTTTTATATAACGAATCATCAGGTTAGAATAGTAGGAGGCAAATATATTTGTACCGTCTTCCCTTTCGTTACAACGGAGATTTATTAACCGAGGTCGAAAGGCGTATTTTCAGTGGCCTATGTGTTTGAGAAATACTCACTTTTACAACATTATGCACACTAAATCGGAGTAGCGCAAGCTACAAGTAATAATTTCGCTGTTTATGGTTATATTAAATTTTAGCTATTTAGACTCAGCCATTAAATCCCGAATCTCCAGGACCGTCATCTCCTGAGAAACTAACGAGGCATCTTAATAAGGAGGGTTTATCAAAACCCAATCTCTCTCTGCAAGTAGCTTCTCTATAGCACATTCGATAGTGATTGTCTAAGTAAGTCTAAGAGCCGAGATACAGGATTCGATATCACAAAGGTAGGCCCGTTGACTAATGGACATTCCGTTTCTAGAAAGAACAGCGCTAGCTTCTTTAACATCTGCCGTAGGAATAGAGAAAGAGTCTTAGGACTGCTCTAGAAGTTGCTTAACATTTGCATCCGTGAGTCCGTGGAGATGTGCCTGCTAGACGTTATAGAGCTAGTTCTTGTCTCTAAGTGCATTATACTAAGGACCACCGCAATCGAATCCTTGTCTTTCTAGTATAGATAAGGGATCGCTAGTCCGACCCCTCTTTCTCTTCTATGACTTGTCGTCAGAGGTTTGCTTTAAGGGGACAGTGCCGTGGACTATTACTAAGCAGTCTATTTCTCTATTAACAACATGCAACGCTTATTTAGCTCATTCTTTACCTAAGAACATCCATTGTCGCTGTGTTTCACTGAGTGAGAATCGGTAGCTAACATCGTCAAGAAGGTCCTAGAAATAGCGGGATGTTGTTATCGAGGAAAGTTAGAAGTGAGGTAGTCTAAAGAGCAGAAGCGATGTTCTTATAACAACGAGCGGATAATGGCGCAGCTACAAGAGCTCTTCTGAGTCTAGCGGCTTGAAATGACTTCAGCCGTCATTAGATGCTCCCCGTCCCCTTTTATGTTCAGTTGGAAAGGGGTTTGCACTGCCGTTGTACTCGATCTTAGCGCTGTCCAAGTGTTTGAGGTGGAGATACCTTTGAACCGCTCGTATCTCTTTAAAAATGGTAAAGCTAGCTTTCTTGAGATAATAGTTAAGTACTCTTACTAGATGGCAAGGCCAAGATAGCTCCGCATCTCATCGGCCCTGTAGGTACATATGGCCAGGTCGGAGGCACTGCCACAGGACGGCTAGCGCAGATGATGTGACTGGAAACGCAAGTCATGATGCATGGAGGAGCATATAAAAAGGCGGTCTCCCACTAGTAAAGAGCAATATCCCTCCAAATTGCCTCCTCACCATCCATCGTTTAGATCTGTTACTCAATCAACATGGCCCCGTCAACACCGACATTAGAGGGTAGGCAAAGCCAAATCATTGCAGAGGATTGCTCTACAGACAGCACCGATTCCGACTTTGACGGGCTATTTTCGCAAAACACCATGTCGGAAGCCACGGGTGGAAATGCATGCACGGCGCTGTGGCAACTGTGCCCAAACTGGACATAATGCGCGCACGTGTCAGGAGGATGTAGACATGTCTATGCAAGAGGATTCCGAGTAGTTTCAATTGTTATATTTTGTTATGATAGAATTGTTGTGAAGTTTGTTGCGTAGGTGTGTAAAAGTGTCGCTTTCGCTATGCTGTCGCTTTCGCTATGCATGTACGTTAAGCCTTCTCCTTCTTACACTAACGCTAGATGCAGGAGAACAAACGCTGCCAGGTTAGGCAATAAGGAGATTAGGAAGGACAATCTTTCGATGCGCAGCTGCATTGAAATAATTTAAAAACTCAATGTTAGGAAGGACGCTGTAAGCTAGGCAAACTTTGGTACCGACTTGGTGCACTGTCGCTGTGACAGAGAAAGGGATCACAGAAGAAGGAAAAGAGGCTGATAGAGAAAGGGCTTACAGAAGAAGGATAAGAGGCTCACGCTCACGATCACAAAAGTACGGTGGTCCGAGTGATGGTGATGAAGTCTGATTGAGAGGAGGTGGGTGGCTAGTTAGCTATATATCCCTTATAGGAGGTCCGTAGCGCCTGCCACGGGACCTGCTCCCCTAGCATGCCCCCTACCCCTAAGGGTCTGTCCGCAGATCCCTGGAAAGTATACGAAAAAAAAAGCCTGATCGCGGAGCCGAAGAAACGGTGTGCCAAGGGCTCAGAAACAAAGAAAGCGGCGTAGACCGGAGTTGTTGATCTATGTTTCCAATCCAACATATCCGGTCTCCTTTTCCCTCAACCACTGGACTCCGAAGTCCTTCAGCTTGTACTTTTCAATCTTTCCACTGGCAGTCAACGGCATTTGCAGCACCCAAAAAATGTGTTTTGGGACTAGCATTTTACTCAATCTCGCCTGCACCCAACCTCTTACAGAATCCTTCGACAGTGATCCCGCAGCCGCACCGTGTTCTTCATTCCCATCGCCCTTCACAATGATAAATGCAGCAACGACTTCCCCATATATCACATCCGGTAGCCCCACTATACTGGCATTTAAAATCAGAGGGTGCTGAAGGAGAACATTCTCGATCTCAGGTGGGTAAATGTTCTCACCACCACGAATGATGATGTCTTTAATGCGGCCTGTGATTCGAATGTATCCATCGGGCTGAATTAAAGCTTCGTCTCCGGTGCGAAACCAAATCTTCCTCTCCTTTTTTTCGCCAGGACAATTCTCCTCGTTCAAAGCTTCACTTGTTCTACTTTCATCTTTCCAATACCCCGCCATCACGCAGTAACCGGAGATCAGAAGCTCTCCTTTTTCTCCGTATCGTAATGTACGGGTGGGGTCGTCACGGGAGACAATTTTGGCAAAGGTGTGGGGAAGCATTCCGCCCACGGTGTTCAGCTTCTGCTCTAGGGTGTCAGACGAGGTTGTCATACAGACAATAGGGGAGGTCTCAGTCAGGCCATAACAGCTCGCTAAATCCGAAAGGTTGAGCTTCTCGTGGAGAGTGAGTCGCAAGGAAGAAGGGATTGGACTGCCTCCTATGATACCTGTCCGTAAATGGGAGAAATCTTTCTTTGTAATGAATCTGTAAAATCTCTTGGTTAGTGAATGAACATGAGGTGGGTAGAGGTAAAATAACCCTTGGGAAAGCAATTCCAACTCGGCGAGAAACATTGTCGGGACACCATAGAGGGCGGTTGGTCGATCGTTTTCGATTGATCTAAGGACCTCTCTTGCGTCAAATGCTTCTGATGGCAATATGATGCATGCTCCTTTCGAACTGTCAGTACTTGGTATCTCTACTCACAATCGAATATTTTTTTGAGTGAGTGGGTTGGGCGTTTGTAGAACGAGGAACAAATACCATGTGTCATTACAGCCAAAAGGCCAAGGACGAGTCCAAAGCAATGATACAGTGGAGGTGGACAGCACACAATATCCCGTTCAGTTAAGTCCATTCCTCTGCCAACGAGAAACCCATTATTCAAGATACTCTTGTGACTCAAACAAGCAGCTTTAGGAGCCGATGTAGTCCCAGATGTAAACTGTATGGTAGCAATATCGCTGTTCCTCAGATGGCCTTGGTTGGGTAATTGTCTACCATGGTTGTCGGAAATGAGCTGATCATAATCTATAGTAGATTTGAATATGGGCTTTTCAACTTGATTTATAGAGTTCTTTATTAGGAAGACATGCCTGAGAGAGTTGACAGGTAATGGACAAGAATTCAGTTCCCTAGTGCTTCCCAGAAGAGATTCTAGAAGAGGTGCTGTTGATGTTGGTGGTTTGTATGGTAAAGTGATATCTGTGCTCAAGAAAAGACAGCTTGCTGAGATATGGTTTAGGGCTGAAATCACTTGATCGGGGGTGTACGCAGGATTTAGAGGAACAGCAATAGCCCCGATTTTGAAGCATGCATACGAGACCTAGTACCAAAATCAGTCACCAGAAACCATCACACGATATAGGGGAAAAGCTGACCACAGCGTATGGAATGCCGTTTCCAAGGCTTATCACGACTCGATCCCCTGTTTTGATCTTGAGAGTCAACAGTCCTGTTGCTAAAGCTTCACTCTGCTCATCCAACCCCTTGTACGAAAGTTGAGAATTAGGAGTCTTTATTGCAATTCGATCAGGGAAGGCATTGCATATGGCCGAGAATTTTTCACTGAAGGTTTCCTCCAACAATGCTGGCTTTGATAAATCAGTGTTATGCCAGAAAGAGGCACGGTGGCAGTTACGTACTTCTACAGGTCCAGATATTTGAGCCAAGGAGTCACTCCTCCAGAATGTGTCTTCATTTCGTGCTCGGCTTAGGGACATTTTGTCTGACAAACTTGCAACAATACAAGGCTGTTTAGAGCAAATAGTTGTAAGTAGCCGCCTTGGTAATGATCTGAAGCTGACCTTCACTGCCTTGATTAAATTTTGATGAGCTATACAAGTCTATCATTATCGTCGGAGAAGTAGCGAGCCTTGGTGGGCCATCTTGTGCCAAGTTTTGTTTAGCGCCGTATGTCTCTGTAAGCTCGTTACGAGAACTACTCTCCACATGTACTCGTAATTATCCCTAAGTCATCATGAGGCCACCTGCCTCAAGGGGTTAGGGGAAACAAGGATCCGTTGGCGTTAAGTTTAGATGGCTTAGTGTGACAGCAGCGGGGCCTTCCTTCCTTCATTGCTACCTTTTTTGGACTAGGAGAAACACACTAGTTGCATGGCGAAATAAAGGCGAAATTGCAAATTACGAGGTACCAGCCGTGGGAAGAGATAACTGATGGACTTTTAGGATTGCTTTCCCATCGATTCAATAAAGTTACCAGGAGGTCAAGATGTCATCTAAGATTCAACGAAGTTCAGGGCTACTTTTCTCTCTGCTAGCAACTCAATCTCGATCAACTCCGAACCTTGGTTCAAGAAGACAACTTCATGAATTGTAAGGTGCTCTTTCAGGTCAATTTTAAGAATTTCTGTGTCTAAGGAAAATTACAAGACAAAAGATTGACTTTCATAGCTTGGTGATAGTGAGGGATTCCAGGGATATCCAAGATCTGGGTTTGAAGCCCACTTTCGCTGGAAGGGTGCTATCGGAGGAGACCAAAGCCCCAAGGACAGTGTTTGCTTGTCAAGCTGCCAGTGTTGAGGCTGTAAAGAAGGCAATGGAGAAAAATGTATGGTTGAAATTCAATTCAATATTCGATGCTTCCAACGGACTGTTTTTGAATGCTGATTGTGATCTTAGAGCTCATGTGACTTGTCGACCGTGACGATTCTGCCGCTTCAAACAGTTCACACAAGTAACTTACAGGAGTCTAAAGAGACAGCTTGGTCGGTATGAGGAATTAGCTATCGAAATGATTATCTAAAGTTGGCCATTATTTATGAGCCATCATTTTTCTTCATTCTTTCTCTCAAATGATGCAAAACGTCTCGTCAAGTGATTAACATTTAAACCACATATCAAAGCTCCAATCTATTCCTTCTGGGACACGGAGTCAAAACCAGCCCGTAGGCGTTCCGTCAGGTATTCTGCAAAGTTATTTATGATATCCTCCTCAACGCTGCCTTTCTGCCAAGTCAATGTAATCGTCATTGGCCCCCCCGGAATACTTATGCAGTTGCAACAAAAAACTGGACCAGTCACTGATCCACACTGAGAGACCACTACCTTTTCCAAACTCAAAGGTGCGCCTTGCAATTTGTCACTCTCAACCACCTCGACATTGCCGAAATTTGACAATTCATAGGTCAACGCTCGCTTCTTCCCCAATTGACTCAGTGACGGTCCATACCAATCGTCAATGCCGAACATTCCAGCCCAAACGTTGTTTTTGGGACTTCTAGCCAACTCAGCAGCCATGTGTCGTCGATAGTCCGTCGCGATGCCGATGATTAGTTCAAGTTCCTGACTTGAGTTTGTGGGAGTGGTGCGGATTGCGCTGGCCAACTCGTCTGGTGAATCAACCACTAAAGCTGAGGCATGATTGCAAATCTCATCGTCGGCAACTTTTGTTATATGTCGCATGGAATATGGAATGACTGCCCGAAACATGTGCCCAGGAGCAATGGCTCTAGAGAGGTAGGTGACCAGAAGGCCATGTATCAGTCCAGTCAAAGTAATTTTGCATGACTTGCAGAATTGCAGGACTTTGCCCAATTGTGCTAGGGGAAGATTGACTAGGCGGAGACCTGACTCATACTCCTCTATAGATGACAAAAACATATTGGCACCCGACCATATATTTGTGGAGTCGTAATTTATATGAGTGTTGTCGTTTTCGTCCCTGGCCTGCAAATCGACAACTTCTTCCAAGAGTATGGGACAACGAAGATCCCTGGGTACCTGATATGGCCAGACCAATTCTTCCGGTTGGGAACTGTTGAAAAAATGAAAAAAAGTCTTGTGGAAGTTTGTATGGCTGAGACCATCGGCAATGGCATGGCTCGCGAGGAAAGCAATGCTGAGTTTCTGAACTGATTGGCCTAGCTGCTGAGATTCAGATCCCCATTGACCACCATGTTTGAACACGACAACTCTCCATGCTGGCTTGCAATGTCCTTCTGACAAAATCCGGGCGTGTGACTTTTCTAAGAGCTTGATGGTTGAAGTGTCATCATCGTTCTGTCTTGCTTCTTCCGGAGTTTGTCCACAGAATTCTGCGACATCTTCCTTATAGACAACTTTCAATCTCAGGAAGTGGGCCTCTCTATCCGGAGTCTTGTCCACGATTCCATAGCATAGAGAAGGGTGATATTGCACGGTCTGATACAATGCACGATCGAACCGCTCCATGAAGGAAGTGTCTGGATGAGGAAGCCCAGCTGTAGAATAGGTGCATACTGCAAGGGCCGAGGTGCAGCGGTAAAACCCCAAAACATTTCGGCACGAATAGAATCGTCCTAGGACACCTTTGATGGGCCAAATCAGCCACGAAGTCTGTATGAGATAGAACGAGTAGTTACCCAAATTAACAATATCACGTGACTCCATAACTTCGCGAATTGGGCTGACAGATTGCTGGCGTTTCCTTCGTCTCCGTATTCAAAATCACCAAGTGCTTCTTAAAAAATTAACGAAGGCGGCGAATCTAAAATAGGAAGCAGCGCCCGTAGCCCTCTGAAAATTCAAGTGACACTTGGCATACCATGCTGCCCATCTTATCTTTGAATTTCCCCATTAAAATATCCGGAATCATTCCGATAGAGTTGAGGGGCAAATTTGACTTCACAGCATCAAATATTCTTAGTCCCCCCAGACTTATGCATGGGGTAGGTCCCTACAAAGGCCACAGTTACGTTACAGGTACGATAGGCTAAGCGTGACGGAGTCATGTACTCAATACTTGATTTGGCAGACTTTCACCTTCCCCTTTGTGTCGTCGCAGCGCCAAGAGAACGGGTACAAAACAATAATCTGAGGGAATAGGAATACGAGCCTTTTCAAGGGCATTTCGGTACGGCTCGGGCCTACCGATCGAGAACATGGAGTTGTGTGGGTTTTGTAGCAATGTGGATCCATACGGCCAACTCACAACACCACCGTGCGTGACACGTCATTGGGAATACGAAAAGCGACCTGTGAACTCTTGCCGTCCTAGGTCCAAGGAAATTCAACAGACGTCCTCTTCAAAGCATTGTGTATCTCACCAAAGTGCAGAGATACGCCTGACTGTGTCACGTGCTTGAACTTCCCGAAAATGTCGACAATACTCTACTCTTGGATGAAGACAGTTCTTGCGTTAGGTACAGCAACATGCTTCTGGTTTCTGTTCAAACTGCTGAGGGAAAGGCGACGGTTTGCAGGCCTAGTGAGTCTTCCCTATGAAATAATTTTCATCTAATAATTTTCATCTACTTACCCGGACAGCCTGGTCCTCCCCACCACTGGTTATATGGCCATCTCCCGATCATTAAGAAAATTAAAGAAAAGCTTCCAAGTGACGCCCATATAAATCTGCTTCATGCTACTCTGGCACGCGAGTACAACTTGGGACCAATCTATTATCTTGACCTGTGGCCCTCGTTCGATCCTATGGTCATAGTCCTTGATCCAGCTTTGGCTGCTCAAGCCACACAGCTCAAGAACCTACCAAAACATCCTATGTATAGGTTGATGGAATATACTGTCGGGACGCAAAGCATCATCACGACGACGGGCCAGCAATGGAGGTTCTGGCGAAAGGTCTTTGACCCAGGTTTTTCAAGCACGCATCTCGCTACTCTTACCCCGATGGTTGTGGAGCGAGTTCAAGTATTTATCAAGAAACTGGAAGCTCACGTGGAAACTGGGGATGTATTCCCTTTGTTGCCTTTGACCAAGAGCCTCACAATTGATGTGATAGGACGTGTTACAATGGCTTCAGATTTTAATACTCAACAACAGTCCAATGAAATCGTGGATGCTTTTTTGCTGATGCCTAAATATATTCCCCCTATGGGCTTTGATCCAATCAGACTTTTGAGCCCGACCAGAATCTGGAATGCAAGGCACTATCAAAGAAAGCTAGATAGACTGATTGGAGAAGTTGTTGATCAGCGATTTCGCGAACGGAGAGCGGGAAAAGTTGGACCTTCTGAAAAGTCTCTTGTGCATCTGGCACTAGACACCTACGAACAGATGGGTGATACTGGAGATGCTAATCTTGTGACGGATCCTGTTTTCAAGAGAAATGCTATCCACAATATTCGAGGCTTCTTCTTTGCTGGGTAAGTAAACTGTTGTTGAGTAGAGGGTTTGGCAAGGTGCTAATATATGTATCTAGCCATGCGACCACTGCAGCTTCATTATGTTACTTGTATTATGTTCTATACAGGAACCCAGATGTCATGCTTCGACTTCGTCAAGAACATGACGAGTATCTCGGAGTGAATCCGGATGATGCCAGCGCCCGTATCCAAGCAGAACCTACTCTTTTGAAGAGGATGCCTTACACCACAGCGGTCATCAAAGAGTCATTGCGCTTGTTTGTGGGTGCAGGGACAATGCGGAATGGGGTCAAAGGATTCAGCCTAGTAGATCCAAGCACCAACACTGCGTATCCAACCTACCGGGATGGGCCATTCCCTATTCTAGTCCGAGCTTTTCCCATCCATCGGAATCCTGCAAACTTTGCGGATCCAGATTTGTTTGACCCTGAGCGCTTCTTGGGAGCGAGAGTAACCACCATGACAAAGGATGCATACAGACCGTTCGAAAAGGGGTCACGGGACTGTCCTGGACAAGAACTCTCAATGATGGAAATGCGAGTCACACTAGCGCTCACCATACGCATATTTAATATTGAGGCAGTGTATCCAAAGGATTCTCCAGAGGTTATGGGAGACCCCGCATATAATGTTATGTATTCGAGTGCTGGTCCAGCTGCTAGCTTACCAGTGAGAATCAAGCTCGCAAAGAGAGAGGAGGAAGGATGAAGTGGAAGAAATCAGAGGGATCTTCATTGGCGAGAAAGCACGTGGCGAACAGAGAATTGACCTCAATTTCGAAGTATATGGCATTTAGCAAGAAGTTTCCAGCCAACTCATTGTTCGTTTTCTCAACGCTTCCCAGTGCCCCATGAATTGACCAATTAGCACCACATTTAAAGAGGCTTAGTGATATGATTAGCTTAACCGGGATCGGCACTTTATCAAGCGAGCAATTATTCTACTAAAGGAAGCGTTCCACTTTCGTATTGTGACTGCACTCGAAACTTACACCTAGTCAATACTTGATAAAATTCAATTCAGAATAAAAAAACTCAAACTGACTTAGGTATCCCTTATCTTATCGAAGATGGAATACTTTAAGCACATCGAGCTTTCTGAGCTGGATCAGATCATGCCACGGCTGTATGTACGGTGGTTACTCTGCTTTCCTATTTTGAAAGATTCGCCATCAAAAGAGAGGATCATCGATATTATTAAGTCTGGGGTCAGGACTACTCTAGAGGCACTTCCGATTCTGACTGGCAATGTGGTTCCCAAATCCTCGGATCCCTCTCGGGTCGAAGTCCGGGTCCCCACCTCTGAGATTAAACGAGACTTCAAATTACAAGTTAAGAGTTATGATGAGGTGGAAGATCCGACCATGCCAACATACGAGCGTCTGAAGAAAGGCAATTTTCCCGTTTCGGAACTTCCAGATAAGCTTCTTGCTCCTGCCAATACGCCATCGACCCCAGTTTTCGATCTCCAGGCAACATTCATTCGTGGTGGCTTGCTACTCTGCATCAAGTGTCATCATGCAGTAATTGATGGAGCTGGTTTGGGTTTGGTTATCAAACTCTTAGCCCAGAATTGCTATCTCCACGCGAACCCTCACATTCCAGGAGAAGCTCCTAGTCTCCCGTCTATGGAACGTTCCGTACTACCCCACGGCTTGAAGGACCCTAGACTCAATGAACTGGGATTCAATATCTTGGTGGGTTCCAAGGGCACCGAAACTGCTGCCATTAAAGAATATGAACCCATGACCTCTCATATCTTCAAGTTTTCGGCAAATTCACTTCGGCAGCTCAAAGCTGCGTGCATTACCAGCTCTGTCAACTTCACTTCCCATGATGTCCTGACTGCACTACTGTATAGTGCTGTCTCTTATGCCAGGTCACTTCGCCTGTCAAAAATCTGTGACCAGAGATCTAGTGTTCCTTCTACCATGGGCATTGCAGTAAACGGGCGACGCCGTCTGAAGCCACCCATGGCCGGTTACGCTGGAAATCTCACCCTCTACGCTGCTTTCTCAAGCCCACTATCGTTACCCTGCGACCCAATACCAAGTGAAAAATCGACAGATATCACTTATCTCTCAACTAGGCTCAATCTTCCATATCTAGCCAGTCAAACCCACGCCACCGTAGCCTCGGTGACGGAGCCCTACATCTTGTCTACCATGGAACTCGCTTCTTCTCTCTCAGATGTCTCAAAACTGGTCCCATCATTCTCAGATTTCTACCAAGGGACGGACTTTTTCATTACCAGTGGTGCTGACCTACCCGTCTTTGATCATGAATGGTGGCCTGGCGGATTCGTGGAGGAGATGAGAATACCATTGAAGGCTCAGTGGGATGGGTCGTGTGCTGTGCTCGCAACAAAAGATAAGAGTACTGGATTAGATGTGCTACTTGGGTTGAGGGAAGATGATATGCTCGTTGCAAAGCGTATTTTGTTTGCATTTGGTGCCTATATTGTTTAGATCATTTTGTGGGTCTAATAAAACGCTTTTAGGAGGCGTAAAGCAAACTTATTTCTAAATCTATGACCAAAAAATCAATCTCGGCCGCTCACCCGAAGACTTCGCTGGAATCAGCCCCATAAAACTGCTCAACGTCAACCTCGCCCGCTGCTGCCCTGACCTGCCATCCTCCCCAATCTCTGGTTCGACAGGAAAAACTTGATGCATATTCCTTGAGTTGAAAATGCACAAGTCACCAGGCTGTGGTTGAATAGTAACCTTCTTTCGTCCTTCCACCAGCTTTTCCAGATAACCATAAGACGAACGATCCCGAAACTCCATCGCGTCTTCAGTCCACTGACAGTCATGTACTTCGGTCTTACCACCTTTTACCTGTGTCAAGTAAAGGTTGAAAACTGCCTGCTTAGTCACCTGATTGATGATCCAATCTTCAGTCCGGCTGTCGTAAGGTGACCAGTCGCAGTGGATGGGTGTTGAGTCGTTGATTGCCCGAAAAATTCCTGAGAAGTACTGCTCGCCGGTCCTTTCTGAGGCGACGGCAACATCGTACTCAGGCAGCAATGAGGCGATTTTGTCGATGATTGTGCGCCATATGTTTTGCCCCACAACCTTCCTCAGATTCTCATGAAGTTTCTCGTGCTTCTTGGTTTCCAGGAAGTATTGCTCCTTTTCTGTTCAAATCTTAGTCAAGGTTTGCGGGATAGGATGGGAACCCTACCATTACCGTCACTGGACCGCTGATTCAGCTGGTCGTCTGATATTGCTTGATACTCGAATTGCGCAACTCCTACTCGTAGAAGTGTTGGCCCCGGGACGTCGAGATATGGTGATAATTTAGGAGAGAGTTCGTCCTCGACCTTTTGGGCGATGTCACGAGACACGAACTGAGATTCCTTAATGCATCCCACTTTGCCGTCTAAGACACCAAGTAGGGACTCTCGAACGAATGGCGCTGGGTCTGTATTCTCCCATTGCGAAATGTACGAAGACATTTTGTCGTCTGATATCTTAATAGAGTTCTGGAATACGGGAAGACTTCGGAATTTTGCAGGAGGTAAATCAAAGCAGCGATGCTCTGATGCAGATTTCTGTAGCATGGTATCCCCCCTTTTCTGTTTGTTGCCCGTTCCTACGGGCGACTTAAGATAGCAACGCTACCAGCTAGCATTGATCCACTGTCCAGTGACTATAATGGTCCCATCAATACTCAATAAAGAAGGTCGATATAATGGTCGCAGATGTTTGATATTTTAATCCGACCAGTACTGAGCTGCAGACAGGGATTAAGGGGAACGGTGTGAGAGCCAAGAAGTCCATGGATTGCCACTAGTGGAGAAATACGGGGTCCTACTACACCATTGCGCTTTTCCGGGTCCTGGAATATTTCTAAACTGTAACCAGACTTATTTAAGAGATTCTCGAATGATTTAAGTGACGAATTCCACTTTGAAGACGTCACACTAAATGTGAATTTGGGAGCCCTCAACTCAGTATCAACCGACTCTTCCGCTCTTGGGTTGACGGCCTCACAGATTTCACCATGGCGCAAGCTGTACGCACTGCTGTCCTAAGTACAATATCTTCGCCATCAATTGCAGCAGGAAAGACATCAGAATGGCTTGTTTTGCTTGCAGACAAGCCTGGAGTTGTAAGTAAAGGAGTCTCAATTTCTTGAAGGGCGGGCTAACAACAACAGCTTGAACGTCGACTTCAGATCCGCCCTGTACACTCCAAAAACTTTGTTCGACTTCATGAAAGCGGCTTCGTATCATGGGCAGGTATGGACTCGGGCTCTTTCCGCCCTCATGCTTTTGTCCCCTGTTAGCTCCTTTGTCTTGGCGCTAACAGTATCCAGGCCCAGTATTCGAGGAGCACGTTATTGAAGGAACTCGGCCATTCATAGGCTCCATCATGGTGGTGAACGCACCAAGTCGCGAAATAGTGAAGGAAACACTTCAAAAAGACATTTTTGTCAAGGAAGGGATCTGGGATTGGGATCATGTTCGGATTTTCCCGTTTCGGACAATTTTACGGCAGGCTGCGAGTAAAACCGCTTGAGAATTTGAACATCTTTTGACGCACTCGCATTCATCTCAGATTCCGTGACTTCGGTTAAATTCTACCATGCACTCTAACCACATTTAAACATCGCGTAGGAAACCCGAGTCCAAGGTCTGAGCGTATTGTCCGCGTGGTTACCCTCATTTGTCACGGGCGGGGCGTCAGATTAGGGGATGCGCATCATGATGCAACTAAGCATGCCGAGAAGGTGGCTTCCGTATTAAAACCTGTAGAAAGACTGATTTCAGAAGCCACATTCCGCGGCGTCATCATGCCATTTCTCTTACCCGAGCAACTAAGATCATAGAGACCTGCCTAATACCGTAAGTACGGTAACATCAAAAAAGTTACAAATGGCGGCACCACGATTGCAGCTTGGAATCCGGCCAGCGGATTGCAAAGGCAATCCACAAGGAATGCCTGACGGATAGTCTGATACTGCTCAACCCGTGATGTTGACTCGAGAGCACCCAAAGTCCAAAGGTACCAGAACTCGTCCAGAAACACAAAATTATTCCTTATCCCCTTCCGCTAACCATGCCACAAGACTCTTCTCCAGATCTGGATTACTGGATAGATCGCCTTCACGACAAGGACCAATGCATTTTCCCAACTCTCAATGATGGTGTGAAGGAACTTAATGGGAGACAACGAGTAGATGTCAGAACTCCTGGCCTGGGCCCCTTGAATGAGTTCTGTCAAAACCATGATTTGAAACTATCGACAGTATTCCAAACGGCGTGGGGCCTGGTACTTCGAAGCTATACTGGAGTTGACGATGTCTGTTTTGGATTCAGGGAAGATCCATCAGAAATTTTGCCTTGCCAAATGAGCCTCACACGGGAAAGTGGCCTTAAGCATGCTTTGGACACGGTGGAAACGACGTTCACACGTGATTCAAATCATAGGACTTGCTCTGTAAAGGATATGGAAGATGTTCTCAAGCTGGGGCGAACAGGAATTTTTAACACGATTGTCAACTATCGGAATACTTTAGGACCGTTTGGGTCATCGACCTGCAATGGTCAGAGGAATGACCAGAAAATGCACTGCCACGTAGTCCATGGTGACAGCGACAATGGGAATCACGAGGATGACACGCCAGAGTCGCAGTATATGATTGCAGTCGATATCAAGTTATCCCCGAAATTCATATGGATGAGCTTGAGTTACCGACTGTCCGATTTGTCGAAAGGACAGGCAGCAAATGTTGCCAGCTCATTAGAAAAGGCTTTGTCGTGTGTCTTAAGCGGCGCACAAGAAACGGTGGGAGAACAACATCTGTTCAGTGAGCATCACCAGCGGCAGGTGAATGAATGGAATCGAGATCGCCCGGAATGGATAGATTTAACTTTGCACGAAGCGATCGCAACTCGGGTTAGATCGCAGCCAGATGCACCAGCTATCCGTGCCTGGGACGAGGAATGGACTTACCACGAGATGGACGAGTTGTCGTCAAGACTTGCTCGACATTTGGTCCAAATTGGTGTCAAGACGGGTATGAGAATACCATTGGTATTCGAGAGGTCGGGTTGGTGGGTGATCGCCCTACTGGCAGTTTCAAAAGCTGGTGGCGCTTTTGTTCCGGTAGATCCCACACAGCCTGTGCTTCGGCTGAAAGAAATCCTTCAGGACATCGAGCCACAATTCTTGTTATCTTCGAGCCAATATTCTGGGTTGTTAGTAGACTCGGTTGAGACCACAGTTGTGGTATCCCGAGCTGCTTTGGAGGAATTGTCTTCGAAGACCAGGTCACCTATACCCTTACCCAAGGTTTCTTCTAAAGATGTGGCGTATGTCATGGTACGTGTTTCAGCAGCAAACTCAATTCCTCTTACTTTTTCAGACATTTCCTCAACCTCTCGTGCTCTAATTGCCTGGCTGTGGCCTAACTGTCTTATAGTACACGAGTGGTTCGACCGGACACCCGAAGGGAGCTTTATTACAGCATGGAGGGTATCTTCCGGCGTTACTCCATTGGATCGAGAATACATCCCTCGGTCCAGGCACGATGGCACTCCAAGCGAGTTCTTATGCTTGGTCAGTGTGCATCATCGAAACCATATGTTCTCTGTGGCAGGGAGCATGTTTATGTATCCCGAGTGATTATTCTAAGCATGATGATTTCACTGCAGTTTTCAACGACATGCAGATCACGTGGGCCATGTTATCACCCTCCGTCATCAAAACTGTCCAAGCAGAGTCTGTTAAATATTTGAGGACGCTGATACTATGCGGAGAGCCTGTATCACTAGAAGTTGTTTCAAAATGGACTTCAGAAAAAACAAAAGTGTGGGTGGGCTGGGCGGCAACGGAATGTCCTGCTCTTGCAAGGCCTGACAATTTCACGGCAAACTCAGACGTACAGAACCTTGGTCCTTGCAAGGCAGTTTGCAGAGTGGTGGAAGTGGGCAATCATGAGCGTCAGGTACCTGTTGGCGCAGTGGGAGATATAGTTGTCCACGCACCCTGGATAGCAGCAGGTTACCTCAATGACCCAGAAAAAACTGCGGCAACTTTTCTAGATCGCCCAGATTGGTTGAATGGTAAGCCTTCAAGTTATGGCTCTCGGTGGTACAAGGTTGGTGATTTGGTCCGCCAAAATTCGGACGGAAGCTTGATACTCGCTGGCCGAGGTGATAACATGGTCAAGATTAGAGGACAACGATTTGACATGTCTGAAGTTGAGCGAAACCTGGCAGTTGACGACCACATTCGAAATTCCCTGCCAATTCTACCCAAAGTGGGAGTTTGCAAGCAACGCCTAGTAGCTGTAATTGCGCTGCATGATTTTACGCCAAAACCAGACGAGGGTAAGGATGAAATTACTATTCTAAAGGGGTCAGAATTGCGGAAAGCAGCTTCGTGGGTGTCAAAGTTTCAAGAGATCTTAGCGAAACGCATCCCATCTTACATGGTACCGAGCGTATGGATTATGGTGAAAAGCGTTCCACTCACTATTACTGGAAAGATTGACAGAGTCGCATTGAAGCGGTTTGTGGAGAAAATGGATGTCGAAACATACGAGGAGATCTGCACGTTGGGAGTTGAGCGAGAGGCCCCAACTACGCCAATGGAGATCCGTCTTCAAAAAATATGGGCAGAGATTTTGGGCCTCCCGTTGGAAAAGGTTGGACGGAATCAATCTTTCATCAGTCTTGGAGGTGACTCCATCTTGGCCATGACTGTTGGAGCCCGATGCAGGAATAACATGCTCCTGTTGCGTGCGCAAGATATCTTGAGATTCGGAACAATTGCTGAGGTTGCATTGCACACTACTCCAGTCGAAGACACGACGCGTGACGAGCTTGTTCTAGCTACCCAGTTCGACAGCCTACGCGGCTCCACCAAGGACAAGTTGCATCAAGTAGGCGTCATGGATATCGCCAACGTTGAAGATGCGTATCCTTGTTCCCCGATGCAACAAGGAATGCTCCTGAGCAAGGCCAGATCGACCGGGAACTACAACACATCTACCGTCTTTGAAGTTAGGCCTCGGTCTGTCGTTGCATTAAGTGCCGAAAGGCTTAAAGATGCATGGCAGCAGGTTGTTGATCGTCACTCAAGTTTGCGGACTTTCTTTGTGGAAAGCGTGTCGCAGAGTGGGTCATTCGATCAGGTCGTACTCCGAAATTACAATACGGCAGCGAGTGTAGTAATCTGGGACCGTGCTAATATCGACCGGACTGAGCATGCTATCCGCATGTTCGATGGCCATCAACCGGAAGCATACGCCAGTCATCAGCCACCACATCATTTTACAATACTCCACACGACGACTGGTAGGCTCTTCTTCAGAATGAACGTCGAGCACACTCTTGTGGACGGCATGTCAATTGCCATCCTTGTACGTGACTTGATCACAGCGTACGATGGAAATCTCCGACTTCAACCCACACATTTATACTCCTCATACGTCGCCAGCCTCCAGCAAATTGTCTGCAGTATTGATAACAAATACTGGAAAACATACCTGGATGGAATGAACCCTTGCCTGCTCCCGAACCTCAGCTACAGCTTGTCACGGGAACCCCAAAGACGCGAGTCACGATCACTCAGTGTGGAGATCAAAAATCCGCATCACCTGCTCAAGTTCTGTCAAAGTCAAGAAATGACGTTGTCTGCCCTCTTTCGCACCGTTTGGGGATTGATTCTTCGAGCTTTTACTAGCTCAGATGAGGTTTGCTTCGGATTCATTACTTCTGGGAGAGACCTTCCCGTCGCAGGCATCGAGGATATAGTCGGCACATTCATCAACATGCTGGTCTGTCGTATGAATCTGACCGAGACGAGTCTCTTGAAGGATATAATTGCGACAGCACAGACAGATTACTTGAGCAGTCTCCCCCACCAACATGCCTCGCTGGCGCAGATCCAGCACGTGCTTGGTCTTTATGGTCAGCGCTTGTTCAATACTTCCATGACAATTCTCAAGGAAGTTCCTCTGAGTTCGGGGGAAAATCCTAGCGTCGACTTCAATACCATTCATCAATGGTCGCCAAATGAGGTGAATTTTATTTCTCGACCGTATTTCATGTATTGCATTTTCTGACAAAATCTATAGTATGATCTTGACGTACAAGTATGGGTTTCAAGTAAGACCGTGAAAATGGAGCTTTGGTACAGAACCGAGTGGATTTCCAATGAGCATGCGCGGAACATTGCTTCCACGTTTAGCCAAGCGCTAGATGCCATCACGGACGAGCCAGATCAAAGAGTCGGACAGCTGGATCTTTTTAGCGAACACCATAGGGAGCAAGTGTGGGATTGGAATGCGAGATATCCGGACACAATCCATGCCTGCCTTCACGACCTCGTCACAGAACAAGCACTGAAGCGACCTCAAGAGATTGCGGTCCATTCATGGGATCGCGATTTGACATTCAGCCAACTCGAAGCATATGCCGATCGATTAGCTCATTATTTGGTATCTCTTGGAGTTGGCCCAGAAGTTCATGTATTCCTATGTTTTGAGAAGTCGGCGCTGGCTATTGTGGCAATTTTGAGTGTACTGAAAGCCGGTGGTGTCTGTGTCTCCGTTGACCCCGCACATCCAACACAACGATTACAACGAATTATCAATGACACCAGACCTCTATCCTGCCTTGTATCTCCCATGCACAGAGGGGTGTTCGACAGAGAAGGCCTAATTAATCTCGTCCCTCAAGTTGTTACTGTGGAGGAATCCCTTTTCGCTTCTTCTCGACTTGCAACCGTTCCTGCCGGAAAAGCGTGTCCTACGGTTGGTCCTAAGAACGCCGCATTTGTGTTATTTACCTCAGGAAGCACAGGTATTCCCAAAGGAATAGTGCATCAACATCAAGCGATCGCGTCATCATTGCATGCTCATGGAAATGCGATGCATGTTGGTCTTGACTCTCGCACCCTACAATTTTCCGCCTTCGTTTTCGATGTCAGTATCACCGAGATCTTCCTCTCCCTTACCCGTGGTGGCGTTCTCTGCGTTCCTTCTGAAGACGAGAGGATGAACAACCTCGAATCAGCAATCGTTCGCATGAGTGCCAACTGGGCGCACCTTACTCCGACTGTAGCCTCGCTCCTCAACCCTGAAAAGGTGCCTACTTTAAAGCACATGGCTCTTGCTGGGGAGCCGCTCAAGAAGGTCAATATAACAGAATGGGCTGAGAAACTTGAATTGGTGAATCTCTATGGTCCCGCTGAGTGCGCACTTGCCACTACTCTACGGGTAGGGCTGGTCAAGGACGACAGGCCGGACAATATCGGGCGAGCTGTTGGATTATTGACATGGCTTGTTGAACCCTCGAATACTAACCGTCTCGTTCCTGTCGGAGGAGTAGGTGAAATCCTCCTCGAAGGACCCAATATTGCCCGCGAATACTTAAAGGACAAAGACAGAACGTTGGCGTCTTTCATTGAGAATCCAACATGGTTGCAAGGCGAAAAGACGAGTCCCCCTCGGCGATTCTACAGAAGCGGGGACATAGCAAGGTACAATGGGGATGGGTCTATTCAAATCCTAGGTCGAATGGACACTCAAGTCAAGCTATACGGACAGCGTGTGGAGTTGGGCGAGATTGAGTATCAGTTGAAACTGAACCTCTCGAACCAAAAGCTTGTGAATTTAGCCGTCGTATATGCGAATTCCCCGGAACATCCAGGTGGCGGGCTACTGGCGTCTTTCTTGGAATTCGAGCAAAAGGCATCTGAGGTCGATCAGAATCAACTCATGGTCAAGATATCCCAGGAATTAAAAACACTTCTAGTCAGGTTGGACGTTCATCTCGCAGATGCTCTCCCTTCATACATGGTTCCATCCATTTATGTACCGTTGAACGCCATGCCACTACTAACTGCCGGGAAGATTGACAGAGGCCGACTCTCACGCATTGTCACTCAACTTTCCACCGAGCAAGTGAAGTTATACTCCTTATCCGAATTCCAAGAAGACAAAGGCAAGCCTCGAACGAGAATGGAGAGGGCACTGCATTCACTTTGGGCCCAAGTCCTCAATATCGATGGCAGCTCTATTGGAGTTTATGACAGCCTCTTTAGACTCGGGGGAGATTCGGTCGTGGCAATGCGCCTGGCAGCTGCCGGCAGAGAGGCTGGAATCACCATCCCGGTTGCGAGCATATTCCAATATCCCAAGCTTTCCGAAATGGCAGCGATCGCGAAGCCGCTGAGCGAGAGGACCTTTCAAGAGCTCGAGGCACGGTACAAAGTTAGGAGGGATATGGTCCAGCATATTTATCCATGTTCCCCACTTCAAGAGGGCCTTATCATACTATCAAGCAGGCAAGCGGACACATATGTGATCCAGCGCGCATTCAGATTATCATTCGAGACGGATGTGGAGAAGTTTCATGCAGCTTGGGAGGCCATCTACAAACAACACGCAATTCTTCGCACTCGAATCATCCATGTGGAAAAGACTATCGGCTCCATGCAGGTTGTTATAGATGGAAGTATTCGGTGGCGTTCAGCGAGATCTTTGGAAGCTTATTTAAAGGAAGACAAATCAAGTCCCATAGATTATGGGGAGCCGTTAACGAGATACGCCATGGTGGATGACCATGAAGGAAAGCGATTCTTCGTTTTCACAGCACATCACTCCGCTTTTGACAGCCAGTCTCTTTCGACGCTTTTCTCCGAAGTCACAAAGGCGTACGAATCACTTGTCTCTCTACGAGAATTGACCGCCTCAGACACCACACCTTACAAAACATTCGTCGAGCACATTTTCAATGCTGATATCTCGGCGGCCGAGTCATTCTGGAAGGACCAGTTTTCTGGTCTAAATTTTTCGACTTTTCCCAAACTGCTGGCAAATCAACATCCATTGGCGGACCATACTTTGGACTACTCCATGAAGCTCCCAAGATCTGTCAATGAGCTCGGAAGTTCTGTTTCAATGATTATTCGCGCGGCTTGGGCATTGCTTTTAGCGCAGTATTCCGATTCCCCAGAAAATGTTGTGTTCGGCATGACTTTAGATGGTCGGGATGATTCTCAGTCAGTGCCTGGCATTGCCACAGTCTTAGGTCCCACCATAGCAACGGTCCCCGTCAGAATATTCATCAACACCAAACACACAATTGGAGACTTCCTAGAAGAAACCCAAGCTCAGGCTGATGCTATGAGACCATTCCAGCATTTTGGTTTGCAGAATATCAGGGCGCTCAGTCCTGATGCCGCAAAAGCCTGTGACTTTCAAAGCTTGCTAGCTATCCAGCCCTTGCGCAAAGAGGGTGAAAATCATCCCACCCTGCTGAGCGATTATGTTACCACACGAGATGCGTCTTCGACATACCTACTTCTCTTGGAATGCCAATTGAAAGAGAATGGAGTGGATATTACGGCACAATATGATCAAAAGATTACATCAGACTCGCAGATGCAGAGGATCTTGCACCAGCTCGAACACGTGATCAAACAATTGTTGGCCGAAGACGCAAGTACTAAGCAGCTGAGGGAAATCCAGTTCTACAGCCCTCAAGACGCGAAGGACATGCATTCGTGGAATCAATCACTTCCACCGTTGCAAGATACTTGTGTTCATGATGTCATCGCTAAGCATGCAGCTCTACGTCCAGGTGCAATGGCAGTATGTTCGTGGGATGAAAACCTGAGTTACCATGAGCTTGACGAGCTTTCAACAACCCTTGCACATCACCTGGTGACGGCATTCAATATTGGTCCTGAATCGCTGGTGCCGCTGTGTTTCGCTAAATCTGCATGGGCTGTGGTTGCTATGATTGCGGTGCTAAAAGCTGGAGGAGGATATGTTCCTATGGATCCTTCCCATCCCACTTCACGTCTGCAAGAAATCGTTGAAGCAACGCGAGCTTCAGTCATTCTTTGCTCACCTCAATACGAGGCTCTCAGTCGATCCTTAGCTGGAAACTCATTTATAGTCAGCCGAAAGACCCTGAGCTACTGCAAAGCATCCGAGGGCGCAGCATGCACCACTGTCAAACCGAACAATGTGGCCTACATAATATTTACAAGCGGCTCTACTGGCACTCCAAAAGGAATCGTAATGGACCACGGAGCATTCTGTATCGCTGCGACCGAGCATGGAAAGCGTACCAATCTGAACTCTGAGTCTCGTGTCATACATTTCTCATCCTACGCGTTTGAGGCCTGCATCCTGGAGGTATTGACAGCTCTCTTCAATGGAGGCTGCGTCTGTGTCGCACCAGAATCCGAACGCTTGGAAGGCATTGCCAAGACTATGAGAGATCTCCATGTCAACTGGGCGTTCTTTACGCCGTCGTTCATTCGCACAATTCGCCCTGACCAAGTACCCGATCTGAAGACGCTAGTCTTAGGTGGTGAAGCTTTAGGAGCAGACAACATAGAGGTTTGGGTCGACCATTGCTACTTGGTGAATGGGTACGGCCCTTCGGAGACTTGTGTCTTCTCTGTAATCAATAACAATGTGCGTCGAGGCGACACACCAGACTTGATTGGCAGCTCTGTTGCAGGAGCATGTTGGATTGTGGACCCCGAAGATCATCGTAAATTGGTGCCACTGGGATGTGTTGGAGAACTGTTAATCGAAGGCCCCACCCTAGCTCGTGGTTATCTCAACGATCCAGACCGGACTAACCAAGTATTCGTTGAAAATCCCGAATTGCTGTCTCGAGGCCTAGAGATCCACGGAGGAAGGACCAATGGAGCAAAAGCGAATGGTCATCCTGACGGATACATCAATGGGAAATTGACGAACCGATCGACAAAGGGCACAGCAGGCCACACGGCTTTGAATGGTCAATCAACTGGGCGGCGGATGTACAAGACAGGAGATCTTGTATGTTACGATACTTCGGGCAATGCAGATGGTTCCATCAGATTTGTTGGAAGGAAGGATACGCAAGTCAAAGTTCGTGGCCAACGCATGGAGCTTGGAGACATCGAACACCATATGAAATCGAACCTGAAGAGTATCCAGCATGTCGCTGTCGAGCAAGTTGGACTAGAAGGACGTGAGAATCGCTACCTGGCAGCATTCTTCTCTTTGGAGGGCCAAGCTCTACCACCCACACGAGGAAGAGAGAGACAGCTCCCCATGTCTATGTCACGTGATTTAAAGGCTTCGATCGTGGCTGTAGAAGCAAGGCTTGGGGAGACTCTGCCTTCCTATATGATTCCGACATTCTATGTGCCCCTTTTAAGAATGCCTCTATTATCTTCAGGTAAGACAAATCGACGAGAACTGCGTCAAATTGCCGCTCAATTATCAGAGGCTCAGATTAGTCAATATTCCCTCGCAGATGGGCAAAAGCGAGCGCCTAATACTGAGAGGGAGATAGCGCTGGTTAAGCTTTGGGCCTCGATTTTTCAAGTTAGCCAGGAAACAAAGATTGGTCTCGATGATAGCTTTTTCAGACTTGGTGGAGATTCCATAGCCGCGATGCGTTTGACGTCCCTCGCCCGCGAAAAAAAGATATTGCTCACTGTAGCCGAAATATTCAAGAATCCTCGTCTAGAGGACATGGCTGCAAGCAGTCTATCACTGAGTGGAAATGAAGATACAAAGATGGAGCCCTTCGTATTACTTCGAGAATCTGCAAATGTGGATGAGCTATTGCGAAAGATACAAAGACAATACCAAATCACAAAGGAGGTCATCGAGGACGCTTTCCCAGTGACTCCACTCCAGGAAGGACTTATGTTGTTGTCGATCAAGCAACCAGGATCTTACATGAGTCAGATAACCTTGAGTTTACGACCAGATGTCGACATCAACCATTTCAAAGCCGCATGGCAAAGAACAGCAGAGAGGAACTCCGTTCTCAGGTCTCGATTTGCACATACTGGATCCCAGACAATTCAACTTGTGATGGAAGAAAGTATTGACTGGCGAACAGGATCAGATTTGGAGACGTACCGACTCCGCGACAAGAAAGTTCAGATGGAACTTGGAAAGCCCCTAACTCGGCATGCGATTATCGATGCAGGTGGCGATGAGAGATACTTCGTTTTGACCGCACACCACTCCCTGTATGATGGCTGGTCTTTGATGCTTATCATGGAGGAACTCGACCACTTGTTTACAGGTGGACCTGTGAAGCCAGCTGCGCCTCCCTATGCTACCTTCATCAAGCACTTAAGAAACATCGATCTAGATGAGGCAAAGTCTTTCTGGCAGGCTCAATTTTCAAACAAATCCCTCTCTAGCTTCCCTGAACCAAGATCTGTCACTCAAGCTACTGCAGAAACATCAATCGTCAAACTTACGGAAATAACCAGACCGGCCGGATCTGATATTACTTTGTCTACCGTAATGAGAGCAGCGTGGGCTCTTCTGGTGGCTAGATACGCCAGTACAGATGATGTCTTCTTTGGAGCCACTCTCATGGGCCGGAACGCTTCTTTACCCAACATCGAGAGAATGACTGGACCGACAATTACCACTGTACCGGTTTGCGTGTCAATTGACGGGTCCCAAACCATCGATAAATTCTTGGACCAAGTTCAAAACCAGGCGACAGAGATGATTCCGTTCGAGCATACAGGACTTCAAAATATCAAACGCATTGGGCCAGAGGCAGAAAAAGCATGCAATTTCCAGAACCTCCTTGTAATCCAACCGGAAGGCTCCGAAGATATTAAGAGCAACCTCTGGAAAGAAAGTGCCTTGTTTGCGAAAGGAGAAATGGTGACACTCACGTACGCTTTGATCCTGGAGTGTAGACTATATAAGGATAAAGTCAGAATCACTGCCCAGTACCGAGATAATATCATTACCACCAGTCAGATGCAGCGAATGGTCCATCAATTCGAGCAAGTCATGCACAAACTCAACGACGCAATCCCAGGTGTCCGAACAGTTAACAGTATTGAGGTCTTCAGCAAGAATGACATGGACGAAGTTTTAGAGTGGAATAAGGAAACATCGGTGCTTTCCAACTCCAAGGACTGTATCCATCACACCATCGAACGTCAAGCGATCCAACGACCACACGCACAGGCCGTAGACTCTTGGGATACGAGTTTTACATATGCTCAGCTCAACAAACTGTCGGACAAGCTAGCCCATCATCTGAGTGCTTTAGGTCTCGGCCCTAACCAATTCGTTCCATTGTGCTTCGACAAGTCAGCATGGACCATCGTAGCGATTTTGGCTGTATTGAAAGCAGGTGGTGCATACTTGTCATTGGATCCTAAGTATCCTATAAATCGAAATAACCATATCATTCAAGATGTCGAGGCCAAGGTTATTCTTACAGGAAGTCAGCATCAAAAACTATTTGACCCGTCAGCATATTATGTTCTGGTTGTCGATCGGGAGTTTATCGAGAGTCTCTCGGACCCGAAAGCTAAACAGTCTAATTTTAGAAGCCCAAATAATGCGGCTTTCATAGTCTTCAGTAACCCAGCCCCCTTTTACCACCACGTTTCAGCATCAAAGCTAACAACATTCAGCTTCAGGGTCTACCGGCGAACCCAAAGGAATTGTAATGGAGCACGGAGCATTCTGTAGCAGCTCTCGGGAGCATTCCAAAGCGTTGCTCATCAACTCAGAGTCCAGGGTAATGCAATTTGCAGCATACAGCTACGATGTCAGCATGGGAGAAATCCTCACAACGCTGATGCAAGGTGGTTGTGTATGCGTCCCATCGGAAGAAGATCGGATGAGCAGACTGGCAACGTCCATAAATGCACTTAAAGCCAATTGGATCTTCTTGACGCCAACCGTTGCTGGGTTCCTTCAGCCTGACGAGGTTCCTGGGTTGAAGGTTCTAGTACTTGGAGGAGAACATGCCACGGCGGATAACATTAAAACATGGTCAGAAGTGCTCCATCTCATTAATAGTTATGGTCCGGCTGAGTGTGCAATCTGGTGCGCGTGTACAACAGGCCTGAGCTTGGATGCGGACCCAGCGAGCCTTGGCAAGTCCGTGGGTGCATCTATCTGGATTACCGATGCCACTGATCCTAACAAACTGGCTCCTATCGGCTGTGTTGGCGAGCTTCTTGTCGAAGGGCCAACCCTCGCACGTGAGTATCTCAACGATGTGAAGAAGACTGCAGCGGCCTTTATAGAGAATCCAGAGTGGTCAAATGATGGATTAGGAAGGCGCAGACGGATGTACAGGACAGGTGATCTCGTGCGATATGGATCTAATGGGAACATCCTCTTCGTTGGCCGCAGAGATACCCAGGTCAAACTCCACGGACAGCGAATCGAACTCGGCGAGATTGAACACCATGTGATGAGATACAGTCCACCGGGCTGGTTTCCAGTCGTCGACATACTTCGCTTCTCTGAGGGTGAGAGAGACGCCGCTATATCTGCGTTTATTCAGGTCCGGAAAGTCTCAAATGATAACCCAACTTCGGGCGAGATAACTCTTCCTGTGACGGAGACCATGAACACTGCTCTGAACCAGTTACGGTCGGAACTTGAGCAAGTTTTGCCAACCCACATGATCCCGGCTGCCTATATTCTAGTCCGGCAAGTACCACTTACAGCCGGTGGAAAGGTAGATAGGATGGCGCTGCGAAAGATCGGTGAAAGCTTGACCGACCATCAGCTGCTTCCATATTTGCTAGCTGGTCAAGGGGCCTTGCGGGCTCCGTCAACCGAGACAGAAAGAAGACTTCAAAAACTATGGGCTAAGGTGTTAAATATGAGCGAGGACTCGATTGGGTTGGACTCTAACTTTTTGCGGATCGGAGGCGATTCGATTGCTGCAATGAGATTGTCTGCCATCGCGCGAGAAAACGGGCTACTGTTGACGGTGAAAGCGATCTTCACGTCGCCAAAGCTGGATGACATGGGCAAGAATACCACCCCGATCTCATCGGTTCAGGGATCAGAAACAACTTACACCCCCTTCTCATCGCTAAGAGTTCCTGATGCCGCTGCATTCCTTGAAAAGATCATTCATCCCCAACTTCCAAGCGTGGGCGAATTTGACGAAATCGAAGACGTACTCCCCGCGACCGACTATCAACGCTGGACCTTAGGATGCGGGCAACTGAAAACCAGAGGGTATAACAATTACTTCATTTTCCATATGAGAGGTCCTGCGGATCCGCAACGAATTCAGTCCGCCTGTCAGCAGCTCATCGACCATCATCCTGTCTTACGTACTGTGTTTGTTACTCACAAGCACCAACTTTTCCAGGTCGTTTTGAAGCATGTCCAAGCTGAGTTCACACAGTACGAGGCCCTAGACATCTTGGGGTTTTTACAGTCGGTTTTGGAGAGCGATATGCGGCGACCTGTGGATCTTAATAATCCCAGTATTCGATTTCTTCTAGTAAAACAAGGCCCGGATGAGTACCGATTGATGATGCGAGCGTCCCATTCCCAATACGATGGCATATCACTACCAATATTGTTACGAGATCTAAAGGCTGCTTACCTCGGAGAGAGCTTCTCGAGTAGTTTGCCATACTCTAGGTTTATTCATGGTTCATCACGTGTGATGAAGGTGTCCGATGCGGAAGCCTTTTGGCGAAAAGAGTTAAAAGATTCGACAATGACCAATATCTTATCCCATACAAAGCCAGCCTATCGCAACCCTGTCAATACATCTCTCAAACAGGTTATTCAGGTCAATTCCGCACTTTCAGGAGGCATCACTTTCGCCACCATCTTCAAGGCTGCATGGTCCCTGGTTCTGGCACAATTCTCTGCCAGCTCGGATGTGGTCTTTGGGCAGATCTCCACCGGGAGAAATGCTCCAATCCAAGGTATTGATCAGGTAGTGGGACCTTGCATGAACCTTCTTCCTGTTAGAGTCAAAATAGACTCAGCGTCAACCTTCAGAGATCTTCTCCGGCAAGTTCAAAGTCAGCATCTAGATATGTCGCCATACGAAACTCTCGGCTTCCAACATATTATTGAAAAATGCACGAGCTGGCCAAAATGGACCCGATTCAGCTCCATACTCCAGCACACAAACTTCAACAGCGGCATGGGTGACGTCGACATATGGGATAATATTGAAATGAAACTAGGCAGCTTTACCCCTGATCATGATGTGTCTGATATCTGGATCTGGACGGGCCCATCTGATGATGGGTTTTCGATCGATTTCACCTACTCAAGTGAAGCTGTGTCTGAGTCCTTGGCCCAAGGAATGCTCGATAAACTCTGTGACACAATCCTGAAAATTACTAAGAATCCGGAGGCTTCTATCTTTTCGGTCCTCTCAAAAATTCAACCGAAGTTTCCATCGTCGCTTGCCAACGAGAAAGCCGATCGGGCTGGGAACTTCTTCCATCCAGAATACATCTCAGGCGGGCCGTTGGAATCAATTGTGGAGAAGGTCTGTGGTAGCGTCTTTGGTGACGAAAACGATAAATTACCCGTCAGTGTCACCATAGACACACCTTATTTCGAATTGCGCGGGGACCTCATCGCTGCTACCCAATTATCGATGGCTTTCTGCACTTTCAACTTCCAGGTTTCGCCTGAGGACATTATCGACAATCCTACGATGCGCCTTCAAGCTGCAATGCTAAACGCCTTAAATATCTCGTTATTCTCTAAGTGAGTCCTTGAAAGAGATCATTGAATCTCCTGTGCATATAAAAGAGCTTTTAATTTCCTAAAAGACGCAAATGCTCTGTTTACCCATTTTGGTATCCAGTCGCAATGCGTTACAGCTCTGCAACTCATAGAAAATGCATAATACGGTACTATTTAAGGCAAGAGATTTTTATATGGGCTAGCTAGGTGCAACGTAAGTTGTGGCGTAACGCTGCTAGTGGCGTGATACCTTTAAATCTTAACCACAGTTAACTGAGAACTTAAATTACTTAACAATGGTATGGGTTAAATTAGAATCAAGTTGCAGTTCTTAGGGTACTCTCACGTGCTGCAAGCTAGAATAATCGGTTAATATTAGAGTTGCCACCTAAACTGTCGAAAATATCAGAATTGTCACCCTGTAAGTTAACTATTAAAGCACATTCTGAAGAAGACATACAAAAGGCAATAACTAGCTGGAAAGATAGATAGTTTTCATCTATACGGGCTATAGCAATACACTTTCAAGTTTCACACACTGCGCCATCGAATGGCCGGACGTAAAACAAAGTTTAGCGGGGTTGCACAGCCGTAATGGTGACGGAAGCCGGTATTATTAAGTTAGTGGTCGTCTAGTGCCTCTACGTCACTGCCATCGGAACATTAGCATATCGTTACGGCGAGATAAACAGCACTATGCGATAAGTCACATAGCGCGTGCAAGCAGCATTTCATTTCGTTTCCCCTATCTTCCTTATAGGCTAGTTGGCTTCTTATTCTCTTCTCAATCCGCCCGTTCATACTCTTGATAAGAAGCTCAGCAACCGAACACTCCCCATCTACCCACTTTGCCGTATCTAATCCTAGAAAAATGTCAGCCACAACCACGGCTCATTGTGCATCTCACCCTGTGGGCCTTAAGAGTAACTTCAAGCATCCTTTCAAATTTCTACACGAGAAGCTTCAGCCAAAAATCAACAATGTTAAAGTTGCTTTCAGTCACAAAAGGTGAGCACGCCAGAGTAGCACCCAATTTGTGCATGGCTTAGCGTGGCCCAGACACGAGCTTGGAAAGTTGGGGAATACAGTATGCTTGACCAGACACACATTACTCCGCCTCTCCTAATAGATTAGTTCAATCCCAACCATCGTCATGACGAAAAACACGAGAAAATCACCGACGACAAGAGAACAAGGATTAGCAGCGGTCATCCATTTCAATCTTTTGCACCCGAGCGCCCTGGGAACGATGTCAAGTGGTATGTCGATGGACGGGACTATTACTGGGTGTGTACAGCTCAAATATCACACACGGGATCGTGAATCTGATTGTAGCAGGCAGTCTCAATTGCTCTAGAGCGCGCGAAAGAGACCATATATATTGAGGATTGGTGGCTTTCTCCCGAGTTATTCATGCGAAGACCTCCATGCTTCAACCAAGAATGGCGGCTGGACCAGATTCTAAAGCGTAGAGCAGAAGCGGGCGTCAAGATATACGTGATAGTCTACCGCGAGGTCGAGGTTATTATACAGGTCAAGATGTGGCATGCCCTACATTGCTAACATTGCGCCAGGCTGCTCTTACATGCAACTCCAAACACACAAAGCAAGTCCTTCAAGGAATCTGCCCTGTAGGAAGCAAGGGATACGGCAATATCGTGGTCATGCGCCACCCAGACCACAACCGTTTCGAGAACGCTGCAGACAGGACCTTATATTGGGCTCACCACGAGAAATTCGTGGTTATTGACTATCACACAGCCTTTATTGGCGGTCTTGATCTCTGCTTTGGGAGATGGGATACTCATCAACATCCGCTTGTTGATGTGCACCTAGGAGGAATTTTCAACGAAATCTGGCCAGGTCAGGACTTTAACAACAATCGCGTGATGGATTTTCAGAATGTCGAGGAGTGGAAATCTAACGCGCTGTCTAAAGCTGAGTATGGACGTATGCCATGGCATGACGTTGCTATGGGGGTCCTAGGACCCTGTGTGGTCGATATTGCAGAACATTTTGTTCTACGATGGAATCTCATCAAGAGGGATAAGTACAAACGGGACGGCAGGTACAATTGGTTGATTATGGAAGGTCGAGATGGGCGTGATGAGGACCTAATTGGAGTTCAGAGACCGAATTTTCCTGTTGGGGAATACGTCTCTCATCCGCTATCTCCACTGAGCAGCAAGGCTCTGGGTAACCGAGGCACTGTTCATGCTCAAGTTGTTCGAAGTAGCTCCGATTGGTCCAGTGGTATCTTGACCGAACACAGCATTCAGAATGCATACAGTGAAGTGATCCGCAACGCACAGCACTACATCTACATTGAGAATCAGTTTTTTATCACTGCCACCGGGGATAAGCAGGCGCCTATCAAAAATACTATAGGGAAAGCGATCGTGGAGGCAGTGGTGCGAGCCGGGCGAGAAGGTCGGAAATTTCGTGTCATTGCAGTTATCCCGGCCATACCCGGATTCACAGGTGATCTCCGACATGGTGTGGCGGTGGGAACAAGACGTGGTCCTGAGGTGGGAACGAGAGCAATCATGAATTATCAATACCAGTCCATCTGTCGGGGAGAGCAATCTATTTTCGAGCAAATTAGAGCCCAGGGCGTGGACCCTGCTCAGCACATTTTCTTCTTCAACCTTCGCTCCTACGATCGCCTAAGGGCTACAACGGCTCTTGAACCGCATGGGGGAAAGCATGGTGTCAAAAACCGGGAAGTTCAAATGGCCGAGGCACAGCAAACTACGGATTCAGGGATTCACAGTGCAGGAGACCAAGGAGGAGACCTGGGTAGGCATATACCTAATTATGGGGACTACGACGAAGAAAAGAGGACAAACGCAAAGCGCAGGCATGAGACAGCAGAAGAGCCAGTTGGCTCTAATCGCGCAACAGAGAGGACACAGAGCGTCGCCAAGAACGCGATGTACCAAATGCCAAAGCTCGAAGATGAGCTCCAGGGATGCAACACGATAGGGGAAGTAGATAGCTGGGTCCAGGAAGAGTTGTATATCCACGCAAAGCTCCTGATCGCTGATGACAGGACTGTCATTTGTGGCAGCTCAAATTTAAACGATAGATCCCAACTAGGATCTCGTGACAGCGAGCTTTCTATTGTCATGACGGATACGGAGCCGCTCGAATCGAAAATGAACGGACAGGAGTTTGTAGCGGGGCGCCATGCTGCCACACTCCGACGGTATTTGTGGAGAGAACACCTAGGTCTCCTGCCACCGCAAGATTTAGACGCCAGAAGAGAGGCAAATGCGCAACCGCCGGGCATACCAAACGATCCTCACCAAGGCGACACCTATGAATTCGTGGGTGATCCTCTCGGTAACGAGGTCTGGCATATGTGGACGTCGCGCGCCACTCAGAACACCAACGTTTTCAGCGAGCTATTCCACGCTGACCCCGACAACTCCGGTAAGCATATCCTCTCCCTTTCATGTGTCTCACAGTTAACGACCTGCGCTCGAAGTCAAAACCTTCAAAGATTACGACAAATACCTCCCTGCAAAGGGTACTAAGGCAGGACATGTATACGATCGGACCCTGCCACGTAAAGACATACTCCGCAAGCTAGACCTAGTTAAAGGGCATCTCGTGTGGATGCCTCTGGAATTTTTGAAGGACACGCCGATGTCCGAACCAGGCATCCAGTTCAATTCCTTGACAGACTATGTCTATACCTAGACTTGCCGTGCGCGGAAATGTTTGCGCTTGCTGCAAGCAACATCGTGGTCTCGGGATCGACGTACAGTGCAGTGTACTATTCGCAATATTCATCACTTCTAAAAAAAAATTTAACGTGGTTTATCACCGAGTCGATCATTTTCTCCCACCTTACTACCTACCAACTTTAACACGCGTTTTCTCAACTACTAATGGAAAATCAAACCCAAGAAGCACAGATCTCAAAGGCCTGGTCTGCAAAAGCACAACGGCCAGCCTAAATGGGGTAAAGCCGTTCCTAGGTAGGCACATGTGTATAACGCACAGCTTTAATGTAGCACAATCTGCACATTAGTGGTGTCTGGTCCCCAGCCAGGAGGGAGTCTGTGCTGTTGCTCTCTCTCGCACGCGTATTCCGGCTTGGCTGGAACATTGTAGTCTTTTAGCTCAGTTAGAGTGACAATGCGGAACAACTTATTGATTATGATTTGGTCTCTCATTTTAGCAGTCTTTATAGTATAAGGAAATTAATTCTTATGCCTCTACCAGCCAGCCCTATTGCCAGCTTCTAAAAAATCTCGATTTTCGAGGCCGGTAGTGCTCTGTACTCCTATGGAATGCTGCCCTTGAGGCATTAGTCTCCATTCCCTCGAGCCAAGCGAAGCTTCTTGCGTCGCGTTCTAGTCCGAGCAACAAGGGGCCGTTTTAGGTTCCCTGGCGAGCTGATTGGGATATCCCTTTTACGCTGGAGTTGGCAGCTGCAATCCGATTGTCGTGGCCCTGCAGTGCTTTTATGATTCGGCTGCCCAAATTTGGCGTTAGCTTTTGTTTCTCAATGAACCAGTCGATAGGTTTTGGGAACGCACTTATACGTCGATGGTATAATCTGTTGAATCTAAGGTTGATGTCGGCCTGATCAGAAGAATGACGGACTCGAAATGCTACCAGCTTGGTATAACGCCCACAAAGCTAAATTTTTCCTGTAAAGACGCTACGTCCCATACCTGCTTCCGATTTTAACCTACATATTCTTTTGTGAAAAAAAAAAACTGCGTAAAGTCTCGCTCTATGCTTCCAGCAATTGACAGACTTCGTTCTACCGATGTCTGGTGCCGTATCATGGGTTAATGGAAGGCCGATTGGGACCGCCATGATCGATTGTTCGTGTGTGGGGGCCCTTTCGCGATAACTTCACTCGGCGGGGACTTTACTAGTGTAATAGTCACGTGAAGATAAGTGATTCTAGCATAATCGGCACCGATGGTCTGCAACTTCGTGATGAAACTCGCAAAGGAGCATATTCTTCTGCTGCAAAAGGCTGGATGAGTGGAAGACTTTTCTTAACAATGGTATTAACTCATCTATGAGGGGTTGAAAATGGAAGCCTGAATAGTAATATGGCGATTGGTTGGTGATTGGTTTCGGCCATACCTGAACAAGTTGGGCAGCAGCGCATAGCGCCAACTCCTTGGCCTGTCCATGGGTTCCCTGGTAGTTCTTCCATGAGGATGAAGCTGACGCCAGTACCGTAACTGAATACTCGAGTTGCTCGTACTGCGGTCGGTGGTTTCAAGAAACGTCAGAGTTGCATATTCGCTGAGAATAAGGTACACAACCAGCGAAGATGGAAGACCAACTGCAAAGCTGGCAATACCTGGAACTCGAAATAGCCATGAAGGAGAGCCATCGTGGAAACGAATGCGACCGTGGTAGTTGGCGCTCCCCATAAGAGCGCCTGGGCCAACCGTGGAAGAATGTCCGAGACCACTGCGTCGTTGATTCGAGAGCGAAGATGGTGGCATTATCCGTTTTCAGGACGCGAGAGCAATCGTTACAAACTGTAAGTTGATCATTATAGGCTTTCTGCTACATTTACAGGCCATAGTGGCGGAGAATCGGTTCCTCATCACCACTTCTTAAGCCTCCAGAACCACTCCACCATTACCAGACTCGTCCAACAACTGCCCTTTTAATCCCTCCACTTCCCTTTCCATAACCTCGTTATTCTCCGACTGCTTTGCCGTCTCAAAATCAATGAGAATTGCGCCCCTTTCCGAAATCAAGAAGTTGTGCTTGTTTAAATCGCCATGAAGGACTCCCAATCCATGCAATCGTCTGACAACGGCCTCACAGGCAGGAAGGTCCGAGATCGTAGCGTGGTGACCTTCAACATATTCGATGAGGAATCCGATAACCCGTCCATCTTCAGTTAAGTACCCTAAGAACTCCGGCCCGATATTGTGGCCCTCTATCCATGAATACGCTTGAGTCTCGGCGATGTAGTACCCGATCTCCCAGTGGAATCTCGCAAATTTGGCGACTATTGGTTTCTCGAATTGTGGGGAAGATGCCATGTAGACGTTCGACCTGAGTCTTTCTCCGATTTCAAAGGATAGGTATGGGTAGAACTTTGAGTGCCACAGTGGATTGATTGAAGGGAGATTTTCCTTGAAGGTCTCTGCGAAGAATGGCGTTGGACTTCCCGCCGTTTGCGAGATGCGACCACAGTTCCAGTCGCCTTCGGGAAATGGCGGCAACTTTTCTAGGAGGATTGGTGGGAAACATAGGTCGTCGACTTCGTAGATTCCTGGATCGATGGTGATGTACTTGAAGTGCTTTTTGTTCACCAGCATTCTGTAATAACTGGGTGTGTTGCCCTCGGGATCTATATCTTGATTCAAGATCTCGACCTTGGTAAGATGCATAGCTTTGGCGGGCGTGAGGCCCTCGGGTACACAATAAAGAACGCGTTTAATAACAAGACTTCACTTGGTTTCCTCGATTCGGTGTTGATATCGAGGTCTGTGGTAGATTGGCGCGAACCTTTATTGGAGATGTTGTTGCAGAACATGAGTATCGCGTTGAAAAGAATTGCAAGTTCGACAGCGGTTTAGTTAACGAATAAGATCATTGTTAATACTGTACACACAATCTGCCTCAGCACTTTGCAGAACATTTAAACGGGAGTATCTAGCTGAGGTTCACGGACTCCGGGCGCTTATTGTGCATCAACGGCGCGAAATGATACATCCCTTCTTACGATCATCCCTTTGGTGCGATAGTAGCCAATTGATCTATCCTAAGTTTCGACTAACCTAACGTGTTAGAATCTAAATGCAGTTTCTCTCTGCCTGCACGCGCGCGCTGAAATTTCAATCGCGCGCGACCTGTAGATATGCGCTGTCCATGAGCTTCTCGAAGTCCGACCTGGACCGTTCCAAGTATATAATAGCTCTTCTGCACCTTAAAATCTGATCATTAGCACCTACAAAATATACCCAGACAAGTAAGAATTTCTCTTGCATTGAATAAGATTTGGCAACTGGTGCGTGCTTTTGAATCGCGTCACAGTATCCCGAAGAAGGCTGACTTTCATAGGATTTCATAGGCAAACTCGCGTCTCGTTCTTCACTCAAGTTACATTATACATCTTCACTTCTAAGAATAGGTATTTCTTCCAAGCAAACTTTTTCGGTACTCTGCTTAAGCAAGTCTCAGTATCGACCATGTGTGTACAGATGTTTGTCATGCACACTTGCGGCTGCGAGAAAAATTCCGAATTTAAGCAATGCGAGGAACGCCTTGGCACCAACGTCAAATGCAAGCCGGTACGAAGGCAGAAGGAGAAGGACTCAGCTCATATGTGTAAGACGCACATGACGAACCCTGGCAAAGATGAGATGCACCGTTAAGATGCATTGCGGTTGATGAATTATATTCTAAAGCCGAGCAAGACAGTTGTACTAAGTTGCTGGATGTCCAGGAAAGGAATGCTGGCTGGTCCGGTTGATAAATAGAGCAGAATATACAAGCAATCACGCATTTGGTCTAAAAATGGATCTTGGATACAGTCATCAAGGTATAATCGGCTCAAAATTTGAAGTTGCTGAGAAATCCCAAAAATCTGGCATCGGAGCTACACTGATCCCTCCCAGCAGGAAGAATATAGTCTGGCACCACCCTTCTCCCTATCTGAGACACCTGGCACTTTTGAAAGTGCTCCATATATCCAGCAGCAGAGTAGACAGTATTCCAATTTGAATATCCACGTCTCTCATCTCGAGGTCCGAGGCGACATGCTTGGCAAGACACTCCCCAGTCAAGGTTTCCTGTCCTTCTATCTAGAGTAGGGAATCTAACCATTGCCATAAAACGATATGGATTCTGCCCATGACTATCGAATTGTTGCAGCATTTGATTCGAAATGGGAGGTGGGTGAAAATGTGGCGGTTGCGGAAGACGCCTACGCAATGGCCTTGATCTTCGATGTGAGGCTTTCGAGTCGTCGTGCTGCATAGATCTAGCAGCAGTAGCTGAGAGCATGCGCACTAGTGATATTCGTCTTCGATATATTCTTTCACTCTCAGTATATTGCCCTGGCAGACTTAATAAGGTCGGTAACGTGCGCAGCGTCTTCGAGTTCAGATTGAATTCCCTCTTTGCCGAAGATGCTGTCATGGATAACAGTCTATCAGAATAGGCCACGCATGTAATGCAGCGTCGATGACCAGTAAACATGTCGAGGAATGGTCCAAATTGTCCACAACCGAAACAGGCTTGCGTGCAGAGTGCGTCGAAAATATCTTGGGCGGTAAAGTGGACAGCCATGTGCGTGGAGAGTAAAGCGCGTAATGCATCGGGAGAATGATGGACTATTTCGTTGTAAGGTGGGAAGCTATCAACAAGTGCACGGGCGCGCCAGCTGAGAGCTCTGAAGTCCGTCAGACTTCGCAAGTCAAGTATGCTGAAAATCGAATGGATGATCTCGAGTGGAAGGGCATCTAAATCCCCTATGTTGGAAAAAGAGGTAGCGTTATTCGCTTTGTAATCAGCGCGTGGCTGGAATAGGCCATTGTCGAGTGGACAAAGTCTTTGGAGAGATTGAGGCTGAATCGTCATTCGCGTCAATTCAGGGCGTGACCAGGTAAGAAGGCGGAATTCGTCCTTGGTTAAGCTTATAGGCGAAGCCATCTTTTGTGTAAACGACAGGTGAACTCCCTCAACGAAATCTGAGATAATGAACGGTCCAAATTGCTGCGGGTTTTTCTCAGTGAAGCCCCAGCTTATCAAGCGTGGGACAGGAATCGTGGTCTGCTCGCGGAGCAATTTGATGATTTGGACCTCATTCGCGACCTTTTCGTCCCGAAAAAAGTTGTATGTCCTTGCCCTGGGAACCGAACAATGGCATCCGGGCCGCTATCGTTGAACGTGATTTTGAGGCAGAAGTTGAAGGAGCCTTCAAACCAGTCAACAACTTTAGCTTCCCGTCCTGGCCGCGAACAGGCGACAAATGCAGCAGTTTCATCAGTTGCGTCGAGAACGCGCTCCTTCCACTCGTTCGTCACTTGTATTCTCAGCTATTTCATCGAAGACAGTCAATTTCACAGCAGTGTGAAGTCAATCGGAGAGATGTCTAGGCGGAGATACCATCAGTGAGGGGATTGAAGATAATTGAAATGGCAAGGTAGAGTGGCCAGTGTTGGCTACAGTGGCATTGTATGGCGATAAAGTTACTCCAATATATCATACTGCAAGTATAATAGTGCTACTACAGCATAGTATAGCTTTGTATTATACTGGTGGTTGTTGTTGTTGTTGCTGACCGAGGTACACGTGTAGTCCTGCCTACCCTCAGCCTCGCCTGCAGCCTTGTGCCATCCAAATGGTGCTTATCTGTGGCTGAGTGACGCTCCACAACAGAGCCTCAAATCCCGTCGCGGTCACGGTCCACTACTTCGATTCTCCAACAGTCAGCACCCCCAACCGTGTCAAGGCCACATTGGCATCTGAAATCTTTCTTTCTTTCCCTACAACCTACTAAATGGAGTCAACTTCAATTCCGCATACTCCCCTGCTTTCGTCGTTACCAGAGCGCAAGTAGCTCAACGCCCTCCTGCCATGGCCAGCCTCTCCAGATCAGAGGTTATCAGGAACAAACCAATTGCGGACGGGCTGAATGTGTTTCGCGATTCATTCAATTCTTTGTGAGGGACTTGGGGTATCTACTTCTGTGGACGGGTTGCAGCGCATTGGTCATGAAGGTATGTACAGTGGACTGTATATGGTTTTCTCTCTAACTCACGTAGGTCTCCAAAATCTAGCACTTGATCTTATATTAGCCTTGCTAGTCCTCCCTGTCTCTCGGATATTACCTTCCAATATGGCAATAAAAATATCTTCGGTGACCTTTCAAGACTTAACTCGGCAGTCAATAGCGACGACTTCGACATCGAACGGGTCACACCTCTCTTGAAAGCAGTAATCAATAACGAATCCGACGATATCATCTGGGACAAAGCATACGCCGCTGTAACTGAATCCACACCGCCTCGACCACTGCCATTCCTGAATCAAACCCCTTGGTCCAACGCTACAAGCAGTATTGTCAACTCCTCGGAACACAGGAAATATGCGAATGAGGCTTTGAAGGAAGAACTAGGATCGTCGCTCTATATTGGGGTGCCTGGGTTTGTCGACGCTTTTTTTGGAGGTATGGCAGAGCTGGACTCGATATCCAAGGCAGTGTTTGCAAAGTGCCAGCAGGGAGGTAATCCGCTTTTCACAGAGGGGCGCGGCTGGCGTGACTGGCCAAACGAAGCAAAAGAGCCTGACGTCTTGACGTGGTTCGAAGAGCAAATTGATCAATTCTTGGGCTTTGCAAAAGATCATGGAAATGTTCCACGAAGACCATTGGCGCAGCCCAACCAACCCTTGAAAGGTTCGACAGCAGAGCGGAAGCTGGAGAGGTCTTCGTCACTCAGGACACTCGCCGCTTCGTACTGGGCTTCACGCTCTGCGGGTCCGTCATGCGACTCTGGGAGTTCGACCGGCTGGGCGGAATCGCATCCTCACCTTTCGACGTCAACCAGGACGGCTTACAGTTCGTGTCCGCGGTACTAGGATATCTCTTGATGGAAAGAACACAGCTGGGATTCGACCCCACGATACTGGAGGCAGACGGAGAACGTTACATAGAAATCATGCGCGATGGACGAAAAGAGCGACTTGTACTTGACAAAGTGATGAAACGGGTAGATTGTGTTGCCGGCAGAGCGACAACCTGCTGGAAAGCCCATCGCGCTGACGATGATGCAAAGGCGCCTCTGGTCATAAAGGACTCATGGCAGTATCCGGAACGGGAAGAAGAAAGGGACCTGTTACAAGAAGCAACAGAGAAGGGAGTGGTCAATGTTGCGAGACATTATTGCCATGAGACGGTTCACGTAGCTGGCCAGCGTGACGACGACCAAAACAACGTACGGAAGGCTTTGGATATTTCGAAAGCGACTAATTATTTTGTTCAACGTAAAAAAGCAGACAGCTCGATGTTGCCTCCCAAACCATTTAGCAAAGACGATGCCATCCGAAGGGGCCGATCAAGTGCGGATACTATCCACAGAAAGAGATCATCTAGCTCACTCAACGCACCCCTGCCACCTGCGAAACGCACTTATTCGAGCTCTCCAACAAAACGAGAGCACATTATTGATACGCATAACCGGATTCGCCGTCGTGTCATCGTCTGCGACTATGGCACACCAATATACAAGGCACGCTCTGTCGTCGCCATGCTTGCTGCGCTAGCTAGTTGCATTGAAGGGCACGAGTCTTTGTACACAAAGGCAGGGATGCTTTAGTGCGATATATCCACAGGCAATCTCATGATAAACCAAGAAGATGGCAACCCTTCGTGGCAAGCATTTTTAATAGATCTTGACCTTGCAGTTAGAGACAAACGAGAAGGGCCATCGGGAGCACGGGGCAAGACAGGCACAAGAGCATTCATGGCAATTGGCGTACTGCATGACAATGAGAAACACTCTTTCATGCATGATTTAGAGTCTTTCTTCTGGGTACTCTTCTGGATATGCATCCATTACAACGGACCAGACGAGAAGTTGGTTGTTCCGCAATTTGATAAGTGGAACTATGTGCATATGGAAGAGCTGGCAAAGTTGAAGTTAGGCACTGTGGCAGACGAAGAGATATTCCGTCAGACGGCAACAGATTACTTCACGCCATATCATGAACGGCTGATCCCCTGGGTCAACAGATTACGGAGGGCCGTTTTTCCAGGCGGTAGAAAGTGGAAGGAAGAAGATAGGGACCTCTATGCTCGGATGATGGAGATTCTTCAGGAAGCGCAGAAGGATCCAAATGTGGCAGATTAGATGCACCAAACTTAATTGTACTATAATTGCAGGAGATCAAACATGGAAGTAGTAAATAGATACCGACTATGCGTCACATTTCACGTTCTCTCACTTCGGAATTAGTGTGGCCAAGCATTCTGTTGATTCTGCTCTCCTCTTTTCGATTTCTCATTCAGTAGGGGGAATCTGGACGGAGGATTGAGATGGCGGAATAAAGGCGGTCAGCCCTGTTGGTCGCCCCCACCCCGCTACTTTATCACACTTGGTGCACAAATACTTTGGTAAGGCATGTATGTGTGACATGACCCTATTGGATGGTCCCGATCTGATTTCTACTTAATATGTCACGTAACCTAAGGCAGATCAAGAGGGGATCTACACCCGATGGTCCCGATGATCCCTCACCCGATGGTCCTGATGAGCTCCCACTCGATGGTCCCCCACCGATAGCCACTGAGTGACCCCTACCCTTTCAAAGTTTAGGTAGTTTGTGAATTCATACCAAATCAGTATCATCTTCGCCACTTCCATAGTTCCGAAGGGATTCAGCACAGTTGCCATATTTTGATGCGCCTAGTGTTAGAATACGGCCTCTTTCGCCCACAAAAGATGGTCTGGGGAACAAGCAGATAGCATATCCATATTCTCATCGATTAGATCCCAATAATTAAAGTCCGAGTCTCTCAGAGTTCTAAAGTTGGTTCCTGTCGGCTCGAGGCTCTGATCTCTGCACAGCATAACATTAGACTCGCCCCAACGACCGTCGTTAGAAAAGTCTCCCCAAGCAAGAATTCGAAGTTCGGGTATTCCTTCTGAACTAAAAGCCCAACGTGCAAATTTCAGCAATGCTTGAGCAGGACCAGTGAAGTCCGACCTGTTTTCAATCTTCCTTGTTCTCGTGGAGATCTATTGCTGAATCAGCCAACACATTCGAGCACCCGTGGGCTAAGTAACAGACCTGTGGCTCTTGCATTGTGAGCACCAGGGGCTCAGAAGATGGGGAGCGGTTCGACGGCTAGGTTTGGGCGGTGTCAACAGTCTCGTTGAATGTTTCTGCCTGCGGATATGAAAGAAACTTCCCGCCCTTCTCATATACGAGTTCGAAATCCTCAAAATTAAAACCACTGTGTTCTGGGTTAGGGTTATAGAACTCTTCTTTGAACTTCTTGTGATGATCTATCCAGGACATTTTGATGTGTAAGATGTGGCATCTAGGCTTCACGGGAAGTTCAGCGAAAGACGATTTCTAAAGAGGGTAATGTTAGCAATGCAGAATCCATACAGGGGCCAGGTCTAACCATTTCAGAAATTGGGCCACTTGTGCTAAAGCAGCTAAGTCTTGAGTTGTGAAACAAAAGTTCTCCTGAATTGTGCCACGGGATACCACTATCCACAACCTCGCCATTTGAAATAATCCTCTCGTGAAGGACTAGGCGCTTTAGGGTCGACTGATGGTGCGCGATGCTATTAGCTATAAGATACCACTCGAGAGGCTGGGTGAGTAGTAGGAAAAGGTCTTCCAGGCCTTAGAAAGAGGCCAAAAACCGAAAAATTACCTCGGTCTGCACCTCGTCAAAGTTACTGTAATGATGAAGACAGTCCCAGTCAATGATTAACTCAAACGACTTTAGTTTGGGAGTTATCCCTTGCTCAAGAAGAGCTCCTAACAGTTCCAGGGAAGAAGGGCAGTTCCGTAGTTGCAGCGTGCTCAAGTTCATCATGTTGAAGGAGTGGCCGAATTCGTATTCGAAAGGAGCAAAGGCGACGCCTACAAGTAGCAACGTTTTTAAAGACTGAAACAGGACTTTGTTCTAGTCCGATTCAATTCCGACAACTCTAGTCGCAAAAAAGTTGTCTAGGCAGGGAGGAAAGGGAGGAAACCCTCCCAGAGTTGCTTTTTAGTGATCGTACCACCCCTTTTCTGCCCTGTTCCACTCAACTAGATCTAATGTCAACGATCTTAGCCCTCGAGCCCCAGTCTGGCTCTTAATGAAATCTTCAAGACAGTCAAAATGATCGCCTCTACTTAATCCTTTCTAGGAAAGTGACTGTATGCTGGTAAATGATTTGAGATCGAGATATTCCACACACGCAAAGGTCGGACATTCACCATCGATGAGAAGCGATATTGACTGGATGCGCTTCTGTTTCCCCGTCCAATAGTTTCCAGGATAGTTTAAGATCTCATTTGGAACACAGCATCCCAAGTTCAAACTGCGCCATGTTAGTACCAGGTCCTAGAATTAAGTGTGTGGTACATACCTCAAGCTCTGGAGGTTATTGTCGCCAAAAGTGCACATCCAGTCAATAAGTGCCATAGATAAGTCCCAAAATGGATCGAGACTCATGTCTACCTAACATGTTGCTTTAGTGTCCTCCTGAGTTTATTAGAAGAGAGGAACGCGTTAAAGGCATACTTCACTTCCATAGTCCATATTAATGACATCAGCTAAATGCTCTGGCAACTCCGAATCGTAGTGTAGACACCGTTTTCTTAAATTATAATGCAGCGGAGCCTTAAAGCAAATGTTCTTTGTGAACTTTACATTGTCGTTGGAACAAAGCTCGATCTTGTGTTTTAAATCATCCAAGTCCAGCATTTCGTCCGCGTGCAAGGTGATTGATTCATACAGACACGGTGTCGCGAATTCAGCAACATATTTAGACACCTTGCAAAGACTCTTCAGATCTGATTGTGTACTAATCTGCGTGGTGATATTAGTGTTTTACTCAAACAGACGACGTGTTCTTACTTTTTCTACGATTAACCTAAGGACTTCGGCAGGTATTCGATCGAGCATCTTCGCATACTCGGGATAATGGCATGGTATAACAACAAGGTTTTTAAAGGTTTGCAATGTTTTGCGGTGGGATTGAAGTTTACGGTGGACAGACTAGTGGAACGAAAACGACCTTCACGTGATGCCAAAGATCAGGGTTCTGCTTTTCGACTGTTACTGTATAGTACGTATATTGGGTGGATCCGTGAATCGCGGCCCCTCAATATAGTGAGGGGCCGGGAGTCTTATCAGTACGGGCAGAACCAAGTGGAGGATGCACATACTACAAATGTCAAGACCCTCCGATGGCTTTCACCTCCCAGTAGTGCAGCGCATAATGAGATCAAGATTGTCCAGTAGAAAAAATTACCATGCCCTGTGAGAAGTTCGAATGTCGTTAGTTTCATAGATTTGGTTCCTTCTCGAAATCTCGAAATCACGTGAACGTCATAATGTAGTAGTCACTCGCTTTAGCTTCCTGCGGTTTTGATGTGGCACCTTTTTGGGGGCTCATTTTACGTGGCTGATTTGTGGCTCGCAAATGGATCATTAAAAATAGGAGCAAGGCAGGTACGTAACCTAAACGGTCACACTCCGGTACTATTACGAAATTGTCGCGAGACTGACACGAAATTGACACGAAAACGTCGCGTCGCCTCACCCTGCTAACCTTGCTCACCCCTCGGCTCACCCTGCTCACCCTGCTCACCCTGCTCACCCTCGCTTCACCCCTTAAGGCGGCAAGGGGCTCAGATTTCACGCTATGCCTATTGGCACGATTGAAA